TTCACATATTTTTTAAACAAGGTTAAGAATTCGTTTATGAAGTTAGGAGTTGAAATTATTAAATCCTTAATTTATGATTTATTTTTTGTTTGGATCACTATTGTAAAAGAGCTTAAATTTTGAGTCAGCTATTATTGCAATAGTTGTATTGATTATTTTGTAATTTTACTTCTCTGAATTATTCATTCTTATAATGAAGTTTATTCATTTTTGACTTGATAGATTGAACTATCTTTAGCCTTTAACTAATTCTACAAACTTCTTGCTTACACTCTTGTACCTTGATATCTTGTATAAAGTTAAGTGAAGTACTAATAAATACATGAGGATGTCGATTAGTGATGCTGCCAATTTAATTTAACTCATTAATTAGTTTGAAGAAAAGTTGAATTCCTTGCTGTAACTGTATTTTTAGTAGAATTATAGGAACAAATTTAAAAAATGACTATTAATACAAATTTGTGATTAGATAACCATTCTTATTTGAATTACTCATAATATTATTAGCACATTATAAAATTAAAAAAGATCTTTTTATATTATTTAAATATTTTTATGTTATAATATCAATGAGATGAAATATATATTTATCCTCTGATAATTATCAAAATTGTTGAATTTTCGACAAAGCCTCTGAAAAATAGGGCAACACTATTTTATGATAAAGTAGACTTGACCATTTGTTACCCCTTGATTATTCCTCATTGAAATTGGGTTTAACCAACTTAAAGCTAGCCTGGTTTCTTTAATAAAACCAATTTACTCCAATCCTTTTTTCATACTTTTAGATCTCTTTTTTCATCTAGGGAGTGAAGATGCTTTTTAGATTGGAATACGAATCAAAAAGGGGGAGAAGCTAATAAATCTCCTTAATCTATATTCTCGATAACATGAGTAATTTCTTTTAGATGCATGTAGCATAGGATCCATGATTTCAATTTAGGCTGTCTTAACTTCAATAAAAACCCTATGTAAACACCCAACTTTAGACATTGGTCATAAATCCTCCATCTAATTACAATTCAAGATATTGGGTAAATTTGAGTCAGAGTATTTTCAAATAGTACAAATAAATTATTTTGCTCATAATCCTAATTAAACCTTCCGAAAAACATAATTAGGTATAAAAAACAAAATCAATTCTTTCATCACTTTCATTGGTTTCGAATCATTTTCTTTCTCCACAGAAGTATGTGTTTTTCTTCAACATAAAATTACCCTTTAATAGGATTAAGGGGAATGACTGATTGTAATAATGGAAAGTATTAGATTAGTAATAATTCCAATCAGAGATGGTCCACATATCTTATACTATGACCACCCTTAGTTAATAACGTTTAAGTTGAAGTGACAAAGTTGGAAAGAGAAAAAGATTTTGTGCAGAGTCAGGATTTATCAGATTGCCTTATCAGAATACTAAAGTCAAACTATATAAATGTTATTAGGGAGGTTTTATTGTAGAAGAGTAAATAATAAGATACAATAGTTAGATTTATTGACTTATTTTATGGTATTATAAGAATTTGATCTAACTGTTGCAAAATAATAGGTAGAGTTTGTGATACATTAAGGATTAAGAAAAACTATTGTGATCAATAAAACTTAGGAGAAAGGAATCTAAAGTGGCTAAGAAATTTAGATATCACTGAATGATGATTAATAAAATGTTCTGAAGTATGCTATAAAATACTAAAGAGAATAAGTATTTGACTTAAAGTATTGTCTACAGATTCTGAATCTATTAATTGCTTAGATTTAAAGAAGAAGGTAATGGCTGGTCCTTCTATTTTTAGAACTCTTGAATGTGAAAATAGAGCATCCACCTCTTTATAGAATACAGTTAAAATTTTATATTGACACAATTCTTTGCAATTACTATCATGAAATATTCTCATTATATTATTGTATATTTATTTTAGATAACATTATCGATACTACCTAACAACTAGAATCAAATTATAGCATTATTGATCTTTTAATTTAGAGTTAAATTGGCGTATAATAGGTTTCAGTATAATAAATAAATCAAATGTAAATTGCAACATATAAAAGATAATTTTATCATAATTTCTTTTAGATCACATTCTCTTCGGGTAAAATCTTAGATTGAAATTACTGCCTCCGTTTGAACATATGTAATTACGCTATTAATCTCTTAGTAATAAAATTCAACTGGTGGGTATTTTAAATTCAATTTAATTGCAAAATTAATATTTAATTACAATATTTTTTTTCCATATATTAAAAATATGCTATCATGATTTATGGGTATAATTTATTATATATAAATTCTAAAGCAAGCAAAATATAGTAAGGACATTCAATAATAAGGTATTATTAATTAGTTTAAAATTGTTTTATATTAGAAGGGAATGAGGAGGATTAAAATAAACTAAAATGTTAATAATGAAATTGGATAAAAAGAATGCATTATTCCTTTCAGAGTTAAAATCGTTAGGTTAAGATGATATTATAGAAACTAATTTCTGAATTATTTCTGGATTTTAACTATTATTTTTTGATAAAGTAATTATCTGCTTTATAGATTAGGAAAATTAATTAAATATAATTTTTCAAAGAAAGAATAGCAAGTTTAATATAATAAATTTGAATTCATGTAATGATGAAAAATATGAAAATGAACTTGAAATTATTAAGATAAATATAAATAGTACTTTTGAAGAATCCTGTGATGAACCTTGTTAACTAGGTAGAGTTAACTTATTAATATTGCATAACCTAATCTTACATCAAGAAAATATTAAGTATATTTATTAGGTGACATATGTTTTGGAATTCAAAATATGAAAATAACCCTGCTAATTACACATTTACTAAAATAGATCCTTTAAATATTTGCTAATTGAATTTTATCTTTTTGATGGAAAAAATTATGGATACTCAATGAGATTTGATTATATCTTTAAATCATTTGAGAATATACTGACTCAAAAGTTGTTAATCAAGTCGATTAAGGTGAAAATCGAATAGTAAGTCTAATACAGCAGACCCATACTTTTAACACTACTTTAGAAAATGAGACAAATTCATTATGAGTAGAACGCCTTCATGGAATAGTTTTAGATAACTCTTTTAAGGTGATGAAGAAATACTTAGAAAAGTTTTAATTAGGTATTACATAAATTTTTCTGTAGGATTAAACTAAAGCAATAAGGTTTAGAAAAAATAGAGTTTCATAACGATTGTTATAAAATTTTCACTTAAACCTGATTGTTCAATTTCTTAATGAATAAAGAACAACACTAAGGCTGTTGATTAAATTTAAAAAATCATAATCTTGTTTTGTTAAATGGGAATATTTTAAATATAAATTTGAATTATAACTAGCCTTTATTTTATAATATAATGGAATTACCCACATATTTAGATAATTAAATTTGAAATGGTGTTAAAACAACATTCTCCATATTTGAGGAAATAAAATAAGTAAAACTTAAAAATCTTAACTAACTGGTATTAATCCCCTTTAATATATATTTAAATATTTTGTTTAAATTATTTGAGGTAAATAATAGACTAGTAAATTTAATAGAATACATAACTAATTAGCTACTTTAGAGGTATTCTCTGATAAGAAAAATCAATATTTCTAAGAATGATAGATTGTAGAGTTTTCACAAACCCATATAGGGCTCACCATTAGATTCTGAACATAATTTCTATATTAATCTCATAATTAAAAAAAAGTCTTTATAGTAGAGAAAATAAATAATATTTTATAATTGAAGGATTCCTGTAAACTAAGGAAGGAGGGAAAAATAATATTGAGGCTCTATTCCTACCTAAACATAAATTTAAACTATTATGGTACCTCAATTGTAGTCTCATTCGAAGATACGTCAACTAGTAATAAAATTGTTTTCAATCTTGATGACTATATCCAGAAAACTTAACCAAAATGGAGTCAAACACAGAAAATTGTTCAAAATATGTTAGAAAACTATTAAAGAATTTTAATTAAGGACAACCATATATCATGGTTTTGTTAAAGGAAAATACAGATTAAAAATAGATAACAAATTGAATAATCTAATTAAAGAAGTTTGACGTAAATCTTGAATCAAACAAACTTATATATGCAGTAAAACTAAAGAGTTAGATGCCGCATTTTCGAAAAAGCTTACCTAAATAACAAATGATATTGCGTAAGGTAAGATCGACTCTAGTAATGCAATCTTAACATAGAATAACAAGATTATTACAGAAAAAAACCATCTGAAATTGCTAGATTAAGAGAATTTAAAAATTAAATTTAAAAAAAATAACCCTCTGATTTATTACTTTTGTTCAAAGTTATAAAAAATTTGCACACAGTCTCCTTATAAACCAAAAAGTAAATCTAAATCATATGAAGTAGGTAATAAAGAATCTTGATGTCTAAATTTGAGGAACAATAGAAGACTTTTGAGAATTAAATTAAAAATAAAATTTATCAAATAATTTTGATTCTCTTGATATTTTGATTGCTAGAATGCTATTGGAACTAAAATTTTAGAAAATTCTCAATTAGTCAAAAAAGGGGGGGTTTTCTGGAACAATATTTTATTACTCAATATTTTGGTATTTAGAATCAGAACATGTGTATGAACATCTAAATAACAAGATCTTATGAGAATTTTAAAACCCCATTCTTTCTTAGCAATGCGAAAAGTCTACTCAGCCTCTTCAAGTTGAATCTTCTACAGGATATATTTATTGTTATAAACTAAAATCATGAAAGCTATAATATATTTCAATTCTTAATATAAAATTATGCATTTTTTTTCAAAAATTGCATAAATCAGTGTACTATTTTATTTATTTCGAATAATGCTACTTTTTTGTAATTTGTTATTTCTACATTTATCTACATTTCATTTAAATAAATTGTAGGTTAATACTAATATGTATATAAATTTGATAATATTAGAAACAGTAAATTATAGAAGTTTTAAGAACAGTTAAAGAGATAATTGAATTATTCTATTATTATAATGTAATCATAATAATGAAAACGATTCAGTCCCTTCAGTTATAGCAAGCTATAATTTTTGGGCTAAAATTTCTTACTTTGAATAAGGAGGTAGATCCAATTCATAAGAACTATTATAATTAAATCTATGTAATACCATGTGTGCCCTACAGGTAAAAATTAATCGAAGTCTATTTACTAGTAATTAGGTGATACAATTAAAATTTTAAATTCTGAATTCTTAAATCCTTCAAGTGGCATCAAAGGGAAGGCTAAATATTAATATTACCTTACCAGTTATAAATTTTAAAAACTTTGCTAGTAAGTCCTAGCTGAAATTCCTCAATACATTTTATAACCATAGAATCACCTAATCAGTGGGAGTATAACCATTATACTCAAAGTTTAGTATAAGATCTTCGACTAAGAATATTTTTATATTAATTTTACCATCTATGTATGATTAGCCACATAGTAATTATTCTAATTAAGTTGAATCAAAAATACTAATTTATTATTTTGGTATTACAGAATAAAACCCTTTTAAAAAGTATTGCATTTAATTTTCAATATTTTTTGCCATTATTTCATGACAATACTTTCTTAAGAAATCTTTTTTATTTTATTGAGTAACCTCGATATCTTTTCCTCCAGGTATGAGTTCTTTATCATCAGGTAATCCTTAATTTAAAATAGTGTATGAGTAATAAATTCCCCAATTTGAACTGAAATTATCATTGTATATTAAATTTAAATTTGTATATATTTCTTCATCATAATATTAAATGTCAAATATCGATAATTTTTACCCTACAATGTGTTTAAAGAAGGAGATTGGAAAATTACCGAATATCTTTAGTTTATTAGAAATAGCTATAGCAAAAATCTGTCCAATAAAGTAAAATTTTTAAAGATGATCAGGATCTATATTGGATTCTCTGTTTACTTAATAAAAGCATTTATTTGAAGTCAGTTTAAATAGTTTATTTTTTTCATTTACTATTTCTTTTGTGAGCAATAAAATCCACTCTTGTGATAGACCACCCTAATCCTAACCTTCTTCTCCAAGAAAACTTAGAATTAAATTACCAAAAAATCGAGGATGCATAAACCTAATTTCCTTATAAGAATCATCAAAAATCTACTCCCTTCTAACTTCCAATATCTTTCCAGGAACCTCTTCATTATTCATTTTTAAATAGAAATATGATTACTTATTATCAAAATCAATAATACTAAAATGATTATTTTAAAAATAATCTACAAAAGGGGATGAAAATCCTAAATTATATTATCTCACATATTCAAGTTTGTGTTTTATTATCATATTGATAAAATAATTGCCTTTTTCACAAATTTCTTTTGATAAGCTTTAAAAACTTTAATCTACTGAATCTGAATTACACCTTGAAAATTCCATAGAGGCTAGCTAGGTTAAAAAATGAGAATTTTTGTGGTTTTCTGAATTTAAAATTTTATCGGATATCACTAATTGTGTGAATATAGTTTCTAATGCTGGGCTATATTGTTATGCTTTTTATTTTGGTATAATTGAAATAGTATTTTCATAAATTTTCATTAAATCCTTAATTTATTGCGAGTTCAAAAACTATTCACATTCCTTTTAAACTTCTTTGTCAAATATAGGAGCGGCTTCAAGTATCTGAAATATATTTTCGATTCCTTTTGAATTGATAAAAATTTAATCAATTTAAATATCATTTACTTAATTTTAATTCTATAAAACAATTTATTTAACTTCTTTTTTCATCAATTTGATAATTTTTTTTCTGTTATTTTAATCTACCCAAAGTTATGAAATACACTTAATAAATTCTATACTGATATCTTCATCCTACTCTTTTTGCAGATTATTCAAAAGGCTCTAAATTTAATATTTACTAAAAATTATTCTAGAAAGTTGTTATTAATTAAAAATAAATTGAATAACCATGTTCTACTATTCTCCTTTAAATAATTTTGTGAAGTATATCAATTCTGAAACACTTTTCGCTTATAAATTGCATTATTATAGCTCTTATAAATCAAGCATAAGTTTTAAGACTTTCTTTCTCACTAATTCTGAGGAATAATGGCATTCAAGAACTGGTTCATTATTTGAAGATATTATAGATTCTTATAATGCATCTTGAGTGGTCAATTTCAATAGAGATATTAAATCATCAATTACTAAATCAGATATATTGAGTTTTGCAGTTAAATTTTTAATAAGATCATTAATGGAATCTAAAATTTCTCCAAAATTATCTATATATAGAAATTTGTACAAACATTTAAGAAATTATTGATCTATTTTACCTAATTGTTTTAAAGCTTATCTACTATTTTATTTAATTGATATTAAATATTCTTATTCTGAAAATCTAACTTTATGATGATCTTAATATTATTTTTGCATCCAATATTATTCATGCTATTATAAACTATCTGAGCCTTCATAACATTCAAAAGAACTACTATCTATATCAATTTTTTAAAATTCAATTTCAAAAGGCAAATCATAATTCGTTTATAGATCCAGAAACTATAAATTATGTTCACAGCTCTTTTAATTTAAGAATTGAGGAGGCACTTCGTTAAGCATATTTTGAAACGCTTAGAACTATTTTTTAAATTATTTTGGGAAAGTAACCCCAGAGAATTCGATTGTATCGATAAATTTATTAAGGTTTTAATCATTCATAATTTGAGGCAAAATATTAACTTCTTCTAAATTACTTAAAGATTATCCTTCTGCTTCTGAGGCATTTTCATCTATAAATTAATTTTCTTCATCTTCCAATTCCATTTCTTCTAATTCTGGAGAAATTTATCCTTCTTCTTTGATGAAATGCTATTAAACACTTGAAGTTTGAAATTTATTTTCTATTTAATTACTCTCTTAAAAGTTTCCAACTGAAAAGAATGGCCATTCTATTGCCTGAAATTAAATGTCACTGGAATCTAATTCTTAATACTTTATTTTATTTTTCAAAAAGCTTTTTTCGAGAGTAAATATTTAATTTTAAATTTCTTCTGAATGCATTTAGCCAATAATGTATGATTCTTTGATAGGTTAACTCCTTGAAGTTTACTTTAATAAATTAGTAGGTGTTGGCTAAGTATTCTCTAAAAGTAAACAAGTGGCTACATTATATAACATATTCAAAGTGGTTATTATAAAATATATTTAATCTTTATAGCTAAAATATTATTGCCAATCTAATCTTTTGATTCCTTCTATGTAAGCATTAATAAAGTTAAATGAGTCTTATGGTTCATTGATGTTTTTGATGCAAATTTTGGCAACAGATTTTATTGATAATAAGTATACTAAAATGAGATTTAACTTTTTTAATTTTTCATCAAATGTTTTTATTGATTTACAAATTTCGTTATACAACTATTTAATAATTATTCTTCTTATTTCATTTCCAAATGGAACAATTATATTATTTGATTTCTTAAATAAAACTAAATTATCTAAGCAAATATAAAATATAAAATTTTAGGAGGGTAGGATATATTTTGTTATTAATGTTAGAAATGATATTTGAGTAGGCAATTCTGATTATTCATATCCAATTTTCTGTTTATATTGTTGAAGAAATTAGCTACAATTTATTTTTAGTAGACTTGGTAAAAGTAATGGAAATTAAGAAACAATATACTATAGCACATCAAATATAGGTTCACAATAAGATTAGTCTAATCCATTGTTATCAAAATACAAAGTAATAATTTATTAAACTAAATGTTTCAATAAAATTTATGTTTCTTTAGTATGTTTGAAATTAGATTGAGATATTTAATCTCCGTTTTGATTAATGCTATTTAATGTGTCTATTCTAATACAATCTTTTAATATGAAGCATTGTTCCTCTACTGATTCTATAAATAATAAATTCATCACATATTTTACTTCTTCCTTATAATGTTTATCATTTTGAAGAGATATCAAATTAGGATTATTTTTTTGTAATTTTAATTAATTCTTAGCTTATATTTTTTTAGATGCGGGTTGTAAGCAAACTGGATAATATGTTTCTATCTTATTATATGGATTTTTTATATTTTAATTAGTACTTTTTATTTCTTCATTATATTCTTAATCAAATATTATTTTTTTGATTTTCGCTTCTATTTAGGCTCTTAACAAAGTTTTATCATAAATGATAACTAATGCAAATTTAGATAGGATAGGCATATAAATTCTGAAAATTTACTTCACTTTGAATAGGGATTCTAAACCTTACATTTACAAAACAAATTGATTAATATATAATCTTTTAGTAGCGAAAATTTTAATTAGCATTTTAATGCATAAAATTTATGTAGTTTAATTCATAATTGTTAAATCAAATAGTTTTTTTATTCCATTTAATAGTAGATTAATGACTTCTGAGTTGCCATTCATTAATTTAATAAGAATAGTTAATGTAAAATCAAGAGCTTTAATGCATTTATCACATATTTCTGATTATTATAATAAAACCTCAAGCACTTTTAGCATTTCTATAGAATACTAATCTTAATATTAAGTAGAGTATTCTTATATGCTAAGAAATTTTAAAATTGGAAGAATACTCCAAGGATGAGGGTTTTAATTCTCTAATTCAAATCCTTCAAAATTTAATTTTATATTAAATTATTAATAAGCTGTTTGTTACAAATACTTGAATAATGCTATTTAATCAAATCTAATTTCAATTTCATCAAGATATCTTTCTTAAGAAATAGGAAACTTTAAAATATCTTATTAAAATTATTGTTTTAGCTATGCTATTCTAATTTTAATTTAGTAAAATTTATCGTTAGTCTTTAATAAATTTATGATTGGTTATATTTATGAAAGTATGAATTACATAATCGCATCTACTTTTTCGTGGTATGAATCTAGTGTTAATTAATAAAGACATTAAATTTCTTAAACTACTATTGATAATATATTTTAGTTTTTACTAAATTTTAAAGGTTCTTCATATAAGAGCTTAAATATTTGTATAAAAATTTCATTTAATTTTTAAATAAGCATTTTGTCTTAATCATCAATGCTACTAATTTTAATATGATGCTTTAGCGCAACCTTCAAATGATTACAAAGTAAAGAGTTGATAAGAAAAGCTTAAATCTTTGATTATTAAGGATGGTAAGAAAGGCAAGCTAATAACCTTTTTATTATTATTAGAAATTCTAATGTAATTGGAGGAGAATTATCTAACTGCGAAGCGAGTATATTGAATAGCCGATCCAATCGTAGCAAATCTTTCTCATCGATTTGATCTTCTTTCAATAGATACGAGAATTATCTCAATAATATGTCCACTATTTGGGTGTTTATTTTTCTCTATAAAACATCTTGTTTTATACCTAAAACAATTTCTAAAAGAACGCAACATTTTTGCAACCATTTTTCTTTTTTTTCATAAGGGGTTGATCTTATATTTTTTTCATTTATACAAGTCAAATAGTGAAAAATTTGTGAAAAGCGGGAGACAATATCTCTATTTTTAGGTGAATACTATTATAATAACTATTTTTCATCTAAATATTAGAGTGAGGCATATTCCAAAGGACAATCTAGTTCTGCTTCCCATTTAGATATTAACTCTATAACTTTATCTATAATATTAGTAAATTTAAGACCCTAAAATAAATAACTTACTTACACTTAATGAAATATAGTAAAAGCTCGGAATTTTAAAAATTTACTCAATTTCTTCAATAATCCCATCTTAGCCCAAGTTTCTTTATTTAATCATATTTTACTCTGGAAATAATATTGTATTAAAATAGAAGATGACGAACTTTTTCTTAACAATCTCTTAAAATTAGTGACTTAAATCTTAATTAATGTTTAAATTGTGGTATTTGTACATTAGTACGATTTATAATTACTTTAATATATTTTTTAGAATTTTATTTATTATTTCTTCCATGTTATTATTTTATTGAATAAAATTATGAATTATTTATCCTAATTTATTTATTTATACCTATTTTATACCTTCCTAAGCAATTAAATAATAGGTTAATAGGTCATTTATGAAACTTATTGCTTTACCACTAAATCGTTTAAATCCCTTTTCTGACCTACAAATATTTGCATAAAACATTAAGATATCCTTGATCATTCCAAATTTTAATTCTTTTATATTTTTTTTGTTTATAATCTCATTCAAGATTTGAGGTACATTGGTATCAATAATTTTTACAGTTAGCGAAGGATTTGCATTAGCTAAACAAGAAATAAATTATAAAACATATTTTACTGTCGTTGTCGTCTCAAAATGTTATTTTAATATATTATTAAGAGAGCTTAGAATATTTGAGTTTAAAATCATTCCAACCAATATAGTATCAATATATATTTGATTAAAAGAGTGATGTTTTCTTATCAATTCAAAAAATTATGACAAGTTTTTAATACATGTTACAATAATTGCATCTGTTTCTGTCTCATTAATTTGAACATAGCCATCTTGAGTTGGTTTTTACAAGTTATACCCTTCCTTAATATAATAATCAAATATAGGTAAACTATCATTGATATATAAAGTGAATTATACTTGATCTCTTGTAATACACTTATTTAAGAGTAACAATGTCTATTTAATTTACTCAGGCTGAAGCAGCAACTTATTATTTTAGATACTCAATATTTTTATTAGCATTTTTGTAATGTCATTATAAAATGAGTTACAAGTTTAAGATGATTTTATAAAAAAAATTAAGATTCCAGAAGTTAATTAACTATCTTAAGCTAATGATTCGCTAAGTATCTTAGAATTATACTTTAAGGGATAACCTTGAATGAAATCATTATTTTCTATCTATCTCATAGATAAAACATCAGATAATAATTTTAATTGGAATTATTATTTTCTTTTGCTTGATTATTGATTATTTCTTGATTCAATTTACAATAATTCCACTAATATTATTGGATCTATGGTTTCAAGCTGAAATAAATTAAAATTATTATTTTCTATTGTATCTCCAATTACATCATCGTAAAATCTTTCAAATATATGAAGAGCCACAAATTATTCTTTTTAACTTTTCAGAATATTCAGTGATTTTAAATGTAATCCAATTATTATATTTTTAGTTTATTATGAATTTGCTTGTAACCCTCTGTTAATAAGGATTCTGTATTTTAATATATCCATTAAAGGTGAAAAGGACTAAGTCTGCATATTTAATAGATTTCTTGATAATTCAAGAGCTGAAGTCGAATTGTCATCTATTATTTATATTTTCTACAAAATCAATTAATTATATATACTTTTATTTANTCTTAACAATCTCTTAAAATTAGTGACTTAAATCTTAATTAATGTTTAAATTGTGGTATTTGTACATTAGTACGATTTATAATTACTTTAATATATTTTTTAGAATTTTATTTATTATTTCTTCCATGTTATTATTTTATTGAATAAAATTATGAATTATTTATCCTAATTTATTTATTTATACCTATTTTATACCTTCCTAAGCAATTAAATAATAGGTTAATAGGTCATTTATGAAACTTATTGCTTTACCACTAAATCGTTTAAATCCCTTTTCTGACCTACAAATATTTGCATAAAACATTAAGATATCCTTGATCATTCCAAATTTTAATTCTTTTATATTTTTTTTGTTTATAATCTCATTCAAGATTTGAGGTACATTGGTATCAATAATTTTTACAGTTAGCGAAGGATTTGCATTAGCTAAACAAGAAATAAATTATAAAACATATTTTACTGTCGTTGTCGTCTCAAAATGTTATTTTAATATATTATTAAGAGAGCTTAGAATATTTGAGTTTAAAATCATTCCAACCAATATAGTATCAATATATATTTGATTAAAAGAGTGATGTTTTCTTATCAATTCAAAAAATTATGACAAGTTTTTAATACATGTTACAATAATTGCATCTGTTTCTGTCTCATTAATTTGAACATAGCCATCTTGAGTTGGTTTTTACAAGTTATACCCTTCCTTAATATAATAATCAAATATAGGTAAACTATCATTGATATATAAAGTGAATTATACTTGATCTCTTGTAATACACTTATTTAAGAGTAACAATGTCTATTTAATTTACTCAGGCTGAAGCAGCAACTTATTATTTTAGATACTCAATATTTTTATTAGCATTTTTGTAATGTCATTATAAAATGAGTTACAAGTTTAAGATGATTTTATAAAAAAAATTAAGATTCCAGAAGTTAATTAACTATCTTAAGCTAATGATTCGCTAAGTATCTTAGAATTATACTTTAAGGGATAACCTTGAATGAAATCATTATTTTCTATCTATCTCATAGATAAAACATCAGATAATAATTTTAATTGGAATTATTATTTTCTTTTGCTTGATTATTGATTATTTCTTGATTCAATTTACAATAATTCCACTAATATTATTGGATCTATGGTTTCAAGCTGAAATAAATTAAAATTATTATTTTCTATTGTATCTCCAATTACATCATCGTAAAATCTTTCAAATATATGAAGAGCCACAAATTATTCTTTTTAACTTTTCAGAATATTCAGTGATTTTAAATGTAATCCAATTATTATATTTTTAGTTTATTATGAATTTGCTTGTAACCCTCTGTTAATAAGGATTCTGTATTTTAATATATCCATTAAAGGTGAAAAGGACTAAGTCTGCATATTTAATAGATTTCTTGATAATTCAAGAGCTGAAGTCGAATTGTCATCTATTATTTATATTTTCTACAAAATCAATTAATTATATATACTTTTATTTAGAATATCCCTGATAATATTTTCTAATGTCTTCCATTTCTTTACAATTCATGATAAGTTTCATCTAATTAGGTTGGTTCATAGTATTCAAGATCAAATTGTAGAGATTCAATTGGGTCATTGCATATTTCTTGATACCTAGGATCCATAAAATAGTAGTCAATCAAATTGATTTTTTTAGAACACAAGAAGTTACTGTGGCTATAGAAAATTTTCTAAATATAAAAGTCTTGGAATGAAACCTTATCTATCAAAATGTATGATTTGAATGCAGTTAGATAGAATCTAAAACACTAAATCATAAATATGTAAATCATCTGTATATTCGAGTATCTTAAATAAATTCTCGTAATCATTAAAAAGATTTCTAAAATTATAATTATTCCGTCTGCCTTAATTAGTATTTTCTTAAATAAAAATTAAAAGTTGGGAACAGTCATATGTAGGGTTGGTTTATAGCTCTATTATTACTTTATCGAAGCATTAACTGATGTTTTTAAAAAGATAATCTCGAAGCCTTTGGACTTTATAAATTTGATTATCCTCTTGGTTTAGAAAATTTCTTAACTCTTCAAAGTTAAATGAGTCTATTATGCGCNGTATCAATATATATTTGATTAAAAGAGTGATGTTTTCTTATCAATTCAAAAAATTATGACAAGTTTTTAATACATGTTACAATAATTGCATCTGTTTCTGTCTCATTAATTTGAACATAGCCATCTTGAGTTGGTTTTTACAAGTTATACCCTTCCTTAATATAATAATCAAATATAGGTAAACTATCATTGATATATAAAGTGAATTATACTTGATCTCTTGTAATACACTTATTTAAGAGTAACAATGTCTATTTAATTTACTCAGGCTGAAGCAGCAACTTATTATTTTAGATACTCAATATTTTTATTAGCATTTTTGTAATGTCATTATAAAATGAGTTACAAGTTTAAGATGATTTATAAAAAAATTAAGATTCCAGAAGTTAATTAACTATCTTAAGCTAATGATTCGCTAAGTATCTTAGAATTATAATTTAAGGGATAACCTTGAATGAAATCATTATTTTCTATCTATCTCATAGATAAAACATCAGATAATAATTTTAATTGGAATTATTATTTTCTTTTGCTTGATTATTGATTATTTCTTGATTCAATTTACAATAATTCCACTAATATTATTGGATCTATGGTTTCAAGCTGAAATAAATTAAAATTATTATTTTCTATTGTATCTCCAATTACATCATCGTAAAATCTTTCAAATATATGAAGAGCCACAAATTATTCTTTTTAACTTTTCAGAATATTCAGTGATTTTAAATGTAATCCAATTATTATATTTTTAGTTTATTATGAATTTGCTTGTAACCCTCTGTTAATAAGGATTCTGTATTTTAATATATCCATTAAAGGTGAAAAGGACTAAGTCTGCATATTTAATAGATTTCTTGATAATTCAAGAGCTGAAGTCGAATTGTCATCTATTATTTATATTTTCTATAAAATCAATTAATTATATATACTTTTATTTAGAATATTCCTGATAATATTTTCTAATGTCTTCCATTTCTTTACAATTCATGATAAGTTTCATCTAATTAGGTTGGTTCATAGTATTCAAGATCAAATTGTAGAGATTCAATTGGGTCATTGCATATTTCTTGATACCTAGGATCCATAAAATAGTAGTCAATCAAATTGATTTTTTTAGAACACAAGAAGTTACTGTGGCTATAGAAAATTTTTTCTAAATATAAAAGTCTTGGAATGAAACCTTATCTATCAAAATGTATGATTTGAATGCAGTTAGATAGAATCTAAAACACTAAATCATAAATATGTAAATCATCTGTATATTCGAGTATCTTAAATAAATTCTCGTAATCATTAAAAAGATTTCTAAAATTATAATTATTCCGTCTGCCTTAATTAGTATTTTCTTAAATAAAAATTAAAAGTTGGGAACAGTCATATGTAGGGTTGGTTTATAGCTCTATTATTACTTTATCGAAGCATTAACTGATGTTTTTAAAAAGATAATCTCGAAGCCTTTGGACTTTATAAATTTGATTATCCTCTTGGTTTAGAAAATTTCTTAACTCTTCAAAGTTAAATGAGTCTATTATGCGCTTTATCTAAACATTTATGCATAAATTACTTATTCTTATGCTTAAGAATCCTCTTGTGACTCTGCTTAAAAATTTCTCATAATTATTTATGATAAATCATTTTGTCATTAAGCCTGTTATGATTCCTTACCTGAAAAAAAGTGCAAAATCTTTTTACGTCTCAAAAGATGAAGTTTATTAATTTTTTTAGATTCTCTAAACTATTGAATCATGAAAAGTCTAGAATAGCAGAAAAAGAAGATTTCATATCGGAGAACTGTTTTTTATATAAAATTACGTAATCAAAAAATTGATATTATCAATGTTTTCAAATCGATGTGAAAATATATACATATATATATGTATTAGAGTAAATTGCATATAATATTAGTGAGATCTAATTTCTTATTTCGCAATATTAGTTCAACATAGAATAATTATTTGATTTGACAAAAGTTCAATTAATTTTTCTTTGTAAAATTGAAAATTACTGAGCCAATTAGTTGGCTTATTGCTTTATAATTAGTACTGATTGTATCCTTATATAGAAACTTATATCTGCTAAAACTGTTATTTAGTTAATCTTTATCCCTTTCAAGAGCCAAATTCAAAATAGCTGAGATTTTTGGCAAGAAATAAAATTATAGTTGTTTTATATTTAATTAAACTGAATGACAATTGCAAGTTATAATCAAATGTGATTCAAGTTGCAAATCTTTAAAGCATTATCTTTTATATATATGGGGACAACTTCTTCTAAGATATAAAACATCTCATATATGTTTTGATTGGTCTCAAAATTTTTCTTTTTTTGTAATTAGAATTTCTTAGCTTTAAATTGATCTTCAACACTTAAAGAACCTTAATAGATTAATTCTAGGAAGAAATTAAACGAAAGAACTATTTGAAATAATATAAATATTTTTGAAAACTACTAGTTATATTTATAAGTAGCAAAATAAGATAATTCAAGAACCATATTTTTTTAATGAGAATTATGTTATTAAACAAGAGCAAATTCAAAAAGAAAGAGCAGTTTGAAGTCTTTATTCACATACTATTCTATAGTTTGAGTCTCCTCTTCTATCATATATCAATGGTATAATCTTATGGGATTATTAAAACAGTCATTTCCAAAAATTTTTTATGTAATTAGAATGTTTGTTGGATGGATTTCTTTTTAACGTTTAGATTAATATCTTCAATAATTCTTCCAAAAAGTAATATCAAGTTTAGAAATAATATGTAAAGGTTGAATAATTATATTTAATGATCTTTAAAATTGAAGATATTGCTTTATTCTAAATGAAATTCAATTCTTTACTGGATAATAGAAGGTTAAAGAAATTTATAAGATAGTTGTCTCTAAATAGGATATTCAAAGCGGATCACTCTAATTTTCTAATACATAAACTATGGGGAAGACATTACATACAGTTTAAAATAAAAAATTGAATTTCATAGATTTAGAGAGGTTGAATACTTATGATGAGATCTTCCAAGAAAAAAAATGAATTTACAGATTAGTATCAGCTTTCTGGATTTTTCTATTCGGAAAACTATATCCAATTTTGAGAGAGAAATCAACAAAATTTCTAACATAAATACACCTTATTATTGAAACACATCGCTGGGTTTGTTCCTTAAGGAATATTTAACCATAATAATTGAAGATAATAAAGATATTAATTGCCTTATTGAGTTGATTAATGATAACTTATTTAATAGATTAAGATTTAAGCCAAATCTTAAGAATTAGGTAATAAATGCTATTAATATGCTATTTCAATTATCAATAAGGTTTCGACATTCTACGTTTACAAATAAAGGAAACAAATACTTATTTAATTTAAGATGCTTATATTAGAAATATGAAACCAAAGATTAGAGAATTTAATGTTTTTGTTATAATAGAATCAAGAAATAACAGAACTTCAAAAAGACTTATGAATATATCCCATGATTAAGGACTAAACTATTGATCAAAGAAGAGATGAAATAAGATTTCGGCTATCATTCTTTTGAGTCTTATAAACAAATGAGAAAAGTATTTTCTTTTTGAACTTACGAAATTTCCTGTTAAAGACAGAAAATTATTTGAAATACTTTTAACCTTACATATCCAAATAAATAATTATCAACTAATTGATTGACTAAAATAAAAAGTTATCAGAGTGTCTAAAAATCAGTTAATCAAAAATAATAACAGAAATCTTCCTATTCTAGAGGATTTAAGTTAATTGAAGTGGGATTTTGCCTCAGAGTATTAATCAAGTTATTAAGACAATATCAAAAAAAGCGAAATTCTGAGAGAATGATACGAATCAATGCAATTATAAGCAATTGAGTAATAAGGATAAAATTAAAATAGCTTACAGTAAAGGTTAAGTAAAATCAGTAATCATAAATTAATCAAATAGATCTGAAATAATAAAAGCCTATTAATATTTACTCAATTACAAACAATTCCTAATTTGCTTCTTGGAATGTTACCTTTCTCAAACCAATAATATTAATTTATATTATTTAGAAAATGAGCCCTCACAAGCCGAAGTGAAGGAATTCAAAAAAATCAAAATAAAAGGTCTCAGTACATAACTCACTTAATTATTATTATTAAAAATTTAATTAAGATGACGATGGTGACTTATGGATTCATGTATGATCCGAGTCTAGTGTATCAACTCTTTGTCATCTGTTAAGAATTTTCTTCCTTACATGGAGAATTCAAATAATAATAATCATATTAAGTAAGGGATTAGCAATCTGTTCTAATAACTAAGTTTTGGTCTTTTGATGAAAGGAAATTGGTGATATAAGTCACTGCAGGATTAATTTTTATTTCTAACATCTATGTGCCGAAAGCCAGATAAATTTCAGAATCAAGAATGACTTACCAGATTAAGAATATGTAATTAGCTTCCCCACAAATATAGACAGATGGTATAGTCTGACTACTCAATATAGAGGTCAATCAATTGTTGATGAATCAAAAAGGATACATAGAATCATGTTGAGAAAATTACGCATCATTATATGATTGAATGATAAAATATTACTGTTTATGGGCAGAATAATAACAACTCAAATACTGTTGGTTAATTTGAAATACTATTCTCATATTATAATCAGTAAGGCTATATGTTCGGATGATGAGACAGCAAAATTCAATAATTACTATCATGATTAAGAATATAGAGCGGTATGCCTGCATAGTAGTTGTCATCAACGTCAATAAAAAAAAGTTATATAATTTTTAAAAAGAAATCCCTCTTAAAAGATTTGTTAAAAATAATTATACTTTCTAGCGTTCAAGGTTTATGAGAATTTAAACCATAGGAACTGCCCTGAATTAGAAGGAGTTAGATAAATCAAGTCAAACATTTACTAAAATAAATTAATTCATATCCATAAAATTCAATAGGCAGAAACTTTACATTATGTTAATAATCCATTAACAGTATTTAATTGTTACTAGAAATTTTTATTTATTCCAGTACTACTATTTCAACATGAATAGAGATATTTGATATTAAATTCATGTTTTTTTCTGTGATATCTAAGTCAGAAGCATATTGACGAGATAATAGTTTTCAGAATATGAATCTTGCTTGTCGATAAAAGAAAGTAAGGAAAGAAAATGTGGAATCTCAATTAAATAAAAACATACATGAATCCACATAGAAAAGAATGAAATTGATATTATTATCTGAAACTTAAGATCATTTGTAAAATTAAATTATCATAATTAATAATAAACAAAAAATACTTAATGTAAAAATTCAATTGAGAAGTTTTGAATCAATTAATTACTTTTAGCATTAGGTTTCTAATTATTACTTACTTTATTATCAAAGTTTGAATATAAAATTTAAAAATAACAACAAACCAGACCTTGATTAGTCAATATTAAATTACGATTCTTTATTTAGATACTAAATTTCTCTAATCCTAGAAATCTTTCTACTCCTAACCTAAAGAAAGTCTCAAAAGTTTTTATAGTTAAATTAGAATTTATCATGATAATCTTATACATAATTATAAAAGAATATGGAATTTAATATATATATTTAATTTAACCTTTTTCATACTTATATAATAACAAGCTCAAATTAATATCATTTTAATCAATACTCCAATTTTAACCATCGATACATTAATAGATGGGAGAATTCTAGTTAATAAAACTTATGGCTAATTGAAAAAAAAGACATCAATTCGGCAAGACAATGTTGATAGTTTTAAGTAAGGAGAATAATCTTTTTCATAGCTGAAGCCTAACAGTGCAATATTAAGGAAATTAAAAAATGTTAAGAATTTGTATCTAACACCTGAACAAGTAAATTAATATTAAGGGTACATCGGAATAAGAGATAAATTACTAAATATCGCTTTTCATTGCTTAAGTAGTAAAATCACTATTAATAATTTTTCTTTCTAATAATTTGGTTCCTAAGCGACTCTATATTTTACAATAGGATCATATATAGAAGAATAGATTAAGCGTACATATTTGTGTCAATTATATAATTAATTTATTTATCAGTGTTGAAGAATAAATATGGCATAATAACAAAAAAAACATCAAATTTTATTCACAATATCAGGCTAGTAAGTAATTTTCTCCATCAAATTAGTCTTGTAATCCAACGATGATCAGTCAAATTTTACATTTAAAACCAGATAAAATTTAGACCTATTTCTTAGAAGGGTCATTCTATGTAGAGAGTTGAAATCTAAAAAATACAATAATTGATGCACAAGGTGATAAAATTTTAGAAATGATTTTTTATTTTGAAAAGAAGAAATAAGAGATAATAGAGGTAGTTTATTGTGATTAATGACTTGATTGCACCTAGAAATTCTGGAACGAAAAAGACATTAAAGCTGTTAAATGGTATAACAATATAAAATAGGATTTTATCTAAGTAAGGATCGAATATTTTGATTAATTCAAAACCTCTTAATTTTTAAAAAGGTGAGTTATTTATGAATGAGTGAAAATATAATTTTCAGATAAATACTTCGAATAAATTTGTTGCAATGATCTAATTTAAAGTAATAATAGTTAGAACTGTTACAAATGATATTCTTAATTATCTAACAATATTAATTAAATAGCATTACTTAATGTAAATGACTAAATTGACTTTCTAATTATTTGTTTTCCGTATATCTTAAATGGAGTCTATCTATCTCCCCTATTTATCCATCTGAAAATTAATTGTCTAGAGCCTTATTAATGGCTACATCAATAATTCATTGAACTACATGCAAATCAAGTTATCAAAATATGACATCTTCATAAATGCGAATTTTACATATATACCTTTATAAATTTTATAAGAAATGCTCAAATCAAAATTTATAATTGCGCATTATCCCAATCNTTGTTCTCCAGCACATTATTAAAGTTTACAAAAAAAAGTTTTCTGTGAATGACACAATAAGGAAATTAACTAATATATTTTATATTCTTTTATTACAATACAAAAAATTATTCTTTGTTTTGCAAAATATGAAATGCTGAATTTCCAATAAGGCAATTCACCAATATATATATATAAGTGAATTTCCTAAAGAAATACAATAAGCCTATTTTATCTCACAAACTGATAATTTATATTAACATATATCATAGTTTAATAATAATTTTTGATACCATCAATAAAGGAAATCAAATTTACTCAGTATAATTTTTTCAATATCTATCTTTAAATCTAAATTAAGAGTGTTAACCATTACTAAAGTATCACTTTCTAAGTGCATTAAAAACAATAAATTAAAAATTCTAATATACAGTATCCAGACATAAGTTGAATAAATTTTTGATCATTATAAGTCTATCTTTAATTATAAAATTACTTTTATTTGTATTTTAAATCATTAGTAAGTTGACGATATTGATATACTTAAATAATGTACTAATATTGAAATTAACAAATAGTAAGTTAATACTTATTTAATATTTTGTAGTAACTTATATAAAAATGTATCATTTATGGTTTAAACAATTAGATCCACTTTAAAATATTGGTCATCAGCCAATTTGGGATTAGATTGATTTCAAGAATATCATATGAATAGAGATTAACTTTCATATTAAGGATGGTTTAAATAATCAATTATTAATAGCAAATACAAAATTATTACAATGTATAATATAATTGCAAAAAAACAGGTGCATTTTTAGAATAGAGTCAAATTGAAGAATAAATTTGGTACTTTGTTCTGGTATTAATGAATAATCATGTTTGGTTGTTATTAAAATCAAATATATCATTTATTGCATAAGATAGAAAAAATTGGACTACAACTTATGCGTTTTTTTTTTTTAAATTTTATGGATGAATTTTTCTCATAGATTTATCAATCCATTTTAAAAGCAGACAATACTTTTAAAATTTTCTTTCAGTTATTTTAAGCAATAACTAATAAATTATTATTCTTAGAATTAAAATATTTGATTCTGCTCATCCAAAGTTTACAATATATAAAGTTTGAATATTGGGTAATTGTTCCATATGAATTCTATTCAATATCTTCTCCTTTTGTAAGTTTATATTTTAATTTATTTCAATTTTTCTATATAATTTATAGAATTAATAGTATAATAAAGTAATATAATCATTAAAATTAGTTTAGAAAATTATAAATTACTCCTTCTTAATATTTTCAATTTTGAATTGACCTAATTCATGTAGATAAAATTTTAACATCATTTATTCTTATTTTGTGAATAGAAATTCAAGTTTGTTGAATTTTCAGCGAAAAACAGTCTTAAAATACTTTAGAACTTTAATTAGAATAAGCTGGGATAGGATAACGGAAAAAGAAAACAATTATGACATAATTCAATGTTTCAAGTCTTTTTTCTTGTGTATATAAAATTAATTTATTGGTTTTATTTTTGGTACATCGAAAATATTGTTAAATCTTAAAAAGTAGTGGTTCAATAGGGGATTCTATGGTGATCTGGCACTTTTCCTTACTATAATTGGCGGAAAAATAGCCTTATTCAGGTGTATCTTTTGTAAAAAGGTAGTTATGTTTGGATGAAAGATTTAGATGAATTTTTGAAGACTTATATAGGTCTACGTCAGCAATTTAAAGCAGAGATTGTATCTCATCCTTTGAGGTTGTCTTTGAATAACAAAAATTTTCCTTTAATCAAACAAATTTTTTCGTAACTCAATCCTATAAGATCATATTAATTCAATATTTGTTATTAAGTAAAAATAATTCATGAATAGAGTCTTGAATTCGCTGAGATATCTTTTGAATTAAGCTAAAAGTGTCAATTCTCTTCAATATTTAGTTTAGTTTTGAATTCTGAATCTACTTCTTATCTTTGTTAATGAATTTCTTGTTTTTGAAATTACTATATCTTCATGAAAGTAGGATTTTATCAACTTAATGAATTGTTTTTCGTTTAGTATGTGGTTATATTTGTTTTGTTTTTAAATAAATGTTTTGATTAACAATTAATAATCCTCTTCATCAATTTCACAATTAAATGTTTCCATTCTTTTCGAAAATATTTTCATTTGTTTAAAGATTTGAGATTTTGTATTTTTCAAATAATTATGTATTTAAATAAGTTAAAAAATAGTAATTAAAGGGAAATTTTTCTAAGCATTTTAAATTAAAAGGAAAACATATATCAATTAATTTTTTTTTGATCAAAGAGATATCAGGTCTAAATTCCCCGAAAATAATGCTTAAGCACTAAAATTGGTAGCATGTAAAAATGCACCTTATTAGTAATTATCATCACCAAATTTACTTTTGATTTGAGGTTTTACATTGTTTTTATAAGTATTATGCTTCCAAAAAGAAAATATTATATTTATCAAATTTACATTATCTAAGTTAAAATTTTTTGCACAGAAATTGAAGATTCCATTTTTTATTTTGAATAGAGCTTTTTAAATCCATATTGTTTATGACTAAAAAATACTATAGTATTATTTTAGAAAAATTTGATGCTCTACTAAAAATGATTCTGACAAAATATTAAGATAGAAATTTCATAATGGTAAAATGATACAGAATTTTAAGTTTAATATTATTGTTTTCATTCATTCATGGTCATCTAGCAAGTTTTATTTAATGTTTCATTCCAACATTTACATAGATCTTAGCTTTAAATGTTTTTCTTCAATTCTACCTTATTAAATGCAAGTGATAAATGCTCAATCATTTTAAGTAGAATTTGGGGTTTACTCCCAGCTGTACAAATCATAAATGATATTTTATTTCTTAATTCTTAACTTAATGATATATATTCAGCTAAACTCTTTTGAGAATACGAACCTTCCCCATCAGAATACAAGAGAATTTTTGTTCTAAATTAAATAAATTTTTTACTAATCAACATTTTTTTCGAATTTTTTTATTTAATCTAAACATAGTTTTAAAGGTGGGTCAAAATTTGTGATTCCTCCCACTAAGGTAATTTACTTAATCAATTTTGTTTTAGGCTTTTTAAATTCTATTTACAATGAGGCTTTATAATTGAATGAAATTATGCTCACCTTAGCGTATTTATTTGATTTAAGAAATTTGAGTTATTCTTTCAAACTTGTCATCATATTATCCCCTTTTTTTCCTTCCATCGAAAAAGAATCATCAAGAATAAAAATGTAGAAGATTTTCTATTTTTCCTTTTTATTAAAATCAATATTGGTATTAAGATTTTAACTTAATTATTTGCATATTAAATTTCCAATTCCATCATTCCAAATTTTGATCCATTTCAATTTCTTTTCTTTTATTTCTTTTGTATTTAAACTTGTAAAATTCCATTTTTGGTAAATTTTCTTCATTTCTTTCCATTTCATTTGCATTTGAGTTTCAAGAATATCAATGATTTAATCCTCTTTTATTTCTTCACAACTCTGTAAAGATGGCTTATTTCCTAACAGTATACCTTGCATTCCTGAAATTTAATAAAGAAATACCTCTTAAATAATGACCATTTTAACATGAATGAGGGATAAATTCAGGTTCGGAATCACATTTTCGATTACACATTGGACAACAATGAGTGCATCCAATCATTGCTTATTTTAATGAGTTTAAGCTTTCTTAAATTAAAAATTAAGTTAGGTTAAAGTTAATTGAACCAACTAATTTTAGGGTATCAAGTAAGGACTACAAAAATGGCTGAATTTCATTTATTTAGTTATCCATTGGATTTCTCAGGTTTATTAGTATATTTTATTTTCGTTTTTAGCAATGAATAAAGCAATCTTTGTATTAAACATCAATTTCTTCAATTTCTTTCTCGTTTTACTCATATTCCAAAAGATACTAAAAAACTAAATTAAATAATTTGATTTCAAGAAGGTTTTCTTGTTCTTTCTTTTGATTTTGATCTTTTATTTCATAGAATTTCTATTTAATAGATTTCTCAAAATAGTTTACAATATTAGGTTAATTAGAAAGGTTTTCCAACAGTTATTTAGCATTCATCTCTATTCTGTTAATAATAATTGCTAATTCTTGATTAAATTATTCTTAGTATTTTTATTAAATTTATTATGTTATATGCTTGATATATTTTTCTACATATGTTTAAATAAAGTTCAATTAATTTGTCAAATATTCCACAACTTATTCTTAATAATTCATCTCATTTATTAGTTCAATTTTTTACGCTTTGATAATTAATATATCATCCAAATTTTTTACTAAATTTTCATTTTATATCAACTCCCTCTTGATAAAATCTTCAATTTCAATTCTCTTATCTTAATAAAAAATCTATTAAGATTTTTCAATCAAATAATTAGCTAGTGATTCCCCTTTTTACCTGCTTTATTTGGATTTATGTTAATGTACCTCAAGTTTAAAGGATTCCCATGAATCATTTTTGCTTTTATCAACTAAATTTTCATTTTTTTCAAAATCTTTCCAAATCCTTAAACAATAGAATCTCCAGATTATGTGCAAACTGTAATAATATATGCATCTTTCTCCCAAATTAGATAACTAAACGCCGTATAAAGCAAATTATTTTTTGTATCGATTTACAGTAAATTCACTTACTTATTGCATCACTCTATAAATTATGTCTTTTGAGATAATATCTGTATTCTCTGGTAACTCTAACATTGAGTTTTTTATTTTATCATATATTTCGGAATATATGAAATTCCATTTTCCCTCTTTATTAAGCATATTATTAAATTCTACTTGAAAACTCTCCAAAAATTTGGATTTTTTAGGATAGGTGATATAATTGAGTAGATCAGCTGGTAATTTTTTACTTTCTACTTTACAGCATTCGTACTGTAAAATTATATGTTTTTCTCTCAAAACATTTATTTCTTATGTATCCCATATAATATTTTTACGACATTGGATTTTCGATTTAAAATAATTTTTAAATAATTTTAGATCCGCTTCTGAAAATTAAAATTACCTATCTAAATTATTAAAGTTAAATGTTTATATAAATTAATAACAAGAATTTGAATATCCTTCATTGTTGTTTTTGCGAGAACATTAAAGGATACTATTTTTTTTAACTTAATCATACTCCACTTAAAATAAATCAAGAATTTTCAATAAATCGTTAGTCTTTGTAAGGTCAATCTTTTAAAGATCTTCTTAAAAATCTATTTAAAAATAGGTTTTTATTTCTGTTTTAGATACCAAACTTATATTAAAAATTACTTTAAATATTTACTCTAGAGCTAAGAGTGAGCCTGAAGATTTTTCAATTTTTTATTCTATGCTCAGATTTTAGAAATTCACATTAAATATGTCCTTCTATGGCAATTTAGTAAATTAATTTTGCATTAGTGTTTATGAGTATTACTAAAAAATTTTGTCTTTTTCTTCCTCGTTATAATCAAATTTATTTATTTTTTCATGAAAAAAACTTTAAAAGTTATTATCGTTAGGAATAGTTAATTAATATTCTTAAAAATAACTTTTGATTTGTTTAAGCGATGCAGTTTAAATTTCATCATATTTAAGTTTTCTTTATTACTAATATTTAATTTTTATATTCCCCCAAATGATGTTGAATTATTCTATCATTAAACTTTCATTAGTTTATAATTACATTCTAGATTTTGGACTTAATTAATTGATGTACTTGTTGATTTCCCGAAAACCTCGACTTTTTTAATATTCGATTTCTTAATTTTAAATTTATTCAATTATAGAAAAAGTACATTCTGTTTACAGGTTATGAATTTCATTTTATAATTTAATTACAAATTTTTAATATATATTTTTTTAAATGTTTTTTTCCTCTTTGAATTGATTTAGCCTTTCTTCTAACATTTTGAGTATGTTTTCGCAATCAATAGATAACTTTTATTCTAATTCATATTAAATTTCTTATAGGTTTTTGACATTTAAATCAAAATGTAATTATTCGATTTTCTATTTTATTAGAGTTGGTATTTAAGATTTGAAAGTTAATTTATTTTCATTCCAAAGTTAATAATAAAATTTTGAAATTAGTTAGTTTTATTATAATGAGATCAATTCTGAAAATTCCAACAAGTCTGGTAATTTTGAAATTGTTTCCCACATTTTATATGAATTTAAAAAAAAATTTTCTAGTAATTATCCACAAACACTTTACTATTTTTTTTTGCACTTTTCAATATAATTTTCTATTACTTTTATACCATATTTGTAAGCATCTTTAGAATATGATTCATTTGGAATAAGATATTTCCAAATTTATTGCAATTCTTCGATATTCCAGGTTTCTAATATTGCTGTGGTACTTAAAATTTGTATATTTTCCTTTTTAATTTCTATTAACTCTAATATATCCTATTATTACTCTTTATTTTTTCCAAATTAACCGTTATCGTGAAATAATTACGTTGTTAATTAAGTTAATTGATCAATAAATGGCTATTTATTTTAAGTATCGATATTTTAGTTGAAACACCAACTTATTTATTTTGTATTTGATAATGCATTTTAAATTTAAGCCAAAGAATAAATACATATTTCAACAAGATTTTTAAATTAAGAATTAATCTCACCCTTAACATTAATTAAAATGATATCACAGATAGCAAATATAAATAGGGAAATCCTTTTATCGAATAGAGGATCTTTTTAATTTGGACTCTATAATCCTTCCGTATCTAATATTAATATAAAATCAAACTAATTTTCAAATATAGAATTTTTTTTTACTTCAATCATTTGAAAGTATATCCCTTTAGTCGATTTTCCCACACTTGAGAAAAAATTGCATCCAAAAATCTTGTTTAAGATTGTAGATTTACCTGAACTTTAAGGTCCCAAGATTCCAATAACAAGAATTTTATTGTTTTTACTCATTTTTTCAAAACTTTTTACAACAAATTCAAAAAAATTAATATTCATTTAGAATTATTCTCCATCTAATAATTCAAATGTTTCACCTTTCATTAATAATTTTACTAGTAAATCTGCCACTTCTTGGCATTAATTTATTAAAAAACTTTGTTTGATATATTCTCTCCAAAATATATCAATATTAAGACTTTTAGATTAAAGTTCTTTTTCACATTCTTCAAATTCTTATTTTATTTTTTTAAATCCTTCTTTATCCTCTATATTTTCTACTTTGTAAACTTGAAGTTTATCTAATAAAATTTAGTGTTTTGTCCATAAATTTTTGGTAGATTCTCTAGTCAAATCATGGATAGCTGAAATTAAAGTTATGTATGAAGTATAATTTTCAGAACAAATTAATTCTTTAAATATTTTTAAAAGCTCAGTTGGGCTTTTTAGCTATTTTTATGAAGTTTAACAATTTTGAATTTTTTACTAAAGCTCTTTGATTTCCTTGGTTTAACAAAATTGGGAGGCTTCAAAAAGTTGTGATTCTTTTTCCTGCATTTCTTTTATAATTTCATCAAAATGTCTTTAAGGAAAAGCTTTTGAGTTATAAAATCCTTTTGGATTATTAAAAAAGTTTTTTGCTTCATCTTCGATTTTTTACACTAAAATATTGAACTTTTTTAATTCTTCCTGATCCTCATTATTTAAAATCTAAATAAAATTTTCCTTATTAAATGGCTTGAATTTCTCGTGATTCACAATTTATTAAAAAATTTATATCTGCACAAGCTTAATTTGTTATTAAATCAACTAATTGCTTAGACCTTTTGAGGATAAATTCTAAATTTATTAAATTTAGATATTACTTTTGATTAATTCTTTTTGGAGAGGTTAGTCAATTTATTTACTTTTTGAGTTTCTTACAATTAATTAAATCTTATGATTTATTATTTTGATTTTACTATTTATGTTTCTAATATTTTCAAGATTCTCTTTTAATTCTTCTTCAGTATCCATCTATATTATCCAAAAACTGAATAATGGCAATATTTTCAACAACAAGCTTTATGGAATATACCCATGAGTGTCAGCAATTAATAAATTTCTAGATCCATTAAACTCCTTGTCAAGCATCAGATCGATAGTATTTCTATTTAAATTATTAGTATCTTAAATATTAAATTTATCTTTTCGAAAAAATACTTTATTGATTAATTCAGTCTTACCAATTTATTTTTAAGATTTACTGAAAGAGAAGTTGATAATGCTGTATTGATTTTATAATAAGAAATAAATGTTAGGATTGATCAAATATAAATCGTCCTCTACTAAAATATTATCCACATTTGGATTTTAATAAACAAAGGGAATAGGATGATTAAAGGATAAGTTTTTTAATAGTAGCATTTGAAGTTATTTATCAGAATTATTATATAAAATTTAAAAGATAACTTTGAAATTCATAAATTCTATGTTTTCATTACCTATATTTTTATTCACTTAATCAAGCAATTGCTCTATTGATTCTCCTCTTTTAATAATATCAAATAAAAAAGGAAGAAGAGACAAAAAATATTCTTTGTTATTTAAATCAAATACCCAATTAATTATTTAATTGTTTTTTTTCTATTCAGTTCTAGAAAGAATAAATTATTCAATTAATATATTCATTTTATTAGGATATTTTTCATGTATTTTCTTATGTTGAAAGAATTTAGATGAAATTTAAAAATCAGTAATATCTTTAAATTATTCATAACATTAATCATAAATTTCTTTATCTAGCATGAAGAGTTCATAACAACATTATTTAAAAATATCTAAATTTCTATTTTTTTTGAAAAACTAAATTTTGATCACAATATTAATAATTTAGCTTTGGATCTCATTATTTTTAAAGCAATGATATAACATCAAAAATTGATCCCCATAATCTTTTCCACCAAGAGTTAATAAAAATTTACAATTCCTTTATTTTCCTGATTAAACCTCTTTAAAATTGAAATACAAATCATTAAAAATATCCTCTAATATTTTAATACATTCATCTACATTATGTAGAGAATTGTTCAAAATAATAGATTTCAGTTTAACACAATTTTCAATACATTGGAATGATTATAAATCTTCAAATTAATCTCTAAAAATTTTGACATTCTAAATTTTAGGTTAATCTTTAATTATGATAAGATCCAATATATCTAGTATTAAATAATATAATGTATTATCCATTCTTTTATTTAAACTTTAAAGCTTTTATAGGAAAATAATTAATTCTGATTCCTAATTAGGAATACTTATTAAAATTTCAAAAATAGTATCATTTTGAGTATTAATCCAAAGTATTTAAATGAAATGCTTTAAGCCTTAATTTTTTTCAGCAAATCTAATTTGGTAAAAGTGAAGTTCTTGAAGTTGCTCCAAAAATTGGATGAAATTTGCTTATTAATCAATCTTATCATTTATATTTAAATCCATATGAAAGCATTAATTAAATATTCTTGAAAAGTAGTTTGAAATATTTTAAATTTGATATTCATCTGAATTTCTTTCTTTTGGCTCTTTTTTAAAAAAATATTATCTATTAGATTTGTAAAAAATGATTTTATTCATCAAAAACTTATGAATGGAATCCTATTCTTAATTATCTTTTTAATACTATTTTAATTTAGTTTGAAAAATTCTTTCCTTGAATTTATCTTCAACTTTTACAAATTTTTCTGAGATTTCTTAATGAAAATTAACAATCTTATTATGATGCTTTATCCAAAAATAAAAAGTGATTGCAAAATAAATTGAATCTAGAGACAAATTACAACAAATTTACCTCTTTAGTGTCTCTTAAAAAATTGTTAATACTCCTTATTAATCGTTATTTTTATTAGTATCATCATTATTAAGTTTTCTAAGTTCCTATCCTAAGAATTTAATTAAGTCTTCCTTTATTTTAATTAGATCTAAACAAAGAAGTTCATTTAAGAATTTCTAATTTTATTAAGTTGTAAATTGACTTTATTCTTATTCTTAGATCCAATCAATATAGGACTAAAATTAAGTACATTGCCGTATTGAAATAGATCCAATAATTTATTGTAACTTATCCTCAGTATCATCGATAAATAATGTTAGTAGGTTTATTAGTTAAATTTAAGTTAGCTATTTTAATCCTTACTAATATTCATTATAATCAAATAGTAGATGTATTTTTTATTTTTGAGTATTTAATATAGTCTCAAGAAAATCTTTACTAGAGGCTATTTAGGTTGGAATCTTATTGACTAATATGAATTTTTCATTTGTAAGTTTATTTAAGATCTTCCTGTATTCTTTATTTTTACGTGCATCTAAATAATATTAATTTTCATTTAATTCACGTGATTTATACTACTGTTTTTCGCAATTTTCATCTAAGATGTTATATAAAAAGTCAAGTTTGGTGTGATCCTACTTAACCTCAAACAAATATGATATTGCCTTCTTTTTCATTTCGTTATTCAAATTTATAAGTATATTATCGTTGAGAAAATCATTTATTTCTTCCTCTCTTTATAATATATCATCATGAACAAGTTATAAAAAAGCTTCAAGCCCATCCTTTATTTTTGAAAAATTTTCAATTTCACTCTAATTATGAAGTTTTCCAAAGGTCTATGAATTTTATTAAATAATTTCATCAATTCCATCATCTTATCATAATGAAATTCATATTTACCTTATTGCATAATTATATTATGAATTTCTTATTCTTTTTAACTCTACATCATTTTATCACTAAAAATTTTATTTAATAATAGAATTACCTAATATGAAATTAAATTGAAAAATAAATCATTATACATGTATTAAAAGTATTATTTTATCAAGTATCCTTCTTTTCAATCTCAAGAAATAAAGTAATTTTAAAAACTTACTCTACAAGGTAATAAAATAAGGGAAAAACCAGCACATCAATACAATTTGGATTAAGTAACAGAAAATACAATTTATAATATCTATTTAATGGATAATTTTCATCATTCTGGGTTTATTAAAGTTATAAAAGGGTATTTTAGCCTTTTGAAGTACCTAAATATCTTACTAAATTTTTTAATATTGATACGAATAAGATTACTTAAATTTTGATCTCATAATAATTAAATATCATAAATTGCTTAAAATTCAAAATATATATTCGAGATAGGCTTTTGATCTAAATGGTTGGATATCTAATACTTTTTTTGATCGATGCTAACTGATCAATAATAGGTTTAGATAATTTGGGATTTTTATAAAAATAAGTTCTAAAACTTTAATAATATTATTTATTATCAAATATATAATAAATTAGGATGAAAATTTGGTTAATGGGAAAATAGTAAAATTAAAACAAATCCAATAATTTCGATTCCATAGCAGAAACTAATTTAGAAATTACTGAGTAGGAAAAATACTTTCGAAGAATTAAACTGATTATTTTAAAATGAGAATTTTAATTCAAATCTCTATTTACATAAGGCTTCAATAAATAAAAATAATCTTAGTTATTAAATAAATCAAGATTGATTTAACATCTTAATATATTATTCAATATTCATTAAAATAATATTATCATTTATATACTTCCTTTCATATTAATTTGATGCATTAGATGAAAATAGTACAATTTTCAAGATTTTTTAAATAGTTTATATGAATTATATGTCAATTGTTATTTTACAGTAGGATAAATAAGATTAATCAGGTTTATTAATACGATTTCTTTTAGCTGACTACTATGAGTTAATATTATTATATGCAATCCATCGTGATTGCTAAGAATTTTGTATTATTCTTTAATAATTATTGATTATTCATAAAAAATTTGATATACTAGATTAAATACCAATTTTTCCATCTCACCCAAAATTTAATAAATAAACTATTCAGTTAAATATTTGAAAAATTAGTATATTCTAAATTTTAGGAGCGCTCAATTTAATGTATTCATAATTATTACAGTTTAAAAGTAATCCTAAAAGTTTGAATAATTAATTGTAGAAATCTATTTTTTCCTTTTTTGGTTTCTTTCAATAGATTTCTAAAAGCATCCTTAAACTTACCCGTGTTAATTAACATTCGATCATAAAATTTTCAAAGAATATGTCACTTTTTCTATTACTATTTGATATTCGACAAATAATTCTAACGATCGATTTTATTATAATTTTTCTCTACCTAATGCGAATTCTTCTCCAAAACTATACCCTAAATTGAATTTAAAATAGTCTCAAATCTTATTGCAATTTTTTAAGATTTTAATCTATCATCATCGAAATCTTGTTGAATTAATTATCTTATAAAAATAAAATTCTAATGTAAATTATCGAAATTCTTTGACAAAAATTAATTTCTTGGATAATGATCATTTATATATATTAAAATTAACAATCAAAAAAAATTAAAAAGATATTAAAATGTTAAAAAAACTAAATCGAAAGATTAGTCTCTGTTGAAATTAATTTGAATTTGAAAAGTCAAATATAAATTTGGGCATAAATACNAAAATAAGTTCTAAAACTTTAATAATATTATTTATTATCAAATATATAATAAATTAGGATGAAAATTTGGTTAATGGGAAAATAGTAAAATTAAAACAAATCCAATAATTTCGATTCCATAGCAGAAACTAATTTAGAAATTACTGAGTAGGAAAAATACTTTCGAAGAATTAAACTGATTATTTTAAAATGAGAATTTTAATTCAAATCTCTATTTACATAAGGCTTCAATAAATAAAAATAATCTTAGTTATTAAATAAATCAAGATTGATTTAACATCTTAATATATTATTCAATATTCATTAAAATAATATTATCATTTATATACTTCCTTTCATATTAATTTGATGCATTAGATGAAAATAGTACAATTTTCAAGATTTTTTAAATAGTTTATATGAATTATATGTCAATTGTTATTTTACAGTAGGATAAATAAGATTAATCAGGTTTATTAATACGATTTCTTTTAGCTGACTACTATGAGTTAATATTATTATATGCAATCCATCGTGATTGCTAAGAATTTTGTATTATTCTTTAATAATTATTGATTATTCATAAAAAATTTGATATACTAGATTAAATACCAATTTTTCCATCTCACCCAAAATTTAATAAATAAACTATTCAGTTAAATATTTGAAAAATTAGTATATTCTAAATTTTAGGAGCGCTCAATTTAATGTATTCATAATTATTACAGTTTAAAAGTAATCCTAAAAGTTTGAATAATTAATTGTAGAAATCTATTTTTTCCTTTTTTGGTTTCTTTCAATAGATTTCTAAAAGCATCCTTAAACTTACCCGTGTTAATTAACATTCGATCATAAAATTTTCAAAGAATATGTCACTTTTTCTATTACTATTTGATATTCGACAAATAATTCTAACGATCGATTTTATTATAATTTTTCTCTACCTAATGCGAATTCTTCTCCAAAACTATACCCTAAATTGAATTTAAAATAGTCTCAAATCTTATTGCAATTTTTTAAGATTTTAATCTATCATCATCGAAATCTTGTTGAATTAATTATCTTATAAAAATAAAATTCTAATGTAAATTATCGAAATTCTTTGACAAAAATTAATTTCTTGGATAATGATCATTTATATATATTAAAATTAACAATCAAAAAAAATTAAAAAGATATTAAAATGTTAAAAAAACTAAATCGAAAGATTAGTCTCTGTTGAAATTAATTTGAATTTGAAAAGTCAAATATAAATTTGGGCATAAATACATTCTTATTATTATTATTTTTAAGATTCTCGATTAATGCAAATAGATTTTTTTAATCGAATTACAAAACACTAGCTCTGAAAAATATTAGAATTTATATAAAAACTATAATAATTCTGATTCAAAAAAATACATTTATGAAATAAATTAATAATTTCAAAATAAAACCATTTAAGAAAATATCAATTTTTAATGATCTGACAATAGAATAATAATGAAATATTGTATTCCTCAAATAATTATTGATAAATTCTTATTATAATTATAATATGGAACACCCTTGAAAAACACAAATTTAATCAAATAATTAAAATCAAATTAGTTTCTTTTCAATGAAAATTCATATAATAATATAATATTTAAATTAATGTAACCATCCAGCCAAAGCTTAGAAGGGTATTAGGAAATTAGAATGAAATTCTCAAGTTCATGGACATTTATGCTTACATCATTAGGATTTGCAGCTGGTTTTGGAAGTGTTTGGAGATTTCCATATCGTATAATATTGATAATAAAATATTGTTTAGTTGTATTTAAGAATGGAGGAGGGACATTCTTAATACCATACTTTATTTTGGTTTTTACTTTAGCTATTCCATTATTTTTTTTAGAAGTTGGTTTGGGGCAATGCAAAGGGATTGGAATGGCACATTTATTAGACTTAGAAAAACCAAAGTTAAGAGGATTTGGATATGTTGGAATAGTAATTTGTGCATATATATCTACTTATTATGTAAAAACTTTGAAATAATTGTAGAATTTAATAATGGCATATTCTTTGAGATATTTGTGGGAATCGTTTAAATACCCTATTCCATGGTTAGCGAGCATAGTTGAATAGAATACGCCATTTTCAAGAGATTACTTCTATGATTCTATAGTTTAGATGTCCACCTCAATTACTGATTTAAGTAATTAAAATAAAATACAATAGATCATATTATTTGGAGTCTGTTTATAGCATACATAGTTTCTTTAATAATTGTTTACTTTTGTATAAAGTACATATTGATTGTTATAGTATTAGAGAAGGAGTTGAAACTTCAGGAAAGGTAGCTATAGTGACAGCCACTTCCCCTTATGTTTTATTATTGATTTTATTAATAAGAGGCTTATTGTTAGAGGGTTCAAGTGAAGGAATTTATTATTTATTTAAACCAGACTTTGTGAAACTATTTAATCCTTCAGTTTGGGTAGATGCTGCTAATTAGGTTATCTTTTAAATGTCAGTTGGACAAGCTATTCTTTGTTTATATGGTAGTTATAGAAAAAAAGAGGATAATTTACCTAATTTTTCTTTTGCTATTCCATTATTAACTGCATTATGTGGAATGTTAGCCGGTTTAGTCGTATTCAGTTATATAGGACATGTTAGTTTAAAATTCAATATACCAATTTCATAATTACCTGTATTTATGAGAACGATAATTAGTTATCTGGTCCTGATTTGGCATTTGTTTTATACCCAGCAATTTTAGCTTAGATGCCAATGCCAAACTTATGGTGCATTTTATTCTTTTTAGTATTATTATTGTTGGGAATTGATACTCAATTTGGATTTGTAGATGGAATCGCAGGGACAATTGAGGATATTTATTTAGGGGAGGTGATCGTTTTGGGATATAAATTGACTGTTCAATAAGTTAGATTATGTGTTTGCAGTATATTAGGAGTAATAGGTTTAATCTATTGCACAGATGTTGGATTTTATTTATTGAGTTTTGTGGATACTTTTGGAACTAATGTTTCTTTTATGTTGGGAGTATTATTTGAAGTGTTTTACTTTGGATCAAAAGAGAGATTTGAATAATTGAAGAAGGATTTAGAGTAATATGGGAATCATGTGCCTTGGCTAATTGAATTTTCATTAACCAAACTATGTCATTATACAGTTATTGTGTTACTCATAATATCGGTTATCTCATAAATGAAAAGTTCTCTTGATTATTCATTTTATGTTGTTCTGATCGGATGGTTCATCTCATTTTCTCCATTTATTGCTGCCATTAAGATTTATTTAGAGTAATTACATTGTTAATGTATTTCATAGGAATCGCAATAGGATTGACATGAGCAAGACTGATTTGGATATAGAGTTACTGACAAAACAAGTATAATAGTGATTTTTTTAATATTATCGTGTAACCATTTCATATTTATAAAATCACAATATTATATTATAAGTAGTTAAATTAGAATGGGAGCAAATTGTTCAAATTGCAATTAATGTTAAAAAGATAAAATGGAATTAAATAACGAAGTAGAGGTTACGAAAAAGTCAGATAGTCATAAAGCATCATCCTTTTCCCAACAATCATCGAACAGTTTAATCGATGGTGTAATTAAATTGAAATTATTGAAAGAATGATTTAAAGTAGACAAAGTGCACTCCTAAAGAATAAAAGAACACGAAGTTTTCCGTATTTTCAGACGATCAAGAGAAAGAAAAAAGTCAACAGAATAAACTAAACGACAAGGCAATTGTGATATAGAAAAATTGGAAAGCTCATAAAGCCAGAGAAAGCTACAAGGAAGTCAAGAAATCATTGTCAGAATCCTAAAAGGCGAATGACAAACAACAATAATAATAATAATAAAATGATTAAGCTACAGTAGCCAGTAAGGATAAAAAGAAATACTTTAATTCATTAGAATTTGGAAGTACTATTAGAATTTATTAAAATAGTAAATAATGCGAATAATGTTTAATCGAGGGAGAAACGACCTCTATTTGTATTTAAGAGTGGTGCAACTTATGAAGGAGAATGGGTAGGGAACAAAAGGGATGGCAAAGGAGTATAGATATGGCCTGATGGAGCTAGATATGATGGAGAATGGGTAGATAATAAAGCATGTGGAAAGGGCAGTTTCTATCATGTGGATGGTGATTCCTATATTGGAGAATGGGCAGATGATAGAGCCAATGGTTATGGAGTGTATAGATAAAATAATGGAGCTGTATATGAAGGATATTGGCGTAATGATCAATAGCATGGGAAGGGAGAAGAGAAATGTAAGATCTTAATTTAGAAAATAGGGTCTGATTTGTCTAGTTATAAAGGGGATTACTTTGAGGGTAAGAAATAAGGGAAAGGAAAGTATATGTGGCCAGATGGGAGTTATTTTGAAGGAGATTGGTTTGAGAATAAGATAAATGGATATGTAATGATAGTGATGTTGATTTGTTTAGGGAGAATATTATTGGTCAGATGGGAGAATTTACAAAGGGTCATGGCAGAATAATAAGATGCATGGGGAAGGCGTATATTAATGGGCTGATGGGAGAATATATCATGGTTCTTATGTGGATGACAAAAAACAAGGAGTTGGGAAATATAAGTGGCCAGATGGGAGACAGTATGTTGGAGAATGGCATGATGGGAAACAACATGGAAAAGGAAAGTACATATTACCAGATGGGAAGACCAAATTTGGAGTATGGGATTAGGGAAGGAGATTAAGGTGGACTGAAGAATGAATTAATCAATAATATTTGTGATCATTTCTTTTTATAATGAGATTCATCTAAAATGTTGTTACACACTCCATGAATGGTTTTGCTAAAAGGATATTGATAAAAAAGTACCTTTTGGTTTACTAAGTTAATTAGGTAGCCTGTTTGGTATTATCATTTTAATTTTTATTAATAATCAATTTTTGGATATTGTACATTTTAATATAGGAGTAGCTGTTCTAAGATTTTAATAATGATTGGCTTTTATCAATGCCTCTCTCTTGTGATTATTGTGATTTGTTTCTGTCATCCTTCCTATTTGAAGGTGGATTGTGGATAGTGTTATTTTGATGAGAGACATTGTTCTTGAGTGGAAGTCCTTTGCCTGGAATATAACTTATATGTTGAGTGTTGGCACTTCTGCGTTCACGATTGATGGGTTCTTACGATGTATTTTTGTTGGGTATTTGTTGATCTTAATAGGTGATTAAATTTGATTAATGTTGACGATGATAGATCTGATTGCCCATAATATAAGATTTCTTAATGATGTTAGGACTTCCTTCTCGTTATTAAGAGGAATTGGAGGGTTTCTTCTCCATTTCTTTGGAAGATAAGAAATTTAATTGTAGAGTTGTTGCTTTGCGATCTTACTTTAAAGAATATTACAATCATTGTACTTCTATTTATTATTTCTCCAATTCGAGCTATTCAATCTTCTCTTGGAGATTATCAGCATAAAGTTTCATCTACTACTCTAACTACAATTATGCCAACTTTGATACCCTAACATGAGAACGAATTTCTGCTTCTGCCTTTTAGACAGCCTTCTCCAATTCATCATATTCGAGGCTTTTGTTTTGAGATACTAATTCGAGCAGTATGTAGATGTGAAGTTTGAGTGTATTAAGAATTTCCTATGTACTCTACTCCTTAGCTATTACTGGTTCTTGTCGAAGTGCGCTGCAAATCTACATAACCTTCTAAACACTTACGTCTGTCACCATCTGCAACAACTATTCATTGATACTCATTTGTGATAATTTAATATTAAATATGATATTTCACCATCATTTTAATAGATTTCTCGCTATAATCATTCTCATTATCTCATTCGTCCCCTCCAATATCTTATGAACTCTCAAATCTCTCACAACCCTACCATTATCCATTCATCAACATTATACCTTTCTATCTAATATTCCCTTAAATATCCATATCCTCCATGTAATTACAATGCATCATTGGCCACATCGAAACAACTATCCGTAGCATACCTTTTGGCCATACTCACATATAAACTCTTATCAATCTGATTTTAATCTAGTTTCATGGCAGCTTATCTCACGATCAATCTAGATGTTACTAAACTCGCTGCCATATCAGCTAATTTAAACTATAATCCTTAAAAACTAGAAAGTTACTATCCAAATTATTTGCGATCTTTTATTATTAAATTATAATTTAACCTTATAAATAATCCCTAGAAAGATCTAAAGCTAATGAAGCTCCTCCTAGAGAACATGATGAAATATTGATTCTACCTCCATCCAATGCACTCATCCCCATTTTGAAACCCTAACCTTCCTTCCCTACTAAGTTACTCTACGGTACTCTGACATTCTCTAAAATAACTCTAGTTGTTGGGGAAGCATGCCAACCCATTTTATCCTCCACTTTACCGAAAGACAGTCCAGGTGTATCTTTCTCAACTAGAATGCTTGAAACATCCTTCTCTGATGTCCTACAAACTATCAAATATAGGTCACTCACAGACCCTCCAGATATAAAACATTTTATTCCATTTATAATGTAATCTTTACCGTCCTCTCAATATTCTATATCATATACCTTCTTAGCATATGTCTCCATATTCTTGCTGTCACTCCCACTATTAGGTTCTGTCAAACAATATGCAACTAAAGCCTCAAAACTATTTATTCTAGGTATCCAAGTTTTCCTCTGGTCCTCTGTCCCGTAATTAGCCAATAAATAGGCGCAAAGATTTTACACTGCCAAAGTTGCCGTTGTAGTGATATCCCCATAGGATAGGGCCTCAAATATAACACTAGCTGAGAGGTGATCCAGTCCAACTCCACCTGTAATCATGAAATATCTATGTACCTAATTCTTATTTTACATAGATAGTTGCAAATCCCATATCACTTAATTCTTTTAGGACCTCTCTGGGAAGATAATTATTTTTATCCCAATCAGATGCATATGGTAGCATATTTTCTTTTGCAAAATCCAATGCCACCTTTTGTATTTGTTGATGTTCTTCATTGAGAAATGTAGTGTCATAAAGATATTTAAATCCAAAACGTGGAATATGATACGATATCCTATTACGTATTATTTACATTATAAATAAATATCTAAAAAATATAATAATCATTTATTTGGTTCACATTCCCCAATGCTTAACTAAGCCTTTCTCTTCACAGTACTTGAGGAACGCTTCCACAAAATCTACCAAGGGAATGTTCTTGTCTTGGAATCTATATAATACTTCAAATTAAAAAACATTAGAACTATAATTGTTGTTGGATAATAAAATCATATTAAATATACAGACTATGTTACCTATCATGTACTATTGATAACATTATCTAGAGAGTAGATGATAACATTGGAGAGGCTCTCAAAACTTTTGAATAGACTTGTCAGTTGATTTAGAATGAAATCAAACGTTCTTCGGTATTAATATGTTGTTAAAATGGACTAAATTGGAGTGCAGCCATAACTATTGCATATTTAATAAATGCTAAAAAGTGGCAATATGAGAAGGCCTTCTATTACATAAAATCTTTGAAAAGTTTGGTAAATCCATAGTTAGCTCTAAAAAAATAATTGATTTTATTCAATAACAAAATTCATAACACTAAAACCTTTAATCAAGAGAACAAGATGAATTAATCTAATTTAATTGTTCAATCAAAGTTCTAATAAAGGATTATAGAGTAAAATGAAAAATTGTAATATTTGAATGATTCCATATAATCTAGAGATGAAAGAAATTCAACCAATTCTAATTAATGTGATAAGACTCCTAATTTTTTTTCCCCAAAAAATACTCATATAAACAAGAAAACTATTGCATAATCTGAGACAAAAATAATGAAAAAGGAGACTATACCAAAATTAGCAAGACATTTAAGAAATTACACATTCTAAATTGAAGATGGAAATAATAATCTTAATCTTAATAATAATAATAATGCTAATAATTTTATTAATTAACCAATTATAAGTAACTCTCCAAAATTCAAAGAGGAAGAAGAACCTGTTGTTTTAAGGCATAGAAAAAGAAGATTTGCGCATAGAACTAAAAGTGCTATTAATAATGTTTGATTTTCAAAGTGTTTAAATTTATACACTTTTATTATTATTTTCTAAATGGTTCTAATAATCAGTATATTCGTTATATTATAATTTAAATTAAAAAATGTTAGATAATTACTAGTGTCCAAGCAAATAACATCATCTATAGAAAAATATGCAAAAGAAATACTAAGATGAATCAATTAATGATTCTAATTCAATTAAATTAACTCCCAACGTCAGAAATCAAATGTTGGGAGTATCCAAAATATCAGACATTAAAGTCTACAATGATTATTCTATTGATTCGCAGTTTTTTGATAAGAGCAGCATCCTGGAGTAATCGCTAGAATAAGAGCTGAGAATATGGAAAGAACAATACAAAGTTGATCCTCAAGTGGTCTAAAAAATAGAATTATGTATTATGATGATAGTTACATTCTAGAAATAAGAAATATTGATAATCAAATAACTTAATTGGCAACCTAATTTGAAATCTGCATCAATTTACAATAAAAAACCTAATCTTATTTTTAAGAATTTCAATAAATTGTCAAAGGAACAACTTTTACTAAGTTTTCGAGGTCTAACTGTAAAAAAACTGCCCTTAGAACAATCTTCTATTGTCCATTCTTAAATGCAATATGCTGGAAGTCCAAATCATCTAAATTCCCTTCCTCCAAATAAATTATTCCAATAGACCAGATAATTCAAATACACACAAATTATTCCAAGTATTTTCATTTTCTCTTAGCATAGGTATAAATTGTTTAAGAAAAACTTTGCAATTCCTAAATAGTTTAATGAAGAGTTTTTCTTTGCAATTGAAGGACGCAATGGATATCGATTAGAATTGATTGCAGAATCTAAATAAGAATAAGATTTATACATAAGAATCTTAAATCAATTAGTCGAAAATAATCAAAAATCTTTTAATAGCTCTTTTTTTATTGAGTAATACTCTTAAAATATCAACTAAATTAAAAAGGTAATAATTATTTATATTAAGACTTTTAGAATCTCGACACTTCCAAATTGTGTTTTATAGAGGCCATAGAAAAATTACAATATAATTTCATATAAAACACAACATCCTTATTGTAACATGAAAAAGAGAAGAATAGCTTATTAAAGAAGAGATCTTGTCATATCATAAATTAGAATAAATAATAAATTGATGAATTGGGTTAATAAAATCATTAATAAAAGAAAATGATTCAAGAATTATAATTACAGAAGGAATACTATGAATAAAGGATTGTACAATTATAGGAATTTTATAATGTAAGAACTATGCAGTTTAAAACCAGTTAAAGTCCCTAACTTTCATAAATCAATCAAATCTTGAAGGATATTATAGGATTAGATGGTGAAAACAGTGTATACAATGAATCTTTGATTGATGTACAAGTCTAATAAGTAGATTAGTATTAAGACTGTTTGAAAAATCTTAGAAAAGTTCAAGATATTTTAGTCAATTAATAAAACTTAGAAATAAACTTAAGAACAAAAATGGAAAAGTTATAAAGTGAAAATGCTAATTTGTAATAATAAATTAAAAAGTCATAAGCAGATATCAATGAATGTGAAGGTATAAATTAAATGTTGTAAAAAAAATTAATTGATTTTAATTTAAATATGGAATCAAAGGAAGAATAGTTTAATACTGTTATTAAGGAGATCTAGAGTTTAAAATAACACCTACCTTGTAGAATGAGCACATCATAGTCATAATCAGAATATTCAATTAAGCTGAATGAACAAGATCAAACACTTCTTAATTTTTATATTTAGATTATAGCATTTTTGTTTTTCATATTGGTTCCAGAAGAACTAAGCAATGAATTTGAATAAATTATGTAAGGATTCTTTGTTAAGATAAGTACAAAATATGGGGACTTGCTACAAATATCTTTATTAATAAAATAGATAAATAAAGTTTATCAGAATTTAGAATAGCAATACAAAAATAAAGTAGAATAATTGTTCAAAGAATAAATCTATCATTACTTCAATTATATTCAAAATTCTAATAAAAAAGGCATGTCTTCACCTACAAGCACTTAAAATTCAAATAAACTACTATTAGCGGATAAAACATTTTCATCTCCCAATAATAAGATATTCGTTAAGAACAGTGCTAAATTTTATAAGAGAGAAGCTTTTTAATCATTAGATCCTCAATAGATTAAATACTTATCATAATTAGTTAAATGAATATTGAAAATAAATATACACAATCATTTATATGCATTAAATTATCAAATGAACTAATTTTATATTTACAGCTTAAAAAGATTATCTTTTGTTTAATTCTCTTACGCTAAGTTAGTTTTTCGATTGAAATCTTTTCTAATAATTTATTCCTCTTAAAATAAATAGAAAATATTTACATATAAAATTATTTTGTTTCTTTTCATTAGTATTAGTTTAATTTTGATTAGATTAACTGACTAGAGTGTCTGATTCAATTTTAGTTTTCTTTCTAATATTTTAGTCTTTGATAGGCTATTTCTTTTATTCTACTTTGGAAAATTAATCTTCCAAAAATGAATCTAATTATTGAGTATTTTCAAGTTGCTTTTTGGGTTTAATTTCAAAATCAGCATACAGAGAATTTCTAACTTAATTTCTATTATATTTTTTATCTTAATAAACTTCTTCCTTTAATTCTTTAATTTTCAATTATTATTTTTTCAGATTTTAATCTTTTTCACTTACTTATTATTTTTAATTCTCATGTTTTTCTTTATTAATTTATTTTTAAGGTGATTAACTTCTACTTGATTCTAGATCACTAAGATCAGATTATAATTTTTATTAATTAGCTTCTTGAATGACTTAGTCATAAAGACCTCTAACATAAGGTTCTAATTTAATGTCAGACAATTTCTTAAAGATAGGTGTTTATTCTGTTCCTCTATTTTTTAATTATAATTGCTTCATGAATTTTTGTAATGTCGTTCTAATATTAGGATTTTCGATATCTGCTGTTTCAATAACATTACCTTCATCTAATTATTTAAAGAGCTAAAAAAAGTCTTCCAAGTCATCTTAATAGATTTTAAGGAATAACTTAAAGGTTTTCAGAACCTTTTACCTATCTATAAAGTTTTTATCTTTTTTATCCTTTTAGGCGAAGAACTTGGAACGCTTTTCACCTCTAAGTAAGAGTTACTCTTTTTTCTGTTTCTTCTTATTTTTTTTAATCTCTTTTTCTTTCTTTCTCCTTTTTTCAAGCTTTTCATTTTTTTTATGTTATCTATTTTCTTATTCCTCCATAAATTAAATTAATTAAATGAGGCCTTTTCATGTCAGAGGTACAGACAGAGCAATAATGACTGTGAAAATCAATCATGATGGAGATTTATTCTTTACTGCCTCGCAAGATGGTGGTATAAATTGTTGGTTGACAGAGACTGGTGAAAGGTATATCATAAGAGAGATAATAAATTAGATTAGGAAATTACAAAGCAAGTGGTGCAGTTAAGACATTAGACTTAACAGATAACAGTGAATTATTAGTTAGCGGTTCTTTGGAAGTAAATATTACTAATGAATATAAAAGGGTTCTGTTGATTTCTTTTAAATCAATGGAGGAAAGAGTCTTGGTAAATTAACTGCTGATATGAGAAAGGCCAAATGGGTTGAGTTCTCTTTTGGGGATGAAAATTTAATTATTGTAATTAGATTGGAAGCATAATGTATAGGTATATTAACCAATGACTTCAACAATCAATTATGAGACTCGAATTCTCAAAGTGCAAGAAATTTTAGATAAGATTAAATTGAGATAAACATAAGATGTTTTGGAAATTACAGACACTCTTGTGACTCCAGATAAATTCAAGACTACTCAAGCAAGTTGGGGATATTTGAATCAATCCATTGTAATGGCATCAACTGAAGGAGAACTATTATTGTTATCTTATCCATAAAGTATTTTAAGTCTAGATTATTCTTAGAGGAGGAAATTAGAAGAGTCTAAGTACATGATGGAGAAATCAAACAATTTACATTTTCTAAGGATTTTTCAATTTTGGCTACTGCTGCTAATGATGGATGCAAGATCTTTGATCCAGCTACGTTATAATAGTTGAGATACTTCAAATATGAAGTTCCTATGAATGCTGTTGCAATCTCACCATTATTTAATTCTGAACAAAAGCCAAAACCTCATTTGATAGTTGCTGGTGGTATTCCAGCAAGAGAAACAGCCAGAACCAAATTTTAAGGATTTGATATACATATTTGCAATGTTATTTATGAGGAAGAAGTAGGAAAATTATTAAGTATAATAAATTATTAAATTTATAGATCCAAATCAAATTGGACCTATCAACGCTTTGGCATTCTTCCCTGATGGGAAAGGGTTTATTACTGGAGAAGAGGGTGGATATTCTAGAGTCTATAAATTTGATTAGACTTATTGGGAAAATGATTTATTCAAGTGAATTTTAGATTTGTATATTTACGTACATTATAAAAAGAAAGTATCTGTAATTAAGTTATATATTTTAAATGGAATTTATGCATAATCTTGTATGAATCTTTGAATTTAGAATTTATTTAGTGTTCTATCCTTAAAATATGACATTAATGTTTTGAACAGTCATGATACTTTGTAATAAATTAAGAATATCAATAATTTTAAAAGGAATGCTTGTAATCAATTTTAGGAAATAGAAGATGTTAACTAATAAGTATATAAAAGATGCAGTTGTTTTTGTTATTGATTGAAAAAAATAGAAAATTATAATACTAATTAATAATATATGGAATTTAGGTTAAGTAAGGAGAATTCTCTTTATTTTAAGATATAAAATTCTAATATTATCAATTCCATCTGAGATTATAATTTTCTCCTCTTCTTTCTTTCTCATATTGTTCTGCCTCTTCCAACTTTTTCTTTTTAAATTCATATTCAATCTAGGCTGCTTGATTCATACCTCTTCTTTCTTGATTTTGTAATCTTTTTTCTGCAGCTTAAGCAATTAATTCCTATTTGTAATTAATTTGTTTACGTTTTAATTTGCATTTTAAGTTTGTTATTCACCTCCCCCAATCTAAATTCCTTTTCCTTTCATTTTAGCTTATGTTTCTAATAATTCAAGCATATAAGTACTTTTAGATTTCTACTAATAAGGGTCATTAGTTTGTTCTTTGGATCCACATACACATCCCATATTTTAAATTAATAAATAATAAATGTATTATATTCTTATATAATATCATCATCTTTTCTTTTGTAAACCTTTCATATACCTAATAAATGCTTATTTTCTGATAGTGCCATTTCCTTCGGGATCACAAGATTAGATTATATTTTGTAAATCTTCATCTTTTAAATTCTCATTACATTCAGATGCCATTTCTCTGAGGTCATCTATTGATATATAACCTAGTGTATTGAATTGACTAAGTACCTTTGTAATCTATATCAAATTGATAAAAGATATTCTCAAAATCATCATCAGTATCTTTTTCTCCTGGATTCATGGACATCATTCTTACAAACTCTCTAAATTCAATGATACCACTTTGATCTTAATCGAAGTCAGCAATCATTTGATAAATAATTTACTTTTTTGGTTAATATTTACCAGCACTAGCAAATGCCTTTCTCAAATCCATAGGTTGAATGACTCCATTGTTGTTAGAATCCAAAAAATCGAATATTTCCTTGTACAGAATGATATCTCTCTTGGTTGTTGATCCTGTTATATAATCGTTTGGATCGAATTTAGGTTCAGGAGGGATAAAAGTGGAATATGATTGATTAGGACTCAATTATTATGGAGGAGGAGCCAAATATTATGGATTTACTTTACTCTAAGGCAACGTAGGAACTGATGTTGTATTTTTCTTTCTATTCATTTTATTATTATATTTTTAATATATATATTAAGTATATTGATATTTTGATAATTAGGTTCAAGAATGCAATTATGGTGTTTTGGCATGTTATATTTATTGGTTATTTATAATAATAGTTACATTATTCATTATTCTTCGGTTTCATTCTGTTTAAGTGCCTGTATTAATTTGGATTCATCTCCCAGATCAAAGTCTTTTAAACTGAAATCACATTTATTTTGTCTGCCCATATCGGATGTAACACTCTTTGTGGAAGTTATAAATTTCATGAATTTGTTTTGTCTCTCCTTTCTTAACGTTGGTTCTTTGGATTCTTCGATTTGTTTGATGAGTTCATATTTCAGGAAACGAGACTCTTTATTAATCATCACAACTTACACTCTTCTTATCACAATTCATCATGGTTATACTTTTGATATTCAATCGGTTTTTTGATTCATCAATAAAACTACATCATTAAAGTATTGATTACTCTATCACTGATCTCACCAAAACTTCAGAACTAAATGCTCTACTTTACTTAATTGGACAATCACATATCAGAATATCTTTAAATTCTTCGTCATTCAATTATTATAAACTAATTAATTTCTATTTATTTATTTACCACTCTCTGAATCCGTTATAATATTAGAATAAATCTTTTTCTGACTAAATAAAATTGTTTATAATATTACTTCGAAAACCCTCACTCGATAATATGTTATACACCTATAATTATTCATTTCCAAATTTTGACTATACACTTGCTCATACTAAACTAGAGGATTAGCATCATTAATACTTCGACTTAAATTGTCATAAATCTATTGGATGATATTTTGCTGTAACGGTATTTTGTCTGGATTTATGTATAAACAAACTTTATTAATAAACCAAAAACATACTAACACTCTCTCCAGATTCTTTCTATATATCACCCAATTTAACCGTTATTTTCACATTCATATATTCCCTAAATATAACTAATTCATTATTCATAATGTGATTCTCCCTCTCTCTTGAAAGACAACACATCCCTTCCTGATTCCCCATTTACAATTATATTAAATTATTATTATAAATATACTAAATTTCATCAATAAACATACATCAAATATTAATATTAATTCCTCTTTACCTTTTACACCCTCAGCATTATTCTACAATCTATACCATACATAATATAAAATTTATCTATGATAATATTCATATATAATATTGTATAATTGAATTAGTTGAACACTTCAAATCCAATATATAATTTCTTTCAGCTTCTAAATTACAATCTTAATTTTTCAATAAAGTTCTTATTATTTATTGTCTAAACAAATCATGCATCATTAATTCTTAATTATTAAGTGGAGAGTATATAGGGGAATCTCAATCCCAAATGAATTTCTAAATGATCAATGCTTAAATTATATTTATTATGAAATATTCTTTCACAAATTATGCAATTTTCTTGTCTTAAAGGAATGTTTTGAAATATATTACTTTTGAATTTCATCTGACTTTCAATGTGTTATAACGCTAATTTTGATAACTCTAGTTTTTTTAATTGCTTTGTTATTTATTCATTGTTCAGAAATATAGATATAAAAATTAAATAAAATAAAAAAAATTATGAATAGGATCGCCAATGGTGTGATAGGACTTGCCTTGAAAAATTAGGCTTGCTTCAGTGCAGCCAAGAAAGCTAAGATGGAATTGACAATTAGAACTCCTTATCGAACAATATTGGACAAATTCGAAGGATTCTCAAGAATAGTGGCTAAAACAAATGAAGTAATAGTGTATTGTTATCAATTCGCAAGGCAGCTCTCATTATTCAAAATAGAACTCCTGCTGCTGTATATATATTACCTCCAGGCCCTTTGAAAATCAAATTTACTTAAGATGTTAAAGGAGTCACAGGTGACTTTTTGCATTTGGGTGGCTATGTGTTTGTGAATCCGTAATCAATATAAATCTAAATTAGTGACAATACTTGCGAAATCAATTTGATGGATGTTGTCGATAGAAAAGAAGCAAAAGTAGATTAATTTGACAAGGCTGATGTTAAAGATGCAGATACTGTTGCTGGAAGATATGCAGGAAAAATTAGGAGATCAGCATAACGTACATTTATTAAAAAAGCAACAGCATGATATTATTACATAAATAAATAAATAAATACATTTACAAGATGCTTTAAATCTAAGGGATATTCATTATTTAATAGCATATTTGCAAATTATTTTAGTGTTATTGAATAATGAATACAACCAAAACTTTATTGATTAATAGAGCTTTTTTCAAAGTCTAGAATAATTGATGTAATAGATAGGAAAATATAGAATCATTAAAAAATCATTAGATAATATAACTACAAAAATAAGTTGTCAAATTATTTATGAAATAATTAAATTTGTTAGAAAGAAATTTGAAAGATGTAAATAAAAATCTAAATTTAATGATTATTAAAGTCAATAGATAGAAAGTATTTTGAATTGGAGGCATCATTCATATATATTTATTATATTTGTATTTTGAAATAAATGATTCAAATAAATTAACTATAATAATTTTTGACGCCTATGATAAAAACTATAATACTGTTGTTATATATTGTTAGTAGACATAAAGTCAATAAAATGATGAAATCTTAGTCTATATGTATGTGTTTGCTTAAGAATGGCCAGGATCTATATGTAAATTTCAGAAGTGTACAAAAACATACGTGGGAAATTATGATAATGCTAGATGGAATACACATGGATTATGGCCTAATGCAATGTTAGAAACTACTTGTTGGATGATATTCAATTGAAGAGATGAGGACTATGATAAAGATAAATTATACTGTGGACATTAATTGATGTTAAAGATATATTAAATAATAATATTACTATACATGGAATTGCATGTATTCTGATACATTCACATTTAGAAAGTAAATTAGTATTACAATAATGTAGACATGAATGGTAGAAGCATGGAGCATGTCATCCAGACAATCTTACTTAAAATGGCTATATGTCAAGAGTTGGAAATCTTAATAATGAATATAATTAATATAAGATATTAGCATCAGCAGGAATCTATCCCGATGACGATAGATAATTAACGGATGCTGAAGTTAGAGCAGCATTTACAAAAGTATAAGGAATATCAACAGCAATGACATATTTTGTAGAATCATTAAAGAAATTAATAATTTAATAGTTAAATTTATAATACATGTTAAAAAAGATTGTAAATTACAATAATTAATTTAGCCGCAACTGGCAAATTTTATATTGCTGAATTAAGAACTTGTTTCACTTAAGCCATGAAGCCTAGAACTTGTGATTGTAGTAAACCTGTTAGTGCATTTGTAACTTGTGGAAAAACATTCTATAATCCAACTTTTCTACTATCTGTGGATGAATAAATTCAATTTGAAGAGATTCCTGACTAGAGTCATAGTTTCTTAAAGTGATATTGAATTTAATATTAATTATATTGATAATAATAAAATAGAATTTAATAAACATTTATGAATCACTGATATTATATCATTTGAACATATCAAATTATATTTTATTATACACAAATTGTTCAATTAATTTTATTACCAAATTTCTTGTTCTTTTTAAGCTGTAATAAATATTATTTTTATTATTAAATGATGTAAATTGATTTTCCTATTACCAATTGATTGAAAATATGATAAATATTTGGTGTATATGATTGAAAAACAGGAATGTTTAGTTATGAATATATTTGATAATAATATATAACAGTCTAATATTTAAAAATATTAATATTATTTGAATTAATATAAATAGTTGAATATAAGAGATGGATTCAAAGAAATTAAGTAAAATAATAGAGCTAATTTTCTTATCGATTGCTGTAATAATACATGAATAATATTTGAAAGTGGTTATCAGTACTAGCCTGTTTAATAAGAACAGATTTTAATTTTCCATTTGCTTTCTTTTGCTATTATTTATGGATTTCAAGAGATGACAAAGCCAATTCTTTAATGGTATTAATTGAATTGCTATATGATTAGTTGATGGTATTGAATGGAATCTTAATTTTGGTTGATTTAATTTGGTTGTTGTCAGTTGGATCAATATGGACAGCCACTGAAAAAAATAATCCGGTTTGGGGAAGATTACATGGTCTCCATGTATTTGTAATTTTCATTAGTATTGTAAATGCCTTATTAAAAGTAAAATGATTGATATATGTATAGGTTGGAGCAATTGTGGCAATAAATTCTTATAGAGGAAATTAACAATAAGTTGGTACTTGATAGATTATTACAATAGCTGGTCCTATTGGAACTCAGAATCCATAACAAAGTGGATTTAATGATATGTCTTAAAATAGATAACAACCATACGCGTAATTTTGATGAAATGAAATATTCAAAATTATATTAACTTTAAATAATAATTATATAAATAAAATTTAACAGTAAAAAATTATATGTCAATGTCATAGCAAAGATTTCAAACTCTAATGGGTTCTGATGATATTTCACAATTATGCAGTGGATTCATTAGATTTATTGAAGAAGTAATTGACTTTAAATTATTAAATTAGATTTTATTGCCAATTGCTAAATAAGATACTAAACAATTTCAAAATTGGACAAAGTTCAAGGAGATCATTGATCCATTTAATAAAAAAATTGAATTACAAAGAATTGAGTAATTTTTCTAATAATTTAATAATTCTAAGATAAATCAAGAAAATAAACCACCAACCCCAATCCTTAAAGATTAAACTAAAAACACCGTAAACATTCAAGACAGAAGCTATTCAATACCTCAGACGACAATCATTAAAACAATTAAAGAGGATTACGAAAATAAACTCAAAGAAATCACAGAATAAATTAATAAAACTTTTCATCAAAATAACACTCACTTAGATATACTTCTTAAGATGAACAACTCGACTCAAGAAGCCAAAAATAAATTAGAACTCAATAATAGTAACCAAAGGAATACTTCAATCACAAGAAGAGTAGAATATAAGAGAAGAAATACAGATTACTACTCATTTAAACCTATTAATATATAATGAATGTATATTTGTATATAACTAAAATATTTATACTGATCAAAACTCATCTTCAGGATTCTCTCCATCATCAAATCCTTCCTCCTCGTATTCTCTTTACTAAGATTATTGTTATAGAATTTATTTATTAGGAAATTAGAATAACTTTTGTTATTGTGGCTATTATTATTTTGATGTATTTAGTTCATCAACATCGACCTTCTTTTTATTTGCATAAAATATCTAATCATGTATCAATGTCACTATCTTTTCATTGTCTAATAATGTTTGAATTAATTTATCTCTATCTTCCTTCTCCAATTAATCCAATTTGTCTAAATTATCTACTATAAGATTTACTTTTATTATTCTTATTGAATATTCTAGCTTCTCCTTTGATTTGTATAATTTCTTCCTTTATATCATCGATGCACTTTCTTAAAATTACTTCTAATTCTGATTTACTTTGCATTTCCTTGATGTACAATTATTTCAATTCTCTCACTCTCTTTTATTCCTTTTTTAATGTTGATTGCAAAGATTTTATTGTTTTTTCATACCTTTACAAAGTTTATTGAATTGATTATGATCCTTGCAATTATTGTTATTGAATTTATGATGGATTTTTTGATAGTTATTCATCTTTATTTTATCGATTCTATGATTAGGCTGAATTCTTCACAGACCTAATTCTCACCTTAGCTTTACTTCCAGGTCGTACAATATCTTGATAAGATGGTTAATCAAAAGATTGATCATCTTATTCCACCTCATCCTTTTAAACTTCATTTAATAATTTCTCATATTATTATATTTATGATTTAAGAATGGCATTTTTTTTCTTTTTCATGATTAACTCTTTTAAAAGCATTTCTCTATCATTCTCTTATGTCTAATACTATATTTTTAATTCTTTATATTTTTACATCAGAGAATGATTTTCATTATCTATTTTTTAAGCTATGTTTTTAATCCATTCCAATTCACTAATCAATTAATTTTCTTTTTCAATATACTCCTAATCATTTTTACCTTTCTTAATTCTTTCCTCTTCAAATTGCTTCTTTATTTCATTAATTTTATTATTAAAAAATCTAATAATATCCCTCTCCTAATCCACCAATATTTTTGATGTTCTTAATTGAATATTGTTTATTCCCTCAATAATCTTATTGTGATCTTTGTAAATATTTTCCATTATTTTTCTATCTCCTTAATCCAAAGCTGTTTTAGCTCTTAATTCAGATTATAATTCCTCTATTGTTTTTCGATATTCAATTTCTCTATTAACAAATCTTTCCTATCTATTTTTTAGTTCTAATTCTAGTTAATTTGTTCTCATTTTTTCTTTTTCTAAAATTGCTTACAATTCTTAACACTTTAATATCCAATCTTATGCAGTCATTTCATTTTTTGTAATAACGGTACTCTATTAGATTTGCTTTTTCTTATTTTTTGGATCATTTGGATCGCCTTTCTTACCTTATAGATCAATTTACATTTTCGTCGGTTTTAACATTGCCTCAGGACTAACAACTAAAATTTAAATTGAAACTCACATTTTATTAATTCAGGAGTTGTTGATGCTAACCTGTCTTTAATTTCTTGTGTTTTTTGCTGGCTCTTGGTATTTTTTATATATAATTAGTCATCTTGTATTTTCTCCATTTATTTTATTGTTAAAATAAATAAAATCAAAATAATAAGCCTTAAAGTTAATTTATAATTCATTTATGTCTTATAAAACTCATACCTATCTATCCATTTTATGTAGTTCATTAAAGTCTGATATATAATACTAAACTATTTCTTAAAGAATTTTCAATATATTATAACATGTGTTTGCTAAACTAATAATTCAATCAAGATTAGATTATTTTGTAGGAATTCTGTCGAACCTATTTAATAATCAAGTTTCATTTAAATCTCACTAAATATTAGAACAAATTCTATTGTAATTATTAATTCAAAATATTTTCATCATTTAAATTTTATTGAATGTACTATTAATTATCAAAATGATTGGTTATTCTCTGAAAGTGATCAAGGTTTTACTATATCAATGACTAACTGAAGAGTGTATTTAATTTAGTTTAATTTAAAACAATCAAAGATGATATTTAGTATAAATTCTAACAATATGAAAATTTAAAATAAAAAAGAGAGTCTTTTAGCATATGAATGTATTCAACTATTAAAAAATGGTGTAATATTATTACTTCTAAAATTATGATATTATTGCGCAAGTGTGAACTAGAGGTGTTTATAAAGCAGATCTATCCAAATTAAATATTATACAAAATATCGATCTAGAAGATTGCTTAAATGGTCGAATTATATGAATATATTGTTGGAAAATGATAGGAGTATTTTTAGTTTGTCCTTAAAAAACCAATAATTGTTAATTATTAATTGATATTATGATTATAATTAATATTGATGAATTTAGAAACTCTAGACATTATGATTATTCTAATCAATATGTATTGAATCACAATTTCAAATTAGAATTGCATTAATAATAATAATGCTCTCCTATTTACATAGCCATATTCATAATAAAACACGCGAATCAAATATTTAACAATACAAGATCTAACCAATTATCCCTGTGGCATAAATTGACAAATATAAGATTACAAAAAAACAAAAAACAAAAACCTCAAAAGGAAAAGTATATTTTTACTTTACTTATTTTAAGTAAAAAGATGAATATTAATGCGATACTTGTTCATTTTCATTTACGTTGGACAGTCAAGAACAATGAATTTAAACAACATTTCTTTGATATATATAAATAACTCATTGTTGTTGTGATTCTAATTGCTTATTCAATTTCCTTTATTTGACAGACTATCTCCACACATAAATTATCAATCCCCATTTCACCATAACTTTAACTCCAAATAATAACACTAATCCCAAAAAACCTCCTTTATAATTAAATAAACTATCTATACTTGATTATGATATTTTGATGAACAAATTAAACCAGTTCTCATACTCTGTTAATTTGCCTTCAGTATTGATTGGAATAATCTTTGCTTTTGGATACTGCTGCATTAGCACTTTTTCATAAGTGCCTAATTCATCTACTAATCCAAGGTCTTTTGCTTCTTTTCCTAAAAACACATTATTCTCTAATTATTCCTTATTTATTTTTATTAATTCCTTTCTATTTGTCCAGCATTAGTCTGTTACCTATTTTGTTTTCGACCCATAATATTGGTCTAAATAATTCATGTCTTATAAAGTATTGGCTCTTATTGATTAGTTTACAACAAAATTGTGATTTACTATTTAACTCGATTAATATTACAATGTCTAATTGAATAAATCAAATATTTACATTTATCCCATAATTTTAAAGAAACTCTGCAAAATTTAGTTTATTTTTGTACATTTGTGTGAAACCAATCTTAGATGTATTTTAAGCATAAGATTTATTCCCCAATTACAACAATTGATAGGCATTGCCTAAACTTTGTTCAGTTGCAAATGTATAAAGAGGCAAGCCATTTAGATAGCTTTTGATTTTCTTGCTCAACACTTCAACTTAATATGGACAACCTCCTTGTGAATTTATAATTAATCCTAAAGCTATTACACTCCCTTTATTATAATGTTCCAACTGATGAGAAATTTTACTCACTCTATTACTTATAAATCTATTTCTTACAATTAAGAATTTATTGAACCCTGAATTCTTAATACAAGCACAGTTTTTTAGAAAAATATTTTTGAAATTAATTAACTCATAATAAATATAAATAAATGAAAAATGATAGTAAATTTATTTTCACACAACCTAAACAATTCTGTTTTGTTTTTAATTGTGTTAATTTTCATCAATTAAAATTATAATAAGATTTTCTTTTTATTATGAATTACTTCTAACAATTTTCCACCTGTTGTTATTTAAAATCTTATTTAATTCAGTTCGATTATTATTCATTTGAGAAACAGATCTCTGTTATCTATTAGCCTATGATATTAACATACAAGGTTAAATATTTTAATTTCGATTAGTTTCTAATTTTTCTATACTTCCTTACCTACTTAGAAATCTACATCTATCATGATTGTATTTGTGCCATTCCTTTCCATTGAACTTCTTTTTCAAAGGAGCAAACTGAGATTGTGTTTTTGTGAATTAGTTTGTAACTACATGTTCAAAAGTCTTATCATTTTACTTAAAATTGGATGGGATATATTATTTCTTTTTGAAAAGTTAAAGCATATTCTAATATTTGATATGTAATAGGTGATTTAACTATTTTGAATATTTATCTTAAATTTTGCAAACATCTTAGTGAATTACTCCATTTGTAGAATATCTTCGATGTATTTAGTGAGAGGATTTAAGCTCTTTGCTTAATTATCTAGTTTAATTATTCATACATGAGTTAACAGTTGGCTCAAGTGTAGAGATTTTTGACCCTTATAAATGCATTATTTTTTGATTAATTTACTTTATTTTATTATGAAATTACAATACTCAATCACATTTAGAAAAAAAATAATCTCAAATAGTTCACCATATCATACTGCGAATTGTCAAATACAATAGTGCGTAATAATTTAATAAAAGTAAATATAACTTATTGATTAATGATATTCTATATAAATTAAATTGTTAGTATTCATTACAATTTCATTGTCTCAAAATATCTGAAATCACATTCAAATTTCTTGTCCTTATTTTATATCCAATACTCAATTTTCTCATAAAATCTAACCTTCTTCTTGTTTGGGGATACATTTGATCTCAAAGTTCTATCTGTTAGAAAGTCATTTGACATTTAACGGGGTCTAATCGAATTAGACTTTACTCTGATTAGATTACCTTAATCCATTGACCCTTAAACATACCCATGCTGATAACGTTGCTAAACCCTTTTTTAAAGTAGATTTTGAGTTTAAGTATTTTCTAAGTTACATAATTTTGCTAACCTAGTAATATAACAAGTAGATTCAGAGTCGCTTCCAATTTTGTCTTATTTGAGTTTATTAGGATACAATCTTTAATAAGCTTGATGTAGTTCTTAAGGTTTGATACAATTTAATCTTGTTATAATGAGATTTTGTGAAGGGAAATTTACTTTACTTAACTAGAGATGTTGAAAAGTTTTGATGTAGGATGATTTACGAGTTCTAAATGATTCTGTCATAGAAATTTAATATAAATTTTAGTAAGTTTATATAAATCTTTAGTCAATTAAAAATAATTCACATTATCTGTTTGATTAAATGAGATTTTATTCGATCAAACATTCTAATTTCTACCAATTCATTGAATCTGACAGTCTTCTTTTTTTGCTGTTCCTCAATTAATTAGTCTTTAGAAGGACTAATTTACTTTAAATTCGATTTGGATCTTACCCTTTCAATATCTGATTTGGATCTCACAGGTCTCTAAATGTCTACTTAATTTTAAATAACAGAATTTTTTCGAAGTGTATTTATTAAGAATTTCTTATTATTTTCAGGATCATCTTTTGAAAATTGGATTTTTGAAGGTATTTTAATATTTATTTTCTTAAAATTAAACTTTATTTTTTTTGTATTACTAGTTGATCCACATACATTAAAGTCATATTGTTTGAGATGAATTTGTTTATTTCTATCTGAAACGATATTTAGTAATCCTTTTAATTTGTTATCTTCAAAAATTTTAGGTTTTATTGGTGATAGTGATCTTTCTTCTATTACTTTGTTCTTCTGTGATTTTTCGACTTTTAAAGGTTCAAAACGATAGAATTCTCTACTTGTTGCGACTGCTTTGGTTGTTGGGGATTCAAAAAATGGTTGATGATTACTCCTGGAACTCATTTATTACTTTGCATTTTAAGGAGATATGTAGGGTTCTTAAAAATACGTATTAAGTAATGGTATTCTGAATCCCTTTAACATATATTGAGGTTCATCAATTTATTAATGTTTGATTGCCATTGTATAGAGGTTGAAAAACACAATATAAAAATTTATAATTGGTAAGAAAAATAATTTATCAATAAAGTATTATTGATCAAGGCATTCCAAAAAACCTTGGTGTTTCAAGATCCAAATTGACATTTTCTTTAAGTTTTTGTTTACTATCTGAGATTGGCAAATTCAATTTTTTTTCGCCTTTCTGTTGTTCTGCAAAGACTTCATCTTAAGAGTGTTTCTGAGATGTGAAGCTTTTTTATTGTTAATTCTTATGTTAAACTTAGGATACAATTTATTTGACCTTGATTTCCTTTCTATTTCCATCAAGAATGTCTTTGAGCTTGATGACATCAATAGGATTATGAGTCACGTTCAAATCTTAGAATTTTAAAGATCTAAAAGAACTATTTGCCCGTAAGTTATCTTACTTTCCCTATTCTTAACTTCTTTAACTTTGTGGTTAGTCATGAAATTAGGCTAGACTTTGGTTCTTTTGCAGTTGTTCGCTTAAAAGAGGGTGTTGATTATGCTTGTTTTTCATGGCATTCTTATACATGGCCATCTTAGGAGAAATTGGAGTCTGTTGAGTATTATTCTTCATGTAATGTATTAGAGTTTAGTTTAATTATGTTATATAATAGAAATCCTATATTGATAAATAGATCTTTCCATAAAAAAGATCGTATGAGATATCAAATCATAATTCCATCATAATTTATGTTCCATTTTGTTAATAATTACGTTGTTATTAAGTAGATAATTAATGTTAATAATAGGATTACATAATTTTATTGACTTTCAGTTATTTAGTATTAAAAAATAACTACACATCAATATTTAATTTTAAATTTTATTGTCTTTTGATTTCTAAATTATATGAATTGATTCTCTTGAGAATGAGAATAAAAGAGAGTTATAGGAGTTGAAAAAGAGTCTGATCCCTTGAAGAGATTTTTTGAGATATTAAAGTAATTAATTATTATTTTAATGTTTATTTTGCTTTGCTTATTACATTTATAATAAGCAGAATCAAAAGTGATATATTTTTTGCCTCATTCTCATGATGATGTTGGTTGGTTGGATACAGTATGGAACATCTATGAATAGGGACCAGGAGTGAAAAATATTATATCATCATATTCAACTGCTTTATTAAACGATTCAGAGAGAAGATTTGTGTAGGTTGAAACAATATATTTTAAAAAATGGTACGAAGAATAAGATATTGATACTAAATAAAAGATTAAGCAATTGATCATTAATGGATAATTAGAGTTTGCAGCAGGAGGTTGGTCAATGAATGATGAAGCCACAACTTATTATGAAGATATAATCGACTCATTCACTGGAGGTCATACCTACTTATATGAATAATTTAGAATAATTCCAAGGGTAGGTTGGTAAATAGATCCTTTTGGACATTCATCAACTTTTGCTTACATTTCCTATATGATGGGAATGGATGGACAATATTTTGCAAGGATTGATCAAATAGATAAATCAGAGAGATTAAAGAATAAAACCTTGGAATTTATATGGAATCCAAAACCAGGAATTGAATTATTCTGTCATATTAATTATAGGCATTATTCAAGTCCTCCAGGATTTGATTTTGATCCTCTGAGATCTTCGCCTGAAATTTAATCTAATCAAATCAATTAAAAAGCGGATTAATTGCTGGAATATTTTGAATAGTAAGCTGCTTTTTATTAAGGTGAAACGATTGTACATACTTTAGGAGATGACAATGAATGGTCATCAGCAGAAAGTTATTTCAAAAATATTGAAAAGGTCATTGTTAATATCAATAAGAGAAATGGTACATCATAAATTAGATTTTCAACTCCCCATCAGTATTTAAAAAGATTAAATCAATAATAATTATCATATTCTGTTAAATATGATGATTTCTTTCCCTACTCAGATAATTATCAATCCTACTGGACTGGTTATTATACTTCCAGAATTAGTTTTAAAGGGTATGTTAGATAACTAAGTAAGGAATTCCAACAAATAAAAACTTTCTTATCTAAATAAATTTCGTATAATAACATTAAGGATGAGGATGATTTATTGTAACTATTATAGAATCATAATTAAAATATGGGTATTGTATAACACCACGATGCAATTACTGGAACTGCAAAATAATTTGTTAATGATGATTACATTAAATTATTACAATAATCATCAACCCTTTTGGATTAATACATGAGAAAACATGTCTCAATATTAGCTGAATAAGAATTAGAGTACAAGAATTATGAATTTCACACATGTTATTACAATAAAACTATATCTGAATGTAAATAATTGGACGTGTGGTTAAACTCAAACAAAACTGTACTCTTAGCCTTACTGATGAATTAAAATAGGATCATTAAATTACCTGTTCCTAATCTTCATTACACAGTCTTAGATGAAAACAATGTATCTCTCAATTGCACTTTATTATGTGATAATCAAGAATGTGTATTATATTTCATTGTTGATGAGGACAACATCGAAGAAACTCAGTTTTACAAAATAATACCATCAAAAGATAAACATCCACCTAATACAAAAAGAATTGAAATTACTCTAAACGATGATACTGATCTATCTAAATTCCTAAATCCTTAAACAATAACCACCAACTATTTTAAATTAACTTATGCTTATTATAAATCTTCTTCTGATTATAAATAACCAAGTGGAGCCTATATTTTTAGACCTGATGGATAACTTAATCCCTATGGTAGCATTATACATTCTTCTATACATTATGATGACATTGTTACTGAGTTAATTATTAAGAGAAGTGATGTAATTACTAAAATTAGAAAATATCAACATTTAAATGATGAATATGAAATAGAGACATTTCTAAATTCAGTTGATTTCATCAATAGATCAGGTAAGGAAGTAGTAATGTTAATCGACACAGGAATATAAAACAATGATATATTTTATACTGATAGCAATGGGTTGGATTTGTAAAAGAGAGTTAAGAACTTTAGAGAAACATTTAACTTAGTCAGTACAGAGCCTGTTTCATAAAATTACTATCCAGTAACAAATATGATATTGCTAAACTAAACTAATGGTTAATCTGTGGCTGTTATTAATGATAGATCCTAAGGTGGTACAAGCTTAAACCAAGGGCAAATTGAATTAATGATTCAGAGAAGAATCGGAACTGATGATAGAAGAGGAGTTGGAGAAGCCTTAAAGGAAGACATTGAAGATCCAAAATGCTAACAAACTAATTCATGTAATAAAAAGAAAGGAATCTCTTAAACTTTATTTCACCAACTAATCTTTTTTGATAATAACTAAGATCCGAACAAAGCCAGAAAAATCTAACTAAGAGAAGATATGGTAGGGCTCAAATATTTCGCAGAAGATTTCTCTTCTAAATTCAATATTTAAAAAAATAAAGTCATTCCACAAAGTTATCTTGATGAAATTGTAGTTTTAGATGAAGATTCAATATCTAAAATAAGGATTGAACCAAAATAACAATACTTCATTGTGAGAATACATAATTTATAAGAAGTTGGTGTCATTGACTTCGCATTCCCTAAAAGTGTTCAATATTATTAAACTTCCATGAATGGGTTGATGACAATTGAAGAATGGTAATCTTCTAAATTAAGTATTCAATCAATTTATTTATAATAGACTGGCAAACACTCAATAAAACCAAAGCTTAAACTTAAGTCAACTAATTCTAAGTCCAACCTCAATTCATATCAACATTTATTATCTTAAGGTGAATTTGTAATTATTCATTATAAATGATACATCAAAAATTTTCTTTAATTTCTTCAACTGAATAGTTTTGTTAGTTGTCAAATATTGAAAATAATCTTATATATTAAATGACTTTTCTCAAATCTTGCTACTTGAATAAACAAATTCCTAAACATTTGAATCTCTTACACCTTTATATCTATAACATTTGGTCATCTAAGGAAATGATGCTAAAATTGTATTGTAACATAGCATAGCTTCATACGCTCTCTCTTCTTTGAGTAACAATGCACCTATGTATTTATATAGATTTTTACCTTTTTTTTGGTAGATCTAAGGATCGTTTATTGATGCCAATATTGCATCATCATAACATTGAATAGCTTCTTATCTTCTATCATAAATTCTTAAAAATTCAGCTATTTAATAAATCAATTACTCCCACCTTTTTAAAGATAAATTTTTTTATTTTGCGAATTCAATTAAATTCCCTCATTGAAACATTAAATTGCTTCTTCTAATCGATTTAAATTAGCTAAGGTAAACGCTGTTTGTATTAATAAAATTTACCCTTCTTTTCAAAAACCTCGCAATTTGTGGGGTCTATCGATATTGCTATCTCATATTAAGTGATTTCTTTATCGTACTAATTTAAATAATGTAATAGTAAAGCTATTCTTATTTTAAAATATACCTTTCTATAAATATGCATCAATATAAAATGGATTTATTTTAATTACTTAATCATAGCAACTTAATGCTTTCTCATAATCCAGTTATCTGAACAGAACCTTTCCTATATTTACAATTATGTATTTTACCTTTACCACAATAGAACTCTATTTGGTAAGGATTAATTTTCAACACTCTCTCATAACAATCAACTAAGTTAATATCTAATTCAGAATCTCTTATTGTTTCAACTACTATTTAATATTTCTTTACTTTAACGATTAACAATGTTTTCATCGTATTTTGCTCTCTCTAGAGCTATCTCTAAGCAATTGAAAGCCTCAGAGTGCCTAGATGCTTCTATTAAAGTATCAGCTATTAATTTGCTTTTAATTATTACCTTTTCTTATATAGATTTCAGAGTTATAAGGATCAATCAATAGAGCTTAATCTAAATATTCTATAATTTCTTCAATATTATTCTCCTAAATTATCAAATGACCTAAAATGTAAAATTTCTTACTCCTTTGGATGTACGAATAAGTGAAATAAGGGTTTTAAAGAATAGCTCTACTCACTTGCTCAATCGCTTAATCTCTAAGAGACCAAAAATCTAGGAGAATGCCTTAATTATAACAATAAGCTACACCTTTTGCTAAGTTTGGTAAGTGATTATTAGCATCAAGTCGTAAAATAAGATTCTCCTGTTCTATGGCTTTGTAAATATCAACCGAAGAGGTTAGTTGTGTTACTAAATAAATAAATAATATACATAGACTTATTTGTATACTGAATTCGTAGGGAAACTTTAGGGATGCCTCTTTAAATAAATTAAAAGCTTCTGCTTTACTTTTTATTGAAATTAGAGTGCCAACTAAATCAAATATACATTAAATTTACTGATCTTATTGTATATCTCATGATTATTGGGAGAATATAGAAGGGCTTTCTAGTAAGATTCGAGTGCCTCAGAATATTTATTCGATTTAATTAAAAAGTCACCTTAGATTTGTTATTTGATTACCTTAATAAAAGTAAGATTCAAATTAATAAGGAAACTATTTAATTGCTGATTCGAAACACTTCATAGCTGTAACATTCATATGCAAATTTCCTAACAGCTGACCTAATCAATATATCTCAGTGAATACCTTTAGCAATTAATAAATCTAAATTTTTATGTATTTTTGAAATTGCTTCATCATAGAGTGCCAAAGCCTTCTAATATTTGTGTTATGAAATTAAATTTTAGCCTATTAGATTTAATATTTTAATCATTCTTACCCTTCTTTAAATAAATTTGAGAATCAGCTGGAAAATGATTAATTACTTGATCATAGCATAAATTTGCCTGGTCAAACTTATACAATTTACTTAAATAAGTTGCTATTGAAGTTAAGTACAATTTACCTTTTTCAAGATAAATTTCTCTATGATTTGGAAATTTTGCTATAGCTTCATCAAAACATTCAATAACTTCATCATATTTTTGCAAACCATGTAAAACAAAAGCTATAAAATTATTTTTAATTTAAACCCTTAAGGAGATAGACTTCATAACCAAAATATAGCACTTATGATTATTTCTAATCTTCTAAATCCTAAATAAAAAAGTTTTCAATTTTTGAAGTTGAAAATTCTGGATCTAATTTTGCTACTTCCTAAATATTAATCTTTGCTTCTTCATGATTATTTTAAAAGACTAATAACTTGACTTTAAATTTTAATAGATCTAAATTGTAAGGATCTTAAGCAATAGCCTCGTTCATAGTATTAATAGCCTCATAAAATTTATTAAATTTATATAGAAGACTAGCTATAATTAAATTATTTCAAACCTTTTGCTATTGGAATATCTTAGTTGTATCTAGCATAATTTAGAGCTTTCGTATAAACATTTAGAGCATCTTCTGGCTAATTTAATAATTCAAGGAACCCTCCTTTTTAAATTCACAAACTTTTAATACCTTTTGCAAGATAGACTAAAGGATTATTTGTGCTTCTCTTATCTGCTAATTCTATGCATTCCAGAACTTCTGTAAAATATTTCAATTAAAATAAGGTTTTTGCTAGAAATTATGAATAAGGGTGAAACCTTTGTCAAGATAAATTTAAAAGTTGTTTGGATCTATTTTAAGTGCTTTGTCATAATGAATCTTAGCTTATTCGTAATTTTATATTTTGTGTAGGAGTTGAGCTAAAAAATAAATAGTTAGATTAACCTTATTTGAGTTAAAGTTGTAAATTATAAGGTTCCTTTGCTTCTAATTATTACAATAGGTGACGAAAGTCATCATTGGTGCAGTTTACTTGACTGATGTTCATATTAATTAATAAAATTTATAATATGATATACATTATATAATTCTCAAACAGATCCATAAGTGATTTGTGAAAGATCCAAATTAGGGTTATTTTGCAATTATGTGAATAGATCTTGATTCAAGAATTCTTAAAACTATTAAAGTAAAGAAAATGAATACTTATTTAAATTGATCTGCTGGAATAGCCTATTTTCTAATGTTTTCATAGAATTTTTCAACCTTGATGGCTAATTTAAGATCATTAAATTAAGCAGGATAATCAAAAGGATCTGCAATTTTTTATGCTAATATTTATGGTATAGATTTTACATATGATTGGATGTGTTTTAGCTAAAGATTCTTTCCATAATTTAACAATTGGACTAATTTTGGAAGGACAATATGTTTTAGCAAAGAAGGCAGCTTCAGGTAGTCTATTACTTTTGATAAGAACTTCAAGACATTTGTCTAGATTGGCACATAGGAAATAAGCAGAGAATGCAATATTCATTTTCGTTTGTTGGAAGGCCTTATCTCCCAATTGCAATAGTTGATTCTTCAACCCTAAGGAAGAATAAATTAATAAGAGTCCTCCAAAATCATCTGCTTACTCTAAGGCTTAAGCGGCAATTTTAATTCTTCCTTGTTATAAGGCAAGATCTCCGACTTATCTCAATTTGAGCATGTCTTAGCTTTGTTATGCTATTTGAAAGGCATCATCAACAAAGGCAAGTTATAACGCAAGATCAAATTTATGATCTTAGTCTTAGACTAATTTATATGCCCATTCCTTTAAATTAAGAGTGTCTAAAAACTTGGACAATTTGTCATAGTATTGAAGTGGAATGGATTATAGGATTTCTTCTGCCTTTTGATATTATTTCTTAAGAATTTAAGTTTGAAATTCAACCACATTGCTATTAACTTCATAACTAATAATAGTATAGTTTTTGTCTATGAGATAGAGTTTATTTTATTGTTGAATGTAACCAATAATGAAATACCTTTTATCTTGGTCGACAATGAATACCTTTCCATTAACTGAGTATGCGATTTTGCCATTCAACGTGGTATAATAGAAGACATCTTAAATGAAATATCCAGAGTTGATAGATTCGGTTATATCACATAAAGGTTAGAAGGCATCTTCAAAACCATCAGGTTCTTCCTCTTGTTGTAAAAAGATTGGTAATTGTTCTGGATCATATTGTAAGAAATACACTTCCTCATTAGTTGCCAATGCAGCAATTGTATTTGTATCATTCCAAATTACTTTTTTGGGAGAGACATCAATTCTTCTGATAACTTTGGCTGTTTCCCAATCGTAAAATATAATAAAATCAGAACTTCTTGCACCCAACACAGGTCCAGCAAATAATTGTTCAACCATATAGTCTGTTTTCATTTCGTAACTCAAAGTGTTGTTTTTGAATATTTTGATGGAATACATTTCCCTGACAGCATAATCCCCATTGGATGACCAAATTAAATCTGTACCAGATCCGAAACCTGAGTTCTTAAAGTTCTGTGATCTGTATATAGTGTATTCAGAGTCACTGAAAATCGCAAATAAATGGCCATTTGGACTATGTCTGACACCGCAGGGATAGATATCGCTTATTCCCAGTTCTTTGGAATTTGTCTACACAACTTATCCGTCATTTGATGTGTTATTAATGGCTTTGAGATTGATTGTAAAGAATTCAAAGTTCTTACCATAGACGACCTTTCCTTATTGCATAGAAACAATGGGTTCATCCTAACCGATCTTAACAACAACAGTTCCTTCATCAAAACCAAAGGCCAATGTATTATCTTTTCCTATATCCAAACTCCAAACTCTTTCCATATTATAATTGAGTGATGTTTCTAACTTATAGGTATTTGAATGCCAGAATCTAATGACTCCGTCTTCGGCAGCTATAAATAATATTGAATTAGAGATACTTGAAATAATGAGTGGCAAATCTGGGTGGAATTTAGCTGATGATATGTTTTATTGATGTGCTTCTAAGGTGTGTATGCATTATTTGGTTTGGTAATCCCATATTTTAATAGATCTATCATCTCCACCTGATATAAGATAAGGTTTATCTCCATGATGAAAATCAACGCAATTTACTCCACCTTCATGACCAGTCAATGTGAAATTAGGTTTGCTATTCTGGATTGTCCACACCTTTACTGTGTTATCCATACTTGCACTTGCAAATGTGTTAGGATCTCTTGGATTGAATGCAACCATCATTACATAATTTACATGATCTTCGAATGTTCTTATCAATGTAAAATTATTATCAATGTCCCATAATTTTATTGTAGTATCATCTGAGCTTGTTATTAAATATGGCTAAGATGGATGTACAATCACACATCTAATATAATCAGTATGAGCGTCGAATGCCTAGCTATTAACTTCATTTTACTTTAATCTTTTCATTTGTATTATAATTGAATACTCTCAATTGAAGATCATCACTCACAGCCACTACCCACTATTTCTTTGTTATAAACTTTGCACATCTGACAGGCTACTGTTTTTAATTGACCTCTATTTATTTCACAATAGTCTAATTATATAATTGATATACTTATGTGGCATAATCTTGAATTGTAATAACACCGCTATATAATCCTGATAATACCCATGCGTATTCTGGATGCAACTCTACACTCTTAACTCTTTCTGAACGAGCAACGTGCTTCTTCTTTATCTCGAACTTCAAAGACATTTAATACGTGTAAATTATTTATTTTAATTTTTGTTTATGCAACAAAATAATAATCACATCAATTATAAATACTGCATGATAAGTGTTTAATTAATCAATATATATTGCATTTGACCTACTCACTTGATTTTCTCTGACTTTCAATAGGCAATGACTATCTGATACTCGATTCATTCTATCTATTTTTTTGAATTCTTCTATCAGAATCTGCCTTTTGGAGATTGAAAATATTATTATCTAGAAATTGAGTATGAAAGACTTACCTTTGATTAATTTAATCAGAAAGTCTTTGTAACCCATTTCTTTTTTTTTTGCACTTCCAAAAAAACACTGTGTGTTTAATTCTAAGTTGCTAATCATTAATTTGATTTCATCTTTGTGGTCTATTTGATTCAGATTCTAATTTATCATCTAAATATGAGAATGATCTTATTCTTCAATCATTTATCCAATAGATATAGTTTTATTGCAATTCATTACTTCTATGTCATCTACCAAATCCATTTTATTGACAAGCACGTATTTAGTAAATACATTGTAATCCTCACATTCCTGATCCCAGAATTGAATTGTACTTTTTAATTAATCCGTACAGGTCGCATCAACTACAAGGAATGCAAATAAAGAACCTCTGTAAAATGCCTAATTAAAGCAATAAAATACCTTCTTCACATCTTGATAAGATTGGTTGTGATAGGAACCACAGTCCCAAAAAGACAGATTGTATTATTGATCATTTATTATATATTCAGCTTTATCAATTTTATAACAGGTTGTAGATTTAATTTCAAGATCGAATTGTCTATCGCATAATTAATTGATGATGCTTGACTTCCCTACTCCTTCAGCTCCCAGAACCACAATTTTGATATTGTTTGTGTCAATGACTTCATCATACATTTGCTGTAAATCCATAATTTAATTATATATATATATATGATAAAATTATCATTCAAAAAGAGCACAAACAACATCTTTACTATAGACTTTTCTCTTTTTTATTATGGATGGATCCTTCAGATCAGGAGGCAGAGCATACCTAATGAATTTCTTTTAATATTCTTCCTCTATACACTCTTTAAAGATGTGTTGATAGAAGTATTCTATGAGTAGAAATATTAAATACTTTTGGAAATAGATTCTGTCAGCAACACCAGTTTCTCATAATATTTGATGTCCCAAACTTTCTTATGAGAAGCACTGAATTCTTAAGAGACTTGCTTCCATTTTTCTGGAATGTCAAGTTTCTTTACTAATGATTTCAGTTATTGATTTTGGTTTTTCTCATCATGTTTTTTTTGTTATTACTTAAACAATTACTTAGTTACATTGACTTCCTGTTTGGTTTTTGCATCTGCAGTCTCTTGAACCTTGGTCATTTTAATAGAATCAATATCAAATGGTTGTGATTTTTCAACTTTAACTCTTTTTTTACTTACTTTCTCTTGATCGACTACTTTGTAAGTGGTATTTTGGGATCTTTGAACGAGGTCCAAATTTGAGTGAGAAACTTCTGTCTTTTGATATTTGGAATTCGAAGAAATCAATGTGTGAATTTAATGAGGTTGGAGTGCTGGTTAAGGTGTTTGTTTTTTGATGAAAGCCTTTTTGATTAATAGGGTTGGAATTGGATGTTGGTATTAGAGCAAATTAATTGAAATACTTGTTTGATCATCGTTCGCCTACTCAATCAGGCAATTTAGTTATTCTACTGTGTTGTTCTCAAAGTTGTATTCGTATTCAAATTTGTAGGACTGAACAATTAGGGTAGATTGTGTATGATTTGTAATGTTCAGGAAATATTTGAAATCTTTGGTATCCTAATAGATATTATCAGAAACATTGACCAATTGGAACTCTGTGAGTTGATGCTTTGATCCAAGAAGCTCATTTTGAAGATGTTATTCCAGTAGAGAGTAAATCATAACTCAAATATTTTTAAATTTAATTGATTGGCGCTGGTAATATATAAATATAATTAAATATGGGATTGGTTTGTTTCAAAGAAGGCCCATAAGCATTAATTGAATAGGATTCAATATAACAAAGAGATCACAACTACGAAGATGAAGAGGTCATATCCGAGTTCCCTTAGCAGGATGAGGATGGCAAAAAAGTTACATTGAGTCAGTTCATTATGCTACGAGTATTAACTATGGTTAATTTAAGAATTTGGGAAAGGGTAGTTATGGAAAAGTAATGTTAGTTTAACACACAGTTTCATTGAAATTGTATGCAATGAAAGTGTTAATCAAGAAAGCTGTTAAGACTTAAACATAGAAGACACATATTCAAACAGAGAGGAAGGTTCTGGAAATAACAGATCACAACTTCATTACTAAATTACATTATGCTTTTTAGAGTTAAACCAAATTGTATTTGATTATGGAATTTGTATCAGGAGGAGAATTATTTTATCATCTGAAATTAAAAGGTAGAATGACAGAGAAAAAAATGAAGTTTTATGCTGCTGAAATCTTAATTGGATTGGATTATTTGCATCAACAAAATATCATATATAGAGATTTGAAACCAGAAAACATTTTATTAGATTCAGAGGGACATATTAAATTATGTGATTTTGGATTATCCAAAATATGTTCTTGGGGTGACATGTATGCTAAAAGTATCTGCGGAACTTTTGAATATATTGCACCAGAAATCATTCTCGGAGAAATGTATACTAAATCTTGTGATTGGTGGACATACGGTGCCTTATTATATGATATGCTGACTGGTAAACCACCTTTTTATTAGCTAACCAAAAAATAGATCCTAGAATATGCCACAGGAAAGGATATTGAGATACCACAATACTTATCTGAAGAAGCAACAGACTTATTAACTAAGTTATTTCAAAGGAATCCAGAAGAACGATTAGGAGGACAGAGAGATGCTCAAGAAATCTATGAACATCCTTTTTTCAAAGATGTGGACTTTTAAAAGATTGAAAGAAAAGAGATTGAACCTCCTTTTGAAATGTCAAACGAAAGACCTTTTAAATTTTTTGATCAGAATCTCATAAGAAAAAGCAGTGTCCATGATACTCCTGTCAGCGAATTAGGAAGATATCAGGAATTCTCTAATTTTACATACAATGGAGACAAGTTGTCTAATGAATTTAATAAACTATTAACAACTCATTGAGAGAAGTACCTATAAAATCTCTATTTAATTTTACTTTAAAATCTATTATTATATATATATATAAATCGTTTTTTGATTTTATACTATTATGTTTTCTACGGATAATCATAATTTTATAAGTAATTTACATTAGATGCTGCTATGTATCAAAGCATTATTAAATAAATTAAACTCATATATAAATTTATCAGTTAAAATTCAAAATTTCTAACAGAAATCATCTCACATTATGTAGTGTAAAACTTAAAGGCATTTTCTAAAATTAACTAAAGTAACAAATGATTATATATATCATTTTATTTTTAATCATATTCGATTTTTAAATTATATTTAGACTACAAAAAGGTACAGTATATTTCAATTTCTATTTTAATTTATGGTATGTTCATAAAGTGACTAAAACTAATGGTTGAACAATGAACTCTTGCCAGAATATTTATAGACCACTAAATTAAAATTACGACTAACACTAGCGAATTTATTTATAATTGATTAATATAAAATAAAAAAAGTAATTAAAAATAAACAATCCAAAATTATATAGTTTATATTTAAATCAAAAATCACAACTTTTCGATTCCGTTTTTAATTCTCTTAATTATTTGTAATTCCTTGATTTGGGAGTAAATATAAAAGAGTTGTTAGCAAATAAATTTCAAAATTTATTAAGACCTTCAAGGAATAAATGCTTTACTTCTTATTTATTTAAATTCATGTTTTTCTATTTATCTTTTTTTAAAAAATATATTCCCACATATATAATCCCTTTCAACTAAAAATAGATATCTTTAAATAAATGCAAGACGATCGCTAATAGGAACTAAATTGACTTGATAAAAGTAATTATGGGAATTATTTATCTTTTTGGGAGTATACCATCATAATTTTAGATTAATATTCAAATATATAAGCATAAACATAATATCAAAAATCATGATTTTTTCAGATGATTCATTCTTCTTCTGTTATTAGTTTAGTAAGTCTATGCAATAGCAAAATTCGAGCTTTTCAATAGTGATTTCAGAGTTTTTAAATTTTGCTATCGCTCAGTAATATCCTATGAAGATTAAGGAGTATGAGTGTTAATTGAGAACTAGGTTATTAATTTTTAATATACAGCAATAGTTTATTGAGATAGTGGAAGCTTCTGTTTTTAAATGGAGCAGCCCATAATTCAAGGATGAAATATTAAAATAAAGTTATGATAAAATAAAAATTAATATTCAACCCAAAATGATATTTTGAGTGATTTGTATTGATTCCTAATGAACTCATTTATAAAACAGATTATCTCTTTATTTGTAAAATCAAAATCATATCTATTTTAGAAGGAGATTTATAATTCGACATCTGTACTTTTAAGAAAACTCATGAATCACCAAAAGTAAAATGAAAATTTAATTATATTTAATTAAAAATATAAAAAAGGGTTGTCAACACGAGGACTTCCCAAGCGGTCCCCCACCTTAGTACTAACCTCGCCTTAAGCCGCTTAACTTCGGAGTTCGAATGGGATCCGGTGCTTTAGGCTTAGTATGGCCGACAACGATATTTAAATGACTACTCCCCTTATAAATCCCTTGTTTTTTATAAAATAATATAATGAATTGATAATTATTAGTAATTAAATTGCATCTTATTTTAGCGAATTTCTCTATCATAGACATACTTTATAAATAATTAAGAATTTAATGAGTAAGAAATTTGAATGTGTACGAGTAGTAATTCGATGTCGTCCCTTAAACGAAACTGAAAAAAAGGATGGACGAGTTTGTATAGTGAATATGGACACTAAGAATGGGTAGGTGACGGTGAGAAACCCAAAGGTACCGGATGAGGTGCCGAAGCAATTTACGTTTGATCAAATATTTGACACTTAATCTTTGTAGGAAAATGTGTATAAATCGACTGCTTCTCCTATAGTTGAGAGTGTGTTGGAAGGATATAATGGAACGATATTTGCTTATGGTCAAACAGGGACAGGGAAGACACATACAATGGAAGGAAAAGATGATCCTCCAACATTGAGGGGTATTATTCCTCGAACATTTGATCATATATTTGAGAGGATAGAGAATATGGCGAAGAATAAATAGTTTTTGGTGAAGGTTTCATTTTTGGAATTGTACAATGAAGAAATTCGAGATTTGCTTTCAAAGAATATCAAAAACAAGTTGGAGATACGTGAGAATCCAGATACTGGTGTTTACATAAAGGATCTGAGTAAATTCATGATAGAGAGTCCTCAGGAGATGAGAGAGAAATTGTTACATGGAAGAGAGAACAGGGCTGTGGGTGCTACAGCAATGAATTAGGATTCTTCTCGTTCACATTCTTTGTTCTAGATAATTGTAGAGACTAATGAGATGGTTTAAGGATAGAGTCATGTGACTGTGGGCAAATTGAATTTAGTAGATCTTGCAGGCAGTGAGAGGTAGAGTAAGACTCATGCGACTGGAGAAAGATTGAAAGAAGCCATCAATATTAACTAGTCTTTAACCACTTTGGGCAATGTGATCAGTGCATTGGTGGATAATAAATCATAGCATATACCTTACAGAGATTCAAAGTTAACAAGATTGTTGTAAGATTCTTTGGGAGGTAATACAAAGACAGTTATGATTGCTAATATTGGTCCAGCTGATTATAATTATGATGAAACTATATCTACTTTGAGATATGCTCATAGAGCTAAATAAATAAAGAATGAACCTAAGATTAATGAGGATCCTAAGGATGCTTAGATTAGATAATTTTAAGAGGAAATTATGAAGTAAAAGACTTATTCATAAATTTCAGATTAAAATAGCAATTGGAAGCATCAATTGAAGGCGGAGAAGCTGTTATGAATCCAGGATAGGAGGTGTTGGTATAGAAGGTAGTGAAGGTTAAGAATGTGGATAAGATCAAGGAGGCTGAGAATATAATTGAGAGAGNAATGACTACTCCCCTTATAAATCCCTTGTTTTTTATAAAATAATATAATGAATTGATAATTATTAGTAATTAAATTGCATCTTATTTTAGCGAATTTCTCTATCATAGACATACTTTATAAATAATTAAGAATTTAATGAGTAAGAAATTTGAATGTGTACGAGTAGTAATTCGATGTCGTCCCTTAAACGAAACTGAAAAAAAGGATGGACGAGTTTGTATAGTGAATATGGACACTAAGAATGGGTAGGTGACGGTGAGAAACCCAAAGGTACCGGATGAGGTGCCGAAGCAATTTACGTTTGATCAAATATTTGACACTTAATCTTTGTAGGAAAATGTGTATAAATCGACTGCTTCTCCTATAGTTGAGAGTGTGTTGGAAGGATATAATGGAACGATATTTGCTTATGGTCAAACAGGGACAGGGAAGACACATACAATGGAAGGAAAAGATGATCCTCCAACATTGAGGGGTATTATTCCTCGAACATTTGATCATATATTTGAGAGGATAGAGAATATGGCGAAGAATAAATAGTTTTTGGTGAAGGTTTCATTTTTGGAATTGTACAATGAAGAAATTCGAGATTTGCTTTCAAAGAATATCAAAAACAAGTTGGAGATACGTGAGAATCCAGATACTGGTGTTTACATAAAGGATCTGAGTAAATTCATGATAGAGAGTCCTCAGGAGATGAGAGAGAAATTGTTACATGGAAGAGAGAACAGGGCTGTGGGTGCTACAGCAATGAATTAGGATTCTTCTCGTTCACATTCTTTGTTCTAGATAATTGTAGAGACTAATGAGATGGTTTAAGGATAGAGTCATGTGACTGTGGGCAAATTGAATTTAGTAGATCTTGCAGGCAGTGAGAGGTAGAGTAAGACTCATGCGACTGGAGAAAGATTGAAAGAAGCCATCAATATTAACTAGTCTTTAACCACTTTGGGCAATGTGATCAGTGCATTGGTGGATAATAAATCATAGCATATACCTTACAGAGATTCAAAGTTAACAAGATTGTTGTAAGATTCTTTGGGAGGTAATACAAAGACAGTTATGATTGCTAATATTGGTCCAGCTGATTATAATTATGATGAAACTATATCTACTTTGAGATATGCTCATAGAGCTAAATAAATAAAGAATGAACCTAAGATTAATGAGGATCCTAAGGATGCTTAGATTAGATAATTTTAAGAGGAAATTATGAAGTAAAAGACTTATTCATAAATTTCAGATTAAAATAGCAATTGGAAGCATCAATTGAAGGCGGAGAAGCTGTTATGAATCCAGGATAGGAGGTGTTGGTATAGAAGGTAGTGAAGGTTAAGAATGTGGATAAGATCAAGGAGGCTGAGAATATAATTGAGAGAGAGAAGGAAGAATTGAAAAAGAAGATAGAGGAGGAGAGAAGGAAGATTGATCAACAAAAGAATTTGGGTGAAGAGGAGAAGATGAAATTATTGAGGGTACAATTAAATTACATTGTAATTAGTAATTACAAGAGAAAGAAGAATAGGCTAATAATGCAAGAGAGACACAATAGAAACTTATTAAGACTATTTAGAAGATGGAATAAAAGTTAGTTAACGGTCATACTGAAGTAGAGGAAGCAAGGAGAAAAGAGAAAGAATTGGAAGAGGCAAGGAAATTGATTGAAAAAGAGAAGGCTGAAGCTGCTAAGAGAGCTTTAGAATTGTAAAAGAAGGAAGAATTAAATTTAGAATTGCAAACAAAGTACAACTCAATAAAGGAGGAATTGGAAGATAAGACAAGGAGAATTAAGACACTTTAATAAAAGACTCGTTAATTGGAGTTCGAGAATAAAGAGACTGATGAATTCATGGCCAAAGAAATAGAAGATTTGCAGATGAGAAAGAGAGAGATTTTGTAGGAAGTTAAATTGAAGTAGTTTATTTTGGATTATTTCATCCCTCCCAAGTTTTTGGAAACTATGCAGATGTTGGCCATGTATAATGAAGCAGCTGAAGCATGGACAATCCAAGGTTTAGATTATTCTGGGAAACTGACTAAAACCTAAATCTAATAGGCTATGTAGGAACAGTAGTAGTAAATGAATGTGACTGATCAAATTAATAGCGAAGAGAAATTGCAAGAGCTGCTTAGTCATCCAAATGTGTATTTCGCTTATACAGAGGAAGGATTGATAAGAGAGGAACAATTGGCACCACAAGAGAAGAAGAAAGTACAGAAGAGATTACAATCTGCCAAGAAACCATAATCAGCCAAAAAGAGACCATCATCTAAACGTATTGAATCTGCCAAAAAGAGTGTCAATTTACAAGAGCAGAACTATCCTAAAGCTAAAGGACTTACATCGAAATGAAATGAGGAGCATTATTAAATATTATAATATAATTAATGTAATAATAAGAAAAAAATCGAGTTTATTATGGAAGGTTTATCCAGAAGGAGAAACTAAGTGCAGGTATCAATTTTTGATCTATAAAGGTTCCTTCGGAGTTGTTTACATTTGCTAAGACAAAGTTTCTCGAGAATATGTTGCTCTTAAAGTTGAAAAGGAAAATGGCAATTTGTTGAGTTTGGAACGAGAAATACAAATAATAGAAGAATTAAGAGGCATTCAAGGTAAGAATACCAAACTACATATAGGCATTCCTAAACTCTACTGGTATGGGAACGAATATAACGCAAATTGTATGGCCATGCAATTACTGGGTCGCGATCTCTCTCATTATCTAAAGCGATTTAGAAAGTTCTCTCTAAAATGTATTTGTAATTTGGCAGAACAAATACTAGACATAATAGAGGAAGTTCATAAAAGGTAATCCATTCTCTTAATATTTAAGAGGTGTGATCCACAGAGACATCAAACCAGAAAACATTCTTATGGGAAGGGGCAATGACACCAACACTGTATATCTAGTTGATTTTGGCATCTCTAAAAAATACAAAACCAATGGGTAGCATATGTAATTTTTCTTCCATAATCTTAAGTCCATTTTAAGAACAGAAGCCATTCATGGGCACCACTAGATATGCAAGTATCCCAGCACATAAAGGATATGAGTTATCAAGACGTGATGATTTAGAAAGCCTAGGATATGTCTTTATATATCTCTTAAAAGGTAGTTTCTCTTACAATCCTAGGTAATTTACCTTGGTAAAATATTACTTCGTCATCCGACAAAGAAAAGACTAAATTAGTTGGCAAACTAAAAATGGAATTAGATACCAAAGATTTATGTAGAGGTTTACCAACTGAAATTTAAAGATACATGGATTACGTCTAAAAACTTAAATTCACTTCAACCCCAGATTATAAATATTTGTTTAGTTTATTCTAAAAAATTGCTCAATAACAAGGATTTCAAATGGATCGTAAATTTGATTGGAATGATTAATCAACTACTTCCACCAAATCCTCGGATGGCCAACAACCAAGATTATCTGGTAAAGATTTCGAACTCGGATAAGAGGATGTTTTTAAACTTTCAGAGAAACCTGAAAAAAAAAATAAATAATGTGAATCCAATCTTAGTCAGCAATCCTCTGTTATGTTAAATTACGTACCCTCAGTAATTTAATAGATAGGTGGAAGATTTGGCTAAAAATCTACTGGGTATTATATATTCTTATTGAGTTAAGTCGTTCTCGATAAAATTCAAGATAGAGCTCATTTTCAAGGGAATCCTCTCTGATGAAATAATAGACTGGATAAACTAAAAGAAAGGAGAGCCAGTTACAAAAAGTAGGATAATTCCAAGATTTTGAAGATTTAGAAAAAGAAAAAGAAAAAGAAAAAAAAATACCAAAATAAGCTGATTTTTAATTAGATGATTTTGGTGATGAGGATGATGAAAATTTAGAAACCAAATTGAAACAATTCGAGCAAATTCAAGTTCATTTTAAAGAGCATCTTTCCAAATCTTGAAGAGATCCAATTTAAGTCCTGTATCTAATGATTTGTATTAGAATTCAAATACTTTTTTCCATATTTAATATATAATGATATAAAATAATTTAATACTCGCTAGTTCTTATAACTAATAATATGTTATTTATTTCACATAGATTTTGAAAAATCTGATTAATAATTCAAAAATATTAATTTAATAAATTATATTGATCATTTGAAATGTTATCAAAAGTATAGTGTTAATTAAACGAAGAGTGAAGTTCCTTGAAGATCCAAAAATGAGCTATATATTAAAAAATTCATATTTACAATTTAACACTTATATGTGCTTTTCAAACACAGTTTGTTGACAATATTAAAATTAATAATCTTCAGGTAGTTTTTCGATGCCTGAAAGTGATAATTACGGAACCTATGCTTCTTAATTTTAATCAATAATAAATGATATCTGCTATGTTCTATTTGATAATCTAATTATGGATATAATAAAGTAATATAATTCTGGTTTGTAAGTGTAAATGATATAATCTTATTTGGCTTGGAAATATACATCATATTTATAAATAACATGGAAGATTTGATAAAATTTTTGAAATAGCTTTTAGATATTGATTCTGATTAATTTTTCCAGTTTAATCGACTACAAAATTCGAAATTCGAGTATTGAAATGGCTATTTCACTTATCAACTGGATCTTACATTTTTTTAGTTTTTTATTTAAGATTTTAGCAAGTTTCTTTAGTTAATTATTATACTTTTTAGCGGCTTCCTTTAAGTTATTTTAATATCTATATTTTAAATCAATGAAGGCTTAATCTACTGTTTCCACTACTATCATAAATCTAACTGTGTCCACAAAATAGACTAATAGTTTGATTTTCATTCTACTCTTTTTATATTATATTTCTAATTTTTCACAGTCTATCTTATTAACTAAATTATTGAACTTTTCATATTTTAAAAATAAATATTTTTGTAGTGTTAATTTTTCATATTTGCATTCTTTTAGAAAATCTCCTACAGAATCGAATTACATTTCTTGACTCTCTGTTAATGATTTGTTAATTGCAATTTGTTGAAAGCAAAAAGAATCTTTATCGAATTTGAATATTAAAAAAGGCTTGCAAATTACAAACGGTAATATTTTTTCTAATTATATAATATTTAATAATACCCCATGTAGTGTCTTTTGTTTAATATAAATATGATCTTCTTTAGTATAATTCTGATGAATATAATAAGCCTGAAACTCCAATAGTAATTATGATCGTGTGTAGATATTGTTCAAAAGTTAAAGCATCTTCATTAATAAAAGTGATTGCAGTTCTTGAAACTGCTAATATGATATTTGTAAATAAACCCACTTAAAAATCGGAACCCATCAACAAAATTATGTGTGTTAGCATTTAATTGCAACCAAACAAATATCCTTGATGATATGTATTAGTTTAATTCGATTCAGTTTCAAGTGATACTAGTAGTATGTTAATTAAGAGTAAAATTAAGTTAGGAAATCTCTTGAGTTGCTTAAAAAACAAGCATAGCAGAATGACAATTATGAGCAGCACTAGTTTTTGTATCTAATAGGCATAATTATGATTAACTAATTAAAATATTAATTAGCTGCCAATCAGTAGTATTGATAAAACATACGTGTATATAAGAATAGGACTTTATAACTAGTTACATTTATGGTATCGATAAGAATTCTCTAGAGTGGTTTCTTCAAATTTCAATGTATAAATATTCATATATTTATATCTCAAATATGTAGGGTATATTAAAAAAATTAAATTCCAATATATAAATATTAGTTTGAGTTTAATTAGATTAAATTATGTCACTTATAAGTCATATAAAATATAATGACCCCATTAATTATTTTAAATATCTAATATTTTGTATCAAATATTTTGGATTGCAGTACAAAAAATATGAACAGTTAAATAAAACTTATTTTTGGAAATTTAAATAATTAAATTGTTATTTAACATCCATATCTTTGAGCAAGAAACAATTAGTTTAAGGAAACTACAATATAAATTTGAGTTCAGGTGAAGTATAAAATTTTCAAATTATTCAGATCATTTGATTTCTAATTACAAAAAGCATGCCTTCATTTATATTTTATACATACATATAATTAAATGTAAAAATTATATATTGGGAAAGTAAAGGAAGTGAACAAGTAGGAGATATACAAATTGCTAATGCAGTATGGATTAATAAAGAGTTTTGAGGATAAGGATAGCTTTTGCTTTGTTGAATATTATTATGAGAGCGATGCCCGAATGGCTTAGTATGAATTGGATGGAAGATCTGTTTGCAATAATCGAATAGTTGTCTAATTTTCAAAAGCATTGATGAAACAAGAAGACCTATTAAAGGAAGCGTTGCCATCATCTACTCGTAAAATATACGTGGGCAATTTAAACCACAAGTTCACAAGTCAAGAGTTGGTGGAGATCTTCAATAGGTTTGGAAAGATTTTGGACATAATTTTCAAAGAAACCTATGCTTTGATTGAATATCCAACCTAGTAATGTGCAACAGAAGCGATTTTGTATATGAATGAGAAGAATTGCAAAGGAGAAACTTTGAAAGTGGATCTCTAGAAAACTTATGATGAAGTGTTAAGTTCAAGCAATCGAATTTATATTGGTATGTGTTGTTAATTTAATATGATAGGAAAGATTGGAAACTTGAAGAAGATGGATTTGATTTTAAATTTTGGATAATTCGGTTTTATTGAGGACATTAGTGTGAAAGATGAACTATACGCATTTATATAATATAGAAACAATTTGCATGCCAGTAGAGCTATCAAAGAAATGAACAATGCAGAAATCAAGGGAAATAGAATATAAGTGCAAGAAGCCAGATGTAAAATAGGGTTTTAATATCAGCTAAAAATCATTTGCCATTGAATTTTAATATCGGTCAATTTCTACCATAGCATCCCAATTTACTAGATTAATTGGCTCCAACTTAATTATTAACTAAAAGTTATGAAGAAAGCAAGAACGTTGTTGTGCAAAGGACTAGTCGAAGTAGAAGTAGAAGCAAGGAGAAGAAAAATTGTTCCAATGGCTTGGCTATTCTTAAGGATCTAGAATTAACTTGATTTTATAATTCGTATTTTCATGTTTATAAAATAATAATAGAAGGGAGATTTATTACAAGGCATATTAGAACTTAGAGATTTGAATTTAAGAGTATTTTTGAGGAAAGAATATATACATATTCTTAGTTTTAATCTTAAATAAATAGAATATTTCTAACATATCTAAGTAAGTATTATGAAACTATATGATAAAATTTGTTAATCTATCAAAAGTCAATGATAATTAGAAGTTGCTATTTTATGTAAAATTGAATATTCTATATGTTTATATCTGAGATACCAATTTTTGAATTTTTATTTAGATACACATTTAATACAAAATGTAAAGCATAAATTTGAATTCTGATTTAAAATGTAGACTATTTGCTGAGTGGGAGGGAATTACTTACATTTTATTTAATCGGTTAGAGAATTAGAATTCTGTAATTTATTGAACTATGCTTTATCAAATTAAGAGAGTTCATCAAGAGATACTTATTACAGATGCTGAATTGAGTTTATGTGAGGTATTTGATTTGATGATTTATTACTATTATAAAAAATGAATATAAAAACTTATAATTATGAAAATTATTAGCGCTTATTTTTATTTAAATTTAAATTAATCTAATAAGGATGGACAACCAAAAGGGCAAACGAATGGGATAAGGTAAACTAGCAGGTGCAAAAAGACATAAGAATAAAATGAATAAGGAAAAAAAGGGCGGATAGCACATTACCAATGGTGATATACGTAGACTTGCTCGAAGAGGGGGTGTTAAAAGAATTTCTTCAGATTCTTACCCTACGACTAGGTATAGTGATTTTTGATCGCAATAGAGATGTCATAGTTAATTTCTTATCATCGTTGGTCAAAGATGCTATCATATACACGGAACATGCCTAAAGAAATACGGTTTAAGCAATGGATGTGGTTTACGCTTTAAAAAAATACGGAAGAAACTTATTGCTTAATAACGATTGATTTATCACAATTTTGAATTGCAGCATCATAATTTAAAAGCCTTTTTTTAATTTCTTTCTTTTTATATTGTTGATTTTTTATACAATAAATAAGAAATAATAATATATTTATATAATCTTCCAGAACCATGTTATTACCTGTGATTTATCAGTTTACTTGTGAGCGTATCCATTATTTTATGAATTCCTATTATACAGTGAATATCCTTTCAGATTAAATTAGAATTAATAAGGTATATCTTAAGAATTACAAGGGAAGTTTAAATCACAAAGCTCGAAGTATGTTTGCCAACTCAATTTCGAAAACAAAGTGTACTGGTATACAGAGCAGCAAAAAATACATGCTTTTGGAATAGTAGTTAAGAAGAAGGTAAAGTTTTTCAAAGCAAATCATAAAGATCTTGAAGAAATGAGAAGATTAATAGCCTGCAAGGTCTTGTTTGATGGGATTGTGAGTATATATAAATGCAATCGTTAAATTGGAGAAGGAGCAGACAGCAAAGTATTTAAGGTTGAAGACACTATTTAAAAGTCTTTTTGGGCATTAAAGTGTTTAGAAAGAAAAGATGATTTTTAGTAAGAAATCAGAATGCATCAGAACTTAGAACATAACCATATCATATAGTTCAAAGAATACTTCTAAGGGGAACAATATTATTACATAATTATGGAACTGATGGGAGGCTAAACACTCTCAAAATTATTGGAGAGAAATCTAATTACAACACATTAATAGTGCAGGACTATTATTTAGGTATTGTTTGATATAAATACAAGGCTCTGTTGCTGGCTTTGGTTTATTTAAAGAATGAAGGGATTATTCATAGGGATATCAAACCTGCAAATATTATGTTCGCGTAATCTGGAAAATTAGACAGTCTAAAATTAGTAGATTTCAATTTTGCCATGAAATAATATGATGCAAATGTATAACCTATTTTGTATGGTATGTATACTGCTCCTGAAGCATTACAAGATATTCCAATCTACAGTGACAAAATGGATGTCTATAGTTGTGGAGCAATACTGTATAAATTATATTCAGGAGATGATATTCATCCATTTCGATATTTACAAGAATCCAATATGTTTTACAATATGATTAGGAATGGCTCCATAGATTTCACAGCCTTGGATAAAGCCAATGCTCCTTCTAAAGCCATTCATTTGATAAAAGCAATGCTAGATGGAGATCATAATAAAAGAGTGAGTGCTCAGGAAGCATTATAGTTCGAATACTTTTAAAATGAATCTCTGAGTCCAACTGAAAAGAGATCTCGCTTTTAACATAGACATCAAAATGATAATTTGAAAATTGGAGTTACTGCTGACTTTGAGTTCCAAATGGATTAAGATGCTAAATGTGCCAACGTTAGAAAAATAGAGATCCATCATCATCATTGATATTTCTCTTAATGATAATGTGTATAATCTAGTATTTTTTATATATTCTTACCCTTGATTTAACTTCCCTTCTTTGGTGTGTAAAGAATGATGCTGTGGAGAATTTAAAAGAATCCAACTACATATTATTTTTTAGTTGTTTCCATATTTTCTGCTAGTCTTCTTATGTTATTTTTCCTAGAATTTAGTAAATCGGAGAATGGTCCCTATAATAACTAATACAGATGGATTAAATTATGCAATTTAATGTCATTGCTATTAATTTTAATCTAAATTGCATTAAATTGGTTATGACTTCAATTATAGAACCATGTGATTTAGCAATGATCATGGAAGCAAGGAAATACTTTGATTTATATATAGTATTTGTGTGATAGGATAAATGTAATAAAATAAAATAAATATGAAAGGATATCAAAAAAGTTCGCCAAATCTTAAATTTCTACAGCCATAGTTAACTGCTCGTTAACCAAAGAGGACTGATTCAAATAATTTACGATTTGATGTATAGAAGACTTATCGAACTAATCAAACGGAGAACTCAATGTCGATTGACAAAATATATTAAATTACTCCAAGCAGAGTACTCACTCTTAAAAATATGTCTCGAGTCATGAAATCAAATTTCATTCATAAAACAGAACCCAATGAAACTTTTGATAAATAAAACATAGATAATCAAAGAATGTTAAGCAGAAAGCAAACAGCTCCCAAATTGATATATAGACCCATAATAAAATAAAATAGTGAAGTGTTTTGTATGAAAGATTCACCCAGAATTATTCAAAATACAAGTCTGCTAGAGAGCAATTCAATTTATTATATTTCTGATGTTGTCTCTGCTTTTGAAAGCAAAGAGAACTATTTTAACAGACTTTTCAAGGAACATTTTTCATCAAGTTGTATGGCTTTGAAATAATGTGCAAATTCTAAGATTATTTACAAACCAAAACCAGTTATAATCCAAAATAATCCATAAAGTTATTATAAATATTTATAAATAGATATTAAAAAGTACATATTATTATTTGATTTGGATGAGACTTTAGTACATTGCACTCTGGATTTGAAATTGCCTTGTGACAAAAAACTAATCATCAAACTTTCTTAGGATGAAACATTTTAAGTAGGCGTTTCTGTTAGACCTGGTTTACAGCTAATGCTCGAATTGTTGGAACCCAATTTCGAAATCATAGTATTCACAGCCTCACATGGATAATATGCAAAAAGAGTACGCTATTTTTTTATTTAGATCGTTGAATATATTGATCCAAAGAAAATCATCTCTCGAGTATTGTCAAGAGAACATTGTTGCTTTACTGATCAAGGCTAATATGTTAAGGATTTATCCATAATCAAGAATCTTCCAATCTCGAGAACTCTTCTAGTTGATAACTGTGCGATTAGTTATTTATGTTAACTTGATAATGGGGTCCCGATCATTCCATATTATGATAATAAGCAAGATAAGCAATTATTGCAATTAGCAAAATATCTTAATGGAATGGTGGGGGCAGATGATTTACGCGAATAGAATTAGTATCATTTCATTTCTATAAAGAACAAATTTAAAAAACTATCTATTTGCTTAGCTATAAACTCAGGATTAGGTTCTAGAAATGTATAAGGTACTTCACTATTCGAAAAAAAATTGATAGGGTAAAGATAATTTTAGATTAATTTTTGTTCATATTTATTATTGGTAAATTTGTAATTCAATTTACTAAATAAAATTAATTGTAGCATTATTAATTCTGTGCTTGTATAAATAATATTATATAATAAATTATTGTTTTATTAATAAAAGAATAATTTATGGAAGATGCAATATTGACATAATCTCATAAAATACTTAAGTAATCTACAGTTTCTTAAATAATCAAGACAAACTAAATAATCTATTCAATTTAATTCCTATTATTTTTAGTTTATCATAGATATCTTTTTAAATCTAAAAATGTATGTACAAATATTTTAAATTCAAAATCCTGTATGGCAACATTTCGCCATAGTGAATTTAAATGAAAATGAAATATTCATAAAATTGAATATATATTTTGTTAGGGTATTTCTATTATTCTAATTAATCGGGCTATTTCAACAAAATTATTGATGCAGTTCCATTTTAGGATTTGCTGATTCTTATTAAAGCGAATAAAATATGGAGTGATTACAAAATACCACTCCACAAAACATTTGCTTGGGAATCTCAGGCTTAAACAGTTTTGGCCTCTGATATTGAATTACTGCTACAATTTCTGTTTTAGAATTCAATAATAAATTTTATTGACAGATCTTTATTGTTATAGGGATAATTATAGAGATTTGATATGTTAGAGTGGATTAAATAAAATAAAGAAATCACTCTTTTTTAATTTCAATTTATTAGGTCTAAACATTATTGTAAGTGTAAGTTTGTGGATTTGAGGTTTTATTAGTATTATCGGAACAAAAAATCTAACAGAAGGACTGCTATTGACAATTGTTTTTGTCGAGATTCTGTCGTTCTTCATTATATTTCTTTAATTTGTCAAAGTCTATGAAGATAAACTATTGGGCTCCACTTCTTTTCAAGTTTGAAGAATTCTTTTAGGACTGGCAAACACCCATTTGATTTTTTAATATTTAATTGTTTATTAATTGATTTTAGATATTTAGACATGCCTATAAGTATTTATTTACTAATGAAAATGTTGAGGAGGTATTAATCAGAATCAATTGATTCCATGAAAATCCAGAATCAAACACAGAAGAGTGAATTCAAATTGGAGTTAGATTGATCTAACATATTTCATTTAAGTTTTAGTAATTAATATTATTGTTATTTTTATTGATTAATAATACTCGGTTACATATAATTTTTAATAAAATTATTTTTTGGAAAAAATGGAGGACAAACAATTTGTAATATTTTGAGTCATCATATTTTTAGAGTTTGGAGACAGCAAAGAAATTCTAGACTTTTTTTGCCCATATGGAATAATATTGTTAGTAATTTTTGAAAGGATAACCTGTGGTCGAAATTCAAAATGACAAATCCGAGAAGAAAAAGGAGCGAGATCCTAATGCTCCCAAGAGGCCTCTTACTGCTTTCTTCTTATTTAGCCAGAAATATCGTGAAAAGGTTTTGGAAAGAAATCCAGGTATTGATTAGATTGATTATTAATTAGAAGTCAAATTGACTCAGATTTCACAAATGGCTGGATAAAAGTGGCATTCCATGAGTGAGTAAGAGAAACAAGTAAATATTCTTATGATTATTTAGCCATATGTTGATTAATATAATTAAGCAAAGAGCAAATATGAAGACGATATAAGAGAGTATAATGAGAAACATGGTATTACAACTAATGACAAAAAGAAAAAGAAGTCTGAAAAGGTAACTCAAATAATAGGTTTTAGTTTGATGACAAATCTGTGAAATCAGGATAAGATTACCATTTCGATGATATCGATTCCGAATCAATACAACCAGCTGCAAAACATCAACAATAACTCAAATAATAATAGGAAAATAAGAAAGCAAATCAAAATTCTGATGATGAGCAAATATAACAAACCACGCAAACTAAGTCATAAAAAGCTAAATCTGCTAAACCCAAAAGTAAGTAAGAAGTGGAAGATGATAAATAAAGCAAAATTATCTAAGTAACAAATAACGACAAATCACAAAAGAAATAAACAAAGAAATGAATTATAAACACAATTAGCATTACGATATATAAGCTCTATTCATCTTCTTCATTGTTTTCAATCTTAATATTAAGCTGGATTGTTCAACTTCATTTGTCTTAATTCAAGAACTTGCTGTCTCTGGAATTCATTCTGATATACGCATGTCACCTGCACTTTCGGATCAGTGGATACAATTTCAATGCCTCTAGGCTACTAATACATGTGGATCATATAAAACTGAGTAAGGTAGTGTCTGCCCTCTTAATTGAAATACCTAAAATCGTTTCAATATCTACATCGAATCACAATATTTGAGAGCACATTGCAGATCTTAGTTCAACAAGTTTATCAGTGGATTGTTGAAGTTCATTTTTTAGATTTGTTATCTTAATGAGATTATGCTTTATTCAGCCTATTAGTATTACTGATTATAACACAAATTAAGAGCATTTCTAAACATTTCCGCAGCTTAAACTCTATAATAATGAGACATAACTTCCCTAATAATAATAATAATAATAATTTGAATACTCAAAAAAAATCTAGTTTGCTTTTAAATTTGGTATCACATTAATCGACTATTCAATTGAGAACCTTTCACTAGTTTCAACTGAATCTGTCTGCATATTCACAGTTATGATTTCATCCATCCTGTCATTTGGGATAGCAGTCTCTATTATATAATCTTTCCTAACTCCCAGTATTAATTATGGCTGATATATCTAATAGGTAAAATCCTGTTAATGGTGATACCATTTATCTCCATAAACTTTTGTAATTGAATTTTTCTTGCTTTTTATTGTAATATGTGAATTATATGAAATAACCGATGCTTGACCTCCCAAAGCTTCGACAAAACACTCATCTATTTTCGATATTTCAGAAATATAATAAAATTATCCTTCTTTAAAATGGGCTATTTCTGACATAATTTTTGGACAACAATCTTTACCAAAACCAAAAGTATTGATTGTAAATGGTTCCTTCAAGTTTTTTTCTTAAAGTAAATGACGTACTCTTTCTGAAGCTCCATCTTCTTCACCATCTGATAATAAAAATATTGAGGCTACAGGATTCTTGCATCTTCTGTGCTTTAATACAGACAGGGCCATTTTCACAGCATTTGCAATATCATTTTCTCCATTTGCCTCAATAGTATCAATTGCAATTTCGAATTTATACATATTTTCCTAAGTTACTCTCATTAATCTAGTCAATCTATAATTTTAATCATCAAATTCAATTAAACATAATCTATCTTAACTTTAGAGCAATTTTAGAAGGTGTTTCAAAGAATTTTTAACCAACTTAATCTTTTCTCCCTACATACTACCACTATGATCAATCAAACATATCTAAAGGTTTAATTGTGAATTACTAAATCAATCCCTTATCTTATCGTTAGTGCTTAATCCTTAGTTTAAATTGATAAAAGTATTGCCTAAGTACCTTGAACAGGCAGTCCCTAAAGAATATTCTGTTAAATTACACTATAGTAGAGTTTCATTTCTATATTCTCTTAAAGAACATAGTTGGCTTACTTCATATAATTTTAACTTAGAGATTTTCTACCATAAGTTGTATCACATTTCATACTGACATCCTTAACATTATGTATTCATATTGTACGATTATATCATCATCATTAAATTTGTTGTGATCCTAACTTAGACTAGGTCTTAGTCCTTTGATGAACTCTTCTTTAGCTTCCATATCTTTAGAATATGCATCATTTTCACCAGAAGTACATTGATTTCCCATATTTAATATTTATATAATAAAATTATCTTTAAACCTTAATAATTATTTTAAGAGGAAATATTTTATAAAACTATGGTATAAGTTGCTTCCATTCTAGATTTTCCAACATTTTAATTTATTTATTCATAATACGAAATATAATTTAATTGTTGTTTTACTATTTATTTTAAAGCAATTCAAATTTAGCCTATCATTTACTATCTAAAATAAAAATGATTTACAATAATATATTCAATCTTAATAATCATTTTTCTTTAAAAAAACCTATATAAGAAGGTTTAAATAAGAAAGGTCTTCTCACTCTATCAAAATATCAACCTTATTTACGAGTTTCTGAACACATTTTAATTACAAACCTTATTTAAATTTTTCATTTAAATAGAATTATGTATATTTTATATTTAAGTTTTTGATCTTCCTTTTAAATATCATAGTAATTTTACTATTTCATAATCTTGCTCATTAATAAATATATTAATGTAATTATTTACATCTATAATCTGACTTTAAGTCTAATTTTTTTATTTTTATTTTTATTAAACTATATGCATTTTAGTTTATCAGACTTTTTAGTTTTACAGATATATATTACATTTATTATTTAAGTCTTCTTAATGATGATAAAATATTAACTCTACTAAATTGAATAACCTATTTTTAAAAATCAAGTTAAGATGATCGACTTATCAATTAGAAATTTTTGGTCTTTTTAGAATATATAAAATAGTGGCTTACTCATATATTTTCATTTATAAACTTAATAAACAAAATAAATGACTTTTAGTAGACTTGAATTATAGAGAACAATTTGAAACAATGATAAAAATTTAGTGTATGAACTATCTGTTAACCTTTATTACAACTAAAGAATATTAAATGTCTACTATTACTAAAATATTGATTTTAAATATTAATATTTTTTTATCTCCTTATTCATTTCAGAACTAATAATAATTTTAATTTTCTAAATACAAGTAACTCAATCCTATTCATTTTAATGATTCTCTCATTTTTTTATTGGAACTAAATGGAGCAAAACAAAAAGAAAAATGCTTCACAAGAAAAAAAGGTTGTACCATCTGTTTGTAGTTCCTCTATGATCTAATAGTACGAGCCTAGAAATCAAATCAGAAGATAGATTCTAGAGGAGGAATAAGTAAGATAGTAAAGGAAGCGATAAACAGACAGGTTTTAACCTAAAGCAACATCAGAGGATGAAGATTCTTAATTGAATTATCTCTAAATTGGAAATTAAACCAAAAAAAGATAAAAGAGCTAAACTCAGAGATGGTAGAAGTATGATAACAGAAAATCTAAAAGAAATAGATCAGAGCAGAGATTTGCAGTAACTAATTAAATTTAAGGAGTCACTACTGAAAAGTATTATGAATTTGATGATCTCGATAAAATTTCTGATGATAAAGCAGATTTATGCATCAGAAATCTTCCATAAAATAGATTAATGAAAAAAATGACAATATGATAATAATATTATCAAACAATATAAATATTATATATGATTTTCGCTTTACTTCAATTTAATTGGTTAAAGCACTATAAATAATTCAAAATCCTTATTTCATTAATTTATTAATCTAAATTTTATATTATCTGCAATATTCATGTTTTTAAACATATATGTATACTAAAATTTCAGTGAGGGATTCAAGACTGAAGAATAGTTCTATTTATATATAAAGATTTTACAAATATAATTCAAAGATCTTATTTAGTTTTTAGATATTGATCATTATTTAGCTTATGGATAATCTGTTTATATACTTAATTTAATATTTTTTTACATTCAGTTGAATGAAATTAATATCAATTTTTGTTTAAATAATTCCAACAGTAAGATTGATTATTTATATGATTAGAAGGTAAATAAGCTAAATAATAAAGAAAATTAATTTAAATTTAATATACTTAAAATAAAATCAAGATTTAAATCGATGAAAACTAGTCTCTTTTTTAATAAGTTTAGAATATCTTGGAGACAATAGAATTGTATTGCAGGTTGGAATATTATAATCATTAGAAGGTTCAGTTTTTAAATACTTTGAAGATCCAAAATTTTAAATAGTTTCCTCATTTTTTTAATCTATGATCTTCTGTTTCATAGAAGAAGCAAAGTATTTCATTGTAAAATTTTGGTTAGAATTTAAAGGTGGTTTATTTTGGATAGGAGTTACGACATTATAATATTTAAGATTAGTCTTATCCTTATAATCGATTGTTAACTACAATTTTCTTTTAGGAGATTATTTTGAGACAGTTGGTAATTTTTCTTCAACATTTTTAACTATTTTGTATTTGTTACTAGATATTTTAATGTAGGATTGATCTTTGAAACCATTTAAGATAGTTACATTAGATTGTGTTCTTACATTTCTATTTGTCAATTTGATTTTGGGAATGCTATTATTTCGCTTTTGTTAATATTTTTCAATTAAATAATTTTCATACCAGCTCATTCCTAAGGTATGTCTTATAATTTCATTAAACTAATTTTGCCCTATTCTAAATATTTTAGCCTGGTTTTAGACTACTCCTTGGGTACATCTAACTAAAGGAATTGTCTATTTTAGATTTAAGAATTATTCAAAATCCCCAATCATTTATCCTCTACCAAAAACTCCAAGGTTCACTAATTATTTGTTGGATTTGCTCATCATATTAGTTTCTATTAAATTTTCCTCCTCAAATTCATCTTTATTTTTCACATCTTCCCACTTTTAGACTAAGACTTCTCCTGAGATAATCAAATAGAGACAGTCTGCTTTCTACATTCGTTTAAATAATAATGCTCCTCCATTTAAATTAATTTCTTCATAATCATGTAATAATTGTTGCAATGAGGATTCATTTAGTTAGTCAAAGGGGTAGATTTAGGCAATGAGTTCCGATCTTATTGTTACTGCTTCTTACGTAATATCTCTTAGCAGTTTTTAATAAGACTCATAAGTTAACACAGCCAAAGTTGTAGCTTCTTTTGCAATCACTGTAGCTGTTCTAGGTATCCTCTATTCGATTGCTATTTCTCCAAAATAATCAAACTACTTTTTGACAGCCACTTGTCTAAAATTAGGATAACGAATAGCCATAACATCTTCAAATTTTTTCATTTTANTAAGATTGATTATTTATATGATTAGAAGGTAAATAAGCTAAATAATAAAGAAAATTAATTTAAATTTAATATACTTAAAATAAAATCAAGATTTAAATCGATGAAAACTAGTCTCTTTTTTAATAAGTTTAGAATATCTTGGAGACAATAGAATTGTATTGCAGGTTGGAATATTATAATCATTAGAAGGTTCAGTTTTTAAATACTTTGAAGATCCAAAATTTTAAATAGTTTCCTCATTTTTTTAATCTATGATCTTCTGTTTCATAGAAGAAGCAAAGTATTTCATTGTAAAATTTTGGTTAGAATTTAAAGGTGGTTTATTTTGGATAGGAGTTACGACATTATAATATTTAAGATTAGTCTTATCCTTATAATCGATTGTTAACTACAATTTTCTTTTAGGAGATTATTTTGAGACAGTTGGTAATTTTTCTTCAACATTTTTAACTATTTTGTATTTGTTACTAGATATTTTAATGTAGGATTGATCTTTGAAACCATTTAAGATAGTTACATTAGATTGTGTTCTTACATTTCTATTTGTCAATTTGATTTTGGGAATGCTATTATTTCGCTTTTGTTAATATTTTTCAATTAAATAATTTTCATACCAGCTCATTCCTAAGGTATGTCTTATAATTTCATTAAACTAATTTTGCCCTATTCTAAATATTTTAGCCTGGTTTTAGACTACTCCTTGGGTACATCTAACTAAAGGAATTGTCTATTTTAGATTTAAGAATTATTCAAAATCCCCAATCATTTATCCTCTACCAAAAACTCCAAGGTTCACTAATTATTTGTTGGATTTGCTCATCATATTAGTTTCTATTAAATTTTCCTCCTCAAATTCATCTTTATTTTTCACATCTTCCCACTTTTAGACTAAGACTTCTCCTGAGATAATCAAATAGAGACAGTCTGCTTTCTACATTCGTTTAAATAATAATGCTCCTCCATTTAAATTAATTTCTTCATAATCATGTAATAATTGTTGCAATGAGGATTCATTTAGTTAGTCAAAGGGGTAGATTTAGGCAATGAGTTCCGATCTTATTGTTACTGCTTCTTACGTAATATCTCTTAGCAGTTTTTAATAAGACTCATAAGTTAACACAGCCAAAGTTGTAGCTTCTTTTGCAATCACTGTAGCTGTTCTAGGTATCCTCTATTCGATTGCTATTTCTCCAAAATAATCAAACTACTTTTTGACAGCCACTTGTCTAAAATTAGGATAACGAATAGCCATAACATCTTCAAATTTTTTCATTTTATCTATCATATGGAATTCATATTACTTTTTTTCTAGGTGATGGCAATGTCGAAATGGTCTTGATTTTTAACAAGGATTGAAACTTCCCCTTCTAAAATGAAATACATTTTTCGACCAGTTTCTCCTTAATTAAACACCACCTCATACTGTTTGAATCTCTCGATTAACAATGACTTTATTAATTTCAGGAGAATGTCATCTCTCAATTAAGATTTTAATTTTCTATCATGATGGATATCTAATACTTGAAATATGTAAATGATCGTTCTAATCTTCTAGCTACATAATTCAATTGCATTAAAGTTCTCTCCTGCGATTCCAAACTTAATATCTGGATTAGTCTCAAAACCTCGCTCTCTAATTTAATCTAGTTCTCCTCCTCCTGAGATTATTTACTTAATGTACTATCTCTTCTTAACATTAATTTTATTAAGAATGTCAAATGTTAAAAATAGACAGAATGCAAAAGCTTTGAATAATTTGTTAAACACCTAGGGATCCCTTTTTAGATTGTAAAAAATTCTGTCCAAAGACAATTATCTTACTAAATAAAAACATTTCAAGCCACTTAGAACAGAAAAATCAAGCACTCTGTCTCTAGTCAAAAGCGATAGTTTGATTACTCAAGACAACAAAAACTTTTTCAAAACATCTACAAGCTTAAATAAAATGAATCAAATTGTTAATGTCTAAAAGTAAACTAACGAGGAATAACATAAAAAAGTTATTAAACATCTTCTCACAGATTAATCCTATTTAAAACTAAATAAAATCAGCTTAGAAGGAAATCGAGTAAGGACTCTACAAACTGTTAAACCAGAACTACAAATCTAAGAAGATTAAAAATAAAAAATGAAAGATCTACAAGAGAAAATTAAAATTAAATTACAAGAAAGAGATTAGGTATATTTGTAAAAGAATGCTTAATAACTTAATAATCTATAACTTAAGTTATCCAATTTACAAGCATCTTAATTATTTAAGAATTTTCTTGTTTAAAATGGATACAGATAACCTGCATTCTTAAAAGATATGCCATGATAATATAAATAAGATCAAAGGTTTTGTTCGATTTTATTTTATTTTAATGTTTTTTTATCTTAAAAATTACAATAATAATAAATTAATTTTTTCAACAGAATATAAGAATAAAACGATCTATAAAAAAGGAATGTAACTTTCTAATAACTTTTTTCAATTATGATATTTTCTCTATTCCCTTAATTTAATAATTGGTTAATGTATCTCATTAGTACATTTGCAGTCTAGAAAGATTTTCAATAAAAAATATTAATTTACAAATTATTAATTAAATTGTTTAAAAGAAATGTCAAATATCATATAAATAATCTTTATTGCTTAGCATTCATTTAGATAATAAATCAATAATTATTGTATTTTTTAAAAACTTAAATGTCTTTTAGGAACTGCATTCTATAAATTTCCTGTAAAGATTAATAAGAAAGTATATAGTCAAGATTGTAAAAAATGGGATATTTGTAAAAATCAATTCTTAAAACTAAAGAAATGTGATTTATAATAGACTAATCATGTACCAATTATGTTAAAAAAGAACTCTTAGATTCAAAATTAATGAGGAGTAAGATAGCTTTAGAAAATAAATTTAGCAATTCAATAATGATTAGATATTTATGTACCCACTAAATGTGGCTCTACAATCATAGAAATAATTTATATTTTACGTTTTAATACAAAAAGTAAAAGGGTTTCCTATTCTTGCAAGCACTAAGTTTTCGAAATTTTAATTCTAGGATTTGGATAGCTTGAAAGAAGAACTGGAGAAAGGAGAGCTTAGAAAATATAAACTTTTATTCTTGAGAATTAAAAGTAATTAAACAATAAGCATATAAGCATAGATATATTAGTATAGGGAGAGAATGAAGTAATAAATAAAATCTAAGGTTTGATATATTAGATATAATAGTTTGTAATATCTTAATAATGCTATAATGCTTGATTATACATATCACACTGGTGTGTATAGAAACTTATTATTAATTCTCTCGTCTCTTTTAATGTAATTTGAATTGATTAACTCATCAATCTAAGCTAAGATATCTTAAGAAAAAAAATCATAGTATCCAAGCAATCCTTTTTGCACTCCAGCACATATTTAGTGATAATACATTTCTTTGTTTGTCTTCATCAATCTTACAATGCTGGATTAAATTTTAAGATCTCTTTCTTTTTTCAACATAATTTAGTCCTCAGTATTTTCTCCAACCCTCTTTGGTACTAGACTAATTGGCCTATTGGGAACAAGTTAAGTTTTTAATTTAGTTTGATCAGTTTAAAGATAAAATTTTCCTTCATTCTCAACAATAATTCTTAAATCTAAAAGGTTTTCCATTTATTAAGTCAATTCTTCATCATAGTTAATACCTGTGTCATTTAATAATTCTGATTTGGACCTACTTCCATATTACTTCAAGTAAAGAATGACAAAGAGTTGTAAATTAGAGACTATGATCTTTCCTACCTATTAGACAGATGGTCCAAATCTAGTTTGATGATAAATAGTATAATTACTTATAATTAATCAATGATTGTCCTATTCTAAAATTCCATACTAATTACTTTTTTTCTGTTTGTTGTTTTGTTTAATAAAATAATTCCATTTATGATATGGCGTCTTTGACCATTTTTGGAGGAATAAAGTTATCTTTTTTATTTTAAGTGTTAAATTCCTTTAAAGAATTTGTTCTGGTAAAAATGGTAAATTGAGCCTGGGCACCTTGCAATAGTTTTTTATTGGACAATAGTGTTTATATTTCATTATCTAGATTTCTATAGTATTTATAATCTTTCCAAACTGTTAATAAATCTGATGGTAAATGTTCAGGATGTTCTCTTCTTAATGATTTTAGAAATTCTTCTTCATATCCGAAATTCTTTATTTCTCCTCTAAAAATTCTATTCTTGAGATTGTCAGTTATCTTTTAAAACAATTTGCCTTTGCTATTAATAAATTAGATGAAGGCCAGAATATTCTTGTTAAACTTTTCAAATTTTTATCTATCCTCTTCATTATTGGTTTCTTTTAATTTATCTTTCAAAGACACATGAATATACATAGACAATTTATCCATAAATCTATCAGCTTAATTTAATTTTTCCTTAAATGCCAATTCCATATTATTTCTAAATCTATGGGATCCTTCAAAACAATTTACCACTAATCTTAAGCAATATTCATAAATCTTTTAGAGATTATCAATTTATGCAATATGTATCTGTAAATTTCTATTAGCTTATTGTTATTGTGGCTATTTTTATTGAAGTTATTATTATTGTTAACCAGGTTCTTCAGATTCTGTTAGCATTTAAGTGACTTGAGTTTGGACGAATTTCTGAAACTCTTTTAATTAGTTTTCAATATAATTTGGTGTATTCTTGTATAATTGATAAATTTTTAAGATTGGTGATAGATCAGAACTGTTTTTCAATTAAAGAAACTGTTGGTACAAACCATCCTGAGGGTTTTAGATGATTTAATCCACATTTTATTCTAGCATCTCACAAATGAATATTTTCATGATATCATTTGATCTTGAGAATTTTTGGTAAAGCTGCTCTCTTAATGATTCTTCTATCAATATTTAATTAGTGGCTTGCTTCACATATTCTGTACTAGATCCTCTAGTTAGCCATGTTAGTGATAATTCTGAATAGAATTTTTTAGTTCCTTCTTAAATTACATCAAATAGAAAATTATCAAAATCGTTTTGAGGAGAAGGTAATGTAGCCATTTTTGGAGTTTTTTGTCTCACATTAATAATGACTTCCTTTTCAATAGTCGTAATCTCTAATCTCGAGCTTTAAGCCATGTCGTTTAGATCCAAAACCTTATAATATAAATAAAAAGTTTACTTCAAGATAAGTTAGGAGTTATTATTTCTGGTTTTGATTATTATTATGTCTAATCTAATTAAGTCTATCAATAAGTGCTTCTTTATATCTCTATTTAAGTACGTCGTTAGAAAGCACAAGTTTATCAAAGTTTAAAAGACCTAATTCCACAATGTATAATTATGAAGATCCTTTCGAGGAATCGTAATTATAGAAAAGAATTGATAAATATCTTAATAAGCTTTTAAAAAGAGCCTATTCAAAAATAAATGTTTGGATAAAATCTTAGGAGTTTAATAATTCTGGTATCAATTAAGTCTTCAAGTATTTTAATAGCCAATCTTCAAAAATTTACTTTAATTAAATTACTTGTTCATTCCCAAATTAATATGTCCAACTTAAAATATAAATCACAATAGTATTACTTATATAGAGCCATATATCTGGCTTTTGACATTGAGACATCTTAATTTGATCTCATAAGTTAGCAAACTTCATTAGTGTAACTCTCAAAAAGCTCTTTGTCTTTTGTATTACTCATATTTATTTAATTAAAATTTCCTTTTTAAACTATTGATCATTTTAATACATATTTTTTTATGATGAACTCCGACTGGCATGGAATATTGAAGGAAAAAACATAGAATTTAAATATTACTCATCAAAGTCAAAGAATGAAAAAAGTTAATGCAGTAGATAATTTGAATTTATCAAAATATCTTCAATTAAATTATTAGCCATGATATTAATAGAAATATAAATTGTTTAGAATTCATTCTCCATCATTCTTTATAAAACAACATATTATCAATAAATAGAAATAATCATCATAAACTAATCTGATTTAAAACAAAAATAAATCTACTTTGATTTATAAAATCATAAGCAAAAGCCCAAAATGTCTATTGAATAAAAAATAAGATTATATTATTAGATTCAATATACATATAAATATTCCCTCTTTATAATTGTATCATTGTTAGGCTTCTTTCAATAAGAATATAGGTGAATCACAAAAAGAATGCACTATTGATATTCTATAACTAATATCTATTATATTTATTTAATAATAGAAATATTTTTCTTAGTAAATAAAATTAAGCTAGGATTATAAATAATGATAAGGTATTAAAATATCGTTGTCGGCCATACTAAGCCTAAAGCACCGGATCCCATTCGAACTCCGAAGTTAAGCGGCTTAAGGCGAGGTTAGTACTAAGGTGGGGGACCGCTTGGGAAGTCCTCGTGTTGACAACCCTTTTTTTATATTTAATGGATTAATGAATAAGGCTTTAATTAGAGTTTAATATTTAATCTTTTGAAAATAGCATAATAATTTTCGAAAAAAATGATTACAATATGATCATAAATGCGTGTTTTTAACAAATCTATTTCCTTCACTTTTGGTTTTTACAGTTTTACTATTAGGTTTTTGATATTTGGCATTAAAATCAATTGTTCCTCTCTTTTATTCATCGTAATTCTACAAACAATAATAAGGTCATATTACTTGGACTTGTTATTATTTTGCCTATTATTGAAGCTTTTAAAAATTGGGATCTGCTTCTAGTGGATTAACAGGAGTACCATCTAGATTTTTTAATTAAGGAAGTTCCTAAATGAATTTTGCTCGATAACTATTGATGACGATAACTGAATACTTTATATTCTCTTCCTCCCCTTAGGTAAACATGGGACAGATGGGATTCTTAATTAAACTGAGATGACTAAGCTTAGGAAACTTCTCTTTGCAATGTTGTATAAACCTGAGATACGGAATTTGATTACATGTCAAAATTATTGAAAGTATTTTTGTTTGCACTAAGTGTTATTAAATTTGGTAGGACTGGAAAGTCATCCAATCTGAAGAAGTAATTATTATCAATGATCAAGGTTTCCAAATTTGGAAACATAGCAAAGTCCTTTCCAGATTTTAATAGATTACTCTAAAATAATAAAAATTTGGTTACAGAAACATCTAAGTGTTTGATAGTTGGTTGAGGCTCTTGAGTTTGCTCAGACAAATCCTTTAACTTCATTCCAGCCAAGATCAACATTTTGAGTTATATAATTAAATTAAATAAATAAATAAAGTGTTTCAGTCTTTTTAAGGCAGAAAATTAGTGCTTGCAATTTATTGACTATTGAATTAACTTGTGGATGGACTTATTTTGGCTCTCTTACTCAATTTAAGGGAGTCAGCATCTAAGAATTTCTCTTCTTATCCCCAATTGTTTAATTTCTCATCCGAAATTAATATAATAGGTTCATTAGACAATTTTTGATGTGTGAATTGAAAGGGTTCTTGATGAAAACAGAATTTTCTAATCGATAAATAGGCCATTGCTAAGAGGGAAAAACAAAGATAAAAGTTTTCCATTATCATAGCCGGCAGATAAGGTTTAAAGTTTTAAGTCGCCGTGACTAAAACTTATAGAAGATGTACAAAGAGCAATAATAGATAATAGATCACTTTGAGAAATTTTCTATTAATTTTGTAATGATTTACTTCAATTTTTTCCAGGTTTTCTTTTTAAGTGAAATCTTCAGACAGGAATGCATTATAATTANTTTTTTTATATTTAATGGATTAATGAATAAGGCTTTAATTAGAGTTTAATATTTAATCTTTTGAAAATAGCATAATAATTTTCGAAAAAAATGATTACAATATGATCATAAATGCGTGTTTTTAACAAATCTATTTCCTTCACTTTTGGTTTTTACAGTTTTACTATTAGGTTTTTGATATTTGGCATTAAAATCAATTGTTCCTCTCTTTTATTCATCGTAATTCTACAAACAATAATAAGGTCATATTACTTGGACTTGTTATTATTTTGCCTATTATTGAAGCTTTTAAAAATTGGGATCTGCTTCTAGTGGATTAACAGGAGTACCATCTAGATTTTTTAATTAAGGAAGTTCCTAAATGAATTTTGCTCGATAACTATTGATGACGATAACTGAATACTTTATATTCTCTTCCTCCCCTTAGGTAAACATGGGACAGATGGGATTCTTAATTAAACTGAGATGACTAAGCTTAGGAAACTTCTCTTTGCAATGTTGTATAAACCTGAGATACGGAATTTGATTACATGTCAAAATTATTGAAAGTATTTTTGTTTGCACTAAGTGTTATTAAATTTGGTAGGACTGGAAAGTCATCCAATCTGAAGAAGTAATTATTATCAATGATCAAGGTTTCCAAATTTGGAAACATAGCAAAGTCCTTTCCAGATTTTAATAGATTACTCTAAAATAATAAAAATTTGGTTACAGAAACATCTAAGTGTTTGATAGTTGGTTGAGGCTCTTGAGTTTGCTCAGACAAATCCTTTAACTTCATTCCAGCCAAGATCAACATTTTGAGTTATATAATTAAATTAAATAAATAAATAAAGTGTTTCAGTCTTTTTAAGGCAGAAAATTAGTGCTTGCAATTTATTGACTATTGAATTAACTTGTGGATGGACTTATTTTGGCTCTCTTACTCAATTTAAGGGAGTCAGCATCTAAGAATTTCTCTTCTTATCCCCAATTGTTTAATTTCTCATCCGAAATTAATATAATAGGTTCATTAGACAATTTTTGATGTGTGAATTGAAAGGGTTCTTGATGAAAACAGAATTTTCTAATCGATAAATAGGCCATTGCTAAGAGGGAAAAACAAAGATAAAAGTTTTCCATTATCATAGCCGGCAGATAAGGTTTAAAGTTTTAAGTCGCCGTGACTAAAACTTATAGAAGATGTACAAAGAGCAATAATAGATAATAGATCACTTTGAGAAATTTTCTATTAATTTTGTAATGATTTACTTCAATTTTTTCCAGGTTTTCTTTTTAAGTGAAATCTTCAGACAGGAATGCATTATAATTATGATTGCCAAAACTGCTATCATTCCCCAATCAAAAAAGTTCAATATTTGAAGACTCTCTTACAAGGTTATCAATTTACTCCTTGGTTAACAAGAGACAAAATCAAAAACGTATAATGGCATTGATAGCACAACAAAAACTGAGCTAAAGACTACTGAATTGAATAAAGGAATTTTGGATTTATTAGGTAAGGTGTTTGTAAATTCTTGATAGTTTAAACTTAATAATCCTATTTTGCCCAAGATATAGAATAATTAATTTGCATAAATAAACACATTGTCCATTCCTTGTAGTTTACACACACTTTCAGAATACCTGATTATCTCAATAGTTTAAAGGGTGATATTACTTAATATTATGATTGTAAAATAACTAAACAATAATTTCCAACTACAATCTATTCTCTTATCTCCATAATAATATTTGAAGTTGATATTTTATTAGTACTTAATCTCTGGAATTGGCAAGGAAGTTTGTGTTTATTGTCGAGATAATTATTTTTTCTTCTTTTTCTTTTTCAATTTCTTCTTTTGTTATTTTTATTTATCTACCTAGATTTGCTCTGTTTATTTATTTTTTTCTTCCAGGATTTGAAATAAAATCTTTAGTTAAGTTGATAGCATACATCTTTATTGAGTATTTTGGGTTGATAATGTTCAACATCAATTTGAGGAGAATAACTATTATTGATAGATTGGTCTGACAATTCATTAATTGTAGAGAGCTATCTTTTCAAAGTGATTGGTATTCTAGTTGATAATGATCTTGAGTAAGTACTTTTTGATTCTTTCCAATCTCTCCATTTCCTTGAGCTTCAATTATTACTTGTCTAATTATTCTTCATAGATCTCTTACAATTCGGATTATTCCTATTACTTTTCAACCTCAACAACTATGAATTCATTTGGACTCTACTTAATCATTTGCTTACCTTATTTTCCCTGTCCTCTACTTAATTTTCGTTTTAGCTCATATTAGCAAGAGGGTCTTTTGAATTTATTTCAGTAGTAATCATAATATTTTATTTAATTTATGAAGTACTCAATACAGAGCAAATACATACTGTACAAAGATCAATTAATAAGTGGATATGTGTGCATTGAGGGTGAGTACATTAAACATATATTACATGAACCCAATGAATTATTAGATCAATACCCTATAAAATACGTGTATGACAATCAAGTGCTCATGCCAGCAGCCATTGATACTAATGTATCATTAAGCATGTGGAATCACATTGAAGAATTTACTAAGTATGAAGTTTATACTAATAGATTGGCAATCGTTGGAGGCACATCCTTAATAGTTAACAAACCTTATTAACTGAATCTTGAGATGGATGCTCAAGAATCATTCCAATCCCAAGTCCTATAATTGCAATCCAAATCACAAACTGATTTTATTTAAATGGCTAAAATTCGATAACAAGAGGATGTACAAAGTCAAGTCCTATATTTGTATAGATCGATAAACTAATGAAGTTAGGAGCATTTTGCTTCGACTGTCATTTGCTGCCTTCCTATTCGGGAACATATTTTAAAGATCTCCAGTAATTGCAATAAGCTTTATAACTATTGCCTTCCTAAGCCTGTCTATTCGTACATACTCAAAATACTGTTGATAAAGATTTGGGTATTACATCGCCTTTCAGGAATAAACCATTTGCTGAGCGATTGAATATATCTTAATTAGATTTGGTTGATGCAGATGGAGTATCAGGATCATGCATTAGCGATGATGAAAATATCCAAAATGATGATCCAAAGTATTTGTAATAAATTGATTATCTGAATGAAAGCAATTCTCCTATCAAGGATATAGGTATCTATTCCAAATCAATATAGTTAAAAAATATAAGAATTCAGATGAAAAGAGAATTTCAGAATTTGATGATTAATACGACGCCCCATAATCACCAAAACTGTAATCCAATATTTATAAATTAAAATCTAAACAGATTACTGAACAATCGTAAATATCTTTGATTAGTAGAGCTGAACTTATAACATATAAGGATGCTCCAAAGATGGAATAGAATTACAAATTTCCTTATGATGATGCAGACAGTATACAATCACAATAATAACAATAATAATAACAATAATAATAGCAATAATAATAACAATTATAATATCCTTCATATAAGATAGAAACTAAGCCTTCCACTCAAGATTAAGAATCCCCATTAGGATCAAAGAAGGACTCAAACCAATAGGATTCCAACCAAAGACACAGTCCTCAAATGTCTATACAATCCTCGGACATATCATCACCAGAAAGTCTCTCTCTAAAATCTGAGTGCAGACTAAGATCAAGAGCATAAACCACTTAAGGACTTCTACAAAGGAGACAATCCAAAACTGGATTTGCATTAGTCTTGCATCAAGTGGAAGATAAGTCAAATGTAAAGCATGGATCTGGGGATATGTTATTACTCAATTTCTCAGAATCAAGGCCTCGATAAAATCAAAATAATAATAATAGATTCAACAGAGACTATTTATGTTTTTTAGCCTTTCGACCTGCAACATGGGAAAAATTTGCGATTTAAAAAGTGAAAAAGATGATCAAGCAATAATTTAAGTGCAACGTAATTCTATATGGGTTTTCTTCTTCCTTTTCTTTGGTAGAGATAAAAGAACTTATCAATAACTAAGTATTTAGTGACATTGGATATCCCTACCTCCTATTAGATAGTGATGACATAGGCGATGGAGTGACTAAATACAAATCAGATCCTCCAATTAGATAAAAATACAATAAGCAATTGTTATAAAAAGGGATTTCATAAAACAATTGGATTAGTAGTATATCAAGTTCACATCTTTATGTTAATGGGTTGTACAAATTTGAAGAATAAGGAGACTTTCGAAAAGCTGTAAGTGGATTGTGCAGTTTGGGATGCACTTACTAGGCTTTGTGGACTTTGTTATTTTGTAAAAAGGATCAAGATCCTAATGTTATCAAATAGGCTTTCTACAATAAGGACACTAATAATCAAAAATATAAAAGAATGGTGTCGAAACTGAATTAACTCCAATAACTTGTATCTTCAGGACCAGCTCAATATTTGAATCTCAAAGACAGGGGAACTATTGAAGTAGGAAAGATTGCAGATTTAGTTGTATTTGATCCATTGAAAGCATGGAAACTGAATTTCGAAAAAATCAATCACATTTTTACTTTTTCACTTGAGAAACACATATTTAAGAATAGATTATTTTTAGGCTCAATTGACTCAGTGTTTATTAGAGGTATCTTAAAATTAATATTTTAGGGGAATTAATTTTACATTAAGAAAATCAAGTAATTTCAATTTAAAATAGATAAGGGATGTAAATATTGAAATGATTTTATATTAAATCACTAATTATATACTACTCTCATTATTTAATTAAAACTTTAATTTCTTGATTTGTTAATTCAATAGTTTGTTATTATTTCTTTTTTATTTCTTACATCTTTGTTAATGAATAAATGAATGAACCAACAAACGACAACGAAATTCCAAAAGTCAAAAAAGTATCTGCCTATATGTCTGCAAATACTAAGATACTCAAAACAGTTGAAAAGATATCCTAAAATATTTTACAAATAATTACTTTTATATTATGAGTTAAAGCAATAGCAAATGGTGAATTTTTCATTGTACAATTATACGTAGCTAAATTTAAAAAGAAACCAAATAATGCGACTAAAGAGAAACTTAACATAAATTCTGTTCGATAAAGGGATTCAAATTCAAAAAACGATTAAATATCCTTAGTAACTATGCTTATTATCAATAAGACTGGCCATAAATTGATGCTATTGTTATAAACTAAGTCAAAGGGACTGAATTATTATGATTGGTTTAGGCTTTAGGCCATATGCAGACTCAAAGCAGAGAGCATATTATTAATTATCAATAATACATATCCTTAGATATCATCATTGAAGTGATCCAAACCTAGATGCATTTATTGATATTAAATACCTGCAATAATTGCTCCTGAAGTAATAAAAAGAACTGAAATAATAAATTTGAAGCTTATTTATTAGTTCTTTTTTCCCATCAGAATTTGAACAACAAAGACAAAAAATATCAAGGTTCTTCTCAATGCTAGAAAGCTAAATTATTATTTAATTTATTACAGTGGTATGCTAATCTTAGATAGGGCAGTCATACCGCAATAGGCGCCAGTTCCGTAGGTGATGGAAAATGGAATAGTTAATTTATTTTATTTCATTCTTTCTTTGAATTGTGTGACAATCAATTACGAGATGGACATCTAAGAGTCTTTCTTTTCCCTCTTTTCCTTATTGTATTTGATTATTTTATATAAAGTGCAAATGACAATATTAATTGTTGTCTCATAGAGAAGTAACTATCTATAATATTTTTATTGCTTACAATGGTAGTATTGTGGAAGGCAAAGATTTTGAAAAGAAACTTAGCTGAGAATGAAAATGCCATCGAACAGAAAGCATAGATCAAACAAACAAAAACGCTTTCAATAATTTTGTTTTACATTAATTTTATTAATAATTCCAATTGTGTTCCTAGCCCCTTCTCATTAATTAATGTGATTATAATTGATTTGAGACTCTTAGATCCCTTTGCTTAAGTGGCCGATTCAAGTTTTATCATCTAAAATAGTGAGATTGGAATTTCAATTTCATTTAATTCATCAATTCTGTTTTTTTATTAAGATTCTACTTCAAGGTCATTTTAATTGCAATTACCGAGATTATTTTAAATTTTAATTATACATTTAATCAATGGGTTCTTGTAATAGCTGCACTTCCTCCAATTATGTGCAGTCAAATATGGAATCAGATGAGGATAGTAAAACGGTTTAAAGGGTGAAATCCATACCAAATAAAGGCACAGGGACTTATGAAAAGAGTAGAACTGATTTGGAAGATAATTTAATTGCTGATGAGAACAGTCTTGAAAACAGTTAGCAAATACCTGCATTTATTTAATAGAGACAGATAACAGAAATAGTTGTGTAAACAAGAATGAATAGGTTTATGAAGGATATTGAAGAGGAAGTAAGATATCGAATAAAATAGATGTAGTTTATACATGATTACCTAGATAATTAGAAGAAAAAGAGTAGTTGGAAAAGCTTAATCAATCACAATAACAACTCATGTCATTTTAGGATTGCAAACAAGATTCAGCAGATTTCAATAGTGCACACTTTAATCAGTCTATCTCATTCTAAAATTCTTAAGATTTCTAAAATATGCAAAATATACCATCTAAAACTTACTTGCCAAGACAGTATTCACAATTCGCCCCCAAAAAAGATAATGACACTGTGACCTATAATTCTTAGGTGAGTTAGACAGTAAATTCTTTCAAATAGAAGACTCCCACAAGAGACAAAAATAAAACCTTCCAAACTTTGAAAGATGAAGAAAAAAGTGTATTAGCGAGTTTTGGAAGTCAACAAAACAATCCTCGTAATTCAGATTCCCAAGATGTTTAATTCAGTGATCACTTTCGAGATTAGGTTTCGAGTAATGCAAGCAAAGAACATAGTGTGAGAAGCATTTTAAAAACCAGTTAACATATTCAAGGTTTAAAGAGAAATTACTCAATCAAATCTACTTATACAAATGTTAAACATAAAAAAGTCTCATTCTCAGTAGATACAAATTACTTTACTTCCCGAACTACAAAAAGAAATTAAACTAATTTATTAAATAAAGCATGACCAAATTACACATTTGATTTCATCTTATATTTAACATTTTGTATTAGAATTGTTACACTATCTCTATACACATCATATACATATTCTAGAATCTATTGATATCTATTTAATCATATTTACTTAGAATGATATTATCTCTATTGAAATAATTCATAATTCTCTGTAATTAATTGATAAATTCCTTGTTGTTTTAGAACTCTATCATGAATTTAATTTTAAGATGTGTAGTTTTATTAAATTTAGCTATGTGTTGAATATTAATAAAACATTGAAATAAAAATTATATATATAGTTGAATGTTGTATGATCCAACCACTTATAAAGGAATAAAAGGTGGCACCTAATTTAATGAAACGGAATTCTTTGAAGCCATTGCCAATAAAGCTCCTAAAAGCAAGTCTATTCAATCCAATTTAAGGGTTAAAAATCAAACTAAGGTTCTTTTTAGCAACTAAAAATAATCTACTTAAAGTGCAGAAAAAAAGTACAGAGTACCAAAAATAAAATCTCCCTTAAAATTCAAAGCCTATTAGTAAAGTGAATCTTCTTGTTCTCTAAATTGTGAGGAATATATTTCGAAAATAAAATAATGGAATTAAAATATCAAAAATAAGATAGCGAAAACACAATAGTCTTCTCCACCTAAGAAAGGCATACTCGACTAATGCATTGACTCCTATATGAAGAAATAGAAAATTAAACAAATTATGACATGAATATGATATTTTTCATTGATTTTCATATTTATCTCTACATTAATTTTATTATATGTCTAAAATTTCTTTGGTATTTGTTGTACGATTTTACATTAATTGCTAATATTAGTTTTATGGAATTGTGAAATTTAATTGCCATTGTTAATTATTTATTGGTTTGGCTTCGTCTTCAGTTCTTTTCATAAATTTTAGGCTTTTAATGTTATCTGATAAATTATTCATTAAATTTAATAATGATGTCTCATCGTTCGTAAGGACCTCTTAGAGGGCAACATTACAGGCAAGCCAACTTAACTTAAATGGGAATCAAGATCATTGATTAGAAAAGCGAGTCAATATATGTTGATTCCGAAGTTTCTATTAAGAAACGAAAACAGAAGAACCCGCTTGAGATTAATAGGGGCTTATATAAATCTTAAACCTATAAGGAAATTTATAAATAGGATTCCTTAAAAGAAAATGATAAATTTGATTCTCCTTTGGATTAATCTGTGAATTAGCCTCTCTGTGTAACAAATAAATTTTCTAACTCTCTACGCAAATACAATGTGTAAGGACTTACCAGAATCTTTATTCAGAAATTACTCTACAATTTAAGGATTTCTTAAAAATAATAGAACCTAACAAAGAAATTTCAAAAATTCATAGAAGATAAGGCAAGTGATACAATTAATGAGGAATCAGAAGACAAAGAACCTTTGAATTGTAAATTATTTTTAAAAGATTCTTATGAGAGAACTCTATTGGATCTATGCTTAATTTTGATTTTAATCTCATACAGCATTTTGGTTCCTATCTTCAATGACAGATTTGAACTACTTTTAATATTTGGTAAGACTATATCCTTATCATAGTGTTTTTATATTCAATTTTTAAAGTAATCGATTACAAAACATGCTGCTTTATTGATTTGCCAATAATTAGTATCAATATTTTGGCATTTTACTAAACCCATTTTGTATTTGCAAACATCATAAACGTGATCAAGCTTTACCAATTGTTGAAATCAATCAATATCTTGACTGAAAAGAAATTGATTCGATTCCTCTTTTCGATACTCATAATAATAATACATGTAAATAATAGTGCATAATTTTGGAAATTCTTAATAGATGAGGATTTAGAATACAAATATTTGTTATGTGAGCAAATAACCTTATTATTTAATTTTGATTTCTAAATATAGGACTAAAATTATAAAATTTATAATTCTGTGAATAGAATTTTAAGTTTTTTAGTTTTATTGTACTTTTCACAACAATTCATTAATTTCATTAAACTACCAAGTGATTTAAAAAAAAAAGAGGAACTATTTGAATAGTTACTAAGAAAAAACACAATGAGCAAACAACCTTTCAGAATATAACATTAAGTTAGATAATTATTGTGGTCAAAAGTTCAGAATTACAAACAAGTTGATTCACATCCAAGTCAACTAGAATTGAATTTTCCAAACGAATTAAGAAGGTCACTGAATTTGCATAGTTATCTGGATATTATTTAAAAGTCTACATTCATAAAATAATAATTCAGTCCCTAATTCTAATCAAGTTTATCCGAATTTGTTAAAGAATAGACAGTAGAATCAGGTGAGATCATTTAATAAGAGAACTCAAGCGTGAGTAAATTGATATTCCTAATAGAAGGAGAGTTATCAATTAAGATCAATAATAGAAGAGTTCAGATCATAAAAAAATTTAGTATTGTAAATCAATATGAATTTTTTGCTTGCTAATTATCACCATGTAATGTAGTGGCAAAATCCAGATGCAAAATTATTGTCATTGACTATCAATAGTTTTATGATTTAGTTTGTATGCATAATCAAGATTTTCAGATTTACAGAATGTGGTATGACAGAATGATACACTACAATCAAAGGTGTGTATATAAAGTATCAATTAGTACTTATTTTATAGGTGTGCTATATTTGTATGGACAACCACGAAACTTGTATGTGTCCAGCAGTGTTTTATTAGCCAAACTACAATAAAATTGTTTCGAATAGTACATATACTATCCCCAATTTGAGATTAAAATACCATAGATTCGAGAAAAAGAGAGTTTCCTCTTTGACTTAATAAAATCTAATCAGTATCACAGCTGTAAACTGGGCCCAATAATTTAATATAATTTCTAAGAATACAGATATGGTAGATTAATTTTTGGGAAAGCAGGACAGAGAAGAAGAATACTAACTATTTGCTGATGAGGATCACACATCAAAATATTTAACTCAAACTTACACTCATTAGTAGAGTATTAAATCCCCAAAAACAAATAAAACTGGGATCACTGGAAGAGAACGAGATCGAGTTCATACTGATTCGAATATCAATAGAACACTAACAATAAGAACTTTGAAAGCCTCTGAAAATGGAACTACAAGACTAAAACCCAATAATAATGTAAATAGCAATAATGACTCAATTGTAGTAAGTAACTCTCCCTCTCCCTTATAATAACCTAATAAAACTCCCTTGATGCTATTTACAAAAGAATAAATGAAAAGACAATCCAATATCAGCAGTAGTTTTACCATTGATAGAGGTTAAGACAAGAAGTCGTCATTGTAATCTTAATAATAGCCAGTTCATTCAACCAGTATATTACAAAGTAAAGAGATTGTCCAATAATTGTAAAGCAATTTAGGTAGTCCCAATATGTTAAATACTCAAACTAAACTAAATGGTAATGATTTTAGTATAAATTGGCATCGCTCTGATACATAACCTATAGTAATTATAATAGTTGTATATTAGTTTTCGGATTTGATTGGTTCGGTTGGTTAGTTAATATTAATTCGAGACTTTGAAAATATGTAATTCTATGAATGGTATTTTCCAAAACACAACTACATTATAGTAATTGAGAGATTTAGAAAGTATTTAAGTAAAAAATTCAATAGCAGATGATTTTATTTATTTATCTAAATAAAAATAAACAATTACTTTTAAGAACTTTTAATATTGAGTGCTAACATCATTGATGTCACACTCTAATTGCTATAATAAAATAATATAATTGTGTAAATAATCTGATTTCAACAATGAGTTAAGTTCATGACTATCTCGGTTATCGAAATATTTTGAATATTATTATAAAATTATGGAGGATATTTAATTGATCGTAAGAAGGATAAAGCGTTTAGGAGAGCCTCGTCTGAATCTTTCAGGCAAGTCTTTGATCAGTATACCACCTGAAATCTATTAATTGAAATTAACTCATTTGGATCTAAGCTTTAATAAGATCACATCAATTGAATCAAAAATAGCAGGATTAACGAATTTGGAAGAGATTGATTTAAGCAACAATTGTATTGAGGAAGTGCCAGAAGAATTATTGAGCATGTCTAATTTATAAAGTTTGAATCTAAGCAATAATCCTCTATTACCTAAATTCTAAGCATTGTAAGGTCACATCCATCAGCCTTAATTAAATTAAATTCTTCAGAAGGTGTATCAAATAAGTCCAGGATCAAATCAATTGCCTAAGCAAGAGAAGTAGCCAATAATTGAAAGGCCGAAAACTCAAAATCGAGCTGTGAGATAAATATCTGAATTACAACATACTAATCATGTGCTAGAGATAGATTCAAATGAATTTGAAGTGCATGAAATAATTTCATAGGGAGGCTTTTCGATTGTGCATAGAGGGTATTTGAGAGGTACAGAAGTAAGTCTTATTGTGAATTTTAGATTGCAATTAAGAAAATATTCAACCCTAACATTACATAATAATTATTGGATGAAATCAATAATGAGATAGAAATGTTATCATTACTAAGACATCCCAATATTGTATTATTAATGGCCTGTTGTACAAAGCCACCAAATTTAGTAATTGCCACAGAATATGTTTAAGGTGGAAGTTTATATCATTTATTGCATAAAACAAAGTATTTAGATTTGAAATAGATAGTCATCAAATAAATGAGCAATTCAAATATTCTATTGCAATTTAAGTAGCAAGAGTGCTTCAATACATGCATTAAGCAGGAGTAGTACATAGAGATATTAAATCACATAATGTACTTCTGTAGGGACAGACAGTAAAATTATGTGATTTTGGTTTGACAAAGAGAAGTGTAATAATATTGTATAGATATGGTAGTCTGAGTTGAATTAGGGATATTAGTAATTTAGTGGTACGCCTACATACATGGCACCTGAACTTTTTGCTAAAAGGGTTTAGTTAATAAATATGCATAATAGGCTTACGATAAGAGTGTTGATTTGTTTGCTTACGGTACTTTGTTGTGGGAGATCTTTGCAAGAGAGATTCCTTGGGATTGTTTGGAGATGCAAGAGATAGTTCAGAAGGCAATGAAGAATGAATAATTGCCAGCTAGAAATGTTCCAAAGAATATCTTGCAATTGGTGAATGATTTGAGAAGCAAGGACGAGACAAAGAGGCCATCGATGGATATAGTAGTTAAATAGTTAATGAATAGATGATTTATATATAAATAAGATAAAATGATAAGGTTTGCTAAAATGTTTAAAGGATTGAACCATAGATAACAATATTGGCACATCGTTTCTAAGAGAAGTATCTGAATTGCAACTATATATATAGATGTCTAAATAACATTCAAGGATGATTTGCTGGTGTTGACTTTTCCATTTATAATGGGGTCAAAGATGTTTTTTGCTCATTCGCAATATTCATTTTTGACTTTGTAGGAGCAATTATAACTAGAAGAATCAACAAAAGTGGAGTTCAATTTGGACGGGACAGACTTAAGTTTGAGTAGCAACCTTTTCAATTATATTTTGAATGACAAAAAAAACAAGGCAATTAAAATGCTGATTTAGGATGAGGAATTCACAGTTACACCAGCCTATCAATTAAGTGAAGCTAAGATGCTAAATTAATAAACTTAATTGAAACATTCTCCATAAAAGAGATATATTCAGATGGTCAATATGGGAATGGATCCAAGTCATGCAAATACATTGTCATGGTTCTTGAATTCATGCAACATATAATAGAATCTCACAGAAAAAGAAATAGTCTAAGTGATGGAATAAGGATTATCTATATTGAAATAACCAACTAAAGATAAGTTATATGAGTTGCAACATTTGATCAATATATTGGAGGCTGAAATTTGCAAGTAAAGACAACAATTAGATGTAATGATTGGATAGGCTGAACAGACTGGTTATAGATGGTTAACTCTCCTATTTGTGTTATCTGTATTACAGATTGGAGCATTTTATTATGGAATCTACATGGTTGATGAATGGGGTTGGAATGTGTGTGAACCTTTCACTTATACATTTCAATGTGTTACAGTTTTACTCGGAATGATCTTTTATGTGAGATACAGAAGACAAAGAGAAATCGAATCAATCAGATGGGCATTTATGTTCAGGTTTATGATATTCATATGATAGGAAGTAAATAAAGGAGAGAAATTGGAAGGATAGATGGAACCATTTGAATACACTGATTTCTTTGAAAGAAGAACAAAAAAGAGGCTTAGAATTAAGAAAAACAATTCTATACAATAGAATGAATTATCACTATTATGTGTAATAATAGAAAAAATGATTTATATCAATATACATAAATAGCAACATTATCAATTCCCCATGATGCCTAACATGCGTCTTTCTTCCCCAAAGTTGTAGAGAACTCCAAATTCACAAATGAATTTATGTGATATAAAGTGAGTCTAATAGCTTATCCTATTTAATCTGGAGCCTCACCTCCACAACTGTTGATTCCTTGCTTATAACATAACCAAGGCATAACTTTATCACACCAATTATACGTATCCTACCATACAATCAGTTTATCCACCTTTAACTATCCGATTTCTCCCTACCATTAATCAATGAAGTGGAAGTTAAAGGAAATTGTAATGTATTCATGAGATGGCAAACCTACAAAAGTTTTAGAGACTGTATTGTTTGAAAAGTAGCATGGTCCCCCCAAGAAATAGTTCTGGATTGTCTAACATTAAGAAACCCTTGTATCACTCCAACCATCTAATGGAATCTCGAAATCATCTAAAACGAATAACATTGGCTATTGAAGATCTCGGAAATAAAATTTGTTCTCTGGATCTATTATCTTGACTCCATCTGAAGTTGAAAATCCTGTCAAGATCTCGAACTCGTGATCGTTGATTTTGTATGTAAACAATGGTTCCCCGTTTACACTGATTATACATTATCTTAATAAATATTTTGTTATTTTATTACTCATCTTCTGTTCCCAATCTATAAACCAATCGTTTTGTGTTTCCTGATTTCGGCTGTATTATTTGGATGGATGCCAATTTGCTATCTTCTGATATGATTGACAAATAAGTCGCTGAGATTATTTGTAATAAAAATATTAACATTATTATAAAATATAGTAATCAAATTCTATGGATTCAAAGTATAAATCAGAAAACAAATTTGATTAATCAAAGTGATTATAATCAACTATTAAGTAGTGCAGTTGAAATCAAACCACCAGATACCTTAGTCTTCGAGGTTTTGCCCAATCAAAAGAAGATATATGCCAGAGTAGAAATCTTCAACAAAGCACCCCAAGATGTGATGTTTCGTATCAAAACTACAGCTCCTGATTTCTATGTGATTTCTTATGACAAAGAGCGACCCATCACTACCTTCTCATCTTATGCCATTGATATTCTCTTGATTTGTGACCAATCAAGAATTTAACATCGTCTCAAAGATAAGTTTCTAATTTAAGTTGTTGAAAAATAGAAATATGATGCAGCTGCAAACGATGACTCAAGGTGGTCAATTCTACTCAAAGAACAAAAATTAACTGTTAGCCTCATTCGGAAAGATCTGTATTCATCACAGTAATCATAAAAAACACAATTACCACCCAGTTGTATCAAGCAGTAATCCGTTGGTTAAATAGTTTAATCTCGCTTTTTATAGGGTTCAAATGCACTTCTCAATTAAGGGTTCTCTAATCCGTATAATTAAGAGAGTAGCGTAATACAAACTGATGAAGATAGGAACATGAAAATTAAATTAGATTCATTGAAGTAAAAATATCAAGAATAGGCCAAATTGATTGTAATGGTATTTTTTTATATTATAGGAACAATATAAATTTGATATTAACGAATTACAGAATGAAATAGATAGAAACTCATTCATCTATGATCTAGAGAAGAAGAAAGAATAGAATGATTAGCCTGAAGAAAATATATCAACAGCCTTAAGAGATAAAACTGGAATACCATTGTGGGAACTCTTTATTGCGGCTACGATTGCCTTAATTTTAGGTGCTCTACTCAATAGAAAATGAAATAATGTAATCATCTTAAGTATCTGTTCTTTTTAGGCAAATATTATTAAACGTTTTCTTTGTGTTTCTCTATCATCAATTAAAGTAGTTCAAATTCCTTCTATTTATTTTATGCCTCATTTAACTACTTGGTCATTCTAGGTTTCACTTCCTTAATATTAAGTATCCTGTGAATGGAAGAAGACTTTATAAACTCTTGATGATGATCAGTCTTCAGATGAGTTTTTCTGTGTTTCATATGATTTGTCTGACAATTTTATTATCTATCAGTCGAAGCATTAATTTGATTCATCTCTTATAGGGGTTGTAAGATTTATTTATTAGAAGAACTCAATTACATAATTTCCTTACTTTAACTTAATCTTAAATTGTGCTTTTGGTTGCTGAATAGTTTCTTATCGTTCTTCCTTCACTTCTGGATTCTATTGGTATTGGTGATAGGCATTGTATTTTGATTGTTCATTAACTTAAAGAAATTCCATGATTCTCTTTAATTCCGATATTTTGTTGTTTTTATTCATATTGTGATTCGGTAAAGGCATCTAACTTGAATTTCTAATTTAGATCAATAGATCAAATATATAATATCAATGAGTACTTGATTTATATTATTCTTAGTCTTATCGGTGTTGACATAAACTCACACTTCTTTTGGAGAATTTCTACTTATGCATTGCTTATTCTATTGAGACTTAAAACAAAAAGTACAATTGATAGGTTTAGAGATTGGGGGAACTGCCTTATGGTCATATTCCTAGAGCCAGCCAGAGATTGATTGGGAGTTTTCAGATAATTCCATTTTTTAAATATATAGTTGTTAAATTAAATTAACTTAGGACTTGATTAAAATCACTTGAATAGATTGTTAAATATTGAGGATTTGAGTAATACATGATTCACGAATAAATACTAAATTAAGTTTCAATTTTGTTTATCTGATTCAACTTTGACTTGTTCGACCTGTAGTAATTGGCCTTGAGTCTGATAAGTCTTGAGTATAAATGTATATGGATACTTGAAGCATCATCAATAATTGCATGTTGATCATTTTTTACTGGGCCAACTCCCTTTAACATATTGCCAAAGCCATCTAAGCATTGGGTTCATCTAAATTTGGAGTGGAACCAATCTGACTTTGAGAGTTTAAATAATTTAATTGCTATTGCACTATTAATGGATGTTAATTTATAGTCCTATCAGCAGGCTAAAATAGTTATGTTGAATAAGCAAACCCTCAAATCAGGCGAAAATGTTCTTCTGTGTTAAGGGGCTTCTCTTTCCAAATCGTACATTGATTGCACTTTTCTTGTGTTAATGAAATGATAATCTGAATCATCCTTCTTTTTTTTGTTTCTGTCTCTTGTTTTCTTTTTTCCAATTCTCCCTTCTTTTCTATAGGTTTACAGGATGGCCTTTGCTGTACTAAAATTGACTCCGAACTCTTTTGCAGCCTCTTTGATTGTCGCTTCCTTAGATAGAATGCGTTTAAGCAATTAAACTCGGATCTAATGATCAATGACTGCGTATTTCTTTCCATTATCCTTCATACTTGAATTAGGATTGTTGTTGTGTCTAAAATAAGAAAGGTTCATACTAAGAGTTGGGGGAGAAGTGATCGCCACTGCTATCATCTGAATGGATCATTTTAATATTTCTATAAGTTTATAAATATTTTATGTATATTTTCCAAAGTGAAATGTCAGAAATGAATTCGTCGTAAAGGGATTAAACGCATTTCCAAAAGGATTGAATTGGGTTATGCAATTCAATTGAGATTAGAAATTTAATAAGTTTAAATATTATCTTAATATTATATTATATTTTAATGATTCCGGCATCTCTATTTTAAAGAAACAAAAAGGATATAAAAAAGCAAGTCTCCGAGAGTGATGAAGATGAAACTCCTATGAGGAGAAAGAATAAACTCAATTTTTAAAATCTCTAGTTGGTTGATTTCAATGAGATAGCAGATTAAGAAGAATTGGAAGCAGCTAAAGAAGAAGTTTAATCAAGTATTTGGAATCCATTCTATAAGATCGATTTAAAAACAATAGCATAAGAGAAGAAGAAGAATCAGATCAAAGCGAATCAACTTCAAGAAAAAAATCTATTAAATAACTCCGCTTACCTCGATTGAGTGACAAGAGACAACTAAACACTTCAGAACAGATGGATTAAGTCAAAGAAAATTAATAAAGCTAAGAAGAACCAATGGCTGAACCCATGGCTGAATTTGCCAAAACTCCTTCTCCAAATAGAGCTTCGAGCAGATCTCCGAATCAGCAAAGTCAAAAACAGCCAACAGTTCAAAATCAAGAGGGTATTGTGGTATTTTGATCATTAGACAGTAGCTCTGAATTCGATATATTTAGCCCAGATAAATCTATGGAAAAGGAATAGGCTCCAAGAAACATTGAGTTAGATGAAAAGTTAAGCAAACTCACTCAAGAAGCCAACGCGATCGAAAGAATATTACCCAATTGCATCATTAATCCATATGGGAGGTTTAAATCTACTTGGAGTGGAATAATGATTCTACTTCTCGTTTATGTGTAATTAATTTATTAACTAACCAATTAGAGTTTTAATCTTACCAGTTCGTTTGGCGTTTGAAACAAACACTCAAGAATTGCTGGGACTGGATTTGACAATAGATTGTATCTTTTTCTTTGATATGGTTTTTACATTTTTCACAGCCTACGAAGATGAAAGAGGTATTGTGATTGTTGAATTCAAAAAAATTGCCATCAATTATTTGAAAGGTTGGTTCTGGATTGATCTTGTTTCAACTTTCCCTTTGTACTTGATATTGGATCCCTCAGTACTCCCAGGAGCTTCGAGTGTTAATGGACTGCTGAGACTGGCAAGATTACCAAGGATATATAAATTGGTTGGAGTTTTGAGAGTAGGTAATCTAATAAAACATCAAACAATACAAAAATTGTTTTTCTTCTTAAAACTAAACAAGGAATATAGTTTAATTTTGAAATTCATAATTTTAACCTTTATCGTTATACATTTAGCTGGATGTTTTTGGTATTTCATTGGCACCATAAGTCCTGATCCAAATGACAATTGGATTGTTGTATATATACCAGATGGCACCTCAGCAGTAGAATAATATATAGCGAGTGTTTATTTTGTATTGACTATTTTGGTTACCGTTGGATATGGTAACATTTTGCCAGTAAACAACATGGAATATGTGGTGGGAATCATCTTTCAATTCCTGGGAGTAGCCTTCTTTGCTTACGTCATGGGTACATTGACATTTACATTTGCCAAACTCTCCTAAAAATTAACCATGATTAAGGAACGGGAAATATTTTTTAATGAACTGGCTCACACTTATCAACTGCCCAAAGAAACACACGAAAGATTGTTGATGTCCATTTAAAACTCTATTTTTTCTCATTCAAACTAAATGCTAGAATTTTATAATGAAGAAGACATCATACAAGAATTGCCACCTTTGGTTTAAGGATTAGTGTGTGAGTTTATATTTAAGGACATTATTGAAAAAATTAGATTCCTTTAAAATAAACCAAGGGGTTTCTTAAGAAGATTGTTTCGATCGATGGTTCCAGTATTTTTAAATAAAGGAGATGCCATTTTCTTTAGAGGAGAACCTGCAGATTTTGTTTACTTTGTTATCTAGGGTAGATTGGCTACAAAATGTGAGGATCAGAATGGAAAAATTAGAACTCTAATTCACGTTGAGGGATCATATTTTGGAGAAGTAGATATCTTAGTATCTAGAGCAAGAGGAGAATCTGCAATCGCAGAATCATAGGCAGAAGTGTGGAAGATCAGCAAGGAAGCTTTCCTTAGGATTCTTAATGATTATGAAGATGTGAAGATGGAGATTTTAGACTATGCTGTTAAGAAGGAGAAGAGTAGGAAGAGCACAGTTAAAATAGTGAAGAATGCTCAGTTTTTTGAGTTGATAGCTAAATCAAAGAAGGATTAGATTTGTTTGAATAAGGCGTAATTAATCTTGAAGGTCAAGGAGAAAATGATTAATTCTTTGAATGAGATAGTAAAAAATAAAACGGAAAATGGAAAGGAGTTGTTTCCAAATCTCTCTGATTTAGATCTCTTTTTGGATAAAGTTAGCGAATACAACAAAGTATATATTTTATCAAGTACGCATTTAGATTAAAAAGAAGTTACAAATAACAGATCAAGATTTGACTTCACTTTAACATCTAAGAAGCACAAATTATACGGATCCAGAAATCGAAGATTCTCTATTAAAAGGGATGAGAGTCTAATCTCATCTCTAATCAATTTAAGAATATTTGTGATTTTATAGTCAATTGATTAACTTTATGATTCATTCAAATTTGTATCTGTTCTTCTAGAACCATTTGATGTGGTAGAATATTTATCGAGTCTGCAAGTACAAGCTAAAGCGATGGAACAATTTATGATATAATGGGAAATGTTGGTATGACAAATCAGACAACACATAAATGATTGAGGCAGCCAAGCCACAAACTTAGTAATAATATGATATGATTACAATAACTCTTTTTTGATGTGGCTTAATATCTTTGAATAGCATAAATTAATTAAATTGTTAAAGGTATACTATAAAACACTTTCATATAATACAATATCCAATTTGTATTGTCATTTTTAGTTTCATATAGCATTAAATAAAATCCTGAAGCAATTATAGGGAAAACTATTATAGATTGAGGTTTAGGTAATTTCGATTTCAGATAAGCTTTCTTTTTACGGAATATCTCCTTCTTCTACCTTTTTTCAAACACATAAATGAAATTCCCCATAGCCAAAAACATTCCACAAATCAAATGTTCAAAGAAATATAAATTCATGAATCTCTCATCATGTGCAAATTGATGAAACAAATGGGCTGCAAATATCCATCATTCATACCGATTGATTCTGCGAGCAAAGATAGCATCATTACTGTCGATCCCAGCTCTCCCCTTACCAATCTATTCAAAGTCAAATGAACTATCATAAACAATGGCAAACAAGAGAATATCCCGTGCAAAATCTTCTCATCTTTGAAATAGATTGACAACATAAAGCTAATCCAATAAGTGACATCAGCATAAAAAGGTAATTCCGGTTTTGGTGGCTACTTTCCACTTCTGTACATTAGCTTAAAAATAATTAATTAAAAATTCAAAACTATTTTGGAAATAATATGATGAATTCAGACAACTTTCATAAGGGGACTGAGTGAAGAAATGATGTTGATTTTATTCTGAATATATTAATCAATAGAATCCTCTATCTGCAACTTGGATGAGTTAAACCTCATTAATCATAATGTCCTATTCATTCATCAAGGCCTCAACGATTTCATTAGTTTGTCTTTCTAGATCAGCTGACATCTCCTCATTCTAATTTGAATCAGCTTGAACTTCAGGAATATCATTGACACCAACATTCAATGGGGTTTCTTGAAGGGCTTATTCATCAATTTTGAAATCTTCATCAAATAAGGGCATGCTTGTGTCAATATCTGCAAGTGCATCGATTTCCCCTAATTGGATCAATGAGACTTCTTCGTTGGTGATGAGAGTTTCAGTGGCATAATATTCATCTTAGGGAGTAGTTTGACTATCTTCTGATGTCATTGGGGCCTCTGATCCTTCAAAGCTCTCAGCACTGGTACCCATGTCTGGTGAATTGCCATCATTTGAATAGACCACTTCTGGTTTTGCACTTTCCATCTAATCGAGGGTTTCTTCAACGTAAGGAATGTTGTCAATCACATCATCATTGTAAGATTATTCCATTTCAATTAAAGCTGTGGCTGTTGAATGCTTAAGTGCTTATTCAATGGCGTGAGTTGTCGATTTAGCAGCCTTATTGATTTAAAATTATTATTTTGTAAGAGGTGGTGTTACTTACACTTCAGATTTGCTGATCACTCCAACATCATTGCTCAAGTCATGAACTTCTCCTACAGTGCTTGTCTATTTAATAAGGCATACCTCTTCTTATGTCTCATATTGTGACCACATACTGCACAAATAACTACCAGAGCCAATATAGCAATTCTCATTTATTTTAATTAATGATCCGTTTTATACATAGTATATTAAAAACATATTCAATTTTATAGTAAATATTTTGGTATAAATCCCAGACTAGCCTGAATATCATAGAACTATGATTAAGAATGATCTTTAGAATCTGTCTTTTCCTTCGTAGAAAACTTGAATTTAGGACCATCAGTAATATCCCTATTGATCTAATATCTTCCTGGACCCACAAGAGATTGCTCTTATTGCTTCTCATGCTTGCCTGCAATATGGTAACTGGGTCCTCTTGAAAAAGTATCATTTAAGTTGTATTTTCCTGGTCCCTTAAAAATTAAACTTATCAAATACTGGTAGAGAATCATGAATAACCATTTATTCTTTTGAAGACTTGCCAATAACAGGTCCCAACTTAGAAAGACTGACTCCCAAATAATAAGTTCCAGGCCCAGGAGTATACTCACTTTTCTCTTGCATTGTTTTCCGCTCTGCATTTCCAAAACTTGAATATTTAGAGGGAGGCTTGTATTGAGATATATCATAATTCAAAGGAGAAGGTCCTTATTACAATAACATCTGGCTTCTATTCGAGGTTCCAATCCTTAAGCATCAAATGTAAATGTACTTAGTTCCTTTAGAGATTTACTCAGCAAAAGATTTCAATTGATATGTCCCAGGACCAGGCACAAACTACTTTTCACTCTAAGCTTGTAATTTCTTTCCAAATGAAATCCCTTACTTGCTTTGCACAACCGTAAGGAATGCCCCAGGTCCAGGAGTAGGATCGAGTTTATCAATAGTCCTCTATTGCTTTGGGAATCTATCCTTATTATTCCAAAAGGTTACTTCATGCTAGTTTGCACTTTAAGAGTTTCCAAATTATAAGAACCAGGTCCAGGCCCATTAGAAAGCAGCATATTTAAGCGGGTGCTTGTTGTAAAACCTTTGTTAATTGGTTGAAGTGAATGGCTTTCTTTAATATCATAATGGCCTGGTCCTGGCGTATTTAGAACATCGTTTCCAGGATTTTCGAATTTATTTTAGAAGGTAAATGCTGGAGATTTCTTTTGATCACTCCAATTATAAGTGCCTGGTCCGATGTCAAGAGGGAGTTTCTCTTATTCTTGAGCTTTGCTAAATTTGATGTTTGGAGGATTGGGTTGAATAATCTAATTTCATGATTATATACCGATAGATTTGGATCGTATGCTCCTGGCTCTGGAATTGGCTTGGGTTCATAAAGTTATTTGCGGACTGATTTTGAAAATTTGAATCCTGATGATTGAGGAGTTGTCAGATTGTAATGATCAGGTCTAACATTAATTGAATAGTCAATACCCAGGAGTGTTATTCTGAGTTCCAAGTGCTAAGGAAGTTCATCATTAAATTACCTTGTATTTTTTTGCCAATACTAAAGGCACCTGAGAAAGAAGAATTGGGACCATGAATCATTATATTTTATTAATGTAATGTAATGATCCTTAATTTACATTACTAAATATTGAGGAAGAATGGAACAACGTTAACAATGGACTTTAGAATCCTTTGAATTTAGAACCCTGGAATGGGAATTACGATCACATTTTCAAATAGGATAGAAACTAAATATCTCCAAAAAAGATGCAGATAAAAATCCCAATTAGAATGACAACTCAAGCCAGAAGGAGATCAATGGAAACCAATTATCCAAGTCGTCAGGATAGTTGTCCTAAGATAGAAATCAAATAATATTTGCAATCATTCTAGAAGAGTAGTCTGTCTCCTCGAAAGAATTCAACTCAGAAATATAGGAACTCTTGCATCAAAACTCTATTCCAAAAATCCTTATTGAATAATTCGATGTCATGGACTGAGTATTATAAAATGATACAGAAGAATAGAAATGAAGATATTTTGAACAACAATAATGTAATTGGTTAAAATATTAAACCACTCTAATCTGATTAAAAATAATTGGCTTTGAATAATTTTAGAATGAAATTAAAATAAAAAACGAAGAACAAAACTGTGTATTGAATTCATAGTTATTATTCATCCAAATGTATTAGGATTTCATGTGCAGTCGTTGCTATAGAATTCCATTTATGAAAGAGCCAGATGTCTTTCAATTTGATAGAAAATTGAGATGTTATTAACAATTCCTTGAACTCTTCATAGATTTATTCATCGTCTGATTAATAATAATCGAGTATCTGCTGAATCAAATGCAATTAATTCTTAAACAATTTTCGATTCTATTGTTCTGAGTCTATCACCTAATTTACCAACAAATTAAAAAAATTAATGTGTTCCTAATTTTCATAGATGTTGAAATGGACATACTGCAATTGTCCACTTCTGTCTTAATCTAAAAATGTTTACAAGACTACTCTCCATAAAGTGCCTAAGATCTTTATATTGTGACTTGTTTTTAATATAGTACAAATAGGTTTAACTAATTTTTGGCCAAAAATTGTGAGTTCATGTAACTAATTCAATATGTTGCCATTATCAATTAAAGCCAAATTATACAAGATATCCGCTCCTCTCTTAACAAACATCTATTCTTATTTATTGAGCAAGAAATACACTGTTTCTGCAATTTCCCCAAACTTAAGATGTAATGATTTATCCTCCATTTAAGTCCAATATTTCAGGAACTAGTTTAAAATATACACTAACTTTAGCTGCGTAGATAATTATTTGTGAATTGTGTGGCTGATTCTCAATATCATATCCTTGTGAATACAATATCATCTTATCTACAATTCTTAACATTTTCAAATTATCACTGAGTTCATCCTCGTAAGTCTATTCTTCGACTGATTTCATCATCCAAACAGCTGCATCGATAGTCTAAATTAATTCTCATCCTTACATCCAATAGATTCAGATTATTATTTTTGTGGAGTACCTCAAATATTGTATCCACCATCATTTGTAGAACTTCCCCTTGAAGGTTTTCCCCCTTTTCAAGTTTATCTCTGATTGTATTGGACATTTCCTGCATTTCTGCTTATTGGGAGAACAGAGATTGAATGTAATTTTTTCTTGATTCCTTGAATTACTTTTCATTTCGTTATTTACGGATATTCACATGAAATTACTCTCTTTTCAAACTTATAATCCCCGCGTAATCAAGCATTTTATTAGATTCAAATTTAAATAATAATTCACTTAAATATTTGTGAAAATTCATCAAGTGTAATCCCATCCCTATCATTTAAGTTCAAATATTTGAATATTTATTCCCTCTCATATGGTTTCAATCTTCTATCTATAACTAAACACAATTTTGAGAATTCTGTTTAATTCATTTCCTCTCTCATACTCTTAGCAAAGTTCTTGAATATCAATTCAATGTCAATCTTATTGTCAGCCACTATCCTTCTCAAATCCTTAATAAAATTCTATGATCATTATATTGTAATCTTACTTAAATTAAGTTCTCTTTGATTTAATATTTTTGAGTGTCCTGTTTTACTATCAATTATTCTCTGAATTCATCGATATTGATGGTCCTATCATTATTCGTATCAAATTTAGCAAAGATCTAAACATATTCAACATAAATACAGCTTGGATATCATCATCTTTGATGTCCTTTGCTATCTCCTTAATCATAAAACTGAATTCCTCGTAATCCAAGTCCCCCATTTGATCTTTATCATACTTAGCAAAGATGTCTTCTACTTTCAAATTATTCGCTCTAATTATTTCCCTTAAGTCTATTATGATTCTTTCAGCAAAATCCTCCTTCACATAATCATAATCAAAGAATATCCTTTTAAATTCCTCAAATCCTATTGTTTCGTCCTTGTTTATATCCATTTTCTCAAACAATAACTTTATTTCTTTTCCAGTTAATTTTGGATCCAATTATATCAAAAAAGTGAAAAATTCTGAAAAATCCAATGAACCTCCCTCATCCTTATCATACTTCTGGAACTACACAAAAACATCCAAGCCTCTGCTCTAAACTATCTTCTATATTTAAGCTAAGATCCTCTGGCACTCTTAATCTAAAGGGTTCTCCATTTTCTATAAATAGAATAATCATAATTACATAGTTCCTCTCTATTTCATTCAGTATCACATGTTAAAACAACTGGTCCCATGAAATCCTATCTTTCTCGTCCTTCTTTAAACATTGCTTAATAAAATCTTAATATTCATCAGACACTCTAATATCAACAGGAAACTTCAATGGTTGATTTTTTATGTTAAATGCATATGAAGGAATATCTCTGCAAGGCCATGGTTATTTACCATAAACCATCTCATACGCCATGATTCCAATTGACCATATGTCACTTTTGGCAGTGTAAGCATGTTTTTCTAAGAGTTGTGGAGCCATATAGAGAGGAGTTCCAACAGACTACTTAAAAATCTTAACATTGTTGTTAATGTCAGCTTTTGTTGCAAATCCGAAATCTGCAATTTTGAAACAGTTCCCTTTATAAAGAACATTCTCTGGCTTTATATCTCGATGAATATACCCTTTCTTAATCATTTCCTAAAATCCTGACATAAATTGTCTTAACACTCCAAGAGCTTCTGCCTCTTCCAAAATTCCTCCTTTCGATTTAATGTAATTTCTCAGATCTCCATCACATAATTCAATTATCATGTAAGTGTATTTATCATCCCCAAAAACATCGATTAATTCAACTATGTTTTCATGTCGAAACTGTTTCATTACAGTAATTTCAGTTTCCAAGGATATCAACATAGTTTTGCCTTAAAATTATGACATGTTCATTACTATTTTAGTTGATGAATCTTTACTTTTAATTGCGACCTCTTAGTTTTTATCTATCATAATCCCTTTGTAGACCTTTCCAAACGAACCCTTCCCTAAATAGTCTTTATTGTCATATTTATAATTATCAATTTTCTTCATAAAAATAATTGATTAAATTAATCTCTACAGCACTATAATAAATATTGATCATTCATGTAAAACATTATTGAATTCTATAATACTCTCCCCTCTCTTTCGAATGTGGAGATGTTAAACTAAAGAATATTAATCTGTATTTTTAAACTATCTACTTATACAGTTTTGCAGCATATTTCTCTTCTGTTTTTATTTGAGATTTTAGAGTTATCGGATTGAGCTATGATATTTGATTAATAAAGTTTAGTTTTAAAATCAGAATATAGTTTATTAAAAATGCAATCGCAAAAATGTTATCTGGCTCCTGGATTACTTAAGACAGGTAACTGTTTATTGAAATACCTCAGGATTATTAAACGGAAACTAACCAATCTATATTTTTATCCTGAATCAAATTAAAGACGTGAAGGAAGTAAGCCAATAGATGAATTCATATTTATAAACCATCAATGCTTTCAGGTATTTTAATTAATTAGAATTTAGTCCATTTACTTGGGTTATTTGCAACCAATAGGTATTACAATTAGAAATCAGCGATTTAAAATAAATGCTGAATCCATTCTACAAGTATTATATTTAGTTGAATTGCAAGAAACATTTCCTTACAACAATTCCAAAGAATTGATAAATTGATTGTCATTAGCGAAAAGATCCAATTTTAATAATTGGTTAATGCCATACCCAGTGGATGGTCATCAGTTTTAGCAAATAAAGTGCATCTGGTTATGAAGTAATTATAAATATCATATAGATTGAATGAATTAGCCAATCACAATATTGAACTGACAAAATATCAGATTGAATTTTTATCTAGAATCAATAATAACTATTAAGAAGAAATTCCCTTTTATGGAAGGGATCTCTCAGAATACCCAATAGCTAACACAGGTGTGCCTGAGTGTTTAGAAGTCATTTTAAAATATTACGAAGATCACGATGATTATCTAAAAACATAAGGTAAGAATGTATAATAAACTAGGTGTATTTAGGATATCAGGATCAATTTAATAAGAACAGAAATTAGTTCAATAGTTTGCAAAAAGAAATTATACAACTATTAATGAATATGAACCTGATGTTGTTTCTACTGTATTTAAGAATCTATTGTGCTAACTAAAAAAGCCAATATTTCCCTTTGAAATGTATGACATACTTAAAGAGACACAAAGTAATATTATTGTTAATTGAATTAGTTAATACAAGTAAGGAGAAATTGTTGGAGATGTTCGAAGTATTTTTTGCTTATATGCCAGAAGTCAATCGGAAAACCACCAAAAGAATAGCTGAATTGTTATTCCACGTAGCCGATTATGAATCAGAGAATCTGGTAAATTGTAATTTAAACTCAGATGGGACTCAATAATTTATCAATTGTGTTTGCCCCTTGTTTCTTAAGACCCTAAATCACAGATATCTCTGATCTAAAAGGAGCCAAAGTTGTAGTTCATCACTTTAATTTACTAGTGCAAAATGTTGAATATTTCTTATAGGATTTTAAGGTGAATCGAAATTCCTCATCTTAAAAAAAACTTAGCATTTGATTTTACACAGTTAATATTTTTTATTATTATTTTTTGGCATTTTATTTCAATGATTAATTCTCTATTTCAAAAATTAACTCAAATTTTCGCTTTATTTTTATTTTTATTATGGATTAAGTTGACTTGTCCCAAACTTTAAAGAAACTTATCGAGTGGAAAAACTCATCTCCAACAACTCTCTATAATCTATTGGACTTAATAGGCACTTAGAATTTCAACTCCAACAGAATTGTGCATCAGAAATTCTTATAAGCTGTCTAAAAGTTAGCCCAATTGCATGAAATACCTCCAAATAGCATATATAAATCGTATGATTACGAGAAAATGATAGATAAAGCTAAATCCATCCTTAAAATATTGAGATAACCCTTACAAATGGAAGTGGAAAAGGATAAACCAGAACCTATGAAAAAATATAATTTATTTGCTGGATACCAGTAGCAATTCACAGGATACGTAGATAGAATATAGAATCTGAATCTCATTAGCAATCTAATCTTACACATATTCAAGAACTGGGATCAATCAAATAAGGAGCAATTAATTTCAATTGACAAAATCAAAGAAGTTACTATAGGTTTAGAGAAGGAAATTTATTTGAGGAATGTTTTCAAAGACTCAAAAAAACTGGCTTATGAAATGGATATCAAAACCTTAGTGCAATTTATGAAAAGAGATAAGTCTGGAGATGTGCTCATACGAGTATTCAACAAAAGTCTCTCCTATCAATAAGCTGCTTAATTGAAATCTGAGGATTGGATTGATGAAAAAACAAAACTGAATCAAAAGGTAGCCCAAAAGGAAGAACTAGAAATTAATTAGATTGGATTTTACAAGGAGGTTTCAAAAAGAGAAATGGATGGTGTCGAAGGGAAAGAGTGTAAAGGATGCCACTAAAAAAAAGTATATCTAGTTGATGAAAAATAAACCAGATGTGCAGATGAACCTACTACTAAGTTTTTTGAATGCTTTAATTGCGGAGATAAATTTCGTATTTGATTAATTATATATGAATAAAATTGAAGTATTAAAACAGGGAAATCAAGTAACCAACCAATTAAGAGATGAATTGGTCAATCTCTTTTCCATGACTGATACCGAAGATCATTATCTCTTAAGCAAAAGAGCTGAAACCATTAAGTCAGAGATCGAGTAACGATTTAGTAAATTTAACGATCTATCTAGAGTATCGATGGAATATCATTCTTTTTAAAAACGATGCTCAATTTGAATCTTCCCTTGTTTTTTCAGAAGAGTTTACCCTAGAGCTGAAGTCAGAAAACTATGGGTTGTTGGCCTACATAATACCCGATTAACCATTAACTCAATACGAACCAAGAAGAGATTTTGGAGTCAGAAAACCATATTACAAGGATGTAATTGACAAATAGCAATACGAGACTAATAAGTAAATAGATATGTCATTCAATAGTTCTGTAATTAGTTATCCTGGCATCAGATATTATCCTACATATTATCCTTGAATATTTTATAATTATTTAAATAAAAAGCACGCTGATATTTTCCTTTTGAGTTGTTAATATTTTTATTTCCATGAGAATCAAATCACAGCCTTAAAAGCAGTCAGAGGAGTACCAAGAAACCATCGACATTTTGAGCATTGCACAATCTTCAAGTCCAGAATCTAATGAAAGTGATAATTGTTTGGAACCCTTGTATGAGGTTGAATCCATTATCATGAAATAAATCAATAAGGATGAATCTCAATATCTAGTCAAATGGAAAGGATATTCAGAATTGACTTGGGAACCTCTCTCTAGTCTATAAAATTGTCAATTACTTCTTGAGGAATTTGATCAATAACAATCTTCCAAGAATGTGATTATCACTACCAAAAGTGTATCCAAAAAGACTATAACTAAATCACAGAAATCAAAGAAAAAATCAAAGAAATCTAAAAAGCAAAGGCCCTTTGAAAATGAAGATTAAATTTAATCATTCCAAAATTTAGGAAGAACTATTAAAATTAATGGAATTACAAACTAATAATTGAAAGTACAATCTTATTTTTATTTCTTTAGGTTAATTTCAAAAAATCAAAAAATGATTAACCTAAATCATCCTGGATCAATATCACAGAATTACATCAAATTGCTCCTAAAAAGCTCATTTAATTCTATGAATCACTACCTGCTATCTAAGCTTTGTTTAAACAGACAGTTACGCCATCCAATTCAAGTACGCAACAATAATGATAAACAAAATATAATAAAATATAAATTATAAAATAGAATTTCACTTATTTTTTATATATTAACAAAAGACTTATATTTTGATTCTAATTTTAGTAAAATATTTATATATTTCCAATTTAATGGTCTAGGAGTAGCTAATCTACCTCAATGCCTATTTAATTCTAAAGGTTCGATTAATATATATATATATACTATCAATTTTGTTTGTTTAAATAAAAAGAGAAGGTTCATTCAATGAACTGACAGGATATGTAATTCCTCTCTTATTTGGATATTGTCTAAAATTACCTATGAAATTGCTTAGAAAAGAAGGTGATTAGAAATGAGGATTAATGTCCTGAGAGTTCAATAACGTCAATAGGTATTTATATAAATAGATGTAATGATTTAACAAAACATCTATTGGATAATTACAGAAGACACTAGTATGAATTTCTAACATTTTTAGTATATCATAGTTTATACTAACCTAATGGTTGAGTAGAAAATACAATCATTATGGTGAAAATCAAAATGGCTTCATTGGATTGAGTATTCACCTAAGCACCTGATTTATCAGGTAGCTTGGGAATTTATTAAACTCTATTTTAAAATATTTATATAAAGAGAATAAAATTAATAATATTATAAAGTAATGTATTAGAAATTAATTTCAAATATATGAAAAGTATATTCAATCAGTTTATTACTACATGAATCATTATGACGATTCTATCAAAATAACAAAGATCAAATTGAAAGATGGTTATAATGATTCTTTTAGAATGGGAATCCCTATAAATTATTTAAATTTATATTATTATTAATAATATGAAATGCGATATTCATTGTGCTACAAAAATACTAACAATTGTATGTGGAGGTTTAATTGTTGCCCTTGCAATATCTAGATTTACGAATCTGTCTATTGAGCATCCATAGCAATTTATTCTTACAATTCATTATATGTAAATTTGTTTCTTAAAGCTTAGATGGATGGGGGCTGTGTTGATTTTAGCAGAGTTTCGTTTTGCATATATTCATTAAAAATTCAAAGTTCTGACAAGTTATTTTGGAAGAGGATTGTATTGTTTCTTGTAAATCTGAATTACTAATCAAGTTTGGGTACTTTAATGATATCATCGTTTTCGCCTTTGTAGATTGCATGTGCCGTTGTATTGTTTGTCGTTGGCTTAATTTACATATTGATGCAACTATTTGTATAAAAAGCATAATTTCATTCATTAGAGTAAAAAATTTGGATGGAGTGCAGAAGAAGCAAAGAACCCTTACTAGATTCCCTCTCAAAATCAACCGAATGCATATCAACCACCATATCAATCAAATGTTAATTTTTAATAAGGTGGACCTGCCTTGAAATGATTTTATGTTTTTTATTTGAAATTATTGATACAAATGCATTAAAATAAATTTTCATTACGTTTATATAAAAGTAGATAAATCTCCTCATCTTATGAATAGAATGACACCCAAAGTTCATGCCAATGAGGTTCAAAATTATTATCTAGATACTTCTTAAGATGTTCTGCAATCTAAATGTTATTAGACATTTACTTTTATCCATTTATATCTTCAAAGGTTTTTCAAGCTACTTTAAGTTTCATTTATTGTTCTTTCAAAAGAATATCATCCGGACAATCTGGAGATCACAAAATTCAGGTTCCTAAGAATCCTCTGTATTATGCTTTTGAGGATAAAGATATATTCTAATTCTTGTAAAATATTATTTTAATATTTAAAATAGAAATAATACCTTCAGATTCGCTCACTCCGACCCCAATAGTATAGTCATTAGATCTCCTGCAAACAATTACTAATATTTTATAATCATTCATGTTTACATGTCCAAAAACGTTGCATTTCTTCTAAGTCATCTCACCATTCTAAAATTAAATAATCATATTTTCATTTGACAAAAATACTGAGTTATTGTAACCACAACTATAGGATTTATACTTCTAATTAGGCAAGAGACTAAGTAAATCATATTAAATACTCCATAATGTTTTTCTTACAATATTTATCCCCTTTTACTGTTGAGAATTGAAATTGTTATGATTATCCACACTACTAATAAGCATTATTGCCCCAAGAAATGTACTCTTCATAATTCTTGTCTTTTCCTTAGACTCTGGCTATGCAATGATACGCTCCTATTTAGAAGTCTCTAGATTAATTTTGAATTCTTACTTAACAAGGTAATTTTCTATATTTATTCTCATAGGTTCAAGAAGATGAAAAATATATTGATCATCTAATTCTGGACATTGATCAAATCCAAAAACACCATAGTCATTACTACCCCACATATAGATTTTATCTTCCAATGAGACTGCTCCAAAACATGAATACCCAGTTGAAATGGCTTTAGCCTTTAAATTAATCTTGCGAGGAATTAGTTAACAATTAGTTGGACTAGAGCATTATAAATTTATTGTTTCTTTATAGGAATTCAATACTTTGATCATTCCGTTACTCTCAAAATTTTATTTATATCCCCAGGTAAACACATCTCCTAAATCAGTTCTGCAAATTGAAATTCCTTCACCTGCTGAGATATCAACAACATATAAATTATTATTTCTAAAAAACATGACTTCCTATATATCCATTGTACTTGTATTTGTCCCTAAAGAACTACATATAACATATAAATTACCATTTCCTAATTATCCATAATTATTATATCCCCAAGACAATACACTCCCATCTACAGTCACAGCTAATGAATGATACAAACCACAACTTATTTTACTTACAGCTCGTAATGTAAATATTTAATATGGAGTCGAGATATCAAAATCTTTTTTTGGATCCACTACCTCACTTGAAGTAATTGAAGTGTCTTCAAAATTGAGTATTTTTCCGAATTAAGACACTTCAAATGAGGTATTTACCATTCCCACAGTTCTAGATATTAGAAATAGACTTACCCGTATTTAGTGCTAACCATTTTGATTCTGTTTTCCTCAATTAATACTAAACTAAAGTCTTCGATCATGTAATAGGACTATTAATCTATTTCAATCTTTTTTGGAATGTCTATTATTTCAATAAAGGATTAATCTTCATTAAATAATTTTGTATTAATTACTCCATTTACAAATAGAGAACTTGCCTGAAAGGATTTGAGAAAGATTTTGACTGGTAACAACTCCAAATCTGAAGACCATCCATTGCAATTCAGTGCTTCTACTGAAAGATAGATCATCTCATTGAATGCTAACTCTCCTTCACCCTTTGGATTATTTTTAAAAACTAGACTCTTTCTCTAAACATTCTCTTTATTGTTATCGAATTCTAACAGTACTCTTTTACTTGGTTACAATGACAATGACATATCATTCATATCCAACTAATAGATGGCATATTTTATTATCTCATAGCCATAGTCCTCTGGTTTCTCGAATATAATTGAAATTGTTAATTCCTTTTCACATTCTCTCTCAATTATTACTTGATTGATAACATTTGGAGGTAATGGAGGTCTTTGCTATATTTAATTCTACTCTTCTTCAGTTTTATTATTATTCTTTTTTTAATTATCTACTTATTGATTGTCCTCCGTTTGATTGTCCTCCGTTTGATCATCCTCTCTGGATATCTTCTGATTATTTTTCTCTCTTTCATGATCAGCATTTCGCTTCTAAGGCAAATAAATAGAGAAGTTATTCTCAATATCCTCCTTCTTATATATTACAATATCCTTTTCCAACAGTCCAAGTTCTTTTATATTCAACCCTAGGTCTTTAACCAACTATTCTAAGCTCTTAATTATTTTTTTATTCTTCCCATAGTAGTTCTGGTTTAATCTCATAAAATTTTTGTTTTTATAATAGAGCAACCTCTACAATACTTCTTTCATTCTTATTTAGAATTCATTGTATTTATTTTTGATATTCTTTCTTTTTTCTTCCAACTAAACGCTTAATTCACTGTAATCCTCATTCCTCATTGCCATTTCATTTATTTTTATCTTCAACCCTCTCTTATCTTTTTTGTCTTTTATAATTGGATTTATCACTTCCTCTTTTAATTTCTAGGGAGCAGAATACAACTCTGGATTAAGTTATTGGTTTTACCCTTCACAATTTTTTTTCATAATTTTTTATTTAATAATATTTTAAAACTCATTTCTGCATACTTTTAATTTTCCATAATATATTTCAGATTTTTTTATATAGTTATAATTTTTGTTCTGCTTCCTCAACTTATGAGCTAATCATTGATAGTTTCTCCTTTAGAACTTAATTTTCCTTCTTCAGGTTGATATATAATGAATCAAGTTGTTCCTTAACGAAATTCCCATTAGGAGTCTCCTATATTGACTTCGCTTAACTTTGAGCAGAAGAATACTTGCCAACAGGAGATAGCTAAAATCTATAATATTCAATACATATTATTGATTGCTGATGGCTATTTGTGTTTAAGCTGAAGGAACGTTTCTTTGCACAGAATTAGTTGCTCGTTGGAAATACATAATTAAACAACTAGTATTATTAAATTTTTAATATTGGAAATTTGCTATTATTCAATTTGTATCTCCCCCAGTCTTTTCATTTGACTTATCACTAAAAGAACTCCTGAATATTATTCAAAAATAATATCTAAACTATATTAAACAAGAAATAACCATTAATAACTTTTTAGATGATAGAATTATTAAATTCTAGTATTAAGATATATTATAATTTTGTTTATAGGGAATTAAAATCAAAATCTAGTGGGGTACATGATTTTTTTTACAAGAACATGAAAATATTAATAAAATTGAATAGTTTTAAGAATTAATATTGTAGTTATAAAAACTGTTTATATATTAAATTAATGTAGAAAATATTCTGAAATAATGGAGTTTTAAATGAAACACACTTTGTAACAATTTATAATAATTATATATAAATTATTAAAAATAGAATTAGTAATCAGAATAATATAAGAAGTTTGTTAAGTTCTATTAGAGGATTAAAGTTGATTAATAAATTAAGATATTATAAATATCACAAAAAAGCAGCAGTTCTTTTAACATAGTAATCATCTCTAGCTTCGAACTCGATTTCTCCATCATCATTAAATAATCCCAATTTTAATTATTTTAATTAGAGTGTAAATCTAGGACCTAACTCTTGTAAGGCAACTTTTTATCCTTCTTCTTAGAACATGTATCTATGATGTCTAAAGAAGATGAAATCTCTTTGGTTATGGAAAGTGACAACTCTTCTACCTCTGAACTGAGGTTTGGAAGGAAAGAGAGCTGCTAATCCTCTTCCTACTCTTCTTCCTACTTTTGTATTGAAATGATTGAGGATCAATTCTGGATTATGATCAGTGAATCTACCATGATGATGGATTTCATCACAGGGTGTATAATTAGTTAATTTAAACTTATAAGTAGGTCCTGCTGGTAAATGCACATAAATTAATTAACTAACTTCTTTTCTATGTTCTCTGAATACTAGTAGTTCTGTATATCCTTTGTTGATGGAATACTCTTAAATTTCTTTGATTGAAAATTGCTTGCGAGGCCAATAATGAGTTTCTGGTCCAAAGACATCTTTAACATCTTTTAAGAAATCGAATAATTATCTTGAAGGTCTTTCGCTAGTAGTAATTATAATTTTAGGATCCTGGCCTTCTTAGAAGTAATTTTAGAATTCATCAATTAATTCTTCGTTTTATAATTCTTCTTGATCGTCTTCATCAAATACAAAATTTTCATCTAATTCTCTTTTGTCATCAATAGTCAATGGACCTAATTTTTCTCTATCTGGATTTGCTTCTTTTTCTTTTCTTTCCATTTTCTTAGTTTTTTTCTATTCATTCTATTTTCTCTCTAGGATTTGAATTCTTTTTTCTTTATTCTTAATTCTACTCACATCAAATTTGGCTAATGATTTAAAACCTCCCACTCTCCTTTACTTTTATCCCTTCTATTCCTTCTTTTTTATCTTTTAACTAAATGGAGCATTATGTTTGATTTTGATAGCATGCACAGCCTTGCTTTTATTTTTTGCCATAATTTAATTAATATTCTAATTTAAATATAACATAGATTAATGGGATGCATATAAAATTAGCCAATAAGTCCTGAGCTTTCGATTGTAGAAGTAAACTCACCACTTGATAATTCTCGTAATTCCAATCTAAAACCATATTCTAATGATCAGTATCCAGCAGCAAGATTGCCTACTACCATATCGGAATAATCAACTTAATCTAAATTTATCTATAACAAAGGATTGTCGTGGTCAAAGAATGGTACCCAATTCAAATAAATTATAGAAAATTAAGATAGAATTTTCTGTTCTTCCCTCAACAGTTGTCCTTACTTTTGATAGATTACAACGCACATATTACCAAAATATATTAATTATTCTGCATAATGCTTTCTTATCTTCAAATTCTATCTGCTTAGAATAATGATAAGACATTAGCCTGTTTATTTACAATTAGTGTAATATCATTTAATTTTAAATAATCAATTAAAAATATTATATAAAATTGATGTAAGACTTTTAGCCTGGAGATGTCATAGCCTAAGAATATCAAATAGTCACCATGTTGGCACAGGGGTCATTTGGAAAAGTATATTTGGGAAAATCTTAGAAAAAAAACATGAATGTAGCAATTAAAGTAGAAAAGGCTGAGGTTTCATATTTTAATAGTCTAATCAGAGAGGTATTCTCAATCGTAAATAGTGATTAGGTTGAAATTTTGAAAACTTTGGAAGGAGTTCCGTGTGTGCCTAAAGTTATCTGGTCTGGATCAGAAAAAGGAATGAGGATTATGATCCAAAATCTTTTGGGAAAAGATCTCATACATTATTAGAAAAAAATGAAGAAGTTTTCTTATGAATGTGTTTGTAACATTGCTTATTAGATGATTGGAATCCTTGAATAAATTCATAAGAAGTAATTGTTTTCTCAAAATTATGAAGAAACATTATCCATAGAGATCTTAAACCAGAAAACATTCTTGGTGCATCACAATCAGACAAAATATTTCTCATCGATTTTGGAATCGCTAAGAATTTAGAATCAAACAAAAAAGGCAAGGAGAAAATTTCATTCATTGGAACTACTAGATATGCAAGCATTGCTGCTCATCTGGGAAAAGAATAAAACAAGAAAGATGACTTAGAATCCTTAGGCTATATTATCCTTTATTTTCTAAATGGAAGCCTACCTTGGATGAATGTAGAGAAGGATGACAATGAAAGACTTGAAAAAATTGGACTTTTAAAAAAAGATATGTCTCCTGAAGAATTGTGTGAAAACTTACCAAATCCTATTTTTAAGTAAAATTCTTAAACTTATTATTAGTATAGATATATGAAGTATGTAAAAGGACTGTCTGCTAAAGTCAAACCCAATTATTCATAATTAAAAGAGTTATTTACCATTACTAACGTATAACCGAGTATGCCATTTGACTGGAATCAAAGAGCAAAGGCAAATCGCAAAATGAATTCTAATAAATCCATTAAAACTTCAAAATCAGCAAAAGTGTTAAGCAAATCTAAATCACAATTCAGAAAAACATAAAATAACATCCCTTAAGAATCATCCTCAAAACTCATACTATTATCACAAACTCCTATTAAAAAATTATATAAAACAATTGTGTTTCCAGAGTCCCAAGATAAAACTGTTTATCACTCTAGTGATGATAACCAATAATAAAGTAGTCTGAGTGATGAAAAAAAGAGTAAAGAGAGTGTTAAAGTCGGATATTCAATTAGCTATGAACCATCGAAATTCTCTAGATATTCTTAACACAACAAAAGTCCCATCTAATAATAGTAAAAAGAGAGAGCCAGAGTCTCTACTCTTGATGCCAATCCCTAGGACCTATTTATCATGCCTCCGCAATCAGAAAAGTAACTATAAGAATTTGAAGAACAAGATTTAGAATTTAAGTATCACCTCTTATACTATAAATCAATACTGTACAATTACAAAAACCCTATTCAAGATTTCAAGGCAATTCATTATAATTTCCTTGACTGATTTTTTATTATTATTTCTCTTTAATCAATAATAAATTTTTAATTAACAAAGATATATGACATATTATATATATGTAAAATAATGTATAATTAAATCAGAAGATATTTCAGACATTATAAAGCATTCCTGACTGTCCTTAATAATAATAATAAATTTACAAATTACTAAATGAATTAGAGTGCAAATTACAGTAAGTCGAAATTTGAATTTGATGAAATAATGCAACAAATTGAAAATGATTCCCCATTATAAACTGTCTATAGAAAAAATAGCTTCGCTATTAAGAATCTAAATTTATATGATTCCCCAGAAGATGAGATGGAACAAACCGATTATTCAGCTAAAAGTTTATCAGAAAGTTAATAAAATACACAAATTTGATACCCATATTTTCTATATTTATTTAAATAACTACTAATGTATTATTCTTATTTATATAACATAATCATATAACATAGTCATCTATGATAATTAATACGAATGTGTTCATGTATATAAGCATGAATAATTTAGTTTTAAATAAATATTTAAAATAAATTAATGGGATGCATCAATTCTAAACTTCCTTCAAAATCTTAACCTACTCAATCTGCAAGGAGCTAAATTTAAATCTAAATTTAAAGTCAAGACGAAAGTCCATATGTGATAAAAAAGAATCCAATTTTCTAGAGAAGAGCCTCATAGAAATCAATTATAAGCCCTTTGCAAACTACTTCTTATGTAAAAAGAAATAAGTGAACCTTAAACAAAAGAATGATCTTTCTTAATATTTTGTTAACAATCAATTTTAAATCATTTTTGATCTCTATTTTGTAAATTTTTTATCCTTGTTTTACCACCAAAGTGTTGGAAATAACATATTTATTCTGATCTATTTTATACAAAGTGTCATCTCCTAAGTGTACTGCTAATAAAAATCTTTGATACTTTGAACATGAGAAGATATTTGCACACTCCATTGTTTTCAAACTCAAAAGAATTGTAAAACCATTTCACCTAACCTGTTAATTTATCAATTTATTTTTATATAATATAAAATTATCTAGTATATTCAATATAATTAGAGAAATCTAAAACAGAAATAATTATTTCTAAAATTTATATTTTATTATACTTAAGATAATGCTTTCTTTTGGGAGTTTTGCAAAAATTTCCATTAAAATTCCAGTTATTTCTTAAATTTGAAAATCTAATTTTAGAATCAGAAAAAATGAGAATTAAAATATGGGGACTTATTTCATAACGAGAATTCTTTTAACATTCTTTAAATACTAAAATACAGATTTAATCAATTAGATCAGAAATATTTGATATTTTATTCAATATTTGCTAACTCTCTGTAATACCGATTGAAAAGAAGGTCAACATGCTTAGTTTTTTCTTCAAATTATTGAGATATTTAATTTTTTTATATGCATCTTTTAACATGATTTATTGTAAATAGCTCTATTCTTTGTAGAACTGGCTTTTGTATATTAGTTAATGTTTGAGTTAATTTCCCCTTTGAAACTAAATTGTCTAAAAATGCTTAAAATGAAAAATGAAAGTGTTTATCATTTTTGATATATTTATTTATCAATGTATTAGTGAGTTATAATTACTCAAATTCTTCTTTAATGGTTTTACATTTAGTTAAAATTAAGTTAAGTGCATTATTCATATCAACAGGATCATTTGATTCTAATTATAATTAAGGTTAAGGTCTTTAAAGCCTCAATGAACCTTATCTTAGAGATGCTTTTCTAAGCCCATTGCTCTATTCAGCCATATCATCAGTTGTCTTCACGACTGCTTATTTCATTGATGTAATTCTATTTTGCGTTTGAAGTTTGAAGGTCAATTTTGGTTTCTTGTTTAGTGTGGCTTTTGTGTTTTATGTTTTCGAAGTTTCATCTTCAGGAGTGTTTTTTCCACTCAAAGTAGAATCATTTACTTCATTCTCATCAGCTTCTAAGTTAGTTCGAGAGTCTCCCAATTTTTTGAGTTCTTTTATTGTTTTAACAGTTGTAGATTAAATAATGTTAGAATCGATTAAAGATTATTACATTAATTAAAAAAATTTATCATATTGTGCACATCAACTAAGAGAAGTATTGCATCTGTCATAGATCTCTAGAGTCTTATCGACAAACTTCTATCTATCTGGATGGATAAAGGAAGAAGATATAGCTTTCTTGGTGTATTGGTGAGTAATTTTAGAAGGGTGAGAAGAAGCATTTAATTTAATTTTTTTCTAAAATTTCTTTTTAAGAAGCAAGTCATCTTCATCTTTATTAACATTTATCTCTTTCATAATAGTGTGTAATGCATTTTAGTATTGATTTTCGAGATAAATTCTCATTTAAGTTCTTTTCTAATTGACACTTTTTGATGCATTTATAGGATCTCTTTTTTATTGTTTGAATTTCAAAGCTTCATTAATTATCTTATTCATTTTCTATTATTCAGAAAAGAGATCATAATCTTGATCAAAGTTTGAATTAGATTGTTTATTAAATTTGTAAGTATCATATTGCTTTTAAAATAGTTAATCCATATTTTATGATATATCTTGTTCTTATATTTTGATAGGCTATTATTTCTGATTATATTACTAAAATTATATTTGAGAAATTGTTGATTTGCTAACATAATTATAATAAAAATACTATGCCTAAATTTCCTCATAATCCACTTTTTTATAATTAGTTGGCTCAATGAATTTTCCATATATATTTAATTTTTAATACAACTGCTTTTTATAAGGATCCATAGGTATAGTAAATTCATTATAATGATTACTTACTTATTTTTTTGCTTGTTGTTTTTATATCTTATTTTCATCCTAACCAACCTTCAAAGTAGGAAGCAATTTCATTTACGAAGCTTAAAGAGATAAACGTTATTGTTCCTTCTATTTCTATACCTTCCCCAATAAATCAAGCAAGTTTTCTTGGCAACTTATTGATTGAACTAAATCAATGTCACCGCTATATGTTATTGACCTCTTTTAAGGAGCGATTTAATCTCGAGACTCATACGAAATTCGATGTTTAGACTTATAGGAAGATATTGATCGAATGCGAGAATAGGTTTTACATTGATCCATTAATTATATTAATTATAATCAGCTTAAGTTACCAATATGTGGAAATCTAAGGGTCTTCAATCACTTTATATATTGTATCCTACTAATCTTATGCTGTTTACTCTTTTGAAGGAATGCTCTGAGATATTTCGATCTTGCTTTCTTCGATCCTCTTTTATTTATCCAACAATTGTAATTTATTTTACTCCATAAATTAATGTTTGTTACATTAAATCGTCATTTTCAAGTAAGTATTACTAACAAAGTTTAAATTAGAATTAAATACCATATCCTAATTGTCAATCCAAATAATTCTTTATAATATTCATTAATTTAAGATTTTTTGAAATATAACTTCTTATTCACGTTCATCTCTATTATTTTTATATCTATAATTATTTTTTTAGTTTATTGAATTTTTTAAATTAAATTATTTTGTTTATTTGTTAATACACCTAGATATCTTATGTTACTTTTCGGTAATATCCTATTTTAATATATTCATCTTCATAATGAATTTTTTAGCCTTTAAATTATTAACCCCTATTTCCTCTTATAAATAGTTTGTTTTGATGATCTAAATTATTAGGAAGTTAAAAGTAGAAAAGAATAAATGTTCTAAATTTAATTTTAATTAATTTTATTCATATATATCTTATGAGATTATTGCACTGATTCACTATAAATGAAAGAGGAAAGCTAAACTAGGCAGATATTGGCTTAATTTTAGATTTCTTCAGCAGAACTTTGAAGATAACAAGAGATTTATTTAATTCTAGAATTGATAATTAATAAATTGTAAAATTAATCCCAATTAAGTTGAAGATTGAATTTTATTTAATTGAAAAGCAAACAGACAAAAGAGGATTAAGTATAAGTATATTTTCTGGTAATGCTACAGCAACAAACAATTCCTTCTCGTTTATGATAAATAAAATGAATTTATATATATATCATTGATTTGCATTTCTAATTTAAATTCCTCTAATAATGTTTAACAATTTGAATTAAATATATGAGTTGGAAAGAAAATACAAGTAGACATATCAATAGAATTAAAGAAATTAATATTGTTATGGCCATTTGTTGATTTTGAAAACTCTAAGAGGATTAATGCATATAAAGGTAGGGAGAGGGAATTTTGGAGATTATTTAAAGTTTTTCAATAATTTCATTGCAATAGTAGTGTTATGAATGGTTTTAATAAAGTATTAACCACAAAATAAATATCTAATTATAAAAATAATTTTTATAATAATTAGCAAATTAGCGAATCTTTTTAATTATGCTATATTTAATGCGCATAGGGTATGTATAAATGCAAATAATATCTTGAATTTTTGCTAATAATTATAATATATCATCATGTAAGTGAACTCTAGAAGTGCAGTGTAAATGTTTTACAGAAGTGTGTATAACAATACACATGGACTTTTGAAGAAGAGAATGAGAGAGCTTGTGCCTGTGAAATAAGCCTTATTGCGAGATGTCAGAAAGAGATATGGAGCAAAAGAAGTGTGCAAAGTGACAGTTGACTAAGCAATTGGAGGAATGAGAAACGTGTTCGGTCTTTTCTACGACGCATCATTGTTGGATGCTAAAACAGTAATACATTCATATTTAACATATAGGGTATCACAATGAGAGATTACAACATCCCTGAGTTGTAGGAGTATCTCTAAAAGGCTGAAAATGGACACGAGCCTTTACCAGAAGCCTTGTTTTGGTTGTTGTGCACAGGTGACTTCCCATGTACATATATGTTATTATATATCTTTTAGCCGAACAAGAATTCGCTGACGTTCAACAAGAATGGAAATAAAGAGGACAATTGGATAGTGAGACATAAAAGTTCATTTTGAGCTTACCAAAGACTGCTCACCCAATGACTATGTTATCTTAAACATTGTTGTTTTTGTAAAAGGACTCTCAATTCCAACAAGCCTATGACCAAGGAAAGGTTTCAAAGCCATAATATTGGGAATACTTCTATGAAGATGCCATGGATTTATTGGCCAAAATCCCAAGAGTTGCTGCCTTGATCTACAGACACAAATACAAGGTATTTATTCGTTTATAGACTTAAGAATGGTGAAATCATCTCAGCTGATGAGAATTTGGATTGGGCTGGAAATTATGCTCACATGCTTGGATATAATAAATTTGAAGTTAGAGAATGTTTGAGAGGATATTTAAGCATTCATGCTGATCATGAAGGAGGTAATGTGAGTGCACACACAACACATTTGGTTGGATCAGCATTGGCAGATCCATATTTGTCATATTCTGCTGGTGTCAATGGTTTGGCTGGTCCATTACATGGTCTTGCAAACTAAGAAGTCCTCAAATGGCTATTGGAAATGAGAGTATCTCAATATATTAAACCTATTATAGGAAGAATTGGGTGAAAATATCTCAAACGAAAAAATCCAGGATTACGTTCTCACAACCATCAGAGAAGGAAAGGTCATTCCAGGATATGGACATGCCGTTTTAAGATATACAGATCCACGTTTCATTCATCAAAAGGACTTTGCTGCTAGACACATCAAAGATGATCCCTTGGTTGACTTAGTCAGACAATGCTATCATGTTATTCCACCTGTTTTGAAGACCATCGGAAAAATCTAAAACCCATGGCCGTATATATAGATTATTATCATAGAAATGTTGATGCACATTCAGGTGTCCTCCTTTATCACTATGGAATGAGAGAATTCTAATATTACACTGTCGTTTTCGCAGTCTCAAGAGCCCTTGGATGTATGGCCAACCTCATCTGGTCAAGAGCCTTCGGATTACCAATTGAAAGACCAGGATCAATTACTATGAGATGGATTGAAGAGAAGTTTGGAGAAAATTAAAACATTAAATGAACATTTACATCATCACACATACCTATAAAGAATATTCATTTTTAGCAATATTAATTTATGATTCTAACAATACTTTTTCTAGATGTATTCTAATACCTTCAAAAACCTTGTATGATAGAAACAAGGATACCTAACCTCTTTATATGCAGCCTCTTACAAAAATTACTACCACCTTAGATGATACAAATTGTGGAATTAAAATAAATGCATTCCATCAAATATATCAAAAATCTCCAATCCTTTTGTTATTGAGAATTAAAATAAATTAATAAGCCAAATAATATAAGAAGTCTTATTATTAATTGATTTAGATCTTATAAACATTTTAATTCCATTCTAATGTAATTTTGTATCATATAAATGTAACCATTTAAAATAATATCGTTTGATTTTGAGTATAGAAACTATTTAGATAAGCTCCGAAATTAACTTTTAACTACCATCTATCTTGAAATAACTTCAGGTTACTTAAATTAGGATAAGAATACTACTTTGGTTCTAGATGAAACCGGTAATTTGTCTATATCATTATGTTTCTGAAATTTAAACCTGTAGACTTAAGTATTATGAAAATTTTCACTTAATTAATTGACCTATAGGTTGAAGATTCAAATTAAATTAGTTTCAGTTATCTGAAGGAATCCAAATATATAATTTAATATAAAATCAAAAATCAAAACTGGAAATATAGATTATGAACAATACATCTATTCCTCAATAAGACCATCTTCCATTTCCTTTATTTAATTAGAGGTTTTTCAGTGAATTCTCTTAAGATTAAAAATTAATTGGACATCTCAATTAATTGATGTTACATCTTAATCATAAATGTACATATAAATGGATGAACTAACTCAAATCTGAATGGACTCTCGAAAATGATATTAGAATACTTGTGATAACATGGAATATGCATGGAATGATACCTGGTTACTCTTTGAAAAGACTCTTTAATATAGAATCAATCCACCATGATTTAATTGTTATAGGCACTTAAGAATGTTCAAGAAGTATAGCTGTATCTCTACTATGTGAATCAAAAGGAAGTTGGGAATCCAAGTTAAAAGATGAACTAGGCAAAAATTATGTTAAAGTTTAATCTGCAACACTTAATGCTATGCATCTAATTGTATTTGCTCATGTATTATTGGTCCCTAAAATTAAAAATGGAAGGCCATATACACTCTCACAAGGTTTCATGGGAATTGTAGGGAACAAAGGAGGTATTGCCATCTCAGTTAATATTAATGAGAAAATATTCCTATTTGCAAATAGTCACCTTGAAAGTGGATAGAATGCAGAGGCCAAGAGGTAGACTCAGTTCTCTAAGCTTGAATCTCATTTTGAAAATGAAGTTTTTTCTAGTCACTAGAATGTACCATATGATTATTTGATTTGGACTGGTGACTTTAATTCAAGAATAGATTAAAAAATTACAACTTAAACCATTAGAAATCATTCAGATTTTTTTGGATGGCTTTCAAAAGATTAGATGCACTTAAGTAGAAATAATTCATTAAGTATTCAATTGGTTATAAGTAGATTACCAAACCTAATTTTATGAAGGTATGATTTTCTTTCCACCAACCTATAAACTATTAGAATATCAAAATTAATGGGCTATAGGTAATGATTTCAGAATACCTGGATGGTGTGATAGAATTCTATTTAAAGAAAATAAACAATCTAAGACTTTATCATCTACTCAAGGTTTCAACGAAAATTAACCATCACAAATTAAATTATAAAATTATGATGCAAATTTCGATATCCTAGGTAGTGACCATAGACCTGTTTTTGCTTAATTCACAGTTTCCTTTTAATGATCTATAATAATTAAATATTTTTACAATATTATTTAAATTCATCTTAATTAATGAAATTTTGAATATATTATTTATTTGATAATGTAAAATTACTCAACGCAAGGGGTCAACTTTTGATTCAAAAATAAGGAGTATTAAGATAAAACAAATCATTTTTAGTCTTCTTCATTGAAAATGTGATAATTAGCTTAAAAATCCAAGATTCTAAACCATCTTATTAGAAATAAAAACTATTTTAGTTGATCTTTTAGAGCAATCATTTTATGACATTCTTGGATCAAATAACTCAATATTTAATTATTTTCACCTTCTGATCTATTATTAAGTAAATATTGGATAACGGAAATTGAGAATATAATTTCTCAAATCTTTGCTTTTATACAACAAATTATTAAATGGGTAATAGATTTAGAGTATTTACTCTTAGGAAAATCAAATATCGTATAGAAGACTTAAGCAATTTTGGAACTTTTATAATTCACTTAATAATTTTGATTAATAAATCGAATAAAGTTAAGTGTCGATCAAAATGTCAAACAATAAGGAAAGATTCTATGAGTAGAAGTCGTAACATTAAGAATCTCAAGAATCATAACCATCTAGAGAAATTAAAAAAGATAAATACTTAAATAAAACAAAAATAAATGATTCCCCTTTCGATTAGAAAGTCGAAATCAAATAATTCAAAAAGGCTGTCTCGTAAAAGTCAACTGTAGATAAAGTAAGACATCATTCCCAAATAATATAAACTAATTAAACAATGAAAGAGAGTATGAAATAATCAAACTAATCAAAATCCATCAAAAAAACAATACATAAAAACAATTCAAACTAGTAAATGAAATCCCCACCAACAGAAGAACATCAAATCTCTAACAAACCAATTAAAGAAGAATAATCAGAATCTGAGATTAATAGTGTTTTCAATATTGAATAAGAGGATTCAATCATAAAGTTAAACGATTAATTTCAGAGATAAGCCTCTAAAAAGGCCTTCGCTCAATTGTATGAATTAGACGATTGTTTGGAGGAAATGCAAGACAAAAATTATTCAATGAGTTTGATTGAGAGCACGAAAATACGAAAAATAGAAAATATTGATCAATTTTTAAAATAGGAGGAATGGGAGGAAGAAGAGGAAAAAAAATCGCCATTTGATTTCAATCCTGAGCTTGAATATTAATAATTAATAGATTAGAAAAATTTGAATCATTCTATTGAATTAAGAGTATCACATAATTTTTAATGGTTGATAAAGGAAGTTTCTCATTATGAGGATGGGCTTAGATTCTTGCTTATTAGAAAGATAATTATCACAATAATTATTTCATTAGAAATTTTAAGCTACAAGTTATTATAATCCACTATTTTTGATTTATATGAGATGTTGGTAACATTAGCAAATATTATCCTATTTTTGAATAGATCTACTTAAGAGTCGCCTAAAATAAGCTAATACTAATATTTATTTTGTGCTTTATATTTTATTGACGCTGTTATACATTTGGCTGGTTAAGGGCTTAAAAAGTACATATAATCATTTTGGAATATTTATGATTTATTAATCCTCATTCTCTATCTTTTATACATTTTATAGAACCATTACATACCATTTGATGTATCTACATTTAGGTTAATCAGAATACCAATCTATGTTGGACGTATTAGCAATAAGTTAAATATCATTTTATTATCAATAAAAGAAGCAGTAAAACAAATTGTAGAAAATTTGCTAATATTAATTCTATTTACAATTTTGATTGCAATATTTATGCTATATGCTTTTAATGGAGTGCTAAAATATAGATGCATGCATGAGGAACTTGGAATCTTTTCATTGAATTCATACGAAATCGCTGTCTGTGGATATAAGGACTGCGAGGTAGGCTTTGTATGTGCTCGACAATTATAGAGTATTGATGTTCCAACTAATTTTGATAATATTCTTTTTGCTTATTTTTAAACTATAAGAACTAGTATAGTCAATGATTGGACGATAACCATGTATATGTTAATGAAATAATTCAATCCTTTGGTCTGTATTTTGTATGTATTCATCATTTTTGCGATTAACAAATTTTACTTTCAGCTTTTAATTGCCGTTCTAAAAGTCTATTATCATAAGACCTAGGAATATTATATCAATAATCCAGTGAAACCTGAATTTTCAGAGGACTAAATTAAAATAAATATGTCATAATTATTAGAAACTGATATATGGAAAACAATTAAAATGTAAATTTTCAATTATTAAAACTAAAAATTTAATACATCATCTAGAATAGCTTCCAAAAACAAAAAGCAAAAACCTAGCATGCAACCAATTCAAGAACATAATAATGTGAAATACTTATCTGCGCGTTAACAGATAGATTAACAGAATGAAAGATAACTAATTTTGAAGCAAAATACTCATCAGTCTTGGATAATTTCCTTTTATTTTCCAGATCATTAATTACAACAATAGATTTAAAGCATTATTAATTATAATGAAAATAAATTTTCACATTTGGAAACATTCTACACTCTAAGAAGTCTTGACTATTTGAGTATTTATACAGAAGTTAGATATAAGGTGCCATATGAATTTGCATCAATTTAAGATATATAGATATAAGAAGATCCTAAAAAGAATTTAAAAGAGATAAAAATTATGAAAAAGGAACATTTACATCATCAATATTTTATTGTTTAAAAATTGCATAATAACTGTAAAACAAATGATAGACCAAAACTGAGATTTCCTTATATAAAAAAAAAAGTTCCTATGTATAATGATGAGGAATTCTTTGAAAGTCTAGCAAATTCAAGTATGAATGAAAGTAGTATATAATCATCTGTAAAGTATAATCATGAGCATTTCTAATAATAGAAGATGGGAAACAATATTTTTGTTATACATTCTTAATTAGAAAGTAAATAGCAAAATCCTTTTTAAAAAAAGAATCAAATTTAAATGACTTCTTAGAGTAGAACTAGTATAAATCCTAATTAATTTCATCTAAAATATAATGAAGTTGTTGCAATGATAAATCTTAAATTAAAAAATGAAACTATCTAAATTACAAATAATGAAGAATTATATGAGTAAGAAAAAAATTAATCCTAAGAAGGAATCTACCTATAATAATGGTCTGGTAGTGATTTGATAGAGAGATTTCATTTTGAATCTGTTATCTAATATTTAAATAAATATTGGAATTATTATTTTTTGAAAGGAATGCGTTTTCATCTTATCAAAATTCAATACTAATTATATTACTTTATTACTAATTAAATTATTTAGATTTTACTAGATGGATTAGTTTGTTTAAATATTTTAATATTAACATTTTCTGATTTTTATGACCAAATAATAGCAGATTATTTTGATTTAATTGTGACCTTACTGTTATTTTTGGAAACCACTTTAAAGGTTTTGTCAATTCCTAAGTATTTGTATAATTTTACAAATGTTCTGAGTATAATAATGATTACATTTATTTTAATAGAGAGACTCTTATATTTTTCACTTTATGATGAATAAGAACCAAGATTCGAAATTTTTATATACATTAGAATACTAAAATCGCTCTTTTTCTTTAGAGTCATCAAATATAATACATTTGCACAAAATATGATGATGATTTCCTATTAAACATTTCCAAATTATGCAGTGATGGCATTGTTGCTTTTCTTTTTAATCTTAAATTATGCCATATTTTCATTGCAAATATTTAATTTCCCAGAATTTGCTGAATTAAAAATGTATCATTATTTTGGCAATATTTATCAATCTTGGATAGCAGTATATGATATATCTACTGGTGATGATTGGTATGGTGTAGTTATACTAAGTACCACTTATGGTATCTATTACATCGGATTCTTATTTTGCATTTCTTTAGTATTTATAGTTAACTATTTTGGATTTGGATTATCTTTTGTTATTATTCTTGATGGTTTTGCAAACTATCTAGATAGTGCAAAGGAGTCAGAAACATAATCAATAGAGGAAAAAGAACAAAGTGTAGTCTTGAATTTTAATCATTATGATTCAGAAATAAGAAAAGAGAGTATTGCGAAGAAAGATAATAATAATATAAATATGAAGAGTTTGCTTGAAATTCTTATTGAGCCAGAAAACAAAGAGAAATATCATAACATATAAAATGAATATTCATTGTTCATAATTTAGAAAAGTAACTCATTAAGGAAGGTATGCTTTATGATCTCTGAAATTTATCTCGTTAAATTATTATTATGTTTTGTTTTATGGAGCAGTTTGATTAATTTAGTTCTGATTACTTATTATGATGAAACTGATTAGAATTTTTGGAATACTTTTGAAATAATTTAATGTCTATTTAATTTATTAATATTAGTTGATGCAATCATTTAAATAATAACTTATGGAGCCATTGCATAGGATGGATACTTTAGTAGTATATGGGTTAGTATTGATTTTGTATACGTTGTCACTTATTTTCTTTATTTAGCATCTAATCATTCTGCTTTAAAATGGATATTATATTTGGGCTATTTGCGTCCACTCAAAGTAGCATCAACTTACGGATTCTTCGTTAATGAAAGAGGAGCAATAATGAAATCATTTTCTGATATCTTAAGAATTTTCTATGTTATTTTACTTTTTTGGTTCATCTTTGCTATTTTTGGAATGACCATTTATAAAGATAAGCTGGGCTATTGTGATTCTTATTTTAATTATGGAGTAGGAAGATAGGACTGTTAAGGAGAATGGAAAGTCTACCCTCATAATTTTAATAACATTATTGAAGCTATGCAATCCTTATTTATTATTTCTACTCTTGATGGTTGGGGAATAACATTTTTTGTTTGTATTAACAGTGCTTCAGAATAAACAGGACCAATTCGATTTAATAATGAATGGATTTCATATTTATTTTTTTTTAGTTTCACATTTATAGGAGCTTTGTTTTTCCTATAATTCTTTGCTGGAGTTATTTTTGTTAACTTTCAATAAAATAAGCAGCAACTTTTGAACCCAGATTTAACCTTAGATTAAGAATTATTTTTAAAATTAACTGAGATTATAATGTTGGATACTCCAAATTACTCAAAACCACCAAAGAAAGGGTTGAGATTGAAGGCTAAAATGCTTCTGGAAAATTCATCGTACATTTTAATTACTAAACTAAGTTTAATTCTAAATTTATGTAATTTTTTTAATAACCTTAGTTACTTTGATGTTGTTTTATGAATAAGGCAGTACAAGATTTTTATAAAGTTTGAATTGGCTCAATCACTTTTTTAGTTTTATTTTATTAATAGATTGTATTTTAAAATTGTTTACATATCACATTAAAAGATATTTTGATGATATTTGGAGGTAAATGTAATTGATTTTTGTGTTATTATCATTGCTTGATTTCTACATTGATATTTAATTTAACTTTTATATGAGATATGCAAGAGCCAGCAGAGATGATCCATATTTTATTTGGTTGAGAGTTTTTATATTGAATAGATGTTTAAGAATGTCATTAATTATATAATAGTTTACAAGGATACGAAAATTATTAAATGTTATATATTTCAATAAAATGGCTATACTGAGAATTTTGGGATTATTTATAACTGTTTTATCATGTTATTCATATATAGGTTGTGCTCTATTTGGAGAGGCTAACTCAGGCTCTATTTTAAATGATTAGTTAAATTTTAACAATTTTTTCTTTGGTTTACTTGCTAGTTTTAAATGCACAACTGAAAATGGATGGAGATTTATTTTTGTTGACTCTTAAAATTATATGAAATAATAAAACAAACCATGGGTTCTTGCTTCTATATTTTATTATAGTTTAATATTTATAGGAGCTAGAGTATTGATGAATTTAATTGTTTGTGAATTAGTTCAAGAATTTGAAAAATTTTATGATACAAGTAGCAGTTGTTTAGAAACTTATGTAGAAACAATAGATAAATTTAGAACTTTATGGTGTAAATATACTGAAGAATTTTAAGGAACAAAGATGCAAACTAAATACTTAGGACATTTTCTATTAGATTTAGAGGAACCATTGGGAGCTTTAAAAGGAGATAACATTTGGGATGCTGCCAAAAAAGCATCTAGTTTTGAATTAAAAAAAGATTTTGCAGGTTGTCTTACCTTTAGAAATCTCCTTTACGAAGTTTTTAAATAAGCTTTCAAAGAAAGTATATTCAAAATTACTACTGAGGCTGGTAAAACAATAATGAAGGAGAACGATAAGAAAATAAAATATAGATTATACAATCAACGATCTCATCACTTTAGAAGAGAAAGAGTAAATGAAAAGGTTGATATTTAAAGTAATTTCAACATTCTATAGGAATATCTATATCTTAAAATGGCTTTGAAGGCTTGGAGGAGTTTCTCAGAATATTTTTTTAATGTTGCAGGTGAAGTGCAAAATACTATTGATTTTACCGAAAGCGATGTTGATGCTAAGATTTCTGAAGTAGAAAGAGAGAATAGCCAAATTGAGGAATTCGATATTGATGAGCCACAAAAATAGATAAAAAGAAGACCTACCAAAGAACATTTAAGAAGACCTACTGACGTTTATATACTACCTTATTATGATGAAATCAAATTTAAAGATAAAAATCTAAAGTCCATACTCAAAGCTACTGATTAATAATAGTAAAAGGTTTTTAAATCAATATCAATTATTAAGAAGAAAGAGTAGTTAATATAATATAAAGAATATAATAAAAGAAGAGATGCAGTAGATAAACCAACTGCTTCAAGAAACAGATATCAGTATGGATATCATGAAAAAATTACTAGATAATAATTAGAGGAAAGATCCGATAACAGATTACTTTCGAGATTTGATCCTACTAAAATGCCCAGTGCATATAATATTACTAAAATTGCATCAAGATTAAAATGAAAAAACTCAGATAATAGATTTTTTGATTTTATTAAAAAAAAATATCATATATAATATATACTCAGATGCAAAACAATATCACAATTATTTAGAAAGAGACGCTATTTATTGTGAAATATTTAACAGTAATTGTATTTTTAACTTTTTTAAATAATGAAATATAGAGTTTGTTTTATAAAAAGATCTTATAATAAAATATTTATGAAACCTTTACTGAATTGATAATTTGTTAAGATTGTCCATTTTATATTAATACTCTAAATCAACTTTTTGTTATTTGTCAATTGGCCTTTCAGATCAATTTTTATACAATTAAAAAGATTAAATGTGAGATTTTTTTTTAATCTTTGGATTTCAACAAATTTTTAGTATGAAGTAATTTGGATATAATAGTCTTTAAAATTAGAAAGTTTCATAGGATTGTAGATTTAATAAAAATTAGATGATATTTTTTTCAAGTCATCCTGTTGTTATTATTCAAGTTTGTAAAATTCATTATAATAATATAATATTTATATAAAAACTTTTAATATTTTGCAAAATATCTTATTTTAATAATTAATACAATCGCTTCTGTTCATGTCATTCATTATTATTATAATGAACCTGAAAAGGACTGTTGGCATAAATAGCAGGTAATATACTCTAATCTTTCATTTTTTAAAGTTTATATTTATATATTACAACAAGACATATTTCAAAACAAAACAATACAATATTTCATTTTATTTAAAAAAAATATTATTTAACACTATTGTCATTTGACTAACCATCTATTTTTATTAAACGATTTACTTATTAAGAATTTGTTTTCAATATTGAATCTTGATAATTTCTTACAAGATTCTTCTTGGGAAATTGATGTTTCTATTTAAATTTTTAAGAAGAGATATTGATACTAATTATTACATTTATATATATATAACTCGATATATTTTATAATTGGAAAAGTCACTTGGCGTGATTGTTTATATATTGTTTGAGTATTGAAGCTCTTGTTTATTGTAAGAAAGCCTCCATTTGAGAGATTATTGTCTTTAATCTCTGGCATTACTATAATTTCAAGACATCATTATTAGTAATTTGAGATTTCAGACTTTTTCTTGAAGGGACATCAGTTTCAGAATCAACTTTTCTAATTTTTTTTGATTTTCTGATAACACGCTTAGTCTTTTTTTTAGGGGCTTCCTCCACATAATTAAACAATAAGACAGGTTCTTCTTATAAATACCCATCAAAAGTATTAAGTTATTCTGGTTCCTATTAAGCACTTTGTTCATATTCATAATATTATGATTCATTTGTTTATTCAATAAGAGGATCATGAATTAACTCTAGAAATAAGTAGAATAAGTACATTATGAATGTTGTTCTTCAAAGTCAATAGGGTAGAAATTCATAAAATTGAAAATAATTCTTTAATTTAATTATATTGAGATTTTCACAATTTAATCTTTTTATTTGATTAGCGTTTTTTTGGTCGAGATAATTTTTTGTATCTTTAATAAACAATCAACTTAATATAAACAATCAACTTGTATACAAATATTAATTAAATACATATATAATACTAATTTATATAGAGAATATCAATCATTTTCTTCTTTGTTGCTATTATGTGAATTGCATCCCTGGAAATGAAAATCCAGAAAATCCTGCTCCTCCTTATTATGAGAAATCTCCAAATTAAAATGGAAATCCTGATCCTCCTCTCATGTTCTAACCCATTCCTCCTAAATTAGTTGTAAAAACAGTTTTGAATCCTCCTGGAAATTCTCCTCCTGCCATATTTCCAAAACCAAAGTCACCAAAATCTGCTCCTCCTTCACTACCAAAGAACATCTTGAATATTTGGGATGGATCAATATTTGTTTCAAATCCTCCTGCTCCTCCCATTGGATCATTTGGATCTACTCCCATATCATATTGTTATCTTTTTTATTTATCACTCAATACACTATAGGCCTCAGCGATTTCTCTGAATTTCTTATCAGCTAATTTCTATAATAATATTATAAAATAGTATACTTTTTATTCTTCACTTTCTTTATTTTTATCTGGATGCCATTGCAAAGCCAATTTTCTATATGCTTTCTTGATATCTGCCTCTGACGCATTTTTGTCAACCTCTAATATTTTATAATAGTCTTTCTTTGATAATTGTTTCTATTTTCTAGTTATCTCATTGATCTTCTATCTCATTTATTATATTGATCCTTAATCTAACTCCATCACCTTCTAATAGTCACCTTATGCACCATCCAAATCTCCTAACTCCTATCTTGAATCTCCTCTTCTCAAATAGGCTTTGAAGTATCGGTCATTCAATTCAATTGATTTATCAAAGTCATTAACTGCCTTTCTATGATCCTTCAATTTCTAATAAGCCAATCCTCTATTGGCATAAATTATGGAATTGAATTTAAGATTGTTAGAATCCACTTCCAACGCTTTGGTATAATAATCAATAGCTTCATTAAATTTATTTGAATTTAAACAATCATTTCCTTTGGATTTATAATTATCTGAATCCTTAGCCATTTGAAAAGCTAGTAAACATTTTTTGTTATTCTAATCTTGTCTTACTCCTTCTTAAAGTATAGGTTTTGCCTTATCTGGGTTTCCTCCATATAATTCTATTAGACCCTTTAAATAAGATGTTTCAGCCCTTGGTCCACACTTCTCCTAAATAAGTCTTAGCTATTCCTAAGCTTAATTAGCATTGCCTGTTCTGGCTAAACATTCACAATTCAGAATTTGAATGTCGACAGCATCTGGAATTTCCTTTGCAACTTTTTCCATATAATATAAAGCTTCTTTATATTATTTGGCATCCAATTTCTGATGTGTTTACTACACATTATAGATTAATTCATTAATTTGTTTATGTTCCTTGATGGATTACTCACTATTATCTAAATTAACAATTTGCCCAAAAATAGGCTTGGCTTCTGTTAACATTCCCAAATATTACAAACTCAAAGCCTTTCTTCTTAGAAACTTAGGGTTATTGGGGTCTAAACTGAGAGCTTTTTCACAGTCCTTTAAACATTTGTTGTACCTAAATAGATTATTAATAAAAAATTACTTTTTCATTTGAAGGAAACAAGCAGCCCTATTACCATAATAATTTGGTTCATTTGGACAAAGTTCTAAAATAGGAAAATTATTGATACCTATAGCTTTTTCGTATTCCTCTGCAGCATTTGAATATAATGCTCTTTTAAAATAATCGTTTCCTTTATTTTTATGATCTTCTGCTTATTACTTAAGTCTATCTAATCCTGTATTGTGTTCCACTTCCATTAGAAATAATTTAAAAAAAATAATATTTTTTTCCTTCATTTTCCAGAACCTTCTTAAAGCGCAAAGTCATTATAATTAATTAGATTTTAAATAATAGAAAAATAGAAAATATATTATACCAGAAATTATAAGTTTATCAATAAATTAGATAATGATAAGCCAATTTATAATGTAAATAAAAGAATGTGGATTTTATGATAAGTTCTGAAATAAATATACATAAATATAAATTCTATAATAAAGTTTAATCATATGTATGAGGTCAATATGACACTGTTCAAATTATTCATTAGGATCTAAGAATATTTATGATTTATACTTTATTCTGAAATAGAATTTCACAACTATTTTTTTTCATCTTTCTATTTAATTTTACTTCCTTATTTGATTGTATCTATCACTAAATATTTTAATTTTATTTGTAGATTATCATTTATCACTTTATCATTGAAAGAGATGGTGTTACTAACATTGGAACTTACTTGAATTGGAATAATTTATCTGACTTTATCAAGGATTTCAAAGTGTTACAATGAGAAACATTAGCAGAGTGCAGTAGTTATTAAGGGAACTAAAATCCTGTTTCATCAATTGACCAATATAAGCTTTAGTATAGATATTTACTAAAATTAACTAAAATGAATTAGAGAATAGAAACCCATAAAATTTAATAATTGTCTTCATTATATAAGTTAAACGTGAATTGTTAGAGACTTATCCTTATTCAGGGGCAATATCGCTGTAAGTGACGTACCAACGGATACGCGAGATTGCTAATTGAAAACTACTCCAATGCGAGTGTACGACTTCCTTGTGAAGTCGTTCACCAATTTCTGAAGGGTCGAAAGACTCACACCCTCAATAAATTAAACAAACGAAATTTATATATATTTAAATTATGAATTAACAAGAACAGGAATTCCTTTAGACTCTTAAACAATGCTAAAAAATGCATTGGATCTAATCTAAGTAATTGCCAAATTTGAAAATATTTTATACAGGAACAAATAGCTTCTACTAAAGAGGTGATATAGTTTTTGATTTCTTACTCCCTCTGAATTCATCATTGGATGAGAGAGTCTAATATTTTAGAATTGGGAAAGAATAGTTATCTGATGGAAGCTTAATTGAGAGATGCAAATTCAAAAATTAAATATATTCTCTTAAGTATAAATATCACTATTTCAATATTAATGAATCCGCTTATGGAATTCACAGACAGTATGATGATTCGATTATGGTTTAACAATTGGTGTTTTATAAAGTAGAAGAATCAAGAACAACTTTAACAATCCTATAACATCTAAAATCATAACCAAATTATAGTTTTTTTAAGTTTTTACGAGAATGCATTATTAATTACTCAAGTTTAGAAGTAGCAGAGTTATTTGAGAAATAATCGATCTAATCAGAACTACGCTTAGATGAAGATGAGGAAGAATTAAATAAATATGTATGCAACTATATTGACACAAATGAATTTTAACCTAAGGAAACTGATGAAAAATATATCAATGAACATTATCGGTATGATCTATTCTTATCAACTGATAGAGTAACCTAACTAGATTAAGAAGACTAAGATATTTATTATAAACTGTTTTAAATGGTATGTGAATACAAACTCTCTAGTAATACTTTGATAAGGTGGCTCATAGCAAGAGGGTGTAATTATAGCATTTTGTAATTTTAGATTCGATATTAATGCTTCACATGCAGCGATAATGAATTGGATTGTATGATACATTTATTTATTTTAGGAATGGAGAAGGCAACACAGAATCAATCGTTTATCTGCAAAATAATTTCCAGAATTTAAAGGAATCTTGGAAATTGTTGGGGAAAGCAAGTGTGGTAGATAAGTTGTCTATACAAAGCAGTCTAAATTATAGCCTGATAAAATGTATTTATTCATTTAAAATATTTAGAGATCTCGAGAGATATAAATGGTATTTCATTGGTTTCCTCGAGGATGTCTGTAGATCTTGCAAAGGATTCGTAGATTCCTATATTACAATTTTGGATGTAGATGGATTTGGCTTTTCCAATTTCGATCTCCAAATGACTAAAAGCCTTTTGAATATGGTGCTATAGTTTTTTCCAGAGAGATAAAATAAGGTGTTTATCATTAATATGTCTGGTTTTGTGATGGGATTTTATAAAATGTTAAAACCTTTCTTGCCTACAAGGACAAGTGATAAAGTAATTGATAAAAATTCATTTAAGCTAATCTTTTTGGGAAAAGACAGATAAGAAATATAAAAGACGTTGATTGAACATCTTGGATTCACAATAGACTTTGAATGATATCATAATATTTATAAAGAGGAAATTAAATGTAAATCTGAAATTAAATCTATAATTAAAATAAAATTAGAAATCTGTAAGTTTGATTAAAGTCAATAATTCAGTTTATATTTATTAAAATAGCTTAAACTATTCAATTAGATAAGCTATAATTTATTAATACTAGATATATTCTCTAATATCGAGTTTCAGAACACTTTTGTTTCTTACATCCAAATAATCAAATCTTCTATTATAACTCGTATAAACTTTCAATATTTTAAAGATACTAATATGTTTTAATAATGCATCATAAACGATTTCTTCTTAAGCAATTTATTCCTCAATCATTAAATTATTATTATTCTTCAGAAATTTAATAATAATTTAAAATAATTCTTTCATAAACTTAAATTTCATAATTAATAAGAGCAGAAAGGCAATCAAGCTATGGTCTAGAAGGTTATGAGTTTATAAATTAAAATGAACATTATGACGTTTAAAATTATTATTAGAGATTGAGAAGGAGCAACATCTATTAAATGGATAAGATCTAGTTTTACTCAAAATACGATTAAATTGATTATATTTGATGGTTAGAAATAAATCTGCATGCATTATTAAATATAATATCACAAGATTTCATCTAACTTCTTTGTAATTTCTTGAAATACTTCATCAATAGGTTTGTCTGCCTTTATATGGATACATTGTGAAAGGGAATCAAAATATTCTAATATATTCTAATAAATGTATACATATAATTGGTCTTGTAGATTCATTGTATGTTTTCAATCTTTTAACAAGAGTTTCATCATTATCATCTGATCTTCCACTTTCTTAAGCCCTGATTTTAATTCTATTTTTTAAGGTCTCCTCATCACATTCAAAATAAAATAACTTTTTAAATTCCACCTTATCACCCATCAATTTAATCCAAACATCGAAATTCTCTTAATTTCTGGGAAATCCATCAATTAAAAACATCTTATCAAGACCCTTAGCTTGCATGGCTGATTCTAATAAACTTATTGTTATGTGACTCTAGAAATTTATGTATCATAGTTACTGGGACAATTTACCCACTCTTAATGATTTCCTCAATCAATTCAGCATTTTGTGTTTTTTTAGATCTCTTTAAAATACAATAATTTAATACCTCCTCTCTCAATAAGTCACCTGCAGATAAGTGAACAAAATGATATTTCTCTACCATTTTTGCACTTTAAGTACCCTTTCCTGCTCCAGGTCCTAGATTGATGAATCGATAAGAATGTACCTCCTAAAACAAAAAATACTTTTGGCTTAACTTAATCCATAATAAATTATATATTAATTTTCACTAATACTTCCTATAGTATTTCTTGGATTTATGAGTTGATTTTGATCTTCTTCTATAGCCATCGCTACTATCTGATTTGTTTCTTTGTCTGGATCGAGATCTTTCTTTGCTTTCTTGCATTTTTGAAGATTCTAATATATAAAATAAAAAACTACTTTCATAATCATATTTGTAAGTCTTGGAATGTCTTCTTTCAAATTAAAATCCACTATAATACTTATTATTTTTATATTTATCAGAGTCTACCGATTCCTATCTTTTTCTTCTGTAATCTTATGATTTTTGTGAGCCTTCACTGCTAGATCCTTAAGTTAGATGAGATTATTACTTCTCTTATTATACCCCCTGCTTCTGGAATAATCATTGTCTTCATAATATCTTCTACTAGTTCTAGGTCTTTCATATTTATAATTCTGATATTTTTATTTCTATCTCGATTTATCATAATTGTGCGATTTTTCATATTTATATTTATCATATCTATCAATTGAACTTTTTTAATTATAGTTATATCTATGATGATGAGATTTATGCTTTTATTTGGTTGATAAATCTCTACTTTTCATTGATTCAGAACTACTCTACCTCTTTTAATGTTAATGATTGCTTGAATCAGAAGAACTGTCACTACTTTCCTTCTATCTATCACTTTTTTTGCTGAATTATGATGTATGAGATATCAATGAAATTAAAGACAAATTTTAAAACTTAGGAGTGTCATCTTCCTGGACACTGTTAAATCTTTTGAATGAGTCTTATTAAAAGTTTCCATCCATTTGTGTTTATTCTGGCTGATGTCTTTTAAATCCTAAGATTGCACTTAGAATCTTTCTGGTTAATAATATTAAATTCCTCTTCCTCAACATTTACTCTTAATCAGTTAAATTCTTTTAGATTTCCTTTCCTAAACAATATTAGATATACAATTAGGTTTCATAATCTCTAAGTAAGGATGGATAACAGCGTTTGACAAACCAATTATCAAATTTCTATTCTCTATACTTCATTATGTTGAATTAATAAAAATATGGTGTAATAAGATCCCAATTCTTCATAAATGCCATATCATTAGTCATCATGGTATTTNCATAGTTACTGGGACAATTTACCCACTCTTAATGATTTCCTCAATCAATTCAGCATTTTGTGTTTTTTTAGATCTCTTTAAAATACAATAATTTAATACCTCCTCTCTCAATAAGTCACCTGCAGATAAGTGAACAAAATGATATTTCTCTACCATTTTTGCACTTTAAGTACCCTTTCCTGCTCCAGGTCCTAGATTGATGAATCGATAAGAATGTACCTCCTAAAACAAAAAATACTTTTGGCTTAACTTAATCCATAATAAATTATATATTAATTTTCACTAATACTTCCTATAGTATTTCTTGGATTTATGAGTTGATTTTGATCTTCTTCTATAGCCATCGCTACTATCTGATTTGTTTCTTTGTCTGGATCGAGATCTTTCTTTGCTTTCTTGCATTTTTGAAGATTCTAATATATAAAATAAAAAACTACTTTCATAATCATATTTGTAAGTCTTGGAATGTCTTCTTTCAAATTAAAATCCACTATAATACTTATTATTTTTATATTTATCAGAGTCTACCGATTCCTATCTTTTTCTTCTGTAATCTTATGATTTTTGTGAGCCTTCACTGCTAGATCCTTAAGTTAGATGAGATTATTACTTCTCTTATTATACCCCCTGCTTCTGGAATAATCATTGTCTTCATAATATCTTCTACTAGTTCTAGGTCTTTCATATTTATAATTCTGATATTTTTATTTCTATCTCGATTTATCATAATTGTGCGATTTTTCATATTTATATTTATCATATCTATCAATTGAACTTTTTTAATTATAGTTATATCTATGATGATGAGATTTATGCTTTTATTTGGTTGATAAATCTCTACTTTTCATTGATTCAGAACTACTCTACCTCTTTTAATGTTAATGATTGCTTGAATCAGAAGAACTGTCACTACTTTCCTTCTATCTATCACTTTTTTTGCTGAATTATGATGTATGAGATATCAATGAAATTAAAGACAAATTTTAAAACTTAGGAGTGTCATCTTCCTGGACACTGTTAAATCTTTTGAATGAGTCTTATTAAAAGTTTCCATCCATTTGTGTTTATTCTGGCTGATGTCTTTTAAATCCTAAGATTGCACTTAGAATCTTTCTGGTTAATAATATTAAATTCCTCTTCCTCAACATTTACTCTTAATCAGTTAAATTCTTTTAGATTTCCTTTCCTAAACAATATTAGATATACAATTAGGTTTCATAATCTCTAAGTAAGGATGGATAACAGCGTTTGACAAACCAATTATCAAATTTCTATTCTCTATACTTCATTATGTTGAATTAATAAAAATATGGTGTAATAAGATCCCAATTCTTCATAAATGCCATATCATTAGTCATCATGGTATTTTAGAGGTATTTGAAAACATATCTACACATTTACATTGACATTTAATCTTGAAACTATTCTAATTTTAGTTGGCAATCCTCTTAAATCATTTCAAAAAACATTTGCTTAGTTTACTTGATCTGATTTCTTAAGCACAATATCAATATAGTCATATTCTTTCTAGGATGTGAAGCTTCAAACAAGAGTACTTTTGTAGAGGAAGAATCCTTTTCAATTCTCTATTTAACTAATTTGCATTGCTCCTTATATTGGGGAGAAATGAGAACAGTGAAATAAGTCATCTCCTTTTCATTATTGGTCTCTTATTCCAAGAGCATTTTAATTGCATTACTAGTGTCTTAAATCTATTAAAGAGTTCCGATCAAACAGACTTCCTTCTCCCTATATTATATGTAAAAGAATGGATGATTGATATCTCTCTGGGTTTATTCGCCTTTTGCATTGTAAACAGAATCTCTGGATATACGGATCTCAGCATGTTGTTTTAGATGATACATGTTTTGCTAAACAGTCTTAGTTTCACTTCTACTGATATACAGTCTTTAAACACATAATGTTTTTAAGATTTTTGATATCTCTTGGACAGTTGATTCGATGTTCTATTTCGACCCCTTAATTTTAATTGGAGTAGCTCTGTCCATAGGAAATATCTCTTCACTATGAGCTAAGGATTTATTATATATGATGTTAACTTCTTGTTTTTTATCTAAACTGTTGCTATTAAGAATTAGAATTAAATAATTACAATTTCATTATTAATCTTTTTAAATAAATAATTGGTACTTTAATCTACCCCTCTATGATTCCTAGTTCTTTTTTGAGCTCTTTGATAATCTACTCAATCATGGTTAAAATTGATCTAAAGATACTTATCTATTAGACAGAACCAATAACAGTCAAATTATTCTCCTTCTTGAAGAAATCTGCATATTATTGATCTATTTATTCAAAACTGATTTTGTTTCCAATCTTATAAATTAATGGAGCATTCTTTTTGACTACTTTCTATTCAAGAATATTGATTTTAAAGCATTCCTTTTTAGTATCAATATTTTGGATATTTTACACTTGAATCTATTCTATTTATTATTGCAATTCATTATTATCATTATATTGTTCTTCAAACTTTTTTTAGGCTACATCTACAATAGATTGCATCTACTATAGTTTGCCACTGTTCTATGGCTAATATTCAAAGGACTGTTTAACATATTGATCTAGGTTGTTTAATGATGTACCTGTAGATTTCATACCCTTTGGTGGCAGAGGTAAATCTGAGATATTAGTATCTAAATATTCTTTTTTATTATAGTTGACTTCTTCATCTAATTTATTTATTTATTATTATTAATGTTGTTTCTATTATAAATATTCTCTGACTGTTTATTTCTCTAAAGACTTCATCATCTTGTATCTGTTATCATATTCACTATCAGAATCACTTGAAGAAGATGATGAATCCATCTTCTTCTTATTCTTCTTCTCATTATTCAATTATTTGACCTTCTACTATAATAAACCTTCTATTTTTTCTTTCTCTTTTTCAGATTCAGCCAAAATTCTTTTCTCATCCTAGCACTCCTAACAATACCAAGCATCTTTTGGTACTGATGACAATGGAGGGACAAGACATAGTAAATGAAATCCACAATTGCATTTATCACATAACAATAGTTACTCATCATCTTAGGGTGTTTTAGTTTGACATATTTTGCATACCATATTTTCCAGATGTTCTTCCCACTCTTCTTAAGTTACATCAGTTGGTTTCAATCCCAAATACCCCTTGCATTTGTTAGCTCCACAGAGACATTTAGTCAATGGTGTATGGAATACATCAAATTAATAATCAAAGGTCAATTCCTCATCTTCATTTATGTCCCGTATGGCAAATATACCTATACATACTTCGCCTAACACATTCCATTTCTCAGTAATACAATTTGGCTCACAAGAGTGATTTATAAATCTTGCTAGATTCCCTTTCGATGTTGGATCAATAACTTCCTAATTGTTAAGTTTCATTAAATAAGTGCATGTAGATTTCTAAAATAAACACACAATTCAAACCGAATATTCCTGCACTCGTCTTCTCCCAAATGCACTATTGATTTGAAATATCTCGCCAACATATTGCATAATGAATTGTCCTTTCAAAATACGTTCGCCAGCAAACAAACCCATCCCTTTTCCTCCGCAACGTAATGGGTATACACATGCATCATCATGTTTCTAAAATCTTCGGTTTTTGCATTGTTCTGCGCATGGACACAACTCTACATCACATTCTGTGCAAGTGAATCTATTCAAGCATCTCTCGCCGCAATTATACGAATATTATGGACCTTAAGGTCGACTATTCTTACGATTTAATGTACCTTTATATTTGATCCTCAGGACACATTATGCAGGAACAAACTAATGTCTCATCCCTGCTGACTCTATATTGTTTTCTTTCCAAATATTGATTCTTTTTTAACAATGTAAAGTATTTGAAACTCTCTTTCAATCCCTATAATCTTGCAGGATTTCCTTGTAATTTAGAAACTATCTTGCATGATAATTATGGGTAATTACATTTCTGTTTTTGGAGGTTTCTTTAAGGATAGACTACTCATTTTTCTTTGTTTTATTACTCTCATCCAATTACATTAATTTAAAATTATTATCATTATAATATATTAGTAATAACTTTTGATGGACAAGTATGTTTGCATTCATCACAGCAGACCAATTTTATAGGAATTTCCTAAATCAATAATTTCTTTTCACTTTGACTCAATTCTTTTTCCTTTTACTCTTTCTACACTTTTTACTACATTACTAAAAGACTATTTACCTTAAAAATAATCTACTACTCAATCTCTTTAATAAAGGCTTATTTCTCCATGGATTTATCTAATTGCTTTTATTTTTCACGTTATTCTTCTTATTATTTGTATTAAATCATAGTGTAATACTCCTATTACTTTTTGTTTTCCTCATCTTTTCTTTTTTATTCATTAATTTTAACTTGATATTAGATTTCTTATTTGAATTATTCCATCTGTTACTTTTTTGCTAATTCAGCTGCTTTATTCAGTTTCTCATTGCTTTTTTGTACAAACTTGAGTTGTTCCTACTCCATTTTATTCATCTCTTCTTGTTCCTGTTTCAATTTCTGTTTTTCTCCTAAGGTGTACTTCCAATAGTTGATCATCTACCGTTACTATTGGGCTTTAATTTATTGATTATGAATTTGCTCACTCTCCAATTAGGTCCAATATTAAGACTCTATGATGTCCGATTTGTTGTTTTATAACTTTTATTAAAACTTTTCTTCTTCCTTAAATGATATTTAATTTTTAAGATCTCTCAGGTAATATTATTGCAATTATTCCTTTTTTTCCAATTTCTTAATCTTCTGAAGATGTTCATCCCTCTCTAACTATTTGAAGAAGTTAGCTACTTCGGCTTTCTCATTAGATTGCTCAGTTTTAACTCTTTATTGATGCTATTGTATTAAATCCCCATTGATCTTGTGATAAGTGAAGAATTTCCTTCTATTTTCTTCGGCCAACTAATCCCTAAATTGATTTTCTTGATCCATCGATTATTTGACTTATTAGTACAATTTCTATTTAATCAATGAGATTATAATTACCTGATCTTCCTATCGCTCCTATTAGACTCTGCACTCTTTCTGTCTCATAAGTGATCGATTCAAACAATTATTGCATACTTTCTTAAGTCTTGGATTCGAGGGAGGAGTCATCTATAATCCTGGACTAGTTTTAACATATAGAGCTGATATGGAAGGAGTGAGGCATTTCTTGGGAGTGTTAGGATTGGATTGTTTTATTGTTTCATATTTTTACCTCATTTAGCGAATGTCTTGCATAAACTGACAAAATAAAATTTATTCTAAATAAAAATGATAATTCTGTTCTTATTAAATTATGTTGTTGCTTAAATTTTATCTTGTGATGTGAAGGTTGACGGAATTGAAAAAGGGTACTTGTCATTCTAATTGCAATGCGACTCAACTCCAAAATCATGTCACAATATATAAGAACTTTAAGATTTCAGAATGAGTTACATCTCTGAATCAAAAATGGAAATTGCAAGTCCAATTGTGAACAAGAAATGGAAATCAGAAATCAATAATTTATACACTCAATTTGGAGCAATCGGATAGAAGAGAAACATTGAATCTGGAGAAGTAGATTAAACCTATACTATATTTCTCAACAAATAGGAATTCGATGGACCAAAGAGTTAGTGGTTAGTCATTGGCAATATCATCCGACAAGAGGATAAAGAATTACTCAATTATCTTAAGTGGACATCCCAATCCACCAACTCAATTCCCAATAGAGATATTAGATTTAAATGCTCCCTCTGATAGTTTATATAATTATACTCATTAAAAGATTTAAATTGCATATGTTATTAAAATCTAAAGATTATTATAAAATTTAACAATTTTAATTATGATTCATAAATTATTATATAAATAGTCAGCTATTTTAATAATGCTAATCATATTTATTTTTAGTAATACCAGAAATGTTTCTGACTTGTTGTCCTAATCTTTACTCTATGTTGCTGAAGACGCAAATTAATTTGATTGACAATGAAATATTACTATCTCTGGATTTATAGCCCCCTTACAAAGCAATCCTAAAGAAAGACTTCTTACACATTTACAAGGATGAAGAACCTTTATTCTCTCTACCATTATCGTATCCCAATCTTATTAGTTGGCAATTCCAAAGAAACTTAGTAGGCTTTATGATCAGCAACACTACTTATTACACCGACTAAGCCTATAAGTTGAAGGAATTACTAAATGGGAAACTATTTTTTTCAAGAATCTAAGATTTCTACACTCCCTTACAAGTCTTGGGTTAAGGTAGCTCAGCCAAAGTCTTGTTGGTTAAATCTAAACAGGGTGAGCAATATTTTGCAGCCAAATGTGTTGAAAAGAATGAGCTAATGTATTAGGAAATCGAGATTAATAATGAATTAGATCACCCTGCGTTTGTCAAAGTAAAGGAAGTCTTCTAAGGAGACACCAGTTACTACATAATAATGGATTTGTTATCTGGAAAAAACTTGCAGTAACTCATGAAAAATTAACATGTTGGCTTAACATTGGAGTAGACTCAGAAAATAATGCATGTAAATTGATAGTTAAATAGGCTTTATTAAGTGGGATTGAACATATGCACTAAAAAAACATTATGCACAGAGACATCAAACCAGAGAACATTGTTTTACAGAAAAATAACAATTTAACTACACTCAAAATAGTTGACTTTGGTTTAGCAACATACACCACATTAAAAAAGTAAAATCAATCTCCTACCTAGATTTAAATATCCCAAATGTGGAACTCCCGGGTATGTTGCTCCAGAAATTGCCAATCTGACAGACAAGGATGCCACATATAGTTCTAAGTGCGACATCTTTAGTGCTGGAGCACTATTTTTTAAACTCTTAACAGGAAGAGATGTTTTTCCTGGGACAGGGTTTAACTATGTGTTGTAATTAAATAAGAAATGTCACATTGATTTTTCTATCCTTACTTTAAAGAAAGTACCACAAAATGTTATAGTAATCTATTTTTAATATTGAGGGAACTTGTCTAAAAAATGCTCTCTAGAGATCCTAAGATGAGACCAACAGCTACAGAATGCTTAAGTCATGAGTTCTTTACACTTCATGATAAACCAACTAGTGCTCAAAAGAAGACCTTTTTTGCTTAAACCAGAGCAGCTACTTTAACTGTTGATTTCTCCTCTCCTGAAGAAAAGTCTGAATATAAAGGTTCCTTTGTTACTAATGACATTGTACCATAAGAATATGGAATGCAAAAAACATATACAAAATTCAATACCACTGAATTTGATTAATATAATTGAATAATCATTATAGAGTGTTTATAATAATAGGATCTTTAGGTAGCCTTGAGAGAGTCAATAATGCTATTAACTTTATTTTTCTATAATTTTTGGAACTCTTTTAGAACTTAAGACTTTTATGTTTTAAAAAAGGCTTTCTTTTATGATTATTAATTAAATAAATGATACACATTTATTTGTGATTATTCAGTAAATTCTATCTTAATAAATTATACAACCTTAAAATTAAATTGACTATAATGTGAATAATAATAATACAACTCTAAATACTATTAACAACACAAAATATAAAATCACACTCCATAAGTTTTAAGTCTCTTAGAATTAACTTACAGGGTTGTATTTTCTACTACATCTTCCACTTCTAATTAAACTTTTTATTTTTATTCTTATTTTTCTTCTTGTTATTTCTGTTTTTAAAACTCTCTTGGGTCTATTCCTTTAAGGATTAATTTCTTATTTCTTTTGGTACTCTTTCTAATTTAAGCCAATAGTTTTTCAGCTTTATTCTTCTTAATTTTAATGGAACCGTCTCGATATGGAGCCAATTTCTTTATTGAAACGTACTAATTCAATAATTTATCATCTGCATAAAGCAAATCATCATTTGTCAATCCAAAATCTTATTTTTCAACATCTATATATTAAAATTTAGTTTTGATTCCTCCTGCTATGACATCCTCGAAATCTAAATTATAGTATTCATCAATGATATTCTTAAGATTAGATGGTAATTTTTCTTTTAATTATTCAGGGTTTTCTTCAAGTAATTTATTAACATCCAAAACCTCTGCTTCTACAAATTTATATCTCTATTAATTTTTATCTTTTTCAAAACAATCCACACACAAATAATCCTTCTTACTTTCATAATAATCATTTTCTTTAGTCATTTTAATTTAGCATGCTCTACAATACTTAAATTGGTTAATTAATTATTCAGCTTCCTCTGTCTTAGGAGGTTTGCAGGTTTTAGGAACCAAAGCCTTTTTCAATTTATGTTAAGAGTGTAATTGATTACAATTCTCACAAAGTGTATAATCTTCACAAACTTGGCAATCCCATCTAAAATGATTGGGTTCAATGGTTTATTTGCACACATCACAAAACCACCAGATAGTAATATCTTCTTCTTTGAGTACTTCCATTTCTCTAAAAATATAAATCCATAGTTTACTCTTAATTTAAATTTTTCTTCATAATAATTGGAATTGTAGGTTTAATCTTTATTACATTATCAACATCTAAACCTTATTCATTTTTTTCTACTTCTTCTTCTTATGCATCATCATTTTATTCCAATTCTTCAGGAGACTCCTCTTCATCCTCAAAATACTCTTCATCAAATATCTTTTCCATCTTTTTATCAAATTCTTCTGGTTAAAAATCTTTCTTATCAATTTCTTCTAATAACAATTTCGCATCTTTAATCCCACCTACCTATTGTATTTTCTAAAGCTTAGATATAATTTCGTTCTTTTTTGCTGCTTTCAATTACTTTAACTCTTTTTCCAATTACTACTTTTATTCCTTCTCTCTTTGAGCCTTTGCTAATCTCTATCTATGTCTTGCCGTTTCTGGTTCCTATCTCAATGTATCCTTTAAATCTCTTTCATAAGTGATCAATTGATTTCCTCCCTCTTCTTCAAATCTAAAATTGTATTTTTCTTCAAACTCATCCATTTTCTCTTCGTCTTCAGATGAATCAATAATCTCATTCATGTCATCTTTATCAATCCANATAATGTGAATAATAATAATACAACTCTAAATACTATTAACAACACAAAATATAAAATCACACTCCATAAGTTTTAAGTCTCTTAGAATTAACTTACAGGGTTGTATTTTCTACTACATCTTCCACTTCTAATTAAACTTTTTATTTTTATTCTTATTTTTCTTCTTGTTATTTCTGTTTTTAAAACTCTCTTGGGTCTATTCCTTTAAGGATTAATTTCTTATTTCTTTTGGTACTCTTTCTAATTTAAGCCAATAGTTTTTCAGCTTTATTCTTCTTAATTTTAATGGAACCGTCTCGATATGGAGCCAATTTCTTTATTGAAACGTACTAATTCAATAATTTATCATCTGCATAAAGCAAATCATCATTTGTCAATCCAAAATCTTATTTTTCAACATCTATATATTAAAATTTAGTTTTGATTCCTCCTGCTATGACATCCTCGAAATCTAAATTATAGTATTCATCAATGATATTCTTAAGATTAGATGGTAATTTTTCTTTTAATTATTCAGGGTTTTCTTCAAGTAATTTATTAACATCCAAAACCTCTGCTTCTACAAATTTATATCTCTATTAATTTTTATCTTTTTCAAAACAATCCACACACAAATAATCCTTCTTACTTTCATAATAATCATTTTCTTTAGTCATTTTAATTTAGCATGCTCTACAATACTTAAATTGGTTAATTAATTATTCAGCTTCCTCTGTCTTAGGAGGTTTGCAGGTTTTAGGAACCAAAGCCTTTTTCAATTTATGTTAAGAGTGTAATTGATTACAATTCTCACAAAGTGTATAATCTTCACAAACTTGGCAATCCCATCTAAAATGATTGGGTTCAATGGTTTATTTGCACACATCACAAAACCACCAGATAGTAATATCTTCTTCTTTGAGTACTTCCATTTCTCTAAAAATATAAATCCATAGTTTACTCTTAATTTAAATTTTTCTTCATAATAATTGGAATTGTAGGTTTAATCTTTATTACATTATCAACATCTAAACCTTATTCATTTTTTTCTACTTCTTCTTCTTATGCATCATCATTTTATTCCAATTCTTCAGGAGACTCCTCTTCATCCTCAAAATACTCTTCATCAAATATCTTTTCCATCTTTTTATCAAATTCTTCTGGTTAAAAATCTTTCTTATCAATTTCTTCTAATAACAATTTCGCATCTTTAATCCCACCTACCTATTGTATTTTCTAAAGCTTAGATATAATTTCGTTCTTTTTTGCTGCTTTCAATTACTTTAACTCTTTTTCCAATTACTACTTTTATTCCTTCTCTCTTTGAGCCTTTGCTAATCTCTATCTATGTCTTGCCGTTTCTGGTTCCTATCTCAATGTATCCTTTAAATCTCTTTCATAAGTGATCAATTGATTTCCTCCCTCTTCTTCAAATCTAAAATTGTATTTTTCTTCAAACTCATCCATTTTCTCTTCGTCTTCAGATGAATCAATAATCTCATTCATGTCATCTTTATCAATCCACCCTTTTGTTAATATATATTTCCTTAGGAATTTATCCTTCTCATCCAACTCCTCTTCATTTCCCCAAAACCTTTATAATATATCTTACTCTTCAGGCTTCTATTTTTTTAATAGCTTTTCAAATTCCTTATTTTCATCCTCTATTTCTTGTACTGTCTTTTATTTTACTTTTAGTAAGTCCTTCTGTTATTTAGGTGTATTCTTAGCTGCTTCTATAAAAGCCTTTTTCAATTAGATTTATTCTTCATTAGGAGTCATGCCTATATTTGGTTCGTATTCTTCTTCTTCTAATTCCTCTTATTCATCTTTGACTCCCTACCCTTAGAGTTCCGCATAAGTGACCTTCTTTTGCTTTTAATCTCTGATTTCAGGTTCATCAAAATCTTCCTCTTAAAATATCTCTTTATTTTTATAAATATCTGGATGTTTATACCTTATTTTTGCAAGAGTTTCTATGAACTTTTAAGTTACTTTGTCATTAATCAAATCTCCATTTTCGTCTTCTGGAATCTAATCTTCGCTACTTTCTTCTTAATCTAGAATTTCTCCTTTCTTATCCAATAATTCCCTTTCCTTTTTCTTTTAATACTTCTCTGCATACTTCTTATTTATTTTCAATTTGAGCTTTGGTTATTCTTGACCCTCAAATAATTTCATTAATTTTTATATATTTATATGTTTCTAATGATAAAATGAATTCAATTGGTCATCATCATATATGATTAATATTAATAATACTACTATCAATAAGGTAACAAAGTTAACACTTTAAATAATTAATCATATTTGATAGAGGAATCTGGCCATTTAAAAACATTATTAATCTACTTTTCATCCATCATTTTATTTAATACTATTTTCGCTGTGGATACTTCAATTAAATTTGTTTCCGAATCTGAGAAAAACTTTACAACCTCCAACAGTTTATCACAATCAGGATAAATCAATTTAAAGGATAAATAAACACTAAAATAAGCTGCATCCAAATCCAATTAATATTTATCTTTGCTATTTTTTTCTTAATATAAATAAGTTTCTTTTAAGATATTTTCAAGATTTACATCATCAACAATAAATCCCAAAGAAAATAAATAACTTTTTAAATTCTCAGATAACATATAACATTTTGTCCAAGCAGAATTATTATCATTGGCATCTCCCTGTTAAAAAAGTATAAAATTTGTTGAACACAATTGAAAAAATTCAGGATCCTTTTCTTTTAATAAGTCCTTAANTTTGCTAATCTCTATCTATGTCTTGCCGTTTCTGGTTCCTATCTCAATGTATCCTTTAAATCTCTTTCATAAGTGATCAATTGATTTCCTCCCTCTTCTTCAAATCTAAAATTGTATTTTTCTTCAAACTCATCCATTTTCTCTTCGTCTTCAGATGAATCAATAATCTCATTCATGTCATCTTTATCAATCCACCCTTTTGTTAATATATATTTCCTTAGGAATTTATCCTTCTCATCCAACTCCTCTTCATTTCCCCAAAACCTTTATAATATATCTTACTCTTCAGGCTTCTATTTTTTTAATAGCTTTTCAAATTCCTTATTTTCATCCTCTATTTCTTGTACTGTCTTTTATTTTACTTTTAGTAAGTCCTTCTGTTATTTAGGTGTATTCTTAGCTGCTTCTATAAAAGCCTTTTTCAATTAGATTTATTCTTCATTAGGAGTCATGCCTATATTTGGTTCGTATTCTTCTTCTTCTAATTCCTCTTATTCATCTTTGACTCCCTACCCTTAGAGTTCCGCATAAGTGACCTTCTTTTGCTTTTAATCTCTGATTTCAGGTTCATCAAAATCTTCCTCTTAAAATATCTCTTTATTTTTATAAATATCTGGATGTTTATACCTTATTTTTGCAAGAGTTTCTATGAACTTTTAAGTTACTTTGTCATTAATCAAATCTCCATTTTCGTCTTCTGGAATCTAATCTTCGCTACTTTCTTCTTAATCTAGAATTTCTCCTTTCTTATCCAATAATTCCCTTTCCTTTTTCTTTTAATACTTCTCTGCATACTTCTTATTTATTTTCAATTTGAGCTTTGGTTATTCTTGACCCTCAAATAATTTCATTAATTTTTATATATTTATATGTTTCTAATGATAAAATGAATTCAATTGGTCATCATCATATATGATTAATATTAATAATACTACTATCAATAAGGTAACAAAGTTAACACTTTAAATAATTAATCATATTTGATAGAGGAATCTGGCCATTTAAAAACATTATTAATCTACTTTTCATCCATCATTTTATTTAATACTATTTTCGCTGTGGATACTTCAATTAAATTTGTTTCCGAATCTGAGAAAAACTTTACAACCTCCAACAGTTTATCACAATCAGGATAAATCAATTTAAAGGATAAATAAACACTAAAATAAGCTGCATCCAAATCCAATTAATATTTATCTTTGCTATTTTTTTCTTAATATAAATAAGTTTCTTTTAAGATATTTTCAAGATTTACATCATCAACAATAAATCCCAAAGAAAATAAATAACTTTTTAAATTCTCAGATAACATATAACATTTTGTCCAAGCAGAATTATTATCATTGGCATCTCCCTGTTAAAAAAGTATAAAATTTGTTGAACACAATTGAAAAAATTCAGGATCCTTTTCTTTTAATAAGTCCTTAAATTATTTAGCTTCATATTACTCACATTTAATGAAATGACTTTTATTGTTATCAGTAACAGCTTAAACTTTTATTTCTGAAAGCCTCTTCAAATTTGGTTCTTATATCAATTTGGAATATTTAAAAAGGTATTGTGAAATAGTGAGTAAATGTTTTTAAGGTTGTCTAAATGTGAGTTCGTATCCAAAACTTTGTTTAGCTTTGTAATTTCTATCAGTAGAACTTATTTAGAAAGGCTTCGTATTGAAGCTCATTTAGGATTGCTATTAATTTTAGTTTTGGGTTTCAGCTTCTTTGACTTATATTGAGTTTTTCAACTTGTCTTGTATAGACTAATAATGAAATACTTGATTATTTGTATTTTATTGAGTTTTGACAGTTTAGTTGCTCTGTTAGTTTTATGATGATTGTTGTTTCGCATTAAAATAATCTTCGATATTAACCTTCTTTTGTTCCTGAGTTGAGAATTTGGCAACTTCATCTTATAACTTATTCTTATAAGCAGGACTTGAATTGTCATTTTTTTATTCGCTAATAATCTTACTGCCTGTCAAATAAGGAACAGGTTTAGTATTTTAAGGTTATTTTTCTTAAGGGACCTTTTCAAATACATTACTCATTACTTCCTAAGCTTGCTAGTTTACTAGTTTTGGGTTTGACTCAATAACTTGCTTTGGTATTTATTTAGTTGTGCATTCATACAGATCTTGTAATAGGTTATCTAAGTCTTCTTCATCTTTGTCATTCACAAGGGACTTCTATATTGAAGAGTCTTTTCTTGCATTTTAATAAATATCATCGAAATGACATTATTATATTTGTTCTTTAACAATTTCCATCGTATCATTATGTATAGATTATAAAAGAGATTATTATTAAATTACAGATTATTCATTTTAACCTCCTCCAAAATGTTATAATTAAGGTGCATCAAATAACTCTGATTAATAGAGTCCTGATTAATCATTTAACTTTTATCTATGACTCAGAAAATTGTCTAAAATGTTGCTTATATTATTTGTATTAGAATTATTCTATCTTGATTATTTTTTAATATGTTCAGATTTTATGGACATCTTTTTCATTTATGGTATGTCTTGACTATCATCTAATTGTGAGTTAATTTAGAATAACTCCTCGTGTTGATGACTTGATTTCTTAGTGCTTTTATCTAATTATTACTAGAACACTTAATTAATCGGTAATTGCGGAATAAACACAGGACTTTACTAAGTTATATTAGTTAAATGTGATTCATTGATATTCTATTCTTATTATACCTGTTATTATTATTATTATTTATAAACATGTTGAGACTAGTTTTGATTTTAGGATTGCTTATACTTAGGTGACACTGGAGTAACATCTTATTATTTATTCAATAATTGTTAAAATTGTTATTGTTATTATTGCAATTAAACTTAATACAAATCAGGCATTGGCTAACTAAACGAAAATCTTTTGTTTTATTCTTGATAATAAGCATCCAATTAATTTTAATATTCATCTTCCGAAATTTTCTAAAACTATTGTGCTGATTCATCTTGTTCTTCTTGAATCGCCGGTTTCTGATTGTCAGATGGGCTACTCTTTTTCTAGAGATTTTCAAAACTAATTGCCATTATTTACTATAGTTTTGCTTTCTATTTAGTAGATTTTGGTTTAGTTTTAGGTTTTGCTTCCATTATGGAATTTATATGTAAATATTAATTATATTATTAATATTTATTTTTATTAACTATTCCATTTACGTCATCTATTTTTCATAGCTTATCAATTCCATGCTAAAATTCTAAAGGAAATGTTTAAATAAGCAACGATTCATCAAATAATATTATTGCAAATTAACAAATTGAAGGTGAATTGATACTGGAGTAATTATTAAGGTAATTAAATTTTTTTTTAATTTCAAATCAAATACCATCTAATTCTTTAATATAACTTGTTTAATTCTTCATAAATTTATTAAAAATCCAGTGATTTTAATTATATTGCCAATATTATTATTTAACAGAAAGGGATAGTTGTTGATAAGATCGTTTTTTTTTTCGAAATACTAATAAATTTATTATGGTTATATTATGGATTTAACTTCTGGAACTACATAGTGCCTATATAAAGGAAATTTACACTTTATTTTATGATATTGTATTAATTAATTTTAATGGGGAATATTTGTATACATAAATAAGAAAATTAGAGAGCAAAAATTATTAAAATAATTGGATATCCTCGCTTGAATTGTCCTAACAAATTGATTTTAGTACCTAGTATTTAAAATTTAACATAAAATTTGGATACTTTTGAGGAAGACTTTTATAAAAGTGAGTTTGTTTTGGATTTCTAGCCTGATATAAATAGAAATCAGAGCACAAGAAAAGTTAAACTAGGGTCAACAATTGAGGAAATTAATCGCTTAAACTTAATTTAATGCCCTTCTTTATGCCATATTGATGACAACTATGAAATTCATCAGAATCATCAATAAAAACAGATGTCTAAATATCATTAAAACAATAACAATGATATCCTTAGAGGTCAGAAACACAATTAATTAAAAAAAAGAAATAAAAAGGTTTCACTGTAAAAATTAGAATAACCAAAAAGTATTCTCAAATCTCACACAAAATAACAAAATCCATCTTATAGTAGTTTCTTTGAGAATAAAAGCCCGCATACAGTAACCTTTAGCCTTGCCTCTAGTAATTCAAGAAATTCAAGATCTTTATCCCCTATGATAAATGCTTTAAGAGTAAATAGGCAACCAGAGGAGAGCAGAAGTATGTCTTAATTATTATAATTTCCTTACTTGTGATATGAAATAATAGTTTAAATATAAGCTTTATTAATAATAAAATATCAGAACTATAATAATGCAACTATATAATTATATATTATTTTAAAGAATAAATATCAATTAAAAACAATCAATCTATTAGCATAATATTTATAATTAATCTATTTTTATTAAATGCTGGATCTTTTGAAATGTAATCGAATTTCTAACCGTTTAAGAATAATCATATTAAATAATGCAATTTGGCTCTATTAAATAAAAAATTGAACTGAAAAGTAATTGAAAATTATTTATGTGGTAATTAATTGGATAATAAATTTTATCATTTATTATATAAGACTTATCAACAACATTTTTGTGGTTATGCTTCCCCTCCATCAAGTTAGATATTTTTTGGAATTTTTTCTCCGTTCTGAGAATTTTGATTTTATCCTCTTCTAACAAGGATTTATTAAACTAATTCTGTATACATTTCCTTTACTTAGGCCCCTGTTCTTGCAGAGCACTCAAAATATTTGATTTAATACTAGAATAGAATAAGAATATACTTTTTATGCTAATTGCTATCCTTCTAAAGTAGTTACTTCTCTTTATGCTATATCACACTTATTTGCAACTAAAACAATGGAGATTTATTCACAATCAATCTGCTCTTTTAAATTATCAATCCAAGTTTAAACTTATTAAAATGAGTTTTTATCAATAACACTATAAACTAAAGACACCCCTTAAGCATTTCTATAAAAAATAGGAGTAATAACTCTGAATCTTTCTTAACCTAAACCTCAAGAATTTTAATTACCCGCTGTGTCCCAAACTTAAACAGTCACTTAGCTTTCTCCTTAAATAAGAATTTTTTATCTATACTCCACTCCCAATGTAGCCTATATATTTTCAGAAAACTTTTCATCAACATAACGACTTAAAAGGGATGACTTGCCCACAGCACCTTCACCCAACATAAGAATTTTGACTTTTTCTGTCATTTTATTTTTAAATTTATATAAATAATAATCACTAAGCTAAAGTTTATAATTATTCTTTTATTTTACACAAATTGTTGTGAAAATTATTAACTTCATTTTAATTAAGCTGAAATGTCACATTCTCCTTTGTATTTTTTTAAGTATTCAGAGTCTCCAATTATAAGAACAAGACAGGCATATTAACCTAATAATTTTTTATAAAGAACCTTACCTTCTATTAATTATGCGTCTAGATTTATATATCCACTCTCCAATCAATATCAATCAGTGAATCTGCCTAACAGATCTCTCTATTTGTAATTTTATCGCACACTATAATAAGAGTTTAGAAAGCAATTACATTCAGAGATTTAAAGTATAGAATCTGTCAACAATTTAGCTAATTGTTAATCAAAAGTTGATGGAAATAGCTACAAAATGGCTTACTCATTCCATTGTAGTAATTCTGCATTTTCTAACAGTTTCACCAACCCTATTATGAGTGTATGAGCTTATTTCTCAGACATTTATAAATCTTAAGGCAATGAAGCACTCACAGGTGTTTCCATAAATTCTTAAAATGAGTTGAGTTTGTTTCTAAATAAATAGGCATATTCAAATAGTTTCCTAACATATTTCTTAGATGGCAATTATGACAGAAGTCCAAGGATTTAAAAATTCATTATTTATTTAATAACCCATAAAATTTGAGATTTGTGATAAATATTTAAACGATTAATATATATTTATTTTCCTCGATCCTTCCCTGGTCAGATTGACCAAATGATGAGCGAGAATTAAATCCAATTGCGGAATCAAGTCTGGTCTCCAAACTCTTGTTACGCATGGACTTAAAACTATCTGACTATAACTATATATATATATATATTTTAAATATTGTAATACTTCATCCTAGAATTCTCTAAAATAGGATGATGTGGCGGTGTATCTCTCTAATATTTAAACTAATATTTTAATTATACAAAAAAGATTGCTTGTTTTTAAATTATTCAAAATAATTGAAATTATTCACAATCATATTAATCCTCAAATTCTAACTACACTTGGTAGATTCTTTCAAATGAATAACACTCTAAATATATAAGAAACTGATCCTTCAATATTTTGTCATTTAGTATCAAACCTTCAATTAGGCCTGGTCTAACTTAATGGGATATAGTACTCAATTTTGATTTTGTGTTACTTGTCAATTTTGAATAAAATCAATTCCAAATTGTCTTAAGAATACAGTTACTCATTTATCTTGACTTTTTTAAGTTTACTCTTATTACTTTTAATATAAATACTTAATATAACACATACTCTTCAACTTCCTTAATTGGAGGCAATGGAAGGAATATCTATTTATGTGAAATATTTTGCATCTCAATATCCAAGGATTGTTTATTCGTGTTTTATTAAAGAACCGCAAGATTAACATCGGAAAATCCATGAAAACAATGATATTTTTCCTTCTTTATAGAAAATATTGTTTCTCTCCTATATTGAGAGGGTTTTGATGAGTAATTAATTGCAGTTTCTTATGAACATATTGATTACCCATTTGAAGTAATCTAATTATTTTTGGAAATTTGGTGAATTTTGAATTTTCGTATTCTAATATATATATAACCCTTACTTCTTTGCTTTAATACATTTGTGAGTGTTGATTAAATTAATATTAGATTGGGCTTGTACATATTCTTAGTCTTAGTATAATTGCATTTTACTTTTAGACATTAATTTAATTAATGGATATTACAGCAGAACTTAGGAGTCTCAAAAATGGAGAGATTCTTTTGGCAGAAGGGTTTTCATTATTTGAGGCTATGTCAGCAACCGAATTATTTGACAAGAAAATAGATGTAAAACTGGGATTGGCTGATGCAGATACACCTTAGAAATTACTGTAATCACAATAGATAAAGACAGGATCACAACTAACTAATGAAGAAGTAAACCATATTAAAAATGATTATGTAGCTTATAGGACTCTTTGATTTGGTCATTCAGAAAATTACATGTTGGCTAAATGGAAATGCATTAGCTTAGACCATTTACACATTGGTGTATTAGTATGATGATTCTCTATGGGATAATCCTTTTGTTAAAGCATTGTTTGATACTTTGAATACAGTTGGAAGTCAAATCTTTAAAATAATCAAGGAGTCGCCATTCCTCAGAGAAGAGGATTATAATCCCTCTGTGTTTAGTTTCAGAAACAAAAGAATACCCACTATTTCAGAGTTATTGACAACCACTTTAAATCCATTGGATACCGAACTGAGTGGCAAAGTTAAGAAATCTAAGCAATTAACTATAGCAGATGCACTCTCCTCTAGAATTAAATTGCTTAAGGGTTTCTGTTTAATTGTACAAAGTCTTTAATAACCATTCAATGCGGAATCATAAAAATAAATAACAGACCACATCGAATTCATTAGAAAAAGATTTGATGCTGTGGTGTAAACTAAGGCTATGGGGAAGGACATGTCAAATTATTAAAGCACAACTATTCTTAAACATCTCAAATCCATGATCAGTATGAGGAAAATACCTCATATAGAAAACCCTTATGAATACTTTAGTACCATGCTAAATTAATTAGAAGCAGTTCTTGATTTAAGTGGAGAACGCAATTACTTTAGCATTTAATAGAAAATCTGCGCTTTGATTCATGATTATCCCAAGAATATTTTAATTAGAGCTTATCTAGAGTAAAATCTATTTAAATATGATTAATTCCTCTATTTCCATTAAACTCCTTGGATTAATATCATAATCGGAACTCTTAATAAAATGTTTTCATAGAATTTCGATCAATTGTATCAAAATGTGTTTAAGGAATATCAAGATTGTCTAGTACCTGTTACTTATGAATACGTAATTAAATAATTAAGATCGAAATTCAGAAAGAGTAGAGATTTTCATAAGAATTATTCTCATCTATCGATACTCGTTCATCACAGCAATCAAATTGATCAAGACATCTTCAAAAATAAAAATCCTTTGATGATTTTCAGTTATGAAATTGCTGTATAATCCATGATCCAATAATTGCAATATGGATTTGATCTGGAGCTCTATTCCGATGTAGATTATGCTAGTATTTACTTTTACCTAGAGTATTTGACTACCGTACTTGACAGAAATAGAACTAATTATGTTAATCAATTGACCAATTCATAAAGAGAATAATTGCAGAACCAAAACAAAAAGAAACCCAAAGTATCTCCCTTGATAGATCAAATGTACTTTGAGATTCAATATTGGAAGGGATTGAATTCTCTCTTTAGAGTAAGATGTTATTATAATAACAGGGTTTATCTAGGTTATATTACGCCCTAATGGAAAATGGGTTCATTAAGAAAGTCCAAGATATGGATCATCGATATTCTAACAGAATGAAAATCTTTGACGCTTGTTATTATATCAAAGCCATCAAATTTGACGAATACACTCAAAAGATGAAATCTTATGGTTCATTCTAGGAAACCCTCAAATTTGTCAGTTCCTCTCTAAGCGAGGCTTAGTAGCTTTTTGCTCAAGTAAAGGACAATAAAATGGTGCCTTAACAAATGTAAGAGCAATCAAAGGACTTGGTTATGGTAATTTACTATTGATTAACATTTCATTAGATATGCGTTGTGACATCTGTAAATGCTATGAAGTTAATCCAAAATCAAAAATACTAAGTTTCATTCAAGAAAACAACAATATCATTTGTACCATAAATAGAGTTAATTGCATTATAATAATGATTCAAAATAATTTTATTATATGATGATTAGTGATTTCATTCTTAATTACCATTTATTGTAAGCATTCTAAACAATAAACATATCCAGTAGTTTTTAAGACACTAGGTATTTATGGGATTCTTTTACATTTTGGACAATATTTCTGTACATTTTTAGCATCTACTTATTTAGGTGCTTGAATAACCTAATTCTTTTGTTGAACATTATTATTCTTTTTGGAAAAATAGAAATCTAAAAATTTCAATCCCAAATAAACAAATAGCATTCCATATTTGTATGGGGATTCCATCTTGAATCTGATCAGATCCTACCTTATCAAATAATAGAAAACAGCATAGCTCTTTTGTTCATCATTTAATAAGTACTAAAATTTCATCAAAATATCAATCAATTTAAATCCTCTGTATAACCAATAGATAATTTTCTTTTTTCTATCTTAATTGGGGTTGTTTGAATATTCATGCAGTTTCTGTAATATGTAAGGAATCATAATCCTTAGCATCAAAGTTAAAACCCTTTTAACTTTATTATTTTGTTTTTATTCTGATAAAAAGAATCCATAAAAATATTCAGCGTAAGAAGCATTATACTTTAAGGCATAAGGTAGATTAATACAAAATTCAATCAGATAAGCAATTTCTTTTGAATATTGATAATATTATATAAATCGATCTTATTGTGTAATTATTCCTATTGAGTATTGCAAGGCGTTTCTTAATGATCTATGATGATTATTGGATGATTAAGTACTCTTCAAATTTTTCAAGAGAAAAGTATTCGAAAAAGTGAATTCTTCCGTCAAATTCGGTTCTGCTATCCATTAATTTTATATATATTTATTAATGGAATAGAAACCAAAATTGGCTTTTGGAGAAATCAACTTCAAAAATTTGGAATAATTCAAAGTCATCACCTAGAAGACCTTGCCTGTAAGTTATAGCGAAACCTTTTATTTAAAAATTCTCACTTATTCAGACTTTTCCACTCTTGGTATTGAAATTTAAGTAAAGCGCAGGTTATTATAATGACATTGCAGTTGGAGCTATAACAGCAAGGATCGAGGAAAAGGATGGAAAGAAGACTGCCTATATAATGACTTTCGGTGTTTTGGATGCATACCGTCGTTTGGGATTTGGCACATAGCTATTGAATGAATTAATCAGCAGAGTGAAAACTCATGAGGAAATCAGAACCATATATTTGCATATGTGGGTTAGCAACGAAATAGGATTTCAATTTTATTCCAGACATGGTTTCGAGAAGACTGTGTACAAAAGAAATTACTATACAGATATTGATCCCCCCCATTGTTATATTTTAACAAAGCGTCTCTATCCGGATGTTGATCCTCCCATTCCTTATACGGAAGAAGACACCGAAAAAGAATTGGAAATTGCACAATAATGAAGTATATAATAGTAACATTAATAAATAAATATAATGCGAATTTATTCTAATTATTTTTGTCAATCTTGACTCTAAATAAATTTATTAATTGATTCTTCAGAATTTATTGGTTATGAATAAATTTTTTTATTAATTTTTTGGAGAAGATAGATGATAATTTCGAAAATCAATTAGAGTATCAGAATGAAGTTAAATTACAATTTACTTGATTATAGATTTGTCTTAAAGTGGTCAAAAAAGGAAAGATTTAACATAAGTACGTATGACAGTGTTATGGAAATAATAGATAGAGGTTCTAGGAAATTGAGAAAGGAATTAAATTTTTATTTGTAAACACAAGAATGGTTAATAATTAAAATAATCCAATATTAATTAATTTTTATATAATCATAAACTTGAATGAAATAAAGTTTAATTAAATTTTATGGCTTAGTTATATTTTATTCAATCACATTTAGAGTTAATTAATCTTTGATTTGAATTACTTTATATTCATATATAAATGATAACATAAATTGAATCTTTGGATAAATTAAATTAGTCTATGTTATTATCAAATGAAGTTGTTAGGTGGGAATGGCAGCCATTCAATAATAATATTGTTCATAATGGGTAAACTCTGAGAATAGAAGCTTCCAAAGTTATTAAATACTAAAATACTAACCAGAGCTATTAACTTGATTTAAAGTTATGGAAACCCTTTCCATTTAATTCAAATATTGGGTGGAATTGGCACAAATCTTGGAATATCCCAGAACTAGAGTGCTAATTAAAAGTAATATCACCACATTACCGCTTCTAGATCGATAATGATTTGGACCATCATGTACTGAATACACTAACGATAGTGGCAAATGTCTATATTGTCAAACATAATTACGATAAAATGGAAATGGAGAGCATAGGATGCAAAGGCTGTTCTGAAGGTGTCTTCAGGAATGGAATCTCAATATTAAGATAATTAAAGTTCAATACAACTTCATACAAGAATGAAGTATTAAATGTTATGATAAAATTTAAGTATCAAAAGTTCCAAATAGTGGTGGTGGTTAGTTAAATCAATAGCAGCCAGTAATCCATTATCGATGCTAAATGTTCCCCTTATATATTTGTGGATTCTAGAAAGCATGCCAGACAACAGGCTCTCAATAATAATATACAATTAATTATTGACCCATTTTTACCCGAGAATTTGGAGAAATAATTTGTAAAGAAGGAAAGAAAAAATTAACCTAAATGTTTATTAAAAGTCGATAATACAATCCAAGGGCTAATGAATTACTTCACGGCTCCCAACATTAGACATAAAATCAGACATCCTTTATTTCTAGCTATTAAATTCGAAAAGTGTGTCAAATTGTATTTGAAGAAAGAACTTTTTGTCAAAAATTGTAAGGATGCCATTCTAAGAGTGTAGAGCATTCTGATGAAATCAAGTTAGGAAAGAAGGGATTCTCATAAAGAAATGGCTTTACTATTTTAAGTTGACTAAACTAACGAATAGGAATTTAAGAAGGTAAATGTTTACACTATATCCAAGGTTTATGAAATATCTCAAATTTTTGAAAATGATATTTTTATGCTCTTCTTGAAAGAGGATTAGATTCCTCAGGGTTACATTCCCATTGAAGATATTTCAAGAATAAAGTATCATTATAAGTAAGTGTATCCAAATTTAATAAATTAAAAAAGCTTAATCATTTATTAATCTGAAAATTAAGAAGAATAATCAATTGTTAAATAAACTAAATTGAATGAATAGAATAATGAGAACTAAATAGATACTCATTTATCAATTAAATAGTGTAATTAGTACATAGCCTAGTAAGATGAATGTAATAGTTAAGTTCTTAATTATAATAATTAGCTTTCATATTATTATAATTTTTTTTAACAATAACAACAATTAAAATAATAAGAACAATTGCAATAATTCTAATAAGAACAATTATTCTAATTCTAATAATAATAACTGTACAACAATATGTAATAGTAGATATACTAATAGCAACAATATTACATGATGCAACAACAAAATTATTAATACAATAGATTCTATTGATTAATATAAAGTATTAATAATTATAAATATACTAATTCAATGAATATGTCTACATTTTTCTTTCATTAATGTATGAATGTATTTTCTTAATTAATATGATCAGAATAATGTATTTCATTCAACACTCATTATAACACAAACTAAATTGATTAAAAATGCTGAGATTGGAACATGTTTTAATAATCAAGGTAGGTTGAAACAATATTTAGTAAAATTTAATTTATGCATAATTAAAATTAATTAATACATGGTAAATATTAAGAAAAAAAACCTGAGAGCTAGATAAGGAACTCAAAGATGGAGAAAGAACATCATCGTGGAAATGGGTGAATTTGAGAATATAGATTTTACATAAAATGACGCTAAACCAGTCGATTTTTAGGTTGATGCTCAGCCTATCAATATATATGAAAACAAGGATAGATTCAAGAAGAAGCCTGCAGATCCTAAGAAACAATCGAAATAAGAAAAAATAAAAATCTAAAATATGGCAGAGTAGACAAAAAAGCAATAATAACCAGAAAATAAAAATGAAATTAAAGATGCATGGGCAGAGGAAGGAGGATTAAAAAAAATTTAAACTCCAGAAGTCAAAGCAATAGTTACTCCTCATCCGGGATAATCATACAATCCTTAATTAAAGGATTATAATGAATTACTAGATGATGTAGTCAAAAAAGAAATTAGATCTCATTAGAGATTATAAAATGATGAGACTGAAGCAGAGAAGGCATAAAAGTTGATCTAAAGGTATTGAATATAAATAATAATAAATTAGAGAGAGAGAAAAAAAGTAGAAGAGAAAAATGAGTATGATTCAAAAAGTGCATGGAAAAGAAGTGGTTGATAGATTAATTGAAAAGAAGAAGAATCATGAACTCTTATTAGTCAAAAAAATAAAGAAAGAACTTAATGCTGAAGCTAAGTTGAGACAACAGAAAAGAAAGTAATAAAGAAAAGAGAAGAAACTCTTAGAGAGAGCAAGAAAATTGTCAGGAAGAAATTTGGTGCCAATAAAAGTAGGAAATAAAAAGTAAGTGTTTATACATATATTTGTAGAGTGGAAGTAACATAAGATGAGTTTGTGTTAGATGACTAATTGAAGAGTCACTTAAGACATGTAACTCAAGGAGATTTATTAGTGAAGAGTGAATTTGAAGGATTTGTTAGAAGAGGATTGATTGAACCTAAATCAAAATCGAATAAATTATCAAAGGCCAAAGTTCCCTTATTTAAAATTAAAGAAAAATGATTGTTAAAATATTAATTTATATTTCAAACTATGTAACAACATTATCTTGACAACCCTAACGCAGCAAATCCTCCTTCAGCACCAAATCCACCAGCAGGAGCGACTGGAGGAAGTCATTTAGATGAAGACTGGTTGCTGATTGCTGGTATTGTACTAGCATTTTCTTAATTGGGTTTTGGATTTTTGGAGGCTGGATCTGTTAGATATAAGAATGCCTAGTCAATAGTTATAAAGGTATTTCTTGGAATGTGTTTGACAATTTTGATATATTGGTTGGTAAGATAATTGTTAATAATTCAAAATAGTTCGGCTATGGATTTTCTTATGGTGATGATTTTGGAACATTTTTCATGGGAGGCACAAAGCTTGGAGCATACAATTGGGCAGCAACAGAAGCATAAAATGATTATTCAAATTTTGGTAGTTAATTTTAATTATTATTTTAGTGTTCAAAGCTACATTATCCTGTATTGGAGTATCAATAGTATCAGGTGGAGCAGCTGAAAGATTAACATTCTTAGCCTGGGGTGTTTTGGCTCTCTTTTATTCAGGATTTGTATCACCTGCAATAGTTCATTGGACAAATTCCAACGGTTGGTTAACTAAATTAGGATACAAAGACATGGCCGGATCAGGATTCATCTTCTATTCAGCTGGTGTTGCTGCTTTAGTAGTGACAGTTGTATCCAAACCAAGAAAATATAGATTTGATCCAAACTCTTCTTTGAACTTTTAACCATTCACCTCAATATATGTGGCATTTGGAACAGTCATACTCTTTGCTACATGGATGTTCATAAATGGTGGTTAAATCTAATCTGGCTAAGCTACTCCATATGTTCAAGGATTGGTGGCAGTCAATACTTTGGTTGCTGGAGCTGCAGGAGGATTTTGGAGTTTTATTACAAGATACTTCACAAAAGAAACAACAAGTCTATTCTCAATTTCAAGGGGAATATTGGCTGGATTGGTGGCCAGTTCAGCAGCTGCTCATGAATCTTAGATTTGGGCTACTACTATTGTTGCTTCTATTGCTGGCATTGTTTATACATTGACAGCCACAGCTCTACCTAAAGTAAAATTAGATGATCCAGTCTAAGTTGTCCCTATTTTCTTGGTATTTAATTAATTCATATCTCAGCATGGCGGATTCATTGGAGTCTTATTTACAGGATTATTGGATGTCAATGGAGGATTATTCTATGGAAAAGGAATGAAATTGTTGGGTTGCTAATTATTAGGATTATTGATTATCACAGTTTGGGTTGCCTTCTTTGTTTTCTTCATCTTGATAGTTCTCAAAGGATTTGCTGTATTGAGAATTGATTCAGATGCTGAAGTAGCTGGTATTGATAAGGAAAAATGTAATTTTTATTGTTAATCTTAGGTAATTATGAAGCCATTTCATTTTCAAACGAAGATCAATAACAAGTCAACATTATAAAATCAGTGTCACATTGATTCATACATATATTAATATTCATATTTTAATGTATTAATAATAATTTGCAAAACCTCCTAAACAGATTAAGAGCAAGGCTTTCAAAGACAGACTCAAAGGACACAAAGATGCCATCATTACATTGATTAGTCCTTATGGAAATAATGGCAATTACCTTTTCTCTGCATCAAGAGATGGAAATGTTAAAAGTATTTATTATAACTACTTAAGGTTGGGATCTATTGAATAGACAAATTGCCTCCAAATTTCTGATATCCAAAATCTCTGATGATACTACAGTATAAGATTAGGATGAAAATCAATAAAGCATGAAGGGAAATATCATATGTGCTGCAACATTTTCTGAATTCAACATCTATGTTGGCTATGACGATGGCTTCATCAAATCCAATAACATCAAAACTGGAGAGCCAGTCTATGCCTATCAAGGACATAAGGCTTAGATTACATCTATTCATTTCCTAAATATCAGATAACTGGCATCTAGTTCTTTGGATGGTACTGTGAGACTCTGGGATACCACTAGCAATGAATGCGAAGTAATATTCAATATAGGATATCCAATCAATATGATGAATGTGATCTTCGATAAGGAAATTAATTTATTATATGGCAAAAACACTGTTGTCTAAGTAGATCCTTACAAACAATCCATTGTCAGAAGTGTTCAATTCCCTAATTTTACTATCATGTCATATTTAGTACATAAGAATCTTTTGATTCTTGGCACCATTGATAATTTCATTCACATCTATGAACTCTAATAATTAGATCAGCCTAATCCACAACCTATTAAGGTAATTGTTGGTTTACATGGATGGGCCTTATGTATGCTTGTTCACGATCCCTATTTGTATGTAGGAACTGATGATAAAAAAATCAGGGTTTATGAAATGAAGAATTGGGAAATGAAAGAGGAATTCTCAGGACACATTGATGGAGTTACAACTTTGGCACTTGCTAATGGACTTCTTTATTCTGGTTCGTATGATCATCTAATCAGATCTTGGGATCTTGAAGAAATGTACTAAAGGATTAGGGAAAGAGCCATTATGGAGAAGGAGGATTTAAATGTAATTCATTCTTAATATGTTTTTAGAGTAGGAGATATGATGTTTATTTAAAGAGTTTGCCGAAAAAGAAAAAGGGAATGGCTAAGAAAAAAAAGTGATTTATATTTATTTTATTGCTTAAATTATTTCTGTTTTATATAAGACTTTTGATTTAAAATAAGATTTCATAAGATAATATTCTATTAACATAAGAAAGATTGATTCTTGTTAAAATAGTTTGAAAAGAAATTTCTATTAAGTAGCATTATATAACATAAAATTGAATTATAAATAATTAAGTTCTTCAATAAGAATTGAATGAATTGACAATATAAATAAAAACTATTAAACTTTATATTAATGAATAAGAACTTATATTAAAAGAAGGTCAATACAATATTATTATTTAAAAATTTCTTAAAAAATTACATATTACCTTGAACATAAATTTCTTTATAACTAGAAAATTAAACACAGATTCTATAATTATTAGCAGAAATTAGTGTAATGATTTGAAAATTAACTAATAATTTAAGGTGTAGTGCTTAATTGTTTATGTGGATGGAATTATATATTACAATTGATAAATGGTGCTTTTACTGTCTAGAAAATCACATTTTAACTTATTTTTCATATTTATATTTCATTATTTTATTATATTAATTAATGGGCTGCAACATTTAAAAACACCAATACACGAAGAATGACATCATTATTTCATCCCCTCCTCTTACTTATCCATCTTCTCATGAAATAATTATGATGCCTTATGCTCTTGATGAGTAGCATCCAGCTTCAAGAATACCAGTTCAAATCCAATGGAATACTAAGGATCAAAAAACAAAAGAATAGTTATCTGAAATTACTATATCGCTATCACCTAATATCATCTCAAAACCAATATAAAACTGAAGATCTCAATGAATATTAGTAGATATTATATCTATTTAACTCTAAAGATTAAATTTAATATATCTATCTTTATGAAATAAACAGAGATAATCACAGAGTTATTTAACATTTATATATTTTTATAAAATATATACTTTCATTCTTTTTATTTCTTACTCTTCTAACCGAAATTAGTGATTAAAAAGAAAGCATATGTCCCATATAACAAAATGTGAGGAACATATCTAATATTACTATAGAATTTTAGAATTGGGTCCACACTCAATAATAAAAATGTAATTCCAAATACATTGAACACAGTAGTGGCTATATACCATCTAACAATTTTAGCTAATGGGTTTGTTTCAAATATTTTCAAATAATTGGTATTGCAAGACACTCTGAATATAGCCTTGTTTACATTGTTCATAATCGCCCATTGGAAGAATGAAAAGTAATAGCCAATATAGAATCCATGCCACAATGATGACACAACATAGGTCATTTGATAAGCAAAGTTTTATTTAGATGCACTCTTCTTCATTTCTTCTTCTGAATAAATACGAGTATAGACATATCTTCTTAACCAAGTTTAAATGGAGATGTTCCATTTCTCTACCTTATCCTTCATATTATATGTCAAATCCCAGTCTACATCAATAGCTTTGATTTTCTCAAATTTCCCATCTCCTTGATAAGTGATACCACAAGAAGCCATGCTCATTTCTCCTAATTGCCATCCTCCATAATATTTGGTTCTTTGGATTGCAACCATAATGTTAAACCAAAGGGTTTGATATAAAACATTGTATGTTCCAAATTCATCTGTGGCAACAAAATGCAAAGGGAAGTATTTTTCAGTAAATAAAAAGATACCCATACAAATTATGGCATTCTTCAATAGTCTTAATGTCTCCTTAATTGTTGATGGAATATTTTTATATTCGTTAACCTCATTGATGAATTAATCGAAATCATAGTAATCAAAGCATGGTCCTAACACACTGCCAGCAAAGAAGAAAATAAAGGAGAAGTACTCAAAGAAAGAGGGCAATTTAGCAATCTTTCTAATTTCCTGTTCTTTACTCAATTATGTTTTCAATCCGTCACTTACACAGAAAGCAAATGCAGTCCATTTTGGAGTATCCATCATCAAAATAGTCGTGACATCCATCTTCCAACCTCCATAGTCAGTATATTATCTGTAGATATGATGAGCAGCCACAAAGATCATAGATTCCACAAATACAGGCCAAGGACTTTTCTTACCCAAAACTTTAACCAATATATAGACCACAACCGTCTAAAATAGCACATTGATGATTTAACTTCTATAAATATAGTAAGTGATTAAGACACCAAATACTGAACCTGCTGTCAATCGAGCTTACCTTCCTATATCATCTATTCAATTTATTACCTCTTATGGATAATTTAAAAATGAATCCAAATAATGTGCAAAGGATTAATGAAATGAAGATTTTTAATTAATCATCTGGAATACCTGTTGTAGAACTCCACTCAATTACTTTTGTATCAATTAAATCCATAATTAATTTAATTAAATCTCTTCAGATATCGATAAGCCTTTGAAATCTCAGTTAATTACATCAATTTAGTAGTGTTGATACTACGATTAGATGTAACAAAAACGTTTAAATTGAAAAGTTATAGGGATTCTTTAAGTCTTATAATAATAATTATAATCTGATAAATTTATAATATTATTATTTTGTAATTAATGATGCAACAATTTTTAAATCTAGCAGCTTTGTTAAATCTTTTTATATTCTAATATTTCTTCAAATCTTTCTTTTCTCAGTGGCAAGTTGATTGAAGCAATTTCTAATTCAAAATGGCACTGCTAGTCTAATATTTTAAATTAAAAAATTGAATGGCACTAGTTGCTTAATAATTTAACATTTTTGCTAATTTACTTTGTAACTAAATAGAGATGTAACCTGCATCTCATTTGTAGTTCTGATCATTAAAGTTAAGATGAATTATGTCAATGAGAAATGATGAATCTATTAAAAAGAGTATAAATAAATAAATGCATTATTTATTAAATAATATAACCAATATTATGATATTATTTAAAAATGGAGACAAGTTTGAAGGTATTAGAGATCAAAATAGTACCAAGTTGAATGGAAGTGGAACTTTAAAGTTTAATGAGAATAATTCATTTTTTAAAGGGAAATTCTTTAATGGAAAATTTCATGGCGAAGGCCAATTGAGTATAAATAAACTCTCTTTGACTGGCAATTGGATAAATGGATAGCCTGATTTAAAAAGTGAGTGGTAAATAGATGGGCCAAATTATAAATACAAGGGATCTATTAATGAAGAGTTTAAAAAAGATGGATTTGGTACATTAATATTTGATGGTAATTGTTTTTTTAAAGGGGATTTTGTTAATGATAAGTATCAAGGATAAGGACATTTTAAAACCAATGAACTAGAATATAAAGGAGGCTTTTATAACAATAAGTTTCATGGGAAGGGATTGCTTCTTTGGCAAAATTCAAAATATGAAGGGAATTTTGAAATGGGATAGTTCAATGGCAAAGGAAAGCTTGAAAACATCGAAGGAACCTACGTTGGAGATTTTTAAAATAATTTAAAGCATGGAGAAGGGATACTTTAATACAAAAATGGCGATTAGTATGAAGGCTAATGGCTAGAAGATGAACCTGAAGGGAAAGGGAAACTAACTTAATGGAATAAGAAATTTGGATGCTAATTGATTTATAGTGGTTTTTTTGAGAAGGGATGTCCAGAAGGGAAAGGAGAGTTATAAATACTTTCAGAAGGATAGGACGCTAAAAAGTACATTGGTGGGTTTAATGAGGGTCTTTTCAATGGAGAGGGAATGATCATGCTAGATTCTAATGTGAAAGCAGAAGGATAATTCTTTGATAATCACATTAGTGGAGAGTGCAATATATACTTTTTAAAAGAGAATTAGAAACTTGAATGTTAGATGAAGAGAAATCAAAAAGATGGTCAATGTTCTATGAAAATAAAAGATTTATGTTATTAAGGTAGTTTCAGAAGCAATATTGAAAAAGTAGATAGCATAAGGTTTTATAGTAACTACTGAATACTGTGTATTTTATATATGAATTAATTCCCAATAAATATAAGATTCCTTTTTTATATACGATTAATATAAATATCAAATATGCAAATATTATGTTAAATAAATCATTTTTTGGCAGTTTATAATAACATATTTGCAAATTCATCATATTAGATGATTCCATCCCCATTTTTATCACATTAAGCTATGATTTGACCCCATTAGGCATTATCGATATCAACACCACACATGATATCTTATAATTCTTGTTTACTAATTTGACCATTGCCATCCTATTGATAATTATCATAAATACTTTATCAAACATTTTAAAGGCTTAATCAATTTTAGTTTTTGATAAAATTGTATTTTATTTAGCTGATGCTACCAAAAATTCTGTGTAACTTATTTTTCCTGAGTTATTTTAATCAATCTATTTAAAAATATCCTCTACTAAATGCTTAGCCTTTAATTCATCATTAAAAACCTGAGTGTAAGCTATTAAATGGAACAAATAAATACCTTGGACTAATTCCTCTTTTGAAAGTTATCCATCCTTGTTTTTATCCATGCTCTAAAAGGTTTAGTTTAATTAATCTTTTTCTTCATTTGTCATCATTTCACCTGCAATCAATTATAAAATGGCTGCTCTCATATTGCTTTCATTCTAAGAATAAATAGAATAATATTCATTACATGAAATTTGCCTAAATCGTTCATTACGTCCAAACTTATCTTGTCTTCCTTTGCTTTTTCTTTGATCCAAGGATCATTCAAAATCTCACTTGCTGATGGTCTCTTCTTGGGATCCAATTAAAGCATGGATTTGATTAAATTTTGAGCCTCAAAAGATAAGCTAGTAAACTCTTTAGAATTAAAATTATATTTTCCTGATTTGATATTGCTGAATAATTGCTGTAGACTTTAGACCTTGACGTCGAATGGGAATTTACCAGTTAGTATTTAATACAAGATTACTCCGCATGACCATATATCACATTTTTCAGTATAATTTTTGTCTATGACTTCAGGGGCTATGTACAAGGGCTATAATAAAAATTAGATAGTATAAGTACTGTCCCAATAACTTAGGTCTAAGATTCTCCACTCAATTACTTTTTGGCAGTACCAAAATCAATGACTTTAATAGGAGATTTGGGATCTGGAGATGCTAACATGATATTTGATGGTTTCATGTCTCTACATAACATAAATTTTTAATATACCTATGAATAATATTTTATGCATGACAATAAGAGAGGGCTGATAATACTTATTTCATGTACTCTGCTGCCGTTCTCTCATTAAAGGTTGACAACTTTGTTAATTTGTCTAGTAATTCCCCTCCATTCAAGTATTCGGTAACCAAATAGTAATTTTGACTATCCTGATACAATTCGAATAATTTGACGATGTTCTAATGATCCATATCTTTTAGTAAGGCCACCTCACTAAACATAGCGTCTTCTTGTTCCTTGAGAATCTTTTTTTTTTATATTTGCTTCATTGCTCTTTATTAGCCAGTCTTCTTATGTTAAACTAGTCTCACCTATCCATATGAACCTGATTGATAATTCGATGTTAATACCTTCTCCTAATATTTTGTTAATGATATAAGTATCAGTTATATCACCTTACTTTAAATTAACAAAGATGTTGGGGCCAACCTCGAATTTATTTACAGCCAATTCTAAGACTCAAAATAATTCGCTTACGTTTCTGCTCTTTCGACATTGATTGTTGCTTATCTCCTCCTGATTTACCGCCGCATGCTCCCATTATTAAATAAATTTATTGATATCAAATCTAATAAAATTTAAAGTGTCTTTTTAAGATGTTATTTAACACCGATTATATATTATAATGCAACACATAATATATATCCAAAATTAAATAATCTTAATCACTCATGTTCTAAATTAAATTCAAATCTAACATACATCCTGTCCCATATAAATTATAAATAAACAATCAGAACTGGAAACTTGCTCTGAAATATCAGATCTTAGATTCACTATAATACTTGATTAATAATATAGAAAATAAAGGTTTAAGCTAATTGGACTTGATATTTAATTCATATTTAATACATTAGTAGCAGAGTTTGTACACTTTTAATACACTCTATTTTAATATTAAATACTTACATTTCTTACAATATTAATTTAAAATAGGTTAAGTTTAAAGGTAATGAAATTTTTATGGGAAATATTAGATACAAAGGAATAATTACTAGTAAGATTTTCAGAATGTTTTTGAATAGAATAAGTTGAGATTTAAAAAATTAATAGTTAAATTGCACTAAGGCTTATTGGTTGCTGATTTATCTAAAAATGAAAAAGAAATTTTGTTGGAAACTTGAGTTTAATTAATTAGAAAAATTGGAGAATTTATTCTTAAATAAATAACTAACTCAAAAGAACCTTTTCATTAAAGCTGCAAACTAAGATAGAGAGATGATATTGTAATTCAATTTTTAAAGTTTAAACTCTAAGTAAAGCAGTTCATAAATAGATAAAATTCTTACAAATTATATTGACTTTCAATAATCCTTAAATAAGATTAATTCTTATGAGTGTGCTAAAGCATAATGAAAGTAGAAATAGTTAAATTATTTTTACTTTGAAATAATGGTAAAATAAATAAGATATTGAGAATTATTTGGGAAGTGTAAAAAGGAATTACAATTTAAATAAGATAACTTTATAATAGTTAAATGAAGAAACTATAGGATTTTGTTTAAAAATCACTAACATTGTTGTGAACCTTGATAATGTGTGTGCTAATTTTATTTTTTGATCTTAATCATTACAATAATTGTTGAAAGATATTTGTAAACTTTTTCAATTTCTATTTAAAAATTAAGAATTTATAATTAAATTTTCAAATGTTACAATCTATTCAACCTTTTAATTTGTTAAAAATGATTCCATCATTATAATTATGTCTTTAAATTTTTAATAGATTAATAGTTGCTGGTTCTTAAGAAATTCTTGAGTATTTTTATTCCTCATTAGGAAATTCGTTTGCCCTTAATTCAAAATTTATCTTAAAATTGTCACTAATTTCAAAATGAATCAAGTCTAAATCAATTTCTTCAAGTGTATAATTTTTTTATAATAATATATTTTGAGCCATCAAAAGGCAAGTTGCTTCATTTGGTATATATGTGAAATCTACATATATTAATGTCTATTTCATTGCTTTAATAATATCAGTTAAACTTTTATATATTTCATATATACCCATAAATTGGTCTCCAATTCTATATTTCTAAAAGTTATAAATAAAATTTTTAAGTTTTACCATCTATATTTGGATGGGGGATATCTGATTCTGCTTATATTTTAGGAGGAGAATAAGGGTAATTTATTCGAAAATCAAGTAAAAACTAAAATTATATTAATGAATACAATGAATTTATTAAATCCATGAGGTCCAATCTTTGGAGTCATAAAAATTTATAATATTGAACTAACCATTTTAAAATTTATTTCACATGTATCATCATCCAATTCTTTTAATTTTTCATCAAGCATGTCATTTTGTAATCTTTTTAATGAATACTATTCATTGCTATTTCTTTATGATATTTTTTCAAGCAATAACATTTTTTATATTTATATTTATAACTATGGGGAATAGATTTCCTGAAATTGTTTTTTTGTTGCTAAAATTGAAGTTAACTCAGAATAAATTAAAGCAATTTTAGTTGATCAATGCTTCAAATAATTGAGCTTGTGCCTATTGCTATACCAATATCAAACCAGAATCTTCATATAGATTGATTTCAGCACATAGTATATTTTAATGACATTTTACATATCAATAATTTATAAACTATTCTGCAAACATTTAGTAATTAAATTAAATGTATTTTTGAATTAAAAATATAAACCATTGCGAGAACAAGTATTTTAGAGAAGATAAAAATAAATAAATTCTTCCTAATTTTAATTATATAGAAAGAATTAATTCACTTTCCAATATAATTTTTTTTATATGGATAATTAAGCAGAAGAATTAATTTCTGTAGAAAATGATCAAAATAATCTCTAAACAGAAGTGACATACTAAAATTAAGACGAAACTAATAGTAATCTTTAGGATTTAAATAATGGACAAGATGGACAATCAAAGGCACATTAAATCAAAGAGGATTAAATTTTAAAGAATGCAAAAGAATCGAATTAATAGTTAGAATAATTACAATAAAATTTTGAGAAAGTGAAACTTGAACTTGAAGAGAAGATTAAAAAATACACATCATTAGAAAATTAATATAGCGATTTGCAATCTTCTTATTAATAATAAATCTAATAATTGGAAAATGAATTTAATCATAAAAATGAGGAATATTAAAGACAAATTAAAGAGTATTAGAGTAAATTAGACAATATGCAGATGGAGTATGATAAAATATAGATTACTTTGAAAAAATCAGAACAAAAATATAATTAACTTTAAGAGGTTTAATTAGAATAGAATAATTAACATAGAATTGATATAGAGTCATTAATCGAAAAACTATAGAGATCAGAATCGTCTAAAGACAAATTATAATAAGAAATGTAGAAGCATTAAAATAATTTAGATATGATTTCCAAATTAAAAAAAGAAATAGACTCTTATAAAATTCAAATGTAGGAATAAAACAATCATATTGATATCATCAAATAAGATAATAAAACTATTGTTTAGAATTTGGCTGAATAATTGAGAAAAGAGCAATAAAAAACACATGATGTCAATAATGAAAAGGTCAAACTTGAATAGTCAGTGCAAAGATAATTAAATGAAAAGAATGAATAAATTAAAAAAATATAGAATGAAATTCATTAGTTAAATCAATAAATGTCTTCGTCGGAACAAAAAAACCAAAAAACTATAAAATCTTTAGAAGAATAGATAGAAAAAGCAAATGCTGAAATTAAAGATTTAAAATAAAAATCTCAATCGATTAATAATAATAATGAACAATAAAAAATGAAAATTAAATAATAAGAGGAAATTATTACATAGATCATTGACGAAAATACTTTATTTAAAAAGTAAATTGAAGAATCGCAAAATCAAATTATAAAACTAAAAGAATAGTGTTAAAAGGTAACTGAACAAAAATCACATTTTGATATAAAATGCTTAAATTTATTGGAAGAAAAGGAAATGGCAGAATTGAAAATTAACTAATTGGAATCAAAATTGCTCGAATAATAACAAACATATAAATCATTTTAAAATAACTCACTTTAAGATATAGAGAACTTTTAAAACACCATTAAGTAACTCCAATAGTAATTAATGGATGAGAAATAAATCTCAGAAGATAAAATTAAAGAATTGAACAATCAATTATAGCAACAAATCTAAAATAATTAAGATATTACTAATAAATAGTAAGATTTAAACAGTCAAATTGAAAAGCTTAATATCTAAATTGTAGATTGTGAAAAATATGATTTGTAGATTTAGAATTTAGAAATAATACATTAAACATAAAAAGAATAAATTGAAAGGCTTAATTAAGAAATGCATTAAAACAATGAAAATTTATTATTAGAAATTGACTCAAAAGAAAATTTATAATCAAAATTAAATGAATATGAAAGCACAATTTAAGAGTTGTAATAACGAAATTAGGACTATATAGTTTAATTTGATAAACTAAAAGAAAGTAGCAGTTTTGAAAAAGCATAAATTTAATAAGAATTATAGAATGCATAAGAGGAAATAGCAAATTCTAAAGAATAAATGAAAATAGAATTAAAAGAAAAGGAGGAATCTTTAATTAATTTAAGATAAAGTATTGAATAACAATAATAAGAAGTTTCTAAGTTATAAGAGGAAAACAGCAATTACAATTTAAAATTATAATAATAAGAAGAGATAGTGTCAGAACTTAAAAATCATGTTGAAACATTGAATTTGTAAATAAATGAAAAAGAGAATACAATTAAATAGCTTGAAGAAATTAAATAATCCTTCTAATCCTAATTAGTATTATGGACAGAATCGATTAATTTAAAGGTTAATGATTTAGAATAATTATCTTAAAAAAATGATTAAAATACTAAAGTATTGATGTAAGAGATATCAGTATTAACTAATAAGACCAAAGATTAAGATTGCAATTCTGAGATTGAAATAAATATTCAAAATGAAAGTCAAAAGGATAAAAAAATAGAATAACTTCAATAGGACCTTTTAGAATTAAGCTCAAAATTGGAAGGTGAGAGATAAATATTTGAAGCTAAATGTTCTTCAATACGAGAAGAAATTACCAAATAGTATGAGGAGACACTATAAAATAATCTAAATGCATAAAGATTATAATTAATCAATTAATATGATCAATAGATTAGTGAACTTTCTAATGATATTTAAATATAAAAATAATTGGTATTAGATTGCCAATAGGAATCACAATAATTTAAGGAATAATAGAAACATACAATCGAATAATATATTAAGGAAATTGAAGATTTAACTTAAATATGCTAAAATGAGGAATCATAGAAATAAATTCTAATAAAAGACTTGGAGACTGCTCAAATTTTATAATAAGAGATTGAAAATATAAAGGAGGAGAATTAAATTTTATAGAACAGTGTAAAAACTGAATAAGAACAAAAAAATCTATTGGTTTAACAATTTTAAAAGGAAATCGATATTCAGAAATCTTAAATTTTATAAGAATAACAAAATAATTAAGTTAGCTTGGACAAAATTAATTAATTACAGCAATAAGTCTTAGAGTTAGTGGAGAAACAAGATAAAATGCATGAAGACCTAGAACTAATGTAAGCAAGTTTGAAGTAGGAATAAGAAAAAGAGATCAAATTATTAAGTGAATTCAATTCTCAAAGTGTGCTATTAGAATCAACTTAGTCAAGCCTTGATGCAAAAACTTAACAAATGAAAGAGTAGGAATAACAATATTCAGCTGAAATTCAGTAGTTGGAGGGTCATATTGTTGTTCTAAATAATAAAATACAAGATTTAGAAGCATAAATAGTTTCAATTAAAAATTCCCATCAGGATGAATTAGATTCGAATTCTAATAATTTAGAGTTGAAAATCAATCAGGAGAATTAAAATAGTTTGCTGCAATTACGGAATGAATTTGAAACAGCTGCATAAATATTTAAGGAATAAAAACAAGGAATGCAAGAAGAAATTGATGCATTGCAGTTTTAGATTGAATAAATGGAAGTTAAGAATTTAGAATAGAAATAATTATATTAAGAGCAATTTGAGAAAAAGTGTAAAGAGTAATAGTAGGAGGTTGATTTGTTAAAAAAGTAAAGAATCGAACAGGATGATATGATATAATCATTATAAAAGTCCTAAGTTTAACTTAAAGAGAAAGAAGCTTAACTAGAATAATTAAATCTCTAATTATCTGCATTTTAAGAGGAACTATATCAAATGGAATAGAAATATGAAAATAAGTTATTATCAATAAAGCAGAAACATGAGTCATAAATTGATGATTTGCATAGGTTGATTTAGGAACTAAAGTAACAATTAAATACAGTTGAAAGCGAAGGAAGGATGATGTAAAACAGTTTAAATGAAATGGAAGTTTTGGATTTTAAATGCAAAGAACTTAAAACTGAAAATTAGGAGCTTTAATTAAAAATTTAAGAACTCTAAAAGGGGTCTGATTAAGAGAAATCAGATAATTAAAATAATGCTCAGAATAATGAGTTAAAGGATTAAATAGAAGAGTTGAATTCTTAAATTTTGAATTAATAAAGAGAACAATTGCAAATCGAAAAGTAGCGAATACAAGAAAAGGAATAATAAAATAATTTGATAGAAGAGCTTAAAAGAGAAATTCAAGAGCAAAAGAAATAAATTCTATAGTATTAGGAATAAATATAAACAATTACCTAATAATTGTAATAAGGAGATATATCATAGACAATTCCTTAAAAAGATTATCAAATATTAGAGAATAAGTCAAAGGAATAATAGAACTAAATTAGATAGTTATAAAGTGAACTTGCTTCTTTGAAGTAGTTATAAGAAGATTAAGTAAGAATGTTAAATTAAAAATCTTCAAGAAACTCAACTTCTACTTCTATGGAGGCAATGATTGAGAAATGTGCAGCCCTATAATCAATAATTGAGGAACAAAGTATAATTAATTCTAAATTAAATGTGGAAATTGGATTATTTAAATAGCAAAATGAATAATTGAAAGATGACTTAAAGATTTGTCATCAAGAACTTAAGGAATTAAGAGTAATTTCAGAAGATAGATTCAGATTGGAAAGTGAACTTTAATAGGCACTTGCATTAATAGCAGAGCAAGAGAATAAAGCCAATATATTTACTCACAATACTCAATTAACCAAAGAGCTATAAGAAAAGAATCATAAACAATCGGAAGAATTAGAAAGTTTAAGAAAGCAATTGAAGTAATTCGAAAGGTAGAAATAAAAGGTAAAATTAATCAAAATTATTAGGTTTAAGAAAAATTGACTGAAACGGTGGAAGAATTGGAGAAATTGAAGAAATAGCTAGAAGTATCTTAACAAGAATTGGAAAACAGAAATACAAAAATTATTGAATTGGAAAAGTTACTTTAAACATAATTGTAAGATTTTTAAATTTTGGAATCTTAGTATAATGAATCCTTAAAGAATTGTGAAATTTTATAGAAATCATTAGATGATTTTAATAAGCTAAGTACAAGAGAGATAGAAGAATTAAACAAAGATAATCAATAGAAATAATAACGAATATCTTAATTGTAAGGAGAGATATAGAGTTTAATAAAGGATGTGCATACTTTAAAAGATTTTTAGGCCAGATAGAAATAAGTGTCTGAAGCTCCGTTGACAAAGAAAGATAAAATAGTTGTGGAGTCTTTGGTAAATAGAATTCAAGAATTGGAAATGCAGAATAAAACAATAAAGGATTAGTTTTCAGGAAAGATAATTAAATTAACAAATGAGTTAGAAGAAAAAGTTTCATACATTTAACTTTTAGCATATCATCTTAGTAAAGGATATCCAAATTTAAGTGAAGCTGATTTGTAAGAATTAATATTCTATAAAATATAGGATCGAAAAAGAGGATGTTAAATTGATCCAGTAACTGAAGAAGAAATAGAATATTTAAGAAATAATAGAAGTATAAATATAATGTCATTATAATAGAAAACAATGATCGAAAATTTGTAATTAAGGGAATAATTAAAATTGTTAGGGGCTGAACTAAATAAGAAAAAATGATGATATACTTGTTTATTTATATTTTTAACATAATATCAATTCATTGTTATTTTTATTACTATTATTGCTTATTAGCTTTCCATGCGGCAATATCGATAATTCTTGGTTATTCCCATAAAAATTCAGATTCAGTTCTACCAAAATGACCACCTGAAGCAGTTTTAGCATAAATGGGTCTTCTTAATTTAAGTTCTCTAATAATAACTCCTGGTCTCAAATCGAAGCTTTCTTATACAATTTCAGATAGATCATCATCATCATAACCTTCAGCATGTGTTCCATATGAATTAACAGAAATTGACAATGGTTCACTGATACCAATACCATATGCAACTTAAATCATGACTCTCTTGCATAATTTAGATGCCACCAATGATTTGGCAACCCATCTGGCAGCATAAGCAGCACTTCTATCAACTTTTGTGGGGTCTTTTCCTGAGAATGCACCACCACCGTGGCCACCCCATCCACCATAAGTATCAACAATGATTTTACGACCAGTCAATCCTGCATCTCCATATGGTCCACCAACAGTAAATGCTTTGGATGGATTCAAATGGTATTGAGTATGTTCATCAACATATTATTGAGGTAAGACATGCCTTTGAGAATAGAATTCACATATACTTGAGAACATGAGAATGCAATTCGGCTTGTATTTCACTATGTGTGATTTTTTCATCATGTTATTATGAGATTAACACATTGTGAATTCTAACAGGGAAGAAGGTTGCACCATCTCTTTTGTATTCAACGGTAACTTAAACTTTAGCATCTGGTCTCATCCAAGGACAGATTTCTTTTTCTCTGCATTCCTGGAGTCTCGCAATTAGTTTATTGCAGAGATGATGAGTCAATGGCATCAATTCAGGGGTTTCATCTGACGCATATCCTATCATTAATCCTTAATCTCCTGCGCCAATCTCATCTTCGTGTTTAGCACCAACGACAGCTTGATTAATCTCTCTAGATTATTGGTCTAATGAGACTATTATGGATGCATTCTTGTAGTCCAATCCCTTGCCTAAAATGACGTAATAATTAATTGGATTACTTATGTTATCATAACCAACGTTTTTGATTGCTTCTCTGACGATTGTCTCATAGGGCACTTAAGCATTTGTTGTGATTTCACCGAAAACCATAACAAGAGAGTTTTTGCATGCTGATTCACAAGCTACTTTAGAATTGGGATCTTGGTCCAAACAAGCATCAAGAATGCTGTCACTAATGAAGTCACATAATTTATCAGGATGACCAGCGCTAACACTTTCAGATGTAAATAAGAAGTGTCCCTTTGGTAATTGGAACTTTGTTTTATGAGTTGAAAGCAAATGATGCTATTCATCTAATCTATAATGAGTGGCCATTTGTAGCTACAGAATTAAAAAATTAATTTTATTTACATTATATAAATATATGTCTATATATAAATCACAACTTATAAATCTTGCCACGTTCATCTAGAATGTTTTTCAATTCATTTAACTTACGTTGAGATTCGATTTCAAATTGTATAGTCTTTTTTTGATATTCTCCTTACTAATCTTACGGAATAAGATATTGCTTTGATGGATCAGAATTGTTATAAATCGGTAATGCATAGAACACTTTGTTCCCTATTTTCCTCTTCTATTTCTCCTCAAAGTAATTATCCAGTTCTAATCAATTTTTGCTCATTAATATTACCTAATTCACATTGCTTGAAACAAGTCTCCACTGTTTTCGAATTTATGTCCTTTACGCAGTTATATTAGCATTAATGAAATTAGGCAAAGGCACGAATCTTTAATTTCTTACTCATTATTTTGTAATCATGCACGCATTTAAGAATCTTTAGATCTTAAGTATCAACATTCTAACCAAACATTAATTTTATTATTATAAACAATTAAATTTATAAAATATTATTTCTCTATCTTATGTTATTATATTATTGTAATGCATTCCTGCTGTTTCAATATATTTTATCTTAACTATTCACGATGGAATTACTTTAAAAACTGCAAATATATATAAAAAAGTGAAAAATGATTGCATTTAACATCATCATATTCATTAATTCAACATAAAGAAATATTAATCAAATTCATAATCATTTACAATCAGTCTCAATCATTAGAAATATCAATAAATTATTATAATCTTGGGATAAATAGTTACTTGAAATTATGTATATTTGGAGAACCTAAATATCTTAATAATCTAAAAGTATAAATTTATATATTAAAAAAAGGCCATCCATTTTACTTAATATCAAAATAAAATTTGATCACTTAATCCTATGAAGATGCCACATAAGTATAAGATATTGATTTTATTTAATATTAATTTATTAATCAATCTATAATCCCTTCTCATTTGTTCTAGATGATAATACATCAACAAAATTAACTTATTAAAATATTTATAAATGTCCTAACAATGATTTATTCAAAATGTTTTCTAAATTCTAGAGTAAATTTCAACAAAAATTATAAGTAGAAATTATAGATTTGAAATTCTATTAGATAACTTAACTTCAGATATCAAATCAATTATCTATACACAATAAAGAGATAAAATTTCAGATTATAGCAATAGTTCGTCAATTTCATTGTTAGACTGAGATAAATACGATATGTACAATTTCAAGTCCTTTGTAGAAAAGTTCATTAAATCTAACAAAGAGTATTGATATCATGATAAGGGATTATGAGGTTCTTTTTTGAATGATATATATTAATTTAGAAATTACTACCAATTCTTTAGATAAAAAAATTAAGTAAAGTATGTTGTAATCTAATTAAAATTCTTAATTCTCTTGCTTAACTATGATGGTCTTCAAAAATGATAAATAAATTGCGATATTCTTTTGAAAAGGAGTTCTATTTTTCATTCTCCTATTTATACTAATTTTACAGAATTGAAGCAACCGTATTTATGCTGCAATAATTAATAATACTCCAAAAACGTTGTTAATTGAGTTGATCAATGATGTGCGTTCATCATTTTAAATTATTAAATGTTTTATAAAAATAAAATTAACGATGTTATTAAAAGAGAGAGGTTATTATTGGAGTAATGGGTCTTTTTATTATGGATAATGGATGGATAACAAAATAAGCGGAGTGGGATTATTCATTAATAATGATAATATTATAGTGGGTTAATTTAACAATGGACTTTTGCATGGATATTGCTAACTCATATACTCTAATAAATTCAAATATTGCAAATACGAGAATGGCTTACAGGTAGGATTAATAAAGTACGACTACTTCAATGGAGAAACCATTGTGGACAATACCCAAACTTAGGATTAAGAAGAATTAGACATCATAAACAAATTGAATCATTCCTATTTTGTAATATAATTAAATAACTTAGTTGATACTATTGAAAACGCAACTCAAGAATTGGAAATTGATGAATGAGACTTAGCTTTACTTTAGTACTCTTATAAATTAAAACTAAAACGAAAACAGAAGGATCGGAGTGTTGTATGACACTAAGCAGAATAAATTTGAATATGGCTACTTCCTGAATTAACAATTAGATGGCAAGGGAGGCATCATTTTCGAATCAGGAGACAAGTATATTGGGGATTTTAAAAATGGATAATTAAATGGAATTGGAATATTCTATAACAAATCTGAAAATCAGTATACTTAGAGTAGATTTAATAATAATGAAATTATTGAGATCATTAAGCAGTCCAAAGATCCAATTTCACTGAGAAATCAATGGCATCAAATACCAATACCTGAATTGATAAGCAAGAATCATTTGACACCTATAAAGTAAAGCAATTATTACTCTTCTAAAAATTTCAGCAGTAAATTATCAAGATCGATAAGTCCTATGAGACCTACTATTTCAGTTAAAAAATATGCGATGTATTCACAAATAAAAAACTATCCAAATATAGAATATAAGTTTGGATCAATTCAAAGTCATTTTGGAAAGGACGATCTCAATATCATCAAGCCTTATAGGAGCAAACAGATTAATAGTTATATCAAGCAGAGTACTAGGATCGATGATTAAAGCATCCTATAATTACATTAACAACTATTTGATGATGACTAAAATAAATTTAAGTTATTTCACAATTGATTGTTTGTTTGTTTTGTATATAAATAATTTATATATAAATATCTTAAGGTAAAATGTCAGGTTTATAAAAGTAGATGTAAAACAGTGAATCGAAGACCTTAATGTCTAGGAAATCCTTTTGCGGGTCCAATTCAAATATGAATTAATTGTTTAGACCTGAGTTTGGATCTACGCAAAGTTTGGCTAATCATGAAAGATTGTGGCATTTGATGTAAAATTACTTGCCTTCTGACAAGAAAAGGTATAATGATCCAATTTAAAATTAAGTATTTAGGAACAGATAGTGAATCATGTAGAATTTTCACTTGCGAGAACAAGATTTGATTTCCATTAAGTCCATTGTTATTAAGCTGTGTCTCACTCTATAAGAGATAGATTGATTGAAAGTTTTAATGATACTCAATTGTATTTTCATGAATAGGATTGCAAGAGAGTATACTATTTATCAATTGAATTTCTAATTGGAAGATGTCTGTAAAACGCTGTAGGAAATCTAGGATTATAAGATGCTTACACAGAAGCAGTTCAAGAATTGGGTTACAAATTGGAAGACCTCTACGATGAAGAAGTGGATCCAGCCTTAGGAAATGGTGGATTAGGGTATAAAATAATCCATTAATTTCTAGTCGTTTGGCAGCCTGCTTCTTAGATTCACTTGCAACATTGAATTACCCAGCCTTTGGTTATGGTATTAGATATAGTTATGGAATATTCAAGTAATTGATTCAAAATGGGTAATAAGTGGAAGCACCAGATTACTGGTTAGAGAAGGGTAACCCTTGGGAAATTGAGAGATTGGATGTGTAATATCCAGTCAAATTTTATGGAAGAGTAGTCAAGAGACACGAGAATGGTTAGGAAAAGTCATTATGGGAAGCAGGAGTATATATCATAATTAGATT